CCGCCCCCCCCCCGGCCTCCCTCTGGCCTCGTCACAATGCGACCAGCGCGACTGGTATCTTCAACCAGTATGAGAGCACCCGTGCATCTCATAGTTCGTATCCCCATGGGTACTGTGAGTCCTCTTATATTACCTGCTCTAAATTTTTCAATCCAAAGTGGCCCACACGCTACGCGAGATAATCTCACAATGTTCGTGGTGAACGTGGCGGGCGATCTTCGACAGGCCTACCCGGCTCGAGTGCCTCTCAGGAATTCGTTTTCGGCCTAGCCTGCCGCTTCCGCCAACCGCTTCGGGTTCCACAGCGCCCATCCATAGAGTGCCCAGGTGGGTAGTCAAGGCAGTGGCTGAAGTGCCTTCGCCCAACGACCTACCAGAATAAGCGAGCGCACATTCGACAAGGCCACTCTGCGCGGGGCCCCTACTATGTACAAGTGAGAGAGAATGGAACTCTGCTCAAGATAGCCTGACCGCGACGAGATATTCGGGCACCCAGGTAGCTGTTCCCAGGGGACAGGACCCGCCTCCAGATGGAATTTCTCTTCATCTCTGGAAACCAGGCTTCGCCCAAGTATCGTTTCAGACATGGTCCGGGTGTCAGGAGCTCGGCCCTGCTGATCAACCGTCTTGTCCCTAGGTTCCTCAAGGTTCCTCTACCACTGATCAGCCAGAACCTACAGTAAGTTAGTTAGTCTTGGAGTTGCGTACCTAGGTAGTGTGGATCTATCTGCAGCTTCCAACCGTCTATTCGTCTGTGCTAAAACCGGACCATTCGCACTCGCACCATGCCGGTCTGAAGGCTAGTTACTCTGGTAAGCTGGGTCGTGGGGTTATCTCGACGAGGCTGCAAGGAGCACGATGAATGGACTTGCTTGGGATGACGCAAAGAATATTGGCAACGACCCGGACGTGTCTCCATCGAAGCCCCAGTGCCAGATGCCAGGAAATGATTTTCTCCTTCTCTGGCTGCGAAGATATATCTAACTTAACTTGTCAACTATCGCGCAAAGTGAGACAAGCTTTTTATTAGCCTCTATATCTCCGCGCTCCCACCGCCAGAATGGCGGTACGAGGGTAACCACGTAGTTTAGGTCTGGGCAACGCGGTAACAAAGTACCCTCGGACGCCCTGTCTTGAGCCCAGGTGCTCTAATGCACTCCATGTGCGCAGTCCCATACGTGACTGACCTCTGTACGCCTTGGACAATGCGTCTGTTCAGCGCTGTCATGGCGTGGATGCCATCGAAGCACTGCATTGCTGTTGCGATGTGGCAGCAGCTTAAAGCCATCAAGATTCTGACACAAACGGCATTGTGTGATCGGCGGCTACCCCCTTTGGGATGGCTTGCAGCACCAACGGAACGGCTGTCCTTGGAGACAATAGGCTCCAGCAACCCAAGCAATTACTTCGTCCCTCTTCCAATACACGAATCCAAACCCAGATGCTACGGTCGACGAGCTAGTGCATGTCTGCCAAAAATCTTCGCCGCGTCTGAGTCAGTCCCTTTGCGATCATGCACATTCATGAAGTGTTCATTTCTGTTGTGATGCTGGAGCTGCCGCCACCCCCTTGTCCCCTGGCGTGCGCCGGCCCAGGGGGTGGAAGCGATTGGACGCGCTGGCGGCAAAATGAGCTGCACAAGGGTACACGACGACGGTGCATACCTAGGTACATAACAGGGCAGGGCCCTACGGAATTCGCCATAGGAGGGTACAGGAAAGATTGTTGATATCGGCACCAGACTGCACCAGAGGGTGAATCATGAGCGTGTACAGGAATTTGTTTCTATGCCAATGGTAACCTCCGAGTATTGTTCTACATACAAACGCTAGTAGACCTTCGGAGACATTCTCTCGTAGTCTGAACCCCGTTGGAGGCTAATGACCTTGACGTTAGATCTCCACCGGTAGTCATTAACTAACTTGGCTGGCTAACTTGGTGCTTGGTTAGCTCTTCCACCCAGCTGGGTCGGCAGATTGGGAGCAGCTAGACCAGATGGGCATGGGATTTGCGCCAGTCAGACTCGCCGGGCGGCCGACAACATCACTCGGCTACCAGATTGCGCGTCTTTGGACGAAACGGCTGAGGGTTCATTGGAGCCGCATGAAGAACCGTCGAAATCGTGATGTCGATATAACTCGGTCCAGGGTCAGGAGATTTGTTCGCGGGTTGGACGATATTGATAAGTCAATTATCTGAACTCTATGTCGGCCACTCGTGCTGAATGTGTCATGTCAACGGCATGCATGTTGGCTGACTCCATGTCGACCATGTGCTGCACACGTAGGCTTGGGCAGTAGGGCGAGGAAAGGGGTTGGGCCGTGGGCTTCAATGTGGTCGCCATGCATGAGGCTTAAAGAGGGCGTGCCGGGCCGCACCTAAGGCTGGTCAAGAACAGATGACAGGCGACCGCGGACCAACAAGCTCGCGGTGCATGCATGCCCACAACCCCAACTTAGAGTGTAGGTGATTAGTTGGCTACTGCTCTATATCATGAGCTTGGGGAGACGTCGAGCCCCTGCAAGATCGGATGTAGGAACCCAGTGGGAGGGCGCAAGCCATCAGCCCGCGGGGTGCTGAGCTCTGCTGCGTTTGCCGTCAACGTTGAGCAGAGCAGCACGACTAGAAGCTGCAGCATCTAATAAGTTTAGTAGAAATGGCAGTAACTTGGCTTTTGTATTGAATGCCAGGCCGGGCGCCGTTCTCCACGTGCCATCCCCGCCTCCGTATCGGGTTTGGCGCCCCCGCAGGCCTCCTCGGCCTAGCTCCGACGGGCAGGAGCTCTTGGTGTGACCGGGTTCGTAGGGGTGGTGGTGGCATGCGACAACCGGTGTCCGCGACCACGTCCACGACCACGACCACGACCACGGCTACGACTGGAGCAGACGACGTCCTTCCTGCCCGCCCGCGACCAGCCTGCGTTCAATGAGACACAGAGGCCGCAGCCCACTGACGGTCCTGACCTCGAGCCTTCACATCATCACCGCGTCCCCCCGCCCGTCCGCCCTCGGAGCCTCGGTCTGCTTCCCGCGCTTCTACTCGCCCGCCGCCAACATGGCTCCTCCCAAGTCGGCCCTGGATTTTCTCGACTTCGTCAATGCCTCTCCCACCCGTGAGTGCCGTGCCGCGTCGCTTTCTACCCTGCCTGTGTTTGCCCTGGGGCCGTTCTGCTGACTTGGTTCCCTCGCCCGCCAGCCTACCATGCTGTCCAAGCCGCCATTACCCGCCTGGAGAAGGCCGGCTTCTCCAAGGTCAAGGAGCGCGACAACTGGTCCTCCTCGCTCAAGCCGGGCGGCAAGTACTACATGACACGAAATGCCTCCACCATTGTAGCCTTTGCCATCGGCGCCAAATGGCGGCCCGGAAACCCCATTGCCATGGTCGGCGCTCACACCGACTCGCCCTGTCTCCGCATCAAGCCCGTCAGCAAGAAGAGCAACGTTGGCTTCCTTCAGGTCGGCGTCGAGACCTACGGCGGAGGAATCTGGCACAGCTGGTTCGACAGAGATCTCAGCATTGCCGGTCGCGTGCTGGTCAAGGATGGCGCCGGCAACTTTGTCCAGAAGCTGGTCAAGGTCGACCGTCCCATCATCCGAATCCCCACCCTCGCCATCCATCTCGACCGCTCGAGCAGCTTTGACCCCAACAAGGAGACCGAGCTGTTCCCCATTGCCGGCATGGTCGCCGCAGAGCTCAACCGGACTGGCTCCAAGGACGTCCCAGTGGCCGACGATGCCACCAACGAGACGTTCCAGCCGTTGAAGGAAATGACCGAGCGCCACCACCCTTACATCCTCGAGATTATTGCCGAGCATGCTGGCGTCGAGGTCGACAATGTCGTTGATTTTGAGCTGGTCCTGTACGATGTTCAAAAGTCGTGCCTCGGCGGCCTGAACGAGGAATTCATCTACTCGGCGCGTCTTGACAACCTGAATATGACGTACTGCAGCGTCATGGGCCTGATCGAGTCCGTGTCATCAACCAGCCTCGACGACGAGACGTCCATTCGCCTCATTGCGTGCTTCGACCACGAGGAGATTGGTTCGACCTCTGCTCAGGGAGCCAATTCCGATCTCTTGCCAGCTGTCGTGCGTCGCCTTTCCGTCGTTGCTGGGGACCGCCACGGTGATTCTGCCTCCAACAAGTCGTGGGAGCACGTCAGCGCAGATCCCGAAGTCGATCTGTCCACTGCCTTTGAGCAGACCGCATCGGGATCTTTTCTCGTCTCTGCCGACATGGCTCATTCGGTACACCCCAACTACGCCGGCAAGTATGAGGCGAACCATCAGCCTGAGATGAACAAGGGAACCGTCATCAAGATCAATGCCAATCAGAGATACGCCACCAACTCCCCCGGGATTGTCCTCTTGCAGGAGGCGGCCAAGCGTGCGGGTGTTCCGCTGCAGCTGTTTGTCGTGAGAAACGACTCCTCATGCGGGTCAACCATTGGCCCTATGCTTTCAGCCAAGATGGGCGTCCGGACACTAGATCTGGGCAACCCTCAACTTTCCATGCACAGCATCCGTGAGACCGGAGGCACGTACGATGTGGAGCATGCTATCAAGCTGTTCGATTCGTTCCTGTCACACTACTCAGAGCTTGAGGCCAAGATCTTTGTTGATTAACCGTTTTAGCCTATCAGACTCGTCAGAGTTTACTAGGTTTCCACAAGGAACTCTTACATGTACTGAGAATGTCCAAGCCTTGAGCCCTTGCGATACATACTCTGTTGGCTACATCTAGCCTTCGAACTGTACCACCCACTGTCGAATACTAGTTTGATTGAATACAATTACTGTTTGGCAGGTGCACGCGTAATCCATAGAACCCTTGATGTACTCCCCTGTTCTGGTCACACTGGAATGGAGTAGTTCCGTGAACTTCACTCTATAGCTTTGTGATACTCCCATCTCGATATTCAGCTTAGGTGCAGTACAGTCCCTAAGTATCCAGTTCTTTTCCCTGTTTGCAAAATACTCCTCACTCCCTCTTTCCGGGATCGCTCCCTACATGATTTTGAGCTGCTTTATGATGCAAGAGGCTCGTTTGAAGTGTATCCTTGAGGCGTTGTCGCTTTAAGTCTTGCAATAACGTCAGCAACCCAGCTGGCGTAAGGTTGTCATTGCCAGCAATGTATTCCCTTCTGATTCCTCTTGGTCCTTCTTGTCTTCTTGAAGAGTCCTTAAGCCTAATTAGCAGTTGACGTACTTTCCCCAAACATGAGAGTTTACTTCTCCATACCCCGTCGGTAAATTACCTCAGAATACTGCCGCTTATTGTAATTTCACTCAAAATGGCGGTTACTATCTCCATTTCCGTTTCCTCGGTCGTTTTGAAATTGTCCTCGTCATTTGTCATCAATCCTGGACCGTGAAATAATGTACTTCCTTTAGAGTCGTCAATATTCAAGGTTGCCTGGGAGTTGTTTAGTGCCCCAGGATCCTACAAAATCCAACATTGCAGCTTGGCTCTAGACAGCAAACGTCGAATACCTCGATCTGTCTGAACTACTCGTCGCAAGAGTTTCCATTGTAGTTGAGGAGGGCCTCATAATGTAAGTCCACGCACTACACATAGGGATATCACCACATCGGTACAACAAACCCTTCTCTTCAATTACAGCTCCCGTGCTTCCTAGCCAGGCTAAAGCACTGTAAACCGAGCCCTCGTTCTGACACCATACAACAGCAGACTTTGAATTCCACGGCATCCTCCCTGGAAACATTCGACGACACGCATGTTAATCATGCTTCCCCCCAGCCGGCAGCCAAATCTCGCAAATAGAGATCGTGACACGATGGCATGGGGCCCAAGCAAGCGGAATGAGTCACAGGCAACTTGTAGCGAATATATGGCCGCCCAAAACGATGAAATGTCAGCTCCGAGGGAGGTGCAGAGGCAAGCATCACTACCGCAGACCGACGAGTCACGCGGCTTGTCCTATAGATATGATAATGCTCAGCCGACCCCAGTGGATTTACTGCAGCTGTGCCGAGATATGGAAGAACACGACTTCATACTGGGTCTCCAAAACCCGTTCCCCATATCATCACTCGCCCCACCACGACTCAGCTTGAGCCAGGCCACATCCCCTTCAGTTCGTACCGAGGAAAACAACGAGTTAGTGCAAGGCTTAATCCAGATCCTTGGACAGCCACGATTCTCCAGCAGACACCTACCACGGACGAGCCCCGCCGAGGGGATCATGGTGCAGGAATACTGGCCCCATGACCCCGACTTCCAACGTATGAGTGAATACTCCGGGGTTGCCCCCGAGGATCAGACGCCCTGGAACCCTACGATTGGCAGACGTGAGGCCTTCTGGAATGGATGGAAGGTTGGGACTGCACATGGGTACACCACGGACTGTAGCGTCAGTATCGATCACCCGCCTGCGGCTGAGCGTATTCCGGGATACCTGAACGGATTCATAGAAGGCTATAGTACTGGATATGAAGCGGGGAGGGAAGAGAGGCAACGTATGCAAAGGGAAAGTTCGTCTCAGTTGACACAGCACGAGGCGGCGCGCATCGACGCGAGAGGCCGGGAGGTACAAAGATCCCTCGAGCTCCGCCTGAGAGCAATATGGCAAGTTCCTACGGAGCTATAACATGCAGCCAGACGGTTACGGCGAACCAACTATTGGCGGCTTGGGAGTCATGCCCTATCCGGGTGCTCTCAATACAGACTGCACCAATGGCACAGCACTTGAATCGAGGGGCAATTCAAGCTGCGGGAAGCGTCGGATTCGCTGCCCGACCGAAGAGCTTCCCGAAAACTCACACTGCTTCGTTGGCTACCTCCGAGGCAGGCAAAGAAGCGTCCTTCGATGAGCATGCCGCGCCTGTCGAAGTCAAGGATAGGGCTCACCGCGGAGGCGCATCTGAGAATACCCCGAGGCAGGAAGCCTGACCCAGGATCGACGATAATCATCATGCAGCAGAATATGCTTGCGTTGGGTACGAGATGCAACCCAGGCGAGATATTGGAAACGACAGGCGCCAGGAATCCCCCATGACTGCCAGGCAGCTCGCGTGTGTGCAGGGACTTACAAAACAAGGCATGTCCGCACAAAGGTCCGACCTACCCGACAATCGAATATTTGAAGGTTCCCGTATATCATAGACTTGTTTAGGATGATCGGGGAAAAGCAGCCTGCGACCAACAGGGCTTCCAGCGTCCCTGAACCTTGTCTTCGTCGGAGCTCAAGCTTACTAGATGGGGCATGTTAGCTGCTAGGGATTTGTGAAATGGCAGCTCCCGCTACTTCTGGTCGATAGCACATGTTAGACGTCAATGAGGCTATCTCATTTAAACGCCCCTTATATCGTCACCACACATTCGCACCTTGATGCTTCCGATACGGTATTGGAAATAATGCCCAGGGACACGCTCAGACCGTATGGGGATGAAGTATTCACTTATTACAAGCGTTTGACGCCCACTTCTTTTTGTTAAATGTTTTACAAACGAGCAGGTAAAGCAAGTGAACATCACAATAGGATACCACATCAGACACAAGGAAATTTTGAGGAATTGTACCATGGTCACAAGAAAGAAAGGTTTCGGCATCAGCCAATCAAGAAATCTAGATTCCGCCAGCTAGTTAGAATTGGTATAGTTCACCGAACTCCTTGTGTATGCATATGCTAGGAATGCCACTGCATGCCATCCTGAAAACTCTGGCGTGAATGGTCATGGCTATTCCCTTTTGTCTATTGTCTGAACGATTTTTGCAGCTCCTGCAGATACCTGGAGAAAGTCTTCCTATCGGTTGAAGTAGTCATGGGCCTGAGGAAGTCGTTTCCGTCAATGCCCAACCCCGGGAAGAGGGAAGATTGCAGGTGTTGGATGAAGACTTCGCCGGTTTTGAGGTAGATGGCCTGCTCCAAGCCGGCGATTTCCGTCAACACCTGCTTAGTTTGAGCATCTTGCGCCGGTCTGAACTGCGGGTCCCGCATGACCTCCCAGCACAAGGAATGGAACCGATCGAGCAGGAATTGGTCAAACCCGGGGATGGCTGGCGACGGCGACCCCGAAGGTGCAGAAGGAGATGCTGCTATGTTCGCGACATCCGGGCCTCCCCAGACAGCTGCCATTTTCGCAAGGAGCCCGAAAGCGAGGCGGCTCGCTGCCAGGTTTCCGGAACTTATATCCCTCGCCAAGTTCAGAATGGAACTGATCAGGGAGTCGAAGAAGCCCTGGTTGGCCTCGGAGACAAGCACGCCGCCCAGGTCATTACTGAGAATAGCGCCAAGGAAACTCAGATATTCGCGTCGCAGTTCGGCAAGTTGGATCTCGTCATCAGTGCCGTCCATGGGCTCAGACAAGCCGCCAAAGACTCGCTGTAGCAGAGGAGTCAACAGAAGGTTCAGAACATCGTAGATTTCTGCCTTGAAACCGTAGACTACCTGATCCAAGAGACGTAGAAACATGGCCATCTCATCCTTCGAAGAGCCTTGTGATAGGAGACCCTCGATCCACTGTGGTAGCTGTGGCAAGACTGCCGCCCCGAGTACTCCCAGCAGTCGAGAGAACGCAGACCTGCTGGCGGCACGAATGTCAGGAGAACCGTTCAGCTGGCCTAGAGCGATCAGTATAGCCTCCGCGGCCCGTGCAAACTCGTCAGACAAGACTTTCTCGGGTGGGGGACGCTGCTTCGCGGATTGCGAGCCAGGAGTCCAGTCCGAAAACCCGTGTGCCAAGGTGCCCAACGCCATAATGATGTGGTGAATCTGGAGGATTGCCTGCGCGTCTCCGGCCTTCGCACGCGGAAGGTGCTGCTCCATATCCGTGAACAATGGGTCCATAACAGATCGCGCGTACAGTGCTTGCTTGTCCGGCGGCGTACTGGAGGTCGACGAGATGCAGCCAATGGCCTCGAACAGATACAACTGGCTCGTGAAGAGGGCGTCGGCCGAGTTGTCGGTTTGATCGGATGACATGTCGTCGTCAGCATCGTCGCCTGGGACCTCAGCTTTGATCGGAAGCAAATCGCCGATAGAGTGGATGATGGTTTCCGCGACATTGCCGACATGAGCCCGAAGATGCTTCACGAACCGGTGGAACAGATACCATGAGCGGCTGCGTATGCGGACATGATCATGGTGAACAAAGCGGACAAAGTGCTCGAGCACTTGTGCTATAAGCGACGAGTTGTTGTCCGTCTCGAAGAAGCTGCAATAACGGACGCAGATTTCCATGTACTGGAGAATGATGGCCGGGTGAGGGAAGGTAGCCACGCCTGGTGCATCGTTAGTCTTGTGGGATCTGCCATTTCCTCGGCCCAACATACCTGATTGCACCATTTTGGTCATCAAAGCCATGAGCCTCTCAGAAGCGGAGGTCGGGGGCTGGTTCTTGGAGCTCATGCCTTGGGAAGGCATGGCCAACTCGCCAAAAAGGTACATCTCATGCAGGGCCACATCCAAGTCCCTCCAGTCCATCTGCGAGCCGTGTTCGTCTAGCCGCTGGAACGTGTTGGCGACGAGGTTGCTGAGAACTTCGATGTAGAGGTTCTGATCGACGGCTGCCACGCTCTTCTGCAGAAGCTGCAAGCGTTTCCTGAGCTCCTGGAACTCGGCCTCGTCCGTTTGCTCGTCTTCGTGGCCCCAGGATGATGTTTCATCATATCTCATCTTCATGATGATGGCGTTCAGAATAGGGGGGAGCAGTTCGGCAAACGGCCCGGGCAGTTGGGGCAGCTTCCGGAAGTAGGTCAAGATATCCGTCAGCGATGGGATCACAGTGGAGCAGATCTCATCAAACTCGTCCGAAAAGAAGCGGAGGAGCAGGGGGAGGAAGTCCTGCAGTTGCTGGTTGGCCTTTGTCCGCGTCTCGTCGTCGGTGGTCTTATCCTCGAGCACGCGGATGAGATCGGCCACAACGGTGTTGACCAGCTTGGCAACGGCCTCACCGAGGTCTGTATCATAGCGAGTGGTGCCCTTGTACTCGTTCAGCGGGGGGCTGGCGATGAGCTGAGAAATGATGTCGCGGAGGTTCAGAAACGAGATCATGTTGGTCTTGTCAGCGGGGCGCATCTTTTTGCCCACGATCTCGGTGAAGGCATCGACTGCAGCGTCCCGAACCTTGTCATCTCCACCATCAGGGCTGGCGCGGCCAATCAGAGGGAAAATGAGGCTCATCATGGCATCGTTGATGATCAGAGAGATGTCGGTCCAGCTCACCCATTTCCCGATGACCTTCAAGGTCGTCTCTGCGATAAGGTCGTTCTGGTGGGAGTACTCGGCAAGGAGGTCCTGCCAGGACTGGGCGATCTTGCCAACATCTCGTGCCCTGACCAGGTCCTTCAGGCCGGTGTGGACCTTAACATCGTTGCCCTGGCGCATGACCATCTGGTCAGCGATTTCATCGTGAACATTGCTCAGGAGGCGCATGTACAGGATGACGCCGATGGTGTTGTTGCGGCTCGAGCTGCCAGGCAGGACGGTGAGGGCCAGGAAATCGTCAAAGAAGGAGGCCCAGGCCTGTTCGTACAGGGCAACAAAGAGGTACGTCAGGGTCTGGGTAAGCTTGTTCTGCAGGTTGGACGAGTCGACCAGGTCGGGGTCGTTGGTGGCGTAGGTCTCCCTCACGTAGGCAAGCAGGGCGTCCCTCAGGTAGACGAGGCTCTGGCCGTCCAAGAGCTGGGTGTGCACAATGTTGCTGAGGATCTCGAGGCAGACATGGCGCACGATCTCGGAGGGGCGCGGGGTCCTGGTGAAGAGACTGACGCAGACATGCCAGGCCTGGGGGTCGGAGCGAACTTGGTTGAGGAAGTTGTAAGCCTGAGACTTGAGAGACTGGTCACCGGATGGGTTCCATACGATCTCGATGGCCTTCTCGATCTGGGAGTCCATGTTGGGCTCGGTCTCGCGGCGGCAGCCCCGCGGCTCCCGGTGGAGAAGTGGGTGATGTCGTCGGTGTGGTCAGACGCTGGCTATACTCTCGGCAGCCCTCGGCAGGGTGCATGCAGCATGCTTGAGCTGTCCACGGGGAGAGGGTCGTCCGTAGATCGTGTCTGCTTGTGCTTGGGCAGTCAGTGGGCGACCCGGGATTCCGTTCTGCGACGTGTGTGTGTGTGTGTATGTGTGTGTATGTTTGTACGTTTTGTATGCTTGTATGTATGTATCGCGCGGTGTGGCCTGGTGTGATGTGCGGTGCCGTGGTCGTCTACGGTACGCGGGGCGGTCTTGGTTGCTGGAGGGGCAGCTACGGTATTCGGATGGCAGATATGTGTGTTTCTCTCTCCCTTTTTCTCTGCCTTCCTCTCTCTCTCGCAAGTTTCGGACGGAGGAAAGCGACGGCGATCGGGACGGCTAGGCCTGTGAGTGAGAGGTCTGCACCGGGAATGCACAAGGCAGAGTCAACAGTGGGAGCACAGTCGTCAACACGTCACAGTCACAGCCGGCGGCCAGCGAGCAGCCCAACTTTGGCATTTTTGTCACCCCACCTTGACCTTGGCTGGGCTCACTAACTAGGGTCTTGGGATTTTGCCAGCCCGGGTTTGCCTAAGGTCTAGGCGGTGAGCGAAAACAAACAGGCGGGGGAAGACGGTTTTTTTTTCCCCCTTCCTCAGCCAACGGGTGCCACGAGGCTGTCGTGCAGGCCTGTCTTGTCTTGTTATTGTCCGATAACAAACGCACGTGCCAAAACCGTCCTTGGCCAAGGAATGCCTTGTTGGTACGGGTGCCGAACTCAATCAACTGCGACAGTCCAACCGTACGTCCAAGGTAAGTGGTAAATAAATGTGGGAATACGCAACGTTGCTATAAAACCCCGGAAACGTGCACATACCCACCGCCATATCTACCCTACATACCTACCAACCGACGTGTATGCTCATTCTAGGCTGTTATCACTGCCTCAACATGACGCTGGCAGACCTCCAAACTACACCCGAAAGGATGCCTACCTGGGTACCTTGGCTTTGCATCGCTGGTTGCAACCACCTAGATTGGCCTTGTGTCCATATACTATGGTACATACATACTACTCAGATACGGACAAGGTCCCTCTCTGGCCACGATGCTGTCGCACAGCTCATTAGTCCCTTGACTATGCCTCTTCAGTAGTCCATGGGGGCATCCGAGGTGCCCTGATCATGATTGTCCATACATCGCAAACCGGCCCTGGCCAGGTGGTCGTGGTATGTTCCCGAGAATCCTGGTCGTAGGGTTGATGATATAACCGCATATTTCCCAGTCAAGTACTGAATACTTGGCCTGTGGTACCGCGCACCCAGTCGCCGCCGCATGCAGAACTCCTGGCGTTCCGTACAATCTTTCGTATCGACCGCCATACCATCGTCTTGCTCGTCACTAGTGAGTTTGGCACTTGTTGGAGTCGCATCCTACTTCTTGACTCTCGGACACGCATCGGGCCATGGTACATCGAGCTGCAGACGTTTCGCCTAGGACTTGACTCACCATCATCCATCACCATCATCAAAGAAGCAAACTGAACTCGAAACGCCCTCTCAGGAAGTGCGTACCAGGAAGGAGAATTTCCTGATTCGAGCATGACATCGCTGCTGTTGTCAGGGGTTGGATCCCGAGTGCTACGCGCGCAGAGGCAACTCGACAACTAGGAGATCCCCATCGACAACTTTCTCTGTTTGCCTCGGTCGCTACTGCTCGCAGAAAGGTCTCGCGATATACAGGCAGGACCTGTCAACGTAACGAGCTCGGCCCGGATAGATGACGATACCAGAGGCACACCTGCCACCGCTTCTCTTGATTATACTCTGCAATGATACATCAGTGGTTCAGAGGCCTCTTGCCAGGTTGTGTCCGCGACGATCCGGTGAAACCTGCGAGGGTTCTCACAAGGCTGAAAGAGTCGCATATGGCTTGGAGGTCGAGGTTCAAGTTGAGATTGTTAATAAGCCTCGATCGAACAGAGTCGAGATATTTTTGATATTGGTTTAGTTGAGGAAGACTGGGTCGCTGTATTTGGCATGTCGTGGATGAAGCGGTGCTGCTCCGCCTCGCCCTCCCCAGACACAGCACTTGATGATTGTAGCACGAGTGCGCTATAATTAACAGCTTTCTGCATGTCAGCACCAGGAGCATACCCATTAGGCGCGCTTTAGCCCCTGCCATCGAGGGATGTGACGACATCATATATCATCAACGCGTTTTGCGTCTTTGATTGCTTTTGCCAAATTGGACAATCCTGTGGCCAGCCCAGACAACGGCATTAAGGCGGGCGCTCAAGCAATGTGCAACGCGGGTGGAGGTTGCTGATCTCGGAGCGGTTGTCGCACCATCAGTGATAGCTACTGACGATCCTCGCTCCATCACCGGGGGTCGGGGGAACCATGCTTGCCTTGTCCCTAATTGTGTACTATGTACGTACATCATGATTGCTCTTCACATGTACATTATCGCACAGTGACGCCCATTGTTGTCGCTACAAGGAACGGGGAGAGAGTGCTGGCATAACCGCCGCATAGCGAATGGTTCGTGGACCCAATTCTGGTGCCATCATGAGCAAATCACTATCATCCATCATTATCAGGTCGTTCTCCGAGACGAGAGTGCGAAAACTTTGAATGTGGTACATGAACATCTTACAGTCTCCACGGAAATGGGTGGCCCTGGCCCGTTGGCTCCAGCTGCTTGGCCCTGGCAATCCTTGACCTCGTGGCAGCATGTGCTTGAGGCAATTAACTATGAGTGCGTACTACCTACTATTAAGTAGCACATTAAGCATCGACCACGCGGGCCAATAGATTGCTAGCGACTCAAGTCGAACGAGATGAAGACTGGATAGCCTGGTGAGCCCTGGCGCTTGGCAGACGAAGCCCTCTTCTCTATTTATTCCTGATGTCCTGTCTTGACTGCATTGTGCCCGAACCCCAAGGGCCGAACAGCCTGGACTTGAATATCGGGATTAAGCTTGAATATTAGCGGATGTGAGGGGGCGCCCCCTTCACCGACCATCATATCCCAAGTCGCGACTAAACGAAATTACCAACGTACGCCGTGCGATTCTCCTGCTCTCTCCGTCGTTGGTTCGTGGGAACGTGACCCCCGAGCAAAAGGCGCAGGATAGGAGGGGCGCCAGTACCTGCATTAGCTCCCCCATCCTCCGCTGCTGTTGGCGAATTGTTGCATTGCCCCTCCAGCCCACGCGCGGCCGGTCCTGTCCTTTCCACATTCCTGGTTGGGCCGGCGGGACAGGGACCCCTAAAGCACCCCGGCACCCCTTGGCATCCCATCGCGAATGATCCATAGATTCGTCGGATTCGACTGCTGATGAGCGTCTGTCCACCCCTGGTGCATTCATTGGGTTACCTCAGGTACTTGGCGCTCAAGTAGACGGATGTTTTCGCGGGGAATCCTAGCTCACGTGTGAGCACGCACGATGCTGGAAGGCAGGCAGACCAGCGTCGATGAGAGAGACGCTGACGATTCGCCATCGCAAACTGTGCTGCCATTTCTTTTCTGGTTCTGCACAAGAGTAGAAGCAGAGTGGCGGTCGAACGTTGCCGTTGAATGTTCCAGCCATGTGGGAATAGCATTATTGAGTTCGGGTCCCGTCGGCAGTCGGGTCTCCAACTCTCATTGGAAATGAAGTGCCAATTCTTGCTTATTGCTGCTTAACTCGAGCAATAAAACGATCTAGGCACATACTATAGGATGTATGTCTCTCGTCCAGCCCTCGGGTCGCGAACGTCACGTCAAAGCCTCATGCTGTTAGGAAACGAAAAAGGTCGGATGGAGAGCTGTTCTTGAGGGTTCACTTGTCTCGAGAGCCTATCGCCATTGCATGCAATTCCCGTTCTATAGTTGCTTGAATCTGCTTGGGCCGCTGTCTGGTGCTGATGATGGACGAATTTCGGAGATACTTTGCAGCCAAGTAGTGCGAAGGTCTGGTTCAATGAACGCGTCCCACTTTGTACCACGTAGATTGCAGACAGCCATCAGCCCAGCGGTTTATGGAGTAAGCCCCCCTTGTCATCCCAAAAGTCAAGCACCACAAATCAGCATTCGCTCCAGGGCCCTCACGCCTTCTCGGAGGAAGGTCAATCTCGCAGTGAAGGCCGGACTGCGATGCGCCATTGGGTCAGCACTCGCTGCTGAAGTGGGCGTACTAGCCGTGTCTCGGAACGCCTGCAAATCAGGTGAGATCGCATCGTCCAAGGTCGTGTGCGCCACGCGATGGACGGTCAAGATTCTCCCCATCCCCATCCACATCCACGGCGGCTGCGTCGTGCGCCCAGACGACTAAAGGCACGGTCTTGTCGATGACAACTTTAATCTGTTTGCAAGCCATGGGCCAGGGGAGGGGAGGGGGGGAGGGTTGCCGGGGGGTTGCCTCTCCCATGCCCTTCACCCCGTCCTAGGTGGAGCGGCGGTCACAATGTCAACCAGCGCTTGGGAGCCCCGGTCCGCCTTAGTTTGCTATTCAGGTAATTTCCCACAACCCCGTCCGTTGCCTCCTATCCTTTGTAGCCTTGTGCGGGTGTGTCTATCCTATCCTATTAATACCGACCGTCGTCCGCCTTGTTCCATCTCTCCTTTCTTTCCCTCTCCAGCCAACAAGCCAATTCAACTGACTCAACTTGACCTCGGTCGTCCATTCTTTAAACAACCACGCTCAAGCTTCACGCTTATACGCTCTCTTAAACCCACCAACCAACCAACCAACCAACCTCGTCGTTTTTTCAACGTACAATCCAAAACACCGCCAAAATGCGTTTCGCTACCGTTGCCGCTGTCTTCGCTGGTGCCGTCTCGGCCAAGACTGTCTACTCCACGGACTACGTCACCGTCACCTCTTGCGCTCCTGAGGTCACTGACTGCCCGGCCCGCTCGACCGCCACCTACAGCTCGGTCTACCCCGTCGGCCCTGCCTCCAGCTCTTACCCGGTTGTCCCCAGTGCCAACACCACTGCTCCCTACCCCGTGAGCTACCCGGCCACCACCGGCCCGGCCGTCCCTACCACCGTCAAGCCCGCCACCTCCGGCTACCCCGTTGAGAGCAAGAGCACCAGCCCTGCCACTGGTGTCTCCTCGGTCCTGACCATCTCCACCACCACCTGCATCCCGACCGTCATCTACTCCACCGTGACTGCCACCCCCTACACCGTTTCTTCGGCCAAGCCCTCCGCCGGCACCACCATCCCCGGCCACAACGCGTAAGTCATCCCGATGGACACCATCACCGCTCGCAGTTACTGACCCGTCGCAGCACCGTCCCTGCCGTGCCTTCCTCCACCTACCCCGTCACTGCCGGTGCCGGAAGCGTTGCTGGCTCCCTCTTCGCCGCTGCCGCCGGTCTTGCCGTCGCCGTCATGATGTAAATCTCTTTCAACATTGGAAGGAATTTGCACAGCTGCTCAATGATACCCGGGGGAGTCCAGGAGGAAGAAGCCAGCGGGCCTTTTTGAATCTGGCTTCGGTATTCGACTTCATGTCAATACTATCAATGTACCTAATTTTCTAATTGTATTTACGGGCGTCGGATGCCTCATGACAAACAACCATTGACGTCTGTTTTTGCAATCACTGTTACGCTTTTTGGCCCATTATCAAAAATAACCAATATATCCTCCCGTGAGATCCTAAACATGCGACCTGGGCAAAAGACGGGGCGGTGCTACCCATGTACCGTGAGTCTTGCCGACCAGCGACCGCTGGCTTTCCGAATGCGTGGGGCGGCGATCACTGCTTGGTTTCAACTCCATCAAATTTCTTGCCCCTGTAATTGAAACGCACTATCTGCAGGTACGTACAGGGCCCGTCATGGGTATGGGTGCCGCATACCGCTTAGGAGCTCACCAATGGGGAAACTGAGGCCCTGATAGGCCCAAGTCCTACGCCAGCCATTCCGAAAGTAAAATCAGACCTGCTCCCAACGGCCGGTGACCATATCAGGTGTCCGGTCGCAAAGCTGTTCATTTCCGCAGAGATCATCGCAAGCTCATTTTGTTCTTGGACTTGCTGCGGCAAGTCCATGATAGCAGCTAAACTCACTCACTCTTACGAGGTGACGTTGTCTGGGGCTCGCGGCATTCGGCTCCGATAGCCCGGTTCGTCACACGTCACTCTGTGGTTATTTTTTCGAAAGCCGGGTCGCACCTTTCGGCACGTCGCAGGCGAGATGGACTGATAAACAAGATTTCAGTTGACAGGCGTTGTTTTATATGTTTTTTTTCCCCCCCAGTACACCTTCTACAGTGGCCAAACGACCGCGCGCTCCATTTATCTGTTCGCTAAGTGATAGCTTTGCAAAGTCACTATCCTTTTTCCACGCCTCCTTGTGGTTGTTTTGATAAGCTCAGCCGGACCAATGATGTCCACTCAAGATGTCTCTATTAACTGCGATAAATAACACGCCAAATGCATCCCACCATCCTTCACTATTACTGCTTTTGGCGTGACTGCGCTTCTATACGCAAAGGCTGACGTAATAACTACCCGGTTTCTACAGGTCATAAATTTTGCTTCGTCAGTGAAGTAGATTTGATGTTACAAGATATATACAGGTAAAGAAAACACCTCAGCCATAGCAGAAATAGCACCAAAGACTGGGACGTCCAATGGCGTAGGTGTGACTTGGTTTCCCCAGGCAGTCTAATACTTCTTTGGAAGACACATAGCAAACCAAGCTATGTAGACTGTCAGCCAAGTCTACCACTCAAGCTCGAGCGCATATGAAGCAATAGTGACTGAATCACACAAGTGATAAGAATAAGCGCATAGAGTGCCAGCTGCTGAGCAGCTTCAGGGGCTCATACGAAGGGGCTGTCAACTTCAGTGCGATGTCAGTATGAGACGAGCCTACAGGCAATTGTTATTATGCAACTTTGTTGATGTAATATAGAGATCTTGGATGTATTCCCAACCTTCTATCTTCGATACCTGACGTGTCCTCTCAGCGTTGGATACACCAGTAAATGGTCAGGGTTATCTGAAGATGCTGCACCTGTTGATTCGTTGTTCTGCGCTGGTTTAGCGTTTACTCGGGGGCACCCCTTGTCATTGTGTGTAACTCAAGGATCAATGGTGTGCGACACGAACACGAGCGAACTTGCATATATAACCAATTTTGGTGCTGCTCTCCAGCTCTGATTATTGCTCGTGGAATTTAATCACCGATGAAGCGAAAGCTCTCCAGCCAAGGTCAGAACTAGGACTCGGCGCGTTGTCCGTCGTATGTGCAATGCGGGAATTATGGGCATATAGTGGTTGGAGACAAGGCTTCCCCGATGTCTCATACCTTGTGAAGGATATGCAAAAAAGCTATGTGAGAGAACCACTACTCAACGAGAGTATGATGGTCATGCTGGCCAAGTGAATTCACGGATCAGATCGTAGGATCATTATATTACGGTTTTCTGCAAATGAGGACTCTTTTAACAAATGGTGGTGATTGTTTCCGTTACTATTAATTATTTGAGTAATTGGTACTGATAAGTTGTATACGGTAAATATCAAAGTACCTCGTTGTCGGGCAAGTGAACCTTGAAAGGCGCACTCTCGCCCGCTTTTCACTGCTCCTTTATATTCTAAGTAGCTGCCATGACTATCATCAGCCGAAGCTGTACACTACACGATGGCGAAGTGCTTCTGCAACTCACGGGTGGAGCTCGACTCGCTTTGGGCGTCGTCGTCTTTATCCTCCCTGATAACCTGGGTCTCGATCGTCCGCTGGATACCACCCTTGGGGAAGCGGTTATGGTGGTATGAGTCCTCAGTTTCTTCGTCAATTCGCGACTGTGTGCCAGTGTTGTGCCCAGTACGGACCATCGTGGTCATCTTGTGGCTTCCTTCATGTCGGTTCGAGTGAGAGTTACCGTAGGATCCCGTCTGGTGCGGGTTCGATGCCTTGACCACGCGGGCAATGAGATCCGCAATGTTCATCTCGATGTGTAGTTTCACCAAGTAGATGAGGGGGTGGAACTGAACGTAGATGACGCTGTTCGGAAGGGACATGACACCAATGAGGATAATCTGATTGAGATGTTAGTGTTCATATCAAACATCGACTCTCTTTCGCCTCCTTGGAGGGTTGCATACATCAAGTGCCAGTGAGATGGCGATCATGCCCAGGTTGAAGTGGAAGAGCCTTGTATACTTCGTGAGGCCGTTGGCAATGAGCTTCGCCCGGACTAGGTGAATGAAGTAGAAGTTCAGACCCATGTCGACGATGGCGATAATGGCCTTCTCGCACCTATCCCACACATTGTTGACATTGACATAAGTCTCGCTGATTTGCAACCTGGCGGGAATCCAGATACAGAAAACGCTGATGTTTATGGCAGAGATGATGGCGAAAACGGTCCAACGGATTTTGCGTGCTTTTTCTTGGCGGACCATGAGGAGGGCGATTCGGTTGATGATGATTTGCATGATGCATTGGATCTGTATCACCCACAGGCAGAGAAGGAAGAAAGCGAACCAGAAGCTAGCAGTCTGTGAGTTGAATGCACCGATAAAGAGCTATCAGCGGGGCGTACCTTATAGGGATGACACCCCTCAAAAACAGCCAGCTGATCACAGAAATAACCAGACAGGCTAACCATTCAAGCCATATCATGACAACATATGCGTTGACGTTTTTGGTCCTTCTGTAAGAGATCCAACTTTGCCGCGCACCCTTCACAAAGGTAAAGCAGGCGCAGGACAGTGAAAACCCCCAGATGATACTGGCGATGTTCATGTCCTCATCCGTGGGAGGGTCTGTGTGGTACCATTCTGGCACGAGGAATCCCCTTTGAGCCATGGCGAATTCCACTGTAACAGGCCGGAGTTCCTGCAACACGGTGTTATAGAGGTGCTGTAAAGAAGAACGGATGGGAAAGGGAATCCGGAGTCACAAAATGCATTGCAATGCGGTCGAGATATAGGGTGCCCTTCAGATAGGGGTCCCGCCCCCATAGGGGTCCGCTGGCTTCCTGATTCTGCCATTCGCGTTGATGGCAAGTCATGTCATCTCTAGAATCACGTAAAGCTTCTGTCGTTCTGGGCTATCGGCTTAGCGTAACCAACATTCCCCGTGTAGCATTACAAGGTCAGCCCCGTCACGTGGCGGCTGCACGACTCTATGACAGTTCCTGAAAGAGGAAACCGGTGCTTGGACCTAGCGGCCCACGAGGTTTAGACCGGCACCATGGCAAAATCAAGCAAGCCAAGGGATTCTCTTGGAACAATTTAGGACTAAATGTGATGGATCGGGCTTACCCGGATCTGTGCACTAGCAGCGCCGGCAAACTCAGATAGACACTAAACCAAGCAGCCGGGTCTAGTTGGGCTTCTAAGACGTTCTCGACCTAATGCCTGGTCTTGAGGGGACAAAAGAACTTTGCCTGTACGATATGGCTACGGCTTCATGCCTCTGAACTGCTGAACGACTCGCGAGTAAGTGCCGTTAGCAATGGTCCTCAAAACCCCATTAGAAATAGAAGACTCAGGGCGTCTTTCAAGCGCTTGCTTGGAACCTCATACATCAGGTCGGGGGGTATTCCTACCAGCCTACCACCAGCAAGTCACGTAGCGTCTGGATCTATTGATTTTCTCACAGTGAATCGATCTGGCTTTAGCAGAACGACGGTCGGCAATAGGAGATTTCTGAACGGTCCGACTGTGACCGCCCGAGCATGTGTCAGCGCTACAAGCTACTACTAGACGGAGATTGACAACCCGGGGTGCCTTGGCACATACGGCGTAGATACGGTTTGCTGGGAGGACTTGAGAGCAATATGGTAATGCCTATACTATGGTGAGGTCTCAGGAATATATCCGGCTCGAGCAACTCGACGCGGAGCCAGAGGTAAACACTACATGCTGCCTACCAGGGTGGGGAAGTGGCGTCAACACTGCACAAAATGCTGCATACAACTGACTGCAATGATTACTCTTCAATGCCACGCTATGAGTGCCGGGGGCGTATTTTACCTATGAACGCCCCATATGGGGAGACCCATGCCGGCCTGGGGGCAAACTTGAGTATGCATCCGCTAGCCGGTGCCGGCAACACAGGCAATCGGACGGGTACCCGCCGAGGCCGTAAATGCCCAGGGCAATCCAGATCCGCTGATCGGCCTTCTGAGATTCGGACGTTTTTTGCGCTCCAGAGTAGCTTACTAACGCCAAGCCTGTGTTGCGTTGACTCGGAAGTGCAGATCATCATCACCTTATTTCTCATAGCTCGCCATAAAGCTGGAGGCTACTTCCATTTTATGTAAGCCCTACGCTATGATCGCCTTTTGAATAGGACTAGCAATGGCACAGAGATGCCGCAATTTTTCTTACCCGCAATACAGCTAGCTTGGGTCTTTTCCACCGGCCATCGAGCTGGATTGTTGCTGCCCTTATTGATTGCAAAGTGCTACCTGGCATGGCTGGAAAGAGAATCCTTCTCACCGGCGGCGTTCCGATGATCGGCACAAGTTCATTTACCAAGACCTTTTCCTCTAAGATTTTGAGCGACTGGTTGATTCGTCTCCTGCACATTACTTTGAGTACATGACCGAAAAGATAGGCAACACTTCGGTGGCCATGATTTGGTCGGTTGGCCCGAGTCAGCTTCAAATTCCCTAAGTTACCTAAATTGTCCTGTTCCCAAAGGAGCTAGTGGACATTCAAGTTCAAGAGCCTCCAAGGCACATGCCCACTGTAGTTTTGCTGTTGAGAAATGGATCATGTTGGCTCTACTGTAATTTACTCTAATTTCACAAGTCACTCAGCGATGCCAACTATGCAAAGCTCAGGACGAGCTTCGCGACAAGCAACGCAATTACGCTAGCCTTGCTGTCCCATTGACGGAAATATCAATTGCACCGAGCACAGGCAGAGGCCATTACATACATAAGTACATTGGCAGATTCGCATAATGGCCGGCCTAGGCTCGAGATGCGGCGCACACTTCCATCCTCTTGCCAAGCTGCTTGCTTTGCGGAGCCAACATGAAGGATCCATGCGGCGCAGTTCACGGACACATAAATGTTGTATCGGATACATAAAACTAGTTTTTTTAATTTTTTTTTTTATTAATTACAAAAACATCTACCACACGGATGGTAATGTGAAGCATATCGAGCAGGGGACGTGCCACTGTGAGATTCAAGGCTACTCATGGCGTGAACCGAGGGGGCATAGTTGCAGCATGATGAGCTTCGTGATGGAAGGCTGGACATTATTACAGGATGCTGAAAGGAATCAGTTTACCTGTAGGGTACAAGTTTATAGAACGTAAAGAGTTGCTAGCTACGGTATTACAGAAATCTGAACCCAAGTCGGTGCGATCAAGTCAGAGAGTTGAGGTTTGATAAGTCAAGATTTGAGCCATGCGCCGTGTCTCTCAGTATCGTCTGCTTTCGTTTGAGGGTTGTGTAAGGCCATTAAATTGGTGAAGCTCAACGTATCCCAAGGCTTGCTGCGTGGCGATGATTCAAGTAACTGTGTTATGTGCGACTGATGTGGCTCAAATCGAGTTTGTGCTACCCCTGTCCATAGGATAAGGCGCTAAGCCCTGCAAGCATTGATCCGAACCCTGATGAGATGAAACCATTGCAATCTCCAGAGAATCCCAGTTTTGTCGTCGAAGCTCCCGAGAACAGGCTGCGAGAAATACTAACGTTGGCTTGAGCATCACTGCGGAGATCCTCACCACGAAGAAGACACCTTGTGCCCGGACTAAAGATGGTCGCATGCATGTGGATCGTCAGCTGGCTAGCCACTTTGGTAGTCTGCGCCAACGCCTGGGGACTGGTGTCCCCCATTGAACTAGAGAGCAAGTTCAAGGAGTCAAGCCTAGTTGCTGTAGCTTGTGAGTATTGCGGATCAAAGGCCGACTAAGCTCGGACATCAAACTAACAGCTTGCAGTCATCGCTGTGAGTGGCCCTTCACCCTTAAAGCAGAATGAGTATCCTGACCAAGGAGGGTAATATCAGCCATCGGAGTAAGTCCAGGTCAGGAAGTAATCTGGCCCAGCGTGGCGCTGACCGTCTGCAGAGCAAAATCACAGTCGTTAGAGACACAGTGGGAGGGAGCTGCATCTGAAGCAAACATCCCTCTGCTTAGCATCGACTGTGTTGCTAATGCCGATGCCTGCAAACCCCATACAGACTCGGCATATCCTACCGTGAAGCTGTTCAATAATGGCGAGGCTACATCGAAATTCCAGGGACCCAGAAGGGCTACAGCGTAAGCTGAGGGAGATAGCTGCTCGTGTCAAATACCTAACCGCTACACAGTATTCTAGCTTGGCTTGAAAGGACGCAACGACCTGTCCTTTCTGATGTCGACATCACGTCCCTCACTGCGTTCAGATCAGCAGATGAGACGGTATTTATAGCCTATATCGACCCGGAGGATGTAGAGTCTCGAGCTGTGTTCCAGGATGTGGCAGAAGCATTTTCTGCCGAATTCACCTTTGGCATCAGCACCGACGCAGAAAGTCGCGCATCAGAGGAACTACAAGCCCCGGCTATCAAGTGCTACAAACCTATTGACGGCGATACTAAAGTTTTCAAAGGGAAGCTTGATCAACAATCATTGGAGTCTTTTGTTAAAGAGGCATCGGTATGGAACCCCTTCCCCTTCCCCAAGCATTGCTGAAAGGCTGACTTATACAAAACAGCGTCCTATTATCGGCGAGTTGCTTCCCCATACCCACCAGCGTTTCCTAGACGTAAGTTGGCCAGTGCCCCCAAAGAATTCCGAGGTCTATAACTCATGCAACTACGCCCTATATAGCGCGAGTGGCCTATGGTGTATGTATTCGCCGAAACAGAGGCCGAGCGCACAGAGCTGCGGCAGTCGCTGAAGAAGCTGGCTCGCAGCCAATACAAATCACTGACCATGGTCACGGTCGACCCATTGGAGTTTCCGGAACTACCAGCCAAGCTTGGTCTTGAGGCAGGCGTCTTCCCATCTGGTGCAGTCCACCAGCTATCGACAAACAGGATCTATCCTTATCCTAAAGGCCAACCCATCAACTCCCGCGCTTTGCAGCAATGGGGATTGGACGTTTGGCAAGGACGAATCGACCCTTGGACGCCTGCTGGCGCTACTCCAGTGCCAAGGGCTGACACACCCGGTCGAATCAAGGCCACACGCAAAGTTTCCATGAGGAGCTTTCCAGGCATGAAGATTAATATTGGTCGCGATGAGCTGTGATGCCTTGACATCTCATTAATTGGAGATTTTTAATGTGGAATACATGGCCATACACCGTCGATAGTTTTGTATTTTCAGGTTAATCGGCAGTTTTCTCGACAATTTCTTGCAGTGCCTGCGTGTGTGCTTGTTCGGTCTTGTATAAGCCAGTGTGCATGAAGTCTACGGTGGCCCCCAAACCGCATTGCATCTTTCAACAAAAACGGTGCTTATTTTCTAGCTGAATTTGATATTATTTAATATAGTTATTCTCATCTTGAAAAGGAAATAGCAAGAAATCATGTGGTATCTGTCTATATGTGGATCTGTAACCCTGATCCGTGCCCCAAATACTGCCGAACGCCACTTGATGCAATGCCACCCACCACCCAAACCCAGTCGCTATGCATTTTAAATGCTTTTCGAAACCGAAACAAATAGTATAGCTCGGCCACTCTTTGAGTCACCCCCCTTTTCCTTTACTTCTCTTGGCTCTTGATTGGAGTGTCGATCACGCCTGCTTGACTTACAACCGTGCTGGTGTCAGACATCACGCCTCTTGTTGTCTCGTGGGGAAATTGCTTTTCTTCAACGTCTACCAGTTCAGCAACAGTCGGTTCGTCGTCGGCGGTGCTGCCACGCATCTTTGCCAGGACCTCGGCAGCCTCAGCAGCGAACTTGCACTTGAGTCGGATGGCCTCTCCATAACGGTAGAACAAGAACGGGAACGGAAGACAGGCCAATGCCAAGAAAGCTGGAACCGAGCTGGCCCAGTGTATTCCCAGGTTCTTGTACATGTCTGAAATGAAATTAGCGCTAGTATTGGAGTGGACTTGGGAATCTGCCTACTTGTCGTAAAGAGTGGGAAGGCTGCACCAAAGAGGGATCGGAGAACCGAGTTGGCCGCCAGCACTGACGCAGCGTAGATCACGTCTGGGGAAGCGTTAGTGAAAGTCCAACCACATAGCCAATCGACTGGCACTTACAGCTGTCAATCAGATAATTCAACAAGCTCAGAAATACAAGAACAAGACCAGCTCCAAAGAACCCGGACGCGATGATAGGAACAATCCAGTGGACGTTCGTGCCTATAATTTCACCACCGTTAGTTGAATACAAGGCTACGCGACTTGATGGGAACTGACCGTTGGTCCATGCAAACCAGAACAAGCCGATAGGTAGCAACACGGCCCCAATCATGGCGCCGGGAAGACGGGCCTCAGCAGGTGCGAGGCCGCCGTGGGCAGCAGCGATCCTTGCGTATCGTTTGTTGTCATACATGCTGTAGCCGACAGAGATCATCATACCAACAGCAACTCCTAGGAAGGCTAGACCTCCGATGCCGGGAGACCACCCGCGCAGCTGCTGGAAGACAATCGGGAAGGCTGCGAAGAGCATATACAATGTACCTGTGTATGAAGCATCAGTAATCAATGCATCAACACTACGATTCGGGGAACACTTGTTCCGTAGAGACCAAGCTCTGCGTCGGAGAATAGTGGTAACCCAAAAGGGGTTGGAAGCTTCAGGCGACATACCATAGACTATAGCAATGTACAGCGAGACCATCAACACAATGGGCTCTCGGAACAATAGAATCCAAGGTCGTGTTAGGGCGACTCTGAATTCTTGGCCAACGGTCTTTCGGGGTCTTCCAACGTCGAGCTTCGACATGTAGGAGTGACCTGTCAACTTCGAAAGCTTCTCCGCGCGCCGGCGTAGAATTACTGGCGCATACGTCTCGGGGACGAACAGTGAGCAGATAATCCACAAAAGACCTGTGAAACAGGCCATGAGGCCTTCAACCCATCTCCAAGAGACCTCGCCCAGAAATCCACCAGCGATTGGGCCAATACTCGGGCCAAGGAAGGGTGCTGTGGCAAAGACGGCGGTGGCCATTCCTCGCTCGGAGGCCGAAAACATATCAGCAATGACACCACCGGCGTTGGTGAGGGGAGATGAGCCAAATGTCCCGGCAAAGAAGCGAAGTACGATCAAGGTTTGGATATTCGGGGCAGCAGCAGCTCCGGCATTGAACGCCGTCAGTGCCAGGTACGTTCCGAAGAACAGAATCTGTCTACCAAACAGTTCTGATAGAGGAGCCCACAGGAGGGGTCTAGTTGCTAAGTGTTAGTGAAATGAACCAAACGAAATCCTAGAGGTACGGCATTTCCTTACCCAAGCGCGAATCCGGTAACGAAAAGAGAGATTCCCAAGATGGCAATAATCTGAGCCACTTGAAACTCCCTAATCACCTCGATGATTCCTCCCGAGAACGCTGTCGACACAAAAGCCACCGCCAGGACAGCCCAAGCCTGCATGATAGTAATCGTCCACTTCTTCCATTGCGGGAATGCCATGGGATTCTTGGGGTCGTTCTCGAGGAAATCCACCACGAAGGGATCTTCTTCTGTTCCCTGGCCCTTGTATCTCCATGCCAAAACCTCCGGAGTAACGCCACCTTGGTCCAGCAACAGCTTGAAATGCGAGGTAAGTGTCCGGGACTTTTGTGACTCAAGGTCTCGCCCCGGCTCGGTGGCCGTGACGGACGAAGACGACGAAACCGGCTGCGACGACATCGTTCGCGATAGCTAACCCGAGATAAGATAGCCGATCAAGATCTCAGAGCAAACTAGAACGGTGATCACGAGCGGGTAAGTGAGAGACACGGCAAGATCATCGGTCAGGGCAGGAATGCCCCTGGGGCCCCAGCAGATATATTCCTCGGCACGGAGTTCCTGCAGTGCTCCATTGCGGTGTTACCGTTGTCTTACCGCACAGAAACCAGGCCGAGTTCCATAAGCTGAGCCCCATAATTGGTGGGCCGTATTCCATGATGGCAATGTGCGATTCTTTAGAGATTAGAAATTCGTTGGCCTCACGCCGAGTGATATTTGCGGCTAGGTCCGAATGAGTATACACCTCCGCCAATTCCGGCACAGACCGTAGCACCAAACACCCACACCCTTGTGGTTTCGGCTGACTCTTTGGGCGAACCCACTGTGTCGAACGGCCTTTCGGGCCAACTCAACTTTGGAATCTAAAGAACGACCTTCTAAGCTCCACGCTAGAATCTACCAAGACCCGGCCCGCTGCAGCCTCGCCAAAGGTAATGCCTGTCGCACACTCGTCGATCTTCCGAAGCGACATTTGAAGAAGACGAGATTCACCAATGGCATCAACATGATCAAAGTCATGCTCTCTGTTCAAATACCTACAAAGAAGGACAACTCATCCAGTGCCTCTTGGATGTCGCATGTCGGCATGGGCCCTATCCTGTGCCCATATCGTATCAGGCATCCTTGTCGGGAATGTGCCATGGAATTAAGTGACACGCGGAAGTGGATCCGCGACAAGGAACTTATCAGCCGCCTCCTGGATCGCGCTTGCGATTTTTCCTGGAACAAGAGCGAAAAAATAAAAATGTATCCATAATTGCTGACGATGCCGAGGTCCTCGGGGGACTGTCTACCATTCTGGCCCAGCAACATCCCTTTTAAGTATGCGAGGAATCGACTGCCTGACGGCTGGGATTATCGAAAGTGGTTGAAGACAAAGCTTTCAGGGCCATCTTCGGGTTCGTTCCAGGTGCAGATTATTATCGATCCTGCTACAGATGGCGACCGGCACGCCACTGTCACCGAAAAGGCCGTCGGCGAGTTGTCAACAAAAACTACAAGACGGCGCGGCCATAATGGTGGAGCCATCCGCCGGAAAGGCCGTCTGTCCACTTTCAACACGGGGGTTTATGCGGTCGTCTCCATTGAGAACTTGAGATTGGTCATTGTTGTGCATCATCGTCATGGCCAACGATCAGTATTGGCGGTCTGCACGTTGGCCATTCTCCTTCGTACCCCTGCGCAAGGAAGCGGTAAATTTAAGCTTAACCACCTTTGCCGCCGTAATAGTGATCTGCGACACTCGATAGACATTCTCGTAGACTGGTGCAGACCGGATTCGTGGGGTAAGGTTATCATCTGGAACATCTTTGAATCCAAGGCCGCACCTGGCGTCTAAAGGCATCAGATAACCCATTACGGCATGTGGATTCTGGGTTCGTAATTATAGCAATGATATGCACATGGGTGTACAGTTCCGAATGCCGGTATGCTTGCTCTGCCCGTTTCGACTCTTCCCTCCTGACGGCTCGGGGCCAGGCTCATGTGATATTAGTGGATAGACTCCAACAACAGGCTGGCTGCCCGCCCGAATTCGAGTACCAGGCTAATCAGCAAAACCATCCCATTCCTCCGAGTCGCTCTCACTTCCGTCTCCGTCGGCTACAGAGTTGTCACAAGTGGCTGTTGAGCGTTGTGAGGTCTCGTTCGCCTTCGATTGCGGCATCCCCAGTACATCCCTGACAATACAACCTTGTTCGTCACGCAGATATGGCCCCTCGTCGTCAACCATACCTTCAGGCGTCTCACGAACAAATGCTGCGACAAAGAAGCCCATAACGCCCATACCATCATTGTTATAGGAGCGTATGCAGGCATCTGCAATGGTTCGATCGCCATCAGCACCATCGATTGTTCCTCGAACAGGCCACTCCTTCATCCCCCGAACTTGACGGTCTCGTGTTAGTATTCGCCAACCGCGAGCTCTCGCCACATTGGAGTGTAGCGCCTTCATGACGACTTGCTCATTCTCCTGGGAATGAATCGAGCAAGTAGAGTATGTAATTCTCTTCGCCGCTGGAAATTTGAATGCATGCTCCAGCAACATTAGCTGGAATGACGATAGGGTGTCTAGACGTGCTTGTAGCTCCTGCTCAGAAGACACGACAGTCTGTTGACCATCGTCGTCAATCAACACCCGTGCCTCTGGCTCCGCAGTGTCGTCTGGCGCCCGTTTCCGCTTACGGTCCTCTTTGTTCTTAGGTCTCGGGGCAACAGAATCCTTTGCTTCCGGCAAGTGAATAATGGGCAACACCTCGCGGCCAACAATTCCGCTTCCGGAACAACTTGGGTCAAGAAGGAGGCATCCGACATTCTTGTAGAGCTTGTGTTGGGGATCAACCTTTAAAAAGTCCTGTCTGGGTGTAACGTGGATGATTTTGTTCCCGCCAGCCAGCTTCACCATGCTTTCTAGAGTTTTGGCACGGTGTGGGTTGCGCTCGAAAGCGAACACTTTCGGCGGCCTGCCGTCTGTCTCAGGTGTGTGAGAAGAGATTATCGAGGCGAGGTGTGTTGTCTTGTTTCCTGGCGCCGCACATGAGTCAATGATGTCTCCGTCCTCGACGTGGGGGTCAAGAAGGTATGCGGGAAAGCAGGATGCCTTGTCCTGGAGTATAATGGCACCTGTCTTATAGGCGTTTGTTTTGATGATCTGGAAGCTTGGCGTGATGGCGATAAGATTCGGGACGTGCTCATCGATGTATAATGAGTTTTTACTCGTTAAAGTAACGTCTCCAATTGCATAAACTCTTTCGAAGGCTTTGAAAGTACTTTCCAGCTGCTCCTCGAGCGATGATAGGAGAGCATTGACCCGTACCCAGCGAGGATGCTGGGGGGTTGACTTTGCTGATTCTGCCTCGACCTGTTGGCGCAGGGCATCTATGGATGCCGCTTTCCTCTTGATTCTGGCTCTAGTCAACTCTGACGCCAGGCGGGCCTTGTGACGCTCAATGGATGCTCTCAGCCCGTGCGAAGCAGGGAGAGCGATGCCGCCTTTCGAGAGGAGCAAGTCGTGCACCAGCAAAAGGGCCAGGACAGGAGTGAGCTGGGTAGTTTTAGCGAGCTGAAGAGCGAATAAACAGGATCGCAACAGTCTCACCTTGCGCTCGAGACGGAGAATGTCTGCGTTCTCAATGACCTCCTTCAGAACAGAGCTCCACTTGCACGTTTCTGCAGCTAGGGCGTAGATCTGCTGAGGTGCGGTTTTGTGATCCTTCTTCCCAAAGACACGACTCTTCAGGCTGCCGCCCGTAGAGGCCGGCAGGGATAGTACCTCGGCTGTCTCATAGTATAAAGACATGATGAAATCCTGTCATTGATCTATGGTGTCATGGCACGCTGAAGGTCGTTGCAAGGGCCAATTCCAGAACACCTGGAAATTGTAGGTCGAAGCTTTTCAGCCAACCACAAGGAAAAATAACCAGACCCACCCGAAGATGTCCCGTTTCTGTCCAATTGGAAACGCCCGTGAACAGCCCTCCAAAAAAACTGCATTTCCTCTCTGGCTTCTTTTTTTTTTTTTTTTTTTCTCTCCTGGGACAAGCAAGGTAACTGCAAGAATAGAGCCGGCGCTGGTTCACAAGTGGTCTGAAAGAAACCCGGGCGCGAGCTCTCACTGAAGCCTCAACCAGTCATCACATCACAGCCAATCAACCGACTTTGGCGCGCGCATGCATCGAGCGCCATCGCAACCCGGCCCCTGGCATCATGCTTCCGGCTCACCAGCAAAGAACGTGAAAAATCCGAGTATGAGAATGAGTTGATCCTCAAGAGAATTCGGTTGGAAATCAAGTCCAAACGGCTGCATGCGCCCAAGAATGTGATGCCCAGTACTAGCTGTCCCTGATAGAGACCGTAGGGCCTCCCAGAGCCGCGGCTTGCTCTGTTGCTACTACGAGAATGTGCTGCACCAGAGCCTTCTGCCTTTCGTCAGTTGCCTCTTGCCGTGTCCCTTGATCCCATTCTAAATGACCATCCGATATGTCCGTTGATGTGACACAAGCGTTGACGGTAAAGGTTTGTCATGATCTATACATTTGAATACCGGTATATGAAGCTCGGCCTCTCAAGTGGTGGCTGAGTGTCTGCTAGGTAGCTGATCTAAAGAGAGCCTACAAGTTGTAGGCAGGCAAACCCTACATGCTGCTGCATTGTGTTATGCCCCTCGAATCGAAGAAAATAATGGAGACAGCAGAATCGAAGTGGCAGTGCAAAACTCAACACGGCGATGGCTATTTCGTAGCGTCGTGACATATCCAATATACAGACCCCGAGCCGATGCCAAATCCAGCCCCCTTTTCTATCACCCTGTTCCCTGCGCCTCTCCCTAGAGTATGTATACAAGAATTGAAGTTGGTTGTTTCATGATCTTCCCAAGTGACCAGATCGGCGGTGACGAGCCAGGTGTCCATGGTTCTGTCTCTTGACGTGCGCGCTTGCCTCGGCGTAAACAGTTTGAGTCTGGGTCACGGTGACGATGTCCCAGACGGTAGAAACCGCAGGGCCATTAGCAGCGGCCGGAATCGACGGTTGATCGGCTGCCACCACCGTTCCAGTGGTGGCGTAGTTACCAACGGCCTCGGGCAGTTCAGACGTGGAGGGAGCCTTGCCCTTCTGGCCGCCAAGACCAACACTGTGCCCTACGGAGACTTCTGCAGGGCTGCTCGTTTGGGCATCAGAAATGGCTGTATTGGATGTTGCTTGAGAGCCTGCTGAAGTTGCTTTGGCGGTTGACTGCTGAACGGTACCTGACGCCGGGTACGACCCAGCATCGTCGGAGGAGCCGCTGCCGCTGGAGTCGCCATTCACGCCCCAGCCAGACACTGGGTTATTTCCAGGAAGCGCCAAGAGGGGCCCCTCAAGACTGAGGGTTTCCACAATGGGCGAGTCGATTTTACAGTTCATGTCGGTGTTCAAGCCGCCAGGGATATCTGGGCAAGTTTGCATACCAATGGAACCAACGTTACACGTATCAATAATGGTCTTAAGCGTGGTCTCATCCCATCCAGATATGAAATCGGCGTGAGAGCTAAACCCAGTGCGGTCACCGTTGGCCAGTACGAAAGGCTGGTTCTTGCCGTCAGGTGTCCACAGATGATCGAACTTGGGCGTGTTCCAGTACAGCTCGAAGAAGATGTGAGGAACGTGGATGTGACCGGACGGGCAGTTCTGCTTGCCGTTTGTGACTGTGGGCCAAGCCATGTTATTCTTGTAATCCTCGAGCCCGACCTCGGGGTTGTAGCATGAGGGGAAATGGATATCCGCTCGGAGAGGCGCGCCGCTGGTGTCACAAGGGTAAAGAGGGAAACCAGCACCGGCACCCTGGTTATGCGGATCTTGCATGCCTGCCATGGATCCATCCGAGTCTGCGGGATAAGAAGGCGGGTTATAGCTGGTACGTGGGCAGGTGAACTGGACAGGTTGGATAGGCCCGGAATCGGGGTTCAGGTTGCTTCCACCACCGAACGCAGGAGGATCGCGGGTCTTGGCGTCACCAACTACCATCTTCAGCCCCGGAGGGAAAGACTTGATCTCGTCATCTGTTGGTTCGAAGCTGCCGTTATGATCAACACATGGTCCCCGTACACTTGATTCCGAAGGGTGCTTACAAGTAGTAGACGTTCATGTAGAACAAAGGCACTTTGGTGAAAGTCCCGTTCTTGGGGTCCTGAAAATACACCTGAGGAGCCCAGTAGTTGCTCTTGTCGTTCTTGATCTTGGCATTGGTGCAGGTCGAGGAAAGAAGTTGGTCGCCGACGACAGTGGTCCCAAAGGCATTTCCACCCATGATTCCGTGGAAGTGAGAAGCAGCCGTTCCGGGATTGATAATGGGATCTACCCTGCCTTCGGTCATGAACCCGTCACCATCGAATCGAAGGACTGCGAATGTACGTTCATTTTGGGCAGCGGCTGCCAAAGTGGCAATAGAAGCCAACACAGTCGTTGTTGGGGCTCTCATTGTGGATGTTGGGATGTTGGTTCAAGTATGGGTTACAGATATCTCTAGACTCTCAAGTGTCTATTGTTTCGAATCGAAAATGGTTTATGGTGATACCGGAGCACCAGGAGGGAAAGTATTTAGCTCAGCTCAGCTATGACTCGAGGTCGAAATCGTTGGTGATTTGGGTTGACAATGTGTGCACGTGTGGCCTGTCAACAGGAGAATGAAAGGACAAACAAAGACTGTTTGGCAAATGAATGGGAAGTCGGACTCAGCCGGTGAAAATGAAAGTGGTGAAGACAAGGAACGACGAGCGAAGCACAACCTCGGGCCTGATGGGGTCAATACATAAGTAGGAAGACTCGGTGTTGAAGGCCAAGGGTGGGACCGAAAGTTAATATAGCCCCGTCGACTAGCCCTGCCCAAGTCTTCCCAACTCAGCTTTATACAGTGGGGGGCGAGGCGCTGGCAAGGGACCAAAAAGGAAAACCCCCTAGTTACATTGGTAAGTACGAAGTACCTGGCACGTAAACATGGTGTGCACCCCAAGGGTACCAGTCGACAAGGACGGATTAGTTAGAGGGAGTTATGCAAGATAATGGAGTGGTCCAGTGTCGCCAGGGAGAGTATCTGACTGTCTGTCATTCGAGAGCAATTGTCCATGAGTCCCAAAGCGGTGGATGAGAATCCCCAGTATCTTCCATCAGCAAAACTAAATAAAGCAAAGGCGGGTGCGTCGGTGCTTCCATGGACAGGCTCATGCAGATAATAGACTGAAAAATCTTATCTTGGCTGCGTTGTCTGTATGCAGCATGTACTATGAATGGCGAAAGAAGGCTGCAAGCTCACAGGGGCTGGCTATATTGGGCTAGTTCTAGTCAGCAATCCAGGCACAGTTTGCCAGACCATCCAATCGGGCCAAACGCTGGTCCACCCCTCGAGGCAGCGCCAAGTCTCCGGCGGTTGTGTTGCATGTGGTTTTCACGGAAGGGCCACGACGGATTTGCCAGCGGCCAAACGCTAAAGAAAAGATTGTGGCGTTTCCTGAGACGTTGGACGAGATGCCAGGACCTTGGCTGCTTGGGTGTCTTGGTCTTGGAAGACGCCCGAAGCGCCCAACCGTTCTGCAACCCTCCTCAGCTTGAACCCAGCGGCTCTCCCACGTCGCGATTTATGAGCGAGCACGCAGAGCTCACGCAGAGCTCGTTCGCCCGCGCCGGTGTACCCCGGCGGCTGAGTTGCGAATAATCCATTTGCAGTCTGGCTGGATGGACTGGACAGGGTAACTAGCTAGGTTGGTGAGCTTTGCTCTTTCTACTCACGGCGGATAGCGTCTGCGGGCTTGTGCCGAGTTTGAATACTTTGAAGTCGGATATCGACTGTCGGATGACGAAGCCTAAAGGTCAATCATCCGCAAACGTGATCCCAATACGCGGTTCGTCCCATCTCTGCATGCCGGAAGGCGATCATATTCTGGCGATCATCGGCGTAGGTGGTAGGGAGCACCATGTACTGAAATGTCGTCCCTAATCCTGGCCAGAAAACGGGGGAAACATTCTGTCTCTTTTTCGGCCAAGCTGCCGACCCAGGGAGGCTTGCAGTTGAAACGCGCTAAAGGGACCGCCAGCCAGGATCAATTGGACGGCATCGGCGCTACTAGATGACTTACCAGGTCGAATGGTGTCCGCCTTTCCCAGGCGAACTGTGGTAGGGCGGGAGGGCGCCCCCGGCCCCATCACCCATCCATTACTCCCGAATCTACGCTAGCCCGGGGTTGGCTGACTTGAGAATCCCCCCAATGCATTTGCAGCATGACTTGCTCCATGGCACCGTCGTGCATCCAAAGTCTAGCATCCAAAGTCTAGACTTCTGTCTAATGAGACTAGTATTGCGATCGTAGCAGCGGACGTTATTCCCTGAACCTCAACTTACCAGGGTTGGGTCCTATTAGGGTTTGTTGAAGTATGCAGCTGCCGAGTAACTTACCTGTTGGAAGGAGCCTGCCATCGTCCGGGGTCCTATGAGCTCGTCCATTTTGCGACGCTGCCTCCAACAGCACTGCGTGAAGAAAAATATCATCATCCCCAAGCAAATGCGCGCTGGCTACTCGCCTAGATGTTCATCCAGGTGGGTACAGGAACCTATCGATCTGGACAAGATTATGTGGTGGCTTCACAAGAATCCTTCGCCGCCTGTGGACGAAGCGAGATATCCACGGATTGTCGCCCCTTGTAGGTAGAATCCTGCCAGCCCGGTAGCCTGATTTTTTCTACGGATCATGGAGCAGCAGGGCCCGCTGGCGACTAACATGATTTGGCTTCTCTGTATGAAATGAGCTCAACCCTGCCTCAGATCGTAAAATTGGGACGTAACGGGGGCTCTGTTGCACCACTGCTGATATAACAATTCAGACTAATTATGCAGCAAGTTTTGCTCGGGCCTGTCCTAGCTTTATTCCATGATTCCGGTCTTTGTCCAGAACTGACACAACCCATTTCTAACTTGCACAAATGTGTGTAAGCATGTAAGTGGCGGTTACTCTGTCTTTGCCCGCTGAGGAGTTGCCTCCCCTCCTCTGCGCTACCCATCCGTGAGGTTCTGCGAATCTCTAAAACGCACTATGCCATGGAAAGAGCTTCCGGCGCCTACAACTACGCGGAAAATATTTGTCTAGAGCTGCACCCGCTAGCATTGCATGCAGCTATAGCGCCAGGGGTCTATCTGCTGCAGACCATATGTCTTCCCGCCACCAATACATTGGCACAGGCGATGTCAGTTTAGATCTGCCATAGCATTGGGTGGATAGTACGCACAAATGCTAATCTCACCACGGGTGGAGGTGAGGGGGAAAGTCGGCGAGAAAGAAGCGTTGATCATGACTGCGGATACAGTGAGACTGCACCCCTGACGGCTTACTCCGAGGTCCGTTCTGTTGCTGATATGACCGTTGGTACTCATTGGCCGTTCCGGTGTTTCTTGTGCGAATCAACAAGCCCATCTCAGTACCACTGGCACTCACACTTGCAGACGCTGTCTCTCATCATATTGCAGTGTACATACCTAGCTGCCTAAAGACTTATCTATTTCAGTCGGACGTCAGACCAACATCATCCGGCCAGCAGGTGCCTACCTCCAAATTACCATCTGCTGTCTCTTCAAAAGAAAGAACAACGGAAGCGCCCAACTGTAGTGGATTGTTCTCCCACAAGACCATATCCTTATTTGGCTTCAATCCCAGTATATCCTCGACGTTCTTGGAAACTAACCGGACGGCATCATGTTCACTGAGCCCTGCGTACTTGGCCGTCCACGCAGCCTCTATGGCCAAGGCATGTATGCGTGAATCTGACACTGGAACTATTTCATTGGGTCGCTGCGTCAGTACTCTGGGGAATTAACGAGGGAAAAAGATCTGTCTTACCGTCGGCCGCAACCGAAATAGCATAGCGCACTCCTGCTTCGCTTAGGATGCTTGCAGGGCTTCGTGTCAAGGGCGGGCCTATCAGGCTGTCCTTCGTCTCCCAGGCGCCGGGCCCGGGACGGGTAGCAGATAGAATCACGGAAATGTTCGCTGCTGCGAGTTCTTTGGCAACCTAAAATCTACGTTAGTGGCTGCTCGTCTACGATCCTGCTGAGAAAGAGCCTGAAATATGAGAGAGTGAACAGCTTACCGAAGGCACGCCATGCCCACCGTAGATGACAATGTTGACTCCTGGGAAGTCCCTCTTAATGGATACGACTTGCTGAGTATACGCCTAGGACATGATCTGTCAGAGAAGATGACGTGAACACAGTATCGTGGTTGACATACCGCCCTTTCCACTTGTATGATCAGAGGAAGCTTTCCATCCGCCACAAGGCCATATGCGCTTTCGTTTCCTTTGCCTGTATTCTCGGCTAGGATCTCCCGCAGGGTCTTGACCGCCATGCTCACACTTCCGGTACCTTTATTAGCCTCGCCGATGGACACATGCAAACCTACGTCACCCTGAAAGATGCCGCCGTCAAGGATAGTTTTAGTGCCGCTGGTCTTGATGCCGACAGAGACGCCCCGGAGAAAGCCTGCAGGCTCGTCTTCGACAGTCGAAAGATCCGGCGCAGTTACGGCTCTGGTAACACCGCCGAGCCGTGCTCTAGAGAATGCCTTGCCATCCAGGAATACCCCGTACTTTGCGTAGTCCACGTAACTCGGGTTCTTGACGTCCTTCACATCCGCGGCCCCATTCCCCGTAGCTGGCTCCATGTATATCTCCTTGATGCCAAGAGTGTCAGTTACTGCCGTGAGACCCGGCAGGACATGGCCATTCTGCAACGCGATGTTGATTGCATTGTTTCCCACTGCAGTTACTTCCCTGTGACATGCTTCTGCCATTCCTAGACAGGATATCTCACCCCTCTCCACGACGAGCGTCAGATTATCGTTTCCAGACACCGATACAGAAGCCGCCACGTCAGAGTAGTGATCTAGGAACGATTTCCTTATGCCCGAGATCACGAAACTCTGGCTCTTGCGTTTTGCGAGGGCACAAAATTCTCCTGACTCTTTCTGTGACTTTCTGAGTCGCATGATGGGCTCGGGACTATCGGGTCTTTCAGATGATGTCTCCATAGAGTAGCCAGTAGACTCATAGACAATCTTTGAATCGAGAGTCGGAACACCATCGATGAAGACCTGTTGCGGTGTCGCACCTACGGAGAGAGGATGAGAGTCCCACTTCAATATCATGTCAGTTGCGGTTCTTCGTCGAATAAAACTACCACATTGAATAATAATAATGATAATAAAGAAGAGGGGAGGTCGGGGTCTCATCAACCTCAAGAAGAGATCACCACTTACAACAACTATGTCGGCATCATAGCCCTTGCGTACGTAACCGATCCGGCAGTCCAAATCAAGAGCTTTCGCCGGGATCGAAGTGACGGACTGAAGAGCCTTGTTGGCTGGTAAATGGAAAGCATGTCCCGTTGCAGCTTGCGACCTGTGAAGGTTAGCGTTGGGAGAACCCAGATAGACACGCCGTATACACACATCACATATTTAGCATCCGTAGACTCGCCGGCGTGGTCCTATCGTAAATTAGCAAGGTGGCATAAAGGATGATTTCTCTCTTTCCCATGGCACTTACAGATTTATATGCGACCGGCAGCCCGTGGGCATCTAGGATCGCTCCCGCATAAAGACTCGGGTTGTATGCCTCGTGTTTATAGAGAGCATCCTCGGCGAAGGTGGCAATTGTGACATTGCTGAGACCGGTCAGCACTCACCCGCGATGATAAATGAGCATCTCAGACTTACTCCCCATATGCCTTCAGCATCTCGGGCACCTGCCATGCCTCGATTGCATGGTGGAACGCGCGGACGCGAACACCGAACTCGTGCATGACACCCAGCATCGTTTCGAAATCCTGTGGTTCGTAGCAGTGGTTGTGCATCAGCACCTGCCCGCGTATCAACGCTATCGTGGACTCGAGCTCGAGCTGCTCCGGATAGCCACCCTTGTCGTCCACGAAACGGGCCCGCTCAGCGGTGTTGTGGAGCCCAGAGGCAGTATAGCACCAGGCCTCTTGCTTGTCCATCAACTCTCGGGCGCGTGTGAGGTGACGACGGAGGATGTAAGCCAACGCCATCCGCGTGTGGCTGTAGACGCGCTTGGGATTCTCACCGCAAGCAAACTTCATGTACCGGTGCCGGTCGGAGCGTGCAATACCATGTTCGAGGAGCATCTCTTCTACTACATACTCCCCGAGCTCACCAGGTTTCATGAGGTTCTTCACAACTGTCCCCTCTCCACCCATAGTGTTCGCAGAACCGGGAATTATCAGACTAGACGTTACGCCTCCAGAGGCGATGATTCTCGCCGCCTGATCGTATGCCTTCAGCGACTCAGTGATCCGAAGGAAGGGGGTCAATGGGCCAAAAACGGGGTCCATCTCTGATGACATATCAGCTCTGATGGCTTAACAAGATTGTGGGCAACCCACCGTTCCCATCTGTTCCAGTCGCTAACAATGCCGGCCAGGATTCAACCAGATGGTGCGAATGCATGTCAACGATCCCCGGGGTCACAAACCTCCCTTTCAAATCATATTCAATCCCCGAGTCCAATATCGACTCCGCGGCGGACGACGGCGAGACGGACTGGACCTGCCCCTTGGAGAACACTATGTCCACTGGAGTCGACAGGAAGGACTCTCCATCAAACAGAGTGGCATTGCGCAGAGCAATGGTCTCGTTCTGCCCGCGCACCGAGTTCCACCGGGGATTCCCCTCGCGTGTCTCGGGCGACACCTGCGGCGGGAGATGATTGCGCGCCGCGCATAGTCTCAGGGAATCGTCAAACCTCTGCAGCAAGAGCGCGGCGGACGCGTCTTCGGCGGAGTACTGCAGCGATACCTGCCTCTCGAGCACCAGGCAGAGATACAGAATCGTGGAGATGAGAATCAACGCGATGAAGCGCGACAACGAGCACGCCCTTTTGAGCCGTCGGTTAGCCCACGGGCGCGCGTTGTGTCCATAGGCCTCTACTTCGTAGGGCGGAGGAGAGTTGCCAACAACAGGCTCGTATTTGAGCGAGTCCATATGGGCTCAGTTCAGCGTGTACTGCCCAAAGTTAGTGAGACGCCATTCCTATAGGTTTCGAGGTGCAAGTACCTTCCTCAGGTTCGGGGAAATCTTGCTGATGGGGTTTTGGATGGTTGCAACCCACTGTTGCCTACCTTTACGACTGTATCAAGTTGTCGTCTCACAATGGGTTGTAGATCGTTCAATTCCGCGATACGGAGTTCGGGTATATCAACCTCAATAAGCTAGCCTCGTGCAAGGGCGTCTGCAGTACTGAACCGCCTGTTTGGGACGCTTGCACCGACCGGAAAGGTGACGAATTCCGAGATGGCGACCCCTGTTTATTATGAGGGGTCCCAAACCTTGAGACCCTCATCTTCGCTGATAGCAGTACAGCCTCGTGGGTTATGTACAATAACTGCAACGCAAGTCTCTGGGGGCTTTCAATGAGTATCCGTTGGTCCGACGTGGTTTTTGTCGTTATACAATATTTCTGCGGATCTATAATTCGAGTTGCGTCTATTTGACAGGTGCGACTTTCGATTCGAGCAGTATTCTTATCTAAGTTCTCAGCGCACGAAATGAATTCACTTACCATATCTAGGGACTTTTGAACGGACATTGACGGTAAGAGCTGATTGACGTCGACAATACCGTGTTCAGGGAGCAGCGGCCTATTTTTTTTGTGTACATTTAAATGGGCCAGATCGATGCAACGATGTTCTGTATAGTTCGGCGCCTGTTTAAAAGGGTATATATAACTCGCATTTCTAAAGGTGCCGAAGCCTACTTCACCAGCGCCATGCTTTGCATAGATATTGTCTATCCCCCAGATGTCCGCGGTTGCCCGCGTCTTCCAGTCTTTGACTTAATATACAATTCAATATGTCATCTACCACCCCTCCGGCATACATTTGGGGCATCGGCTGTTGCGCTGGGTCTGCTAAACCTGCGATGCCTTGGCCCCTTGGGTCAACTGGCCGGTACCCATACCAATTCCCTTCCGGCGCCCCCTCACAACGGCTTCGAGTGCCTTGCCGACGGCAGCCAGATCGCCAAGCATAGTAATGTGTCCTCGATCAGTGCTCACACGGCCGCCGTTGACGACGTCGTACCCCGGAGGCAACATGGCCTCGCGGGCGAGGACGACGCCGTCTCCGCTGCGAAACAGGAGGTCATCGTACGCGTCAGTGCACGGTATGGCGTCGCGGCTCGTTACGTGGACCGCGTAGACTGTAGGGATTTCCTTGCCGTACATAATGGCCATGGGAGGATATGAATTGGACTCCGTGAGATGCGGCTGGTGTTGTAGCTCTGCGCGAAACTTCTTGGTGTCGGCAAGAGTACGCTTCAGGTAAGCCATGTACCTTTCCCTTTCGGTGAAACTTTTGGGGCTGGCCTGCTGCTGCTGGGCAGATTTAGAATCCGCCGCGAGCGTACCCATTTGAGGAGCCAAGGTACGATCGTGGTGGGCCTCTGCTCGCCGCATACCATCAACAAAACCATGTCGTGTCGGTGAACCCTGAGGTCGTTCGCTCGCCGAACTGTTCCCACGGCTCCTCAATGGTAGATTGGGCAAGCTGTTTGACAGATTGAGGAACGAACCTAGAGAACTTTGCCGAGCGTTGAAAGCTGGTAATACCGTCTCGACACATGGAGAAAGGCTGTGTTTGGCCCAGTCCTCAGCATCGTAAAAATCTATAGGATACTCCTCGCCCGTGTACTTATTGATGAAGCAGAAACCATCTTCGGGAAGGAAGACGAAGCTCGTCCGGAGCGAAAAGTTGACCTGCGCCGTAAGCACTTTTTCGTTCAACAGCACGACATCACCGTTGCGAATCGGGCCCAAGATGTTGATACACCTCTGAGGAGTGCCTGCGTAGACGACACCGGCAAACAAGTCAGGCCGCTGATTCACAGCATGGCGTGTTATGAGACCACCAAGGCTATGCGCGATGACGGTTGCCCCTTTCTCCTCTGGGGTATCCGACTGGTTCGAGGGCAGCTTTTCTAGGAACGAGACCAATTTCCGGCTCAGTAGATATGGGCTGAGCCGCCAATCCCAGCCGTAATCCCAAACACGTAGCTTTCCGTTCTTCGCGTTCTCGCATTCCCGTAACCGCTTGAACAGCCTCTTAGAGATATCGACGGGGCCGATGTTCTGAAGCATGCCGGACGGATATATTGATTCCTCCATGCGCTCCTCATCCTCAGGGTCCAGGCCTACCTCCAGGTTGACCTTGCGAATATTCAATCCAACTTTCACAGGAACCCACACTTGTCGGTTCGTCTTTGTGGAGCGCAGTATGGATCCTCGGTACCCGCCCATGATTACCACATCACCCGTCAACATTTCCAAAGTGCGGTCAAAATCTGAGACTAAGCCGTCTCGGGAAGATGAAGCAAATTGAGACGTAGTTGGCGACTGAACTGTTGATCGTGGGTCTGGCGTCTCGGAGCCCAGTAGAGAATGCCGTTTCAAGACGTCAGGCAGCTGAGGTAATTTGAAATTTGGCCGATCTATACTTTCCTTAATCGCCTTGAATCTGATGTTTGTTTGCTCTCGGACATTGCCCCATTTGTCGTCGTCCCCTAGTGAGGACATCCTCGAGAGCGAATGATACAGCATGGACTCGTCAGAAGTTGATTTCCTGATTAGCCGGGGTCTGCTGGTTGCCATCGTACCGGGCCGGGAGGATGCACTAGGCGCTGCAAGCAGATTCGTGCTTGCGCCATCATCGCCGCTTTGAGTGGTTTGCCCAGGAAGAGGCGGAGCAAAGCGCGACTCGGAGGTGCCATCGAGGGAGGACTGTTTCAACTCCTGATTCGGGCTCTTCTGCGACGTATTCCCTGAGAAGAAGGAAGGAGACGTAAGGCTTGACAGGAAGTTGGTCGGGAGCGTTATGTTGGGCAATGCGTCCTTCAACCTCCTGAAAGCCTCAGCGCCGCCCGAAGAAGACCTTCGATGCCTGGTCGAACCAAACACGCTTGACAACGCCGGCCTCGACCCTGATCCGGACTCATTCTGGATCACAAGCTCCCTTGGTCCTGACTGCCAGGGCGATGGGAACCTCGGACTCAAAGGTTGGCTCGGCGGTAGTTGCCCCAAAGAAAACCCTCGATTTTGACGGTTTGGAGCTTTCACCAGCTTGCGTGGTCCCGGCGCATCTTCCTCTTTTCTGACTGATGCGAAATCCGACGTGGCGGTACCCTCAATAACGCTGAACAGATCACTACTGGGTATCCTATCCATTGCCGCCGCTTTCTCAGCTGCCGGTGTCCTTGGTGAGGTAAGTCTGGTAGCTTGCGGACTTAAGGCGGGCTGGACGATGGACTGGGCATCATCCGCGTCAGCAAAGAGCGATTCCTCGTCCCCTGCACTGTCCGAGGTCTCCCCAGGCGACACGACCAAGCCTTCCGGTTTCTGTTGGGAAGAAGACAACATGCCGCCATTCTCCTGCGGCTGAGGCAGAGAGGCGTTGGCCATCTCTGCTCCTTGCACCGGCTGACAGATCCTTTGTTGTACAGGTCTTCGTGTCACCACCGATTATGTCCTCAGCGTGTGGACGATGTGGCACGTATTTATGTCAGCGGGTACAGGACTTAAAACGTAACAGGCCATCCGTGCCTCGTGGTGTAGTACAACAGCTCACAACTCGACTTTTGGTTGCGCCGAGAGGGCAGAGACGGGCCGGATGCGCCGGTATTGCGGGAACTCGACTCGGTTAGAAGACCCCGTCGAGTGGGTATGCCCAAGGGTTGTGGGATTTGACTATGAGCTTCCTGGACGGGCTACTGACAACTGACGGAGAGTTAAGGTGCAACAGGAAATAACGCAAAGTATCGGGCAATTGGAGCTGTTCGTGCTGGCTGTTCCAGAAAGAGATGCCAGGGCGTTCAAGTAAACAAGTATGTATCCCGGCCGGGCATGCCAAGTCCAGGGTCCCTGCCGAAAAGTCTGTTGATTGCTGACGCCGCGGCGGTGCCACGATGGATTGGAACGGCGCGCCCCCGTTTTGGCCCAAAGCCCACTAGGGACCCCACGGCTGCCGGATCACTGCCTCACTTGAGTCTTTGGCTGACAAGGCAGACGGATTGCTCGCCTGCCAGGGGGTCTTTCTTCAACCACGGACCAGTCCAAGGCATTGGATGCTTCTCAGGGTAATGGACGATCCTCGTGGCTGTTCATTTCGACGGTGACGACGGCGGCAAGGAGGCACGTGCGGCGCGTCAAGCCTAAACTTTCGGACTGGTATTTTTTGACGTCATGGTGCTCTGCAAGCGTAGACTGTCATCATTCATGGCAGATGGTTATGGCGGGCAGTTTTAGGCCCGGGGAATGGTCTTGTCCGAGATCCGTTGATTTATCACTACTATAACTTCATCCTGCTAGCGAGGGAGGGAGGACTCCATGCTGGGCCACCTCCCCCCCCTATTGTGAATTGTACGAAATTGTGCGGGAAACATGCTGTCTGGCTCTACTCGGCAGGTTAGCATGGGGCAGACCTTTTCTTTCCCCTGCACATGGCAGCTGGAGTTGCTGGAATGCTGAGTTCAGCTGGTGTCTACATACGGATGATTGCTGACATAATTCGCCTATCACGGCCAAGAAATGCATCTAGTTGGTTGGGTCGTGGGGTTGACTTAGGCAGACAAATTAACAGCACAGCCCCCAAGGAAGCAAGATCACCCAAATTGCGGGATCCCGCAATCTCATCGTGGCTAGGGCTCAGTGCGAGGGCTCAGTGCGAGGATGAGTATGTAGAGGCTGCCCCATTCATCTGGTCTATTCTAACGTTTGAGTGCGATGGCCGCCCTGGAAGCCTTGGCCAATTGATTTGCTTTTGATTTACCAGGCTTGCCAGGCTGCTGGGCGCTTTTGGAGTCCCGACAAACCATACTCCAGCCTGTGATCGCCCGTTGACCGCATAACCCAGTTTTATCTAGTCATGAGAAACCGCCGTTCGAAGTTCTGCTTGACAAACCCCAGCGTCATTTCTTCACGACGGAGCTACTAGACATCTAGTTGTCCGCACCCCGGTCACATATGCAGTGTCTCCTCCACCGTCCATTGGCCATCAATATGTTGCTAGAAACCTCGCACGCTCGCTGATGCACCTTTGTCTAAACCACCAATAAGTGAGAGTGAAACGCGGAACTCCCTTTCCAGGGAATTCGAAACTTCAGGATAACGCCAGTCCGATCTAAAGATGCCATGATCCGCCCATGTAGTACAAAGCGGACGCGGCGGCACTCCACAGCGATGCCGCTGTTTTCTGCTCAGTTGCCAAGGGATCGCTCAAAACCTCTGTTCGATGTGATGCAAGAAAAGAAAACCCAAAAATCCTCCTCCTACCCCCCTATGAATCAAGGACACCGCAGCCTGAACGTTGCGATCAGACATGACAGGGAGGCTTGCCGTTTACCCCTTTGACTTGCGTGTTGGCTTTCTGCCTCTCGTTGATGGTGGTGGAGGCTGTTCACTGTGAAGATGGCCGAGGTCTTCCACAGCCATTGTATTCGACCAGTTCAGGCACCGGTATGACGGCTGCGGCTCCGGCGAAGGCTGGTTCGTTTTCCGGGTGCTCATGCGCTTCGGCTCCTTGGCCTCCTCCTTCTTGTCCTCTCCGTCGTCCTCTTCGGCCGCGTTCAAGTACTTGCTGCGACTCTCCATGCCGTTGATGATCTTATCCTTGAAGTTGATAAGTTCCTTTCGTAGCTTCAACTCGTTGAAACCTCGGGGATCCAGCCAGTTGAGTAATGAGTCCACATCGGCCGGGTCGGAATAATAGCCCCATTGGTAAGCGTTGAACACACTTGTCCGGCCCTCCTCCATCTTCTTCCGCTGAGGCACCGTGATCTTGAACTTTTGCTTGTACTCGGCCTGGTATTCAGGAGCAAGATCGATATAACCTTCTCTTTCTAGGTCGTCGGGGCCTTGCACCCAGATGCAGCCATTGGCGTAGCCCGCCTCAGCGGTCGAGCTTGTCGGCAACCCACCGTAGGGCATGCCATTCCGTTCAAACCAGTAGTATCGGTTCCAGAACCTGTCTTTGCCCAGGACTCGAGTGCGACCACAGTCGGCTTCCCGCAGATCGTTTTCGATCACCCCGACTTCATCCTCGCACTGTTTGATGTAGGCCTCTTTCTTTTCGATGTCCTTGAGCAGCTTTTGGAATTGCTTCGTCTGCTTGGACTGCTTGGCGTCCGCCTTCGCGGCAGCCTTCGCCTCTTCGGCCTCCTTTCTCCGCTGTTCTTCCTCCTCACGCTTTCGTTGGCGTTCGGCTGCCCGGTCGCCGCCACGGCGAGTAGTGCGGCGGGCGTGAACATCCTCATCACTCTCGGCAGTTTCTTCGTGAGGCTCTTCAGCTTGCGACTCTTCGGCATCCGTCATCTTGACATCGCCGTTCGTTTTGGAGGCTTCCTCAGACTTGGGAGATTGAGGCATATTCTCAGGTAGCAGAAGCTTGCGCTGGTCATTTAGGGCCTTGAGCTCCTCAACGCTGAACCAAAGAGTTAGTATGTGCAGTACAGTACCGCAAAAAGGGAGAATCTCGACTTACGCCTGCTTCCTATTCCTCTGCCACTCAATCTTCTCCTTTCGGTAGCCTGTCATGGTCTCGGCGCAGTCCTCCATGTATGCACGGACGGCCTTGGTCTCGGCGGTCAGCATGCAGATAATCTGCAGGGCCTGGATGCGAAGGTTGAGATCGAGATTTCCATAGCATTGGCGTACGGTCTCTTGAGTGGGTTCCTCCTCGTCGGCGGGGACCAAGTGGGCCAGCAGCTCCTCGCAAACCTCGGTCTTCTTGGGATTCTTTGACAACTGATGCAGCAATCCGACCATGATGAGCTCCCAGCCTCCCTCCTTGAAGTCGCGCTTTTTCAGATGCTCGATCCAATCATAATCCGCAAGCACCTCGGTGGCGCGGTGCTTCACGGGCGGCTCGGCAGCCTCCTCTTCAGCAGCGGCAGCAGCTTCAGCCTGCAACCTCTCGGCCTCGGCCTTGGCCAGGCTGCTCCGGGTTGCGCGGGTTGCTGGCTTTGGTTGTGGCTCAGGTTCCGGGGTGGCCGCTGTGCTCTCATCTTCGTCGTCGTCGTCCTCATCCTCGTCGTCTTCTTCAAGCTCGGGCATGCGCACTTGAAGCTTGCCACCATCCGCCTCGCTGCTGACCAGCTGTTTCAAAACTGCACAGTGGATCTCGGTAAACATCTCACATGGTAAATCGGCAGTGGTAACCTCCATGGCCTGGATGAAGTCGTCAAAGGTGAAGGAGTCGAGCTTGAAGATCTCGCAGTATACGTTCAGGGTGTCCCAGGTTTCCAACAGCGGCCCAATGGACTTCATCAGGATCTTGTCGTTCCGCGCGTCCGTGTCGACGACGCCCTGGGGCGGATCGCTGCAGAGGAACTTGAGCGGAGGACGCACGTAATCGTCGCGGGGCTCCAGCTGCAGATCTTCGATCGGATACTTCGGGGGCGGTGGTGGCGGTGGCGGCTCGGGTGCTGAGAAGACGGTCGGTGCAGGCGGGGGGGCCATGTTGTTCCGAAACGAGACGGGGAACTGGAATGGGTTGTTCCCAGGCATGTAACCGGGGTCAGGCCCAACGTGAACGCCCTGCCTCCCCTTGAGGGGCGGCTCGTGATGCGGGTGCCCGTGCTGGTGCTTCGCCATCTTGTGTGCCTTGGGCGCGGGCTTGAGCTCGGGCAGTCGCGTAGGGCCGAAGGTGTTGTGGAAGGAGCCGTTGGACAGGTTCGGCTCCTGCACGCCCAAAGCCTTCCGCTGGGCCTGGTGCTGCTTCCTCTCCAGAAGCTTGTTGTCGTAGCGCAGGTGCGGCGGCACGCGCGTGTCAATGTGGTACTGCGCGGCGACATCGTGCTTGACAAGCCACGGAGCTCCGTTCCAAGCCTCGCGCGTGACCGTCTTCTTGATGAAGGACCGCAGGACGGATTTTGTAAACACCTTTCTGTCCCTGTATATGTGATCCTCGTCGACTACGGCCTCGTCGTCGGGTCGGCCGTCTATGCTGGTGAAGTAGCGCGAGTAGGGCGGCGTCATGGTGCCGTCCGGGAGGACCTTGCTGCCCAGGCGCGCCTTGTCCCTGACCACACCCGTCATGCGCTCGCCGGTAGAGAGGTGTATGGAGACGGCCTCGCCGGGGTAGTAGTCGGCCTTGAATTCATCGTAGATCATGTCCACGAGGTTGTCGATTCGCGAAATCGTCTGGAACTGGACGCGTCGCAAAACGGGGCCCTTGAGCGCTTCCGGGAAGGCCTGCTCCACCTCCTGCGCACCGGCCTGCTCGCTCCTGAGAGCGGCAAAGAAGGTGAGGCCGGAGTGGCCGGTGATCTGGCATATGAATCGCGGCTGTACAGGATCCGTGTTAGAGAGAATCCCAAGTTGTGTGTTGGTGTCTTGGTGCTGGTGGTACAAACCTGGTTATAGAAGTCCATGCTAGGGTACAAGTTAGTGTCATGCATGTTAGATGCGACAAGCCAGCCAGCGCAACTCACCGGTTGAGGTAGTCTTCATACGAGAGGAATATCTCGCCAGTCTGGGTGATGTGCCAGACCTGTGGTCGGATCTTGTCAGCTTGGGGGTTGCGCGGAGTATGCGCCGCGTATAGGCAATTATACAGCTGGGGCGCGATAAGTATAGGTACATACCTCGACGGACTCATCGTCCACGACGGGCGTCTGCAGGAACTGCACCGGCTTTCGCTTGAAGAGCACCTGAACGCGTGAGAAGGGCGGCGGCCAAGTCTGGGAGCGGCAGCACGACTTACCATGGCGGCGGCAACAGTTGGGTGAAGCCGGCACGGGGCCGGAGGACTAGTCGCCGATCAATCTGCAAGGCTGAACGTCAGCCTCGTGCGTGTAAGTGGTAGGGTGAGAGCCGGAAATGGGAGATTGAGAGGGAGGAAAAGTCAGAGGCAGACAGGAGCGGCGCGTTGAGTTGAGGGCAATGTTGTGGTGTTTGGTTGGCGGCCATGGGGCCAAGGTGGGTAGTGCAGGTTTGGTAGTCAGAAAACCCACGGGTCGGGCGGGCACATAGGCAAGGGAGGGAGGCCGAGTCTACATACGGGGGGGTCCAGGGTGGGAAAACGCGGTCGGAGCCGGGCAAGACGCGTCTAATCGGGCGCAGGCCGGTCCAGCGGATGGCCAGCTCGGGGGTGGTGGGCGTGCGAGGAGGACGCTGGCGAGCGCGACGATGCAGGGCGAGTATGTTGTTGTGGAAAAGTTTTGTCGAGGCACGGGGAGTGAGTAGTAGCTTTGACGGGGGAGGGAGAGGAAGAGGGCGAGGGCGAGGGCGTGGGCGTGGGCGGGCGTGCGTGGGAGAAGGACTAGGGAAGAAAAAAAAGGCGAGCGGCCTATGCATGTAAGTTATGTACCTGGGTAGTGTGTGTGAGGTGCCGGTAGGCAAGTGTGTACCCAAGGCTAACAAGTTAGTTGACTTGGTACTATTACCGTCCAGGTATCCATAGGGTCCATGGCTTGACTAACTAATAAGTGCCTTGCCTTACTTACTTACCTGCAGTCTACGGTAGTCCACGGTAGTCCACGGTAGTCTGCGGTACCACCAGCAGAACCAGCACCACCAAGGAGGCGGACGCGGACGGGAAGCGAGAGACAGACCGGGGTCCCACGGGTGGGAGCTGGCAGAGCTGGGGCGCCGCTGGGGCCAATGCCGCACGCTGACTGGCTGCGCGCCGCCGCCGGTGGGCTGCCCATCTGCTCGATTGGGTCGCGGAGCCCACCTCGATTGCAGGTGGGCCGTCGACCGCACAGCATCACCTCCTACTACCCCGTCGTCTTTCTTCCTTTGCGCCTGCATCACACCGCACCCGCCCATCCAACCCGCCTTCTTATACTCGATCTGCTCGCCACGACGCGGCGAGTCGCCAGGGCTTTGAACCGCGGTTTTTCGTCGGGTTTTGCGCCGTCTATGCCCTGCAGAGCCCTTTGCCCTTTTCTCGCGCTCAAGGTAGGTCAATCCGCGCCACCATGTCCTCCTCACGACCCAAGCCTTTGTCGAGGCGCTCCCGCTCCAACAACCCGTCGGACACAACACAGAGAATGCCGTATATCACGTTTGGCCACCAGCCTATTCGTTGACACCAATTTCCAGCACATTTGCGCCCGGTTTGGGCGAGGTGCAGCCTAGTATAAGTCGACCTTGATTTTACTCCTCCTTTCCAGAGGCGTATAAGACAGGTATAGGGCCAATCAATGGCCCAATTCTACCGTGAATATTACCTGGACCACCCGTATTCCTGTCATGGACGCGTTGCCACATGCTTCTGCACCTGACTGCCGTCTTGATTCTCGAAAACTTTGAAAGCGTGTCGTGGAGCTCCATGGGCCTTGGTGTGAGACTGAGCCCAGCGGGACTAGTTAAGGTGGCCGACAGGGGTCTGTGGGAACGAGGCCAACCCTGGGCCTAAACATCAACCATCCTAGGGGGGTTCAAAATTGCCAGTGCCTCGCATGACGACACGTACGGCAATCACACACGGCCCCAGAACCCACCCCTGACTCTGCAAGAGGACGTTGGTATCGGGACATCTCAGAGACGGGAAAAAGCAATCAACTCGCGTTTCGATTCGCTGGGTATAGCCATCTATAGAGAACAAGAAAGAGATCTAACTAGCTTTTTCCTAACCACCGCTACCAAGAAAGACTCACGAGGTGAAATAGACCACCATGAAGCCCAGCCAGCTCCCCACCACTCCTATGGCGGAATAGGAGCTCATAAACATCAAGGGGAGGAACTCATACCTCTTCCCAAACACCATCTGGTGTATAAGCGAGCAGTACGCCATCAGGGGGATGCTGACGGCGATGTAGAGGATGCTGAAACGGTCAAAGAGGAAGAAGCGCTGCCTGTTCGACGGCGGTGCGAGCCGGTCAAACACCGTCAGGAAGAGGATCAACCAGAATATGGTGTATACCGTCTTGATGGGGAACTCGGCCGGCGTGAACAGCAGTGGAAACAAGGAAACGTGGCCGGCCACGGCCAAGGGGCGGAAGGCGCTCAGATGTCTACGATCCTTGAGCGCAATGAGACTGAAGGGAATGATGACGAGCAGGATGGCCTTCTCGTGGACGTGCCATCCAAAGAGGAACGATGCGTATCCGCAGAGCGTCACGGCTCCGATGAAGGCATCCCAAGTCGGCTTCAAAAAGAGCTTCACCAGGGGGATAGCCTGGAAGAGCAGGGTCAGCGCGAAGCACAGCCGGGGCGTGATCTCAGGCAGGACGGCAAACGATGTGTCCCCCACAAGGCCTCGGGTGACGCTGTTGAGCGCTTCTTCCTTGACGGGGAGGCCAAGCCGGGGAGCGGCTAGGTCGTATCAGTCAGTCGATCTATAGATCTGCACCGAGCAGACGGCAGGACGGGACAGGGGAGGGCAGGGGCTTACCGGATATCAGAGCGCGATCCATGAAGGAGTACAGAGCCCAGACGTTGGGAGCCCAATAAGCATGGCAGAGTCCGCGCGAGAAGGGGAAGAGACGGCTCAGGATCTGAGGGATCTGCCCCTTGACGGCAAAGGGCCCAAAGGCGGCGCCGAGGATGCCGAGGATGCCGGCCCCGAGCTTGACGCAGTTGAGGAATTGGATCCGCAAGATGGACTTTGGGGAGAGGCAGTAAGCCCGGAGCAGATAGACCACATAGGCCGGCGCAAGGTAGGCGTATATGTGCTTCATGCACAAGAGGGAGGCAAAGACAAGCCCGCTGGTGAGGAGCCCGGACTTCTGCTTGGCCAGCACCAAGGACGCAATCAAGATGCCGTACATACACCCGTTGTATTGGAAGTGGATATGATCGATAATCAGCAGCCCCGGGGAGAGGAAGATGGAGAGCGCCGCAGCCTGAGCCGCCCGTTTTGGTACTCCATGATGGGCATCGATGAACCTAGAGATCCCATCCACGACCCTGTCAGCCACGCCGTACTTGTGGATAGAAACGAGGCGCAGAACGTATCCCCGACTTACATCTGGAGCGCGTACACCAGGGCCAGCTCGGTCACGATGACGGTGAACCTCTGAAAGTAGACTGTCTGCCAGCTATCGTACTCCAGGTTGTATACACGTAGCATGAAGGGATCGACCAGCTTGGCAACCTGGGAGAGCAGCCACTCGAAGTAGGCGAAGAAGGGTGGGTAGTCGAGGGTCCATTCCGACGTCTTCTCGTAGTACCACTCCCAGACGGGCAGGCTGTGGGTGATGGCCAGCCAGTTGCGATGGACCTCGAAGTCGGTAGATTTGCTGGAGAGAGAGAGCGAGAGCGCGGAGTCAGTTTCGAGCGGCAAGGCAGAGAAGAGAACAAGGGACGGACGCGTCGGCACGTACTATGCTGGGAAGAGGAGGATCTTGAAGGCGGTCGCGACAACTGCGCATTGCGCAATCGTCGGGTAGATCTCAGTCATGGCAACGGCTGGGCATGGCCAGGAGTGCTGCGACGGGCTCCTGAGCTGCTGCGATGCTCGCCGTTTCGATTGAACGCGCTGGCTTCTCGGGGGTCGACGGGGAGGGCAGCTAGGTACGACGCAGGATCGGCTCGAGCCATGAAGTCAATTCGGAACCCTGCAGCGAGGTCTCTCTTCCCCCCCTCCACATCGGCAACGAGAGGCCACGAAGCGCCGACATTTTGGGGGGTCCCCCTACGGTGCAAGTAGCTAGTTAAGCCCCCAAGGTAAAGCTCGCTAAGATAGGTACTAACTACCTAGGTATGGTATGGTATCCAGGTAGCTTAGGTGCATGGATACCTGCCTTGACCCAAGCTTAGCCAGCCAGCCAGCTAACGGTGCAGGAAGCGCGGGGGGGAAAGGCCCGCCCAGCCAGCTAACCGCCTTGTACCTCTCTCCTCTCTCCCGCTCTCCCGCTCTCTCACACCACCTAGGCACACACTCGCGACCCGACACTGACACGCATGGTATGTACGCACAGGCACACTGCACAGAGCCCATGCAGCTTTATTTGCTACTACATTTGTACCTTGAACGTCGCCACTGGACAGTACCGTACGTGTGGCCCATTGGATCGGTTTCAACCGTCGCTACCCCGGCTTCGTCTCAGCGTCCTTGAAACCCTGCAGCCGCAAGGTTGGCGTCGCCTCGAGCTGGGAAACCAAGACAAGAGGTTGGAGAAGCTCTAACGCTCTAACGCTCTAACGTCAGGTTAGCTGACAACATTGATTTATTTGTGCTGCCCATCGCTGTGACGTTCAGTGCCCTCCATCACGTCCCATCACGTCACGTCACGTACACACCGCACCGAGCGAGCAGGCCGGGCTTCGAGCGATTGCTGGTGATCGTGACCCATCAATCAATCAATCAATCATCTATTACCTTGGCAGATTGCGAACACGTTAGTAGCAGTAGTCGTCCGACTACGACTGCAAACCTGTGGCTCGAGCCCATTGTTCTAGAAGCAGTCCTCGGAGCCAGAGCTGCCTCGCAGCCCCAGGGGTCCCCTTCCCCTCGCCCCCCCCCTGACCCTAGTCCTCTTCCTCCAGGGATCCGAGCAGGGTTGAACAAAGGTCCCCCGTTTTTGGAGCCAAAGTGTCCTCAGCTTACCGTCGATGAAGAGAAAATCCTCTGGGTTTTGCACTCGTGATACTTGCCTTTGCTGATACAAACCCGCCAATCGCAAGGCAAGCACCCTTCAACCCATCTCTCCTACAGCTTCTCGACAGCTCGCCCGCTCTCGTCGCCATCTCGCGGGCTGCCCAGAGAAACATGCGCTTCTCACACCCGGCCTCGCTGGCCACATGGCTAGCTGGCGTCTCTCTGGCTGAGGCGCAAGCTCAGTTCCTGGTCGACCAACTCAGTTTCGGCTACACAGGCAGGTGAGTGCCGTACGCATCGTACAGACCAAAGTCCCGTGCCGCCTGATTTGGGTATGCTGACCAAGCCGGCGTCTCCTCCAACAGAATAAATGACAAGGGCCAACAATCCGTCCCGCTCTTCTCCATCCAGGGCCAGCCCGACGTGCCAGAGGTCCTGTCCAACAAGCTCATTCTCACACAGCCGTCCCCCGGTAACGCCAGGGGGGCCGTATGGGGAGACAACCCCAACAAGTACAAGGAATGGGTCGCCGACGTCGAGTTCAGGGTCAACGGGCCGGAGCGCGGAGGCGGCAACCTCAACATCTGGCTGGCGAGACGGGGCCTGCAGGACGTGGGCACGGCCAGCGTATACAAGGTCGGCAGGTTCGACGGCCTGGCCCTGGTCATCGACCGGTCGGGAGGCGGCGCCGGCATGGTAAGGGGTTTCCTCAACGACGGCACCACCGACTACAGCACCCACCACAGCGTCGACAGCCTGGCCTTCGGCCACTGCGACTACAGCTACAGGAACCTGGGCCGCCCGTCGCAGATCAAGCTGCGCCAGACCCAGCACAACTTCAAGGTCGAGGTGGACGGGAGGACGTGCTTCGAGAGCGACAAGATCCAGATCCCCCCTGGCTACAACTTTGGTATCACGGCCGCCAGCGCTGAGAACCCGGATTCGTTCGAGGTCTTCAAGATGGTGGTCATGACCGAGGATCTCAACGCGCAACACGAGGTCTCGCCGCAACAGCAGGCCAACCAGCAGCAGCAGCAGCAGCAGCAGCAGAACTCCTGGGCCACGCCCCCCAACCCCGGCGGCCACGGTCACGAGAAGAACATGCCCGTCGACGAGCGCGGCTGGGAGAAGGACATTGCCGACGCCAGCGCCGACTCCATCACCAGCTCCAAGGCCCAGTTCGCGGACCTGCACAACCGGCTGCAGAGCGTGAACCACCACCTGTCGACCATCTTCCGCGTCGTGGCCGAGCAGAGCTCCGTCGGCGAGAAGCGCCACGAGGAGACGTCGCAGGGCATCCACGACATCAAGCAGCTCCTGGACAAGCTGGGCAAGATCGACGCCATGCAGAACCAGATCCTGTCGCTCGAGCGCGAGGTCAAGGCCATCCGCCAGGACACGGCCAACAAGGTCAAGGACTCGGAGAACGCCATCAAGAAGATGCTCGGCAGCTCCCACGGCGACATGCTGCTGCACGTCGCCGACAAGGCCACCCCCAAGCACGGCAAGCTCATCTTTGTCATCATCGGCAGCCAGGTCGTCCTCATTGCCGCCTACATCTGGTACGAGCGGAAGAAGACCCTGCCCAAGAAGTACCTTTAGAAATGTAGATACCCAAGTGCGAAAAGGGGGGCCGGGCCGGGGAACTTGGGACGGCTGGCCTAATATCTGTTGTGGCATGTATAAAACAATGATACCGGTAATGATTTTTAACGACGTCCTTGCTTTAGCGGTAATCCAATACTCATTCTATGGTTCAAATTGTTCACTGCGTCCACCTATCTATTCTAAGTGCCTGGAAAGCATCCGAAAAATCTCGTCTCTCAGAATTGTAAATCTACTTTCCTTCGGGGTGGGTAGACCATACACACACGCGCGCGCGCGCGTGCCCCTCGCACTCACACGGTCTCCCCATTGATGATCTTCAGGGCCTCGTCCCCCTTGGGTGCCCACGACAGGTTCTCCCACCCGTCCTCCGTGACCAGGATGTCGTCCTCGATGCGCACGCCGCCGACGTCCCAGTACCGCTCCAGCACCTCGGCGTCGATGTAGCGCGCGTGCTCGGGCCGCTGCAGGAAGTAGGCCTCGATGTACGGCCGGCAGAAGTAGATACCCGGCTCCACCGTGACCACCATGCCCGGCGCCAGCTCCCGCCGGCCCTTGTACTTGTCGCCGCCGTCGCTGCTGCTCTCCACCGATGCCAGGTCCGACTCGGCCGCGGCGATCATGTCCCGCAGCATCTCGGGCCCGACGGGGCGCCGCTTGCCGCCGAGGGCCCGGAAGCCGTCCGTCCGCGCGGCGTCGACGCTCAGGCGCTCGTAGCCTCCGACGTCGTGGACCTCGAGCCCGACGTGGTGGCCGAGGCCGTGCGGGAAGAAGGCGGCGCTGGTGCCGTTGCGGAAGATGTCGCGGGCGGAGCCGCCGCGCAGGATGCCGAGCGCCAGCAGGCCCTTGGTGGCGACGAGGTGCGCGTGCAGGTGGAGCGAGTAGTAGACGGTGCCGGGCCGGATGCGCGCGATGCACTGCTCCTGCATCTCGGCGACCAGGTCGTAGATGGCCCGGCCCTCGGGCGTGAAGCGGCCCGTCAGCGGTAGCGTCCGCGTGATGTCCGAGGCGTAGGCGGACCACTCGGCGCCGGCGTCCAGCACGACGAGCTGCCGGCCCGCGAGCGGCTCGTTGTTGGCGCCGTAGTGCAGGGACGCGGCGTTGGGACCGGAGCCCGCGATGATGGCGTAGGACTGCGCGTGTGCGTTCTGCGAGAGGCACGAGCCCTGGAACACGGCCTCGATCTCGCATTCGTTCTTGAGCGACAGAAGTTGCCTGCACACGGCCTTGTGGGCGACGGACGAGACATCGACGGCCTTGCGGATCAAAGCGATCTCGTGGTCTGTCTTGATCACCCGCGCCTCGCTGATGGCCGGTAAGAGGGATGTGGTGTCAATCTTGACATGGGGCTTGAGTGTCTCGAAGGACTTGAACCTGGGCAACTGGGATTCCCGAAGCACATATAACGACTCGACCAGAGCCAGGGTTGGGACCAGGTACTTGGGTAGCTCGGCGATGTACTTGACGCCGTCGAGGTCCGAGTTCTCCAGACACTCTGCCGGGCTGGGCGTTGTACCAAACCAGAGCACGGTCTGCGGCGGTGAGTAAGGGATCCAGAGAATCAGGTTATCTGCGCCTATATCGTAGGTTACAGCGCAGCCCGAGAAGTCTGCTCCACTGAGGTAGTAGAAACTGGGACGGGTGTCAGCGTTGGTGTTAGCAATCTGGGAAGTTATCCATCGCGAAGCTCACTATCGACGTTGCCTGAACGGAGGACCCATGTCAGAGTCCTCCCAATTCTGCTCGAGCTTGCCAGGGAGATAGATGATGCCATTCTCGACGCCGAGCTCTTTGGCAACCTTCTTTGCATGTTCCCTTGCTATACTAATAGTCAGTAAACACATAGATAAGCAACACCAACCATGATGCGTGTGAGTTGCACAGTTTGAACTTTGCTAGGAGAACAAGGGATAACGGCATGCCTAATTTGTCGTGGTTGCAAGCCTTGGCACAGTAAGATGCAGGTTCAATCACTCACCTGGATATTTATTGCTTAGAGGTGTCTTGATTTCAATCGCCCTGGAGCCGAGGAGACTTGGTCAGTCGATATCTATCAATCGACGGCTGAGAGCTGGAATGGAACGAAATATGGACAACGAGATCTTCGAGGAAACTCACAATGCATCGAACTCGTCCACAACCACAAGCTCGTGGTCGAGGGTTTCTTCGGCATCCATATCGCCGTTTGACGTCCAGGTACTCGACGTCGGTGGCGCGTGTTGATAAGAGACCGAGCTGTGGCAACTACAACCCCAGTCGCCTCTGCCAGAAAACTCACGGTGTCGGTGTGTTCGGAATGATGGCGAGAAAGGTTTACTCGGTCAACTCAATGTCCCGATAGCCTAGATGTCTTGGTACAGGTAGGCAATGCCAATAAGGTCTGTGATGTCGGGAGTAGTGGACAGGCGGTAACAACGTCGCAAGCCACCTGGGCATGGACCGACCGACTCGCAAGAACTGCGGGGCTGCAATGCGGGGACCCGTGTACGGCCTAGTGCCTACGACGGGAATTTGGGGCACCCGCATCCATTGCTTATTAGTCGGTCTTGTACGGAGTATACCCCGTTAGTTGCGGCCGTCATTCTATAAGGTTGCCGAGAAGATGATGCATGGACACAAGGCTAGAAAAGGGGCAGTTGCGTGATGCATGTAAAGGCGGCCGATCTCGGCATCTTCGGTAAATTATACTATGTACGAATCAGTGGCCGTCAAACCATCTCCATTCCGCGAAGCGGCCAACCGTGAACTGGCCCCCTCCTTTACTCTTTCTCGCAGGTTGGCTCCGATGCCTAGACTAACAAAAAAATGGCCAGTAGGAAAGGACGAACCATGTCGTGTTGCCTAGGCTATTCATACAAGTGATCCTTTCTATGCGTCTGTCGCAGGAAGACCGCCAGAACATCGCCGTAAATCCACCTGAAAATAGGAAAGAAGAAACAAATTGGGCCAAGTCCTGCCACAGTAACCTCGCTTGACCCCCCGTGGATATACCTATCCCCCACATCGTACGGCTGGGACCATATATCGACCGTCGGGGACTGCCAAACTCCAACTGGACCGTGAAAAACAGAAAGACATTTTGTAATCGGGCGTTGCATTCGTGCAGGGGTATCATCGTTCTGCGCACTCTAGTCGTACTGAGGAAACATGCCGGACCATGGTTGTTGATTACCAAACTGGTTGTACATCCGCCGCCGCTGCGATGGGTGCTGAGGTGTTGACTGATGCGGATGAGGGACCTGCTGAGGGCCCCGCTGCATCTGGATGGCCAGCATGGGATCCGGGTACATCTGGGTCGGAAAAGGAAAGCCTGGTTGTCCTTGCGTCGGCATCATGTACGGCGGGAGCGGGTTCATCAGTTGACCTTCTATGCCATCGAAGAGGTTAGGCATATAGTATTGTGACTGGTCATGGTGCAGCGTACCTCCGCCAAACTCCATTCCTGGTTGGTTTGGATAGGCTAGCGGGTCACCTGACGGGAACATCATGGCGTCAAGCTGATGTATCTGGTTGATCCCACTGCCAGGCCCTTGCTGCAGGGTTTCCGGCTGCGTTGTAGACACTGCATCCGGGGGAGTTGCTGTCAAGTCCAGAGGCGACATGCCCTGTACACTTGGAGAGAAGTCGGGCATGCTAAACCCCGTATCGAGGTCGAAACCAGCATTGGAAGCCATTGGCCCAAGAGAGCCCCCCTTTCCATTTGCCGAGATATGCCCCATACGATCCATGGTCTGCACTTGCAAAGTCGAGGGCGAGACCGTCGCTGCGATGGAGTCTTTGGATGCAGCTGAACGTTTCTTGGAAGGCGCAGCGGTGCATCCGGCCGTCTTCATGGTCTCGGGAAGTTGGTCAAATAAGACCTTGTTTTCCATGTTAGCATTTGGAAATAAACCACCCAGTAACGCAATCGCAACTCACCTCTAGCGCGTTTGATATGCGGTCAGCAGCCACGCTCCTCCGGGCGAGCTTGCTTATCATGTCTCTGCCTGCTACTGCATCCGCCAGAATCTCTGCCGTGCCGGGTTTGTTCTCGTTTTCTAGGACATAGAATACCAGCGTAATGATGGCGAAGAACTCGGTAAAGAGTGTGAACCAGTATGGACCGACCAGTGAGACCTGCTTTCGCATTTCGATACCAATATGGACAATATTTCGGGCCACATTGATGCCCGCAGCGCCGAGTGCATATGAACGATCATCAGGCTTCTTGTCGGCTGTCGTTCTTGACGAGACGGCATGCAAGAAGGGCCGGTAAAGTACCATCTGCACATGTGCATAGCCGAACCTGAGGAGATTGCGGACGCTAGTGGGGAGTAGATTAGCATCGTGAGAACCATCCATGGGGTATATGTGTGGATCAAGTAAAGTCCCATGTATCGAGACTCTAGTGGCTCCGATGCAAGGTCTGTTGTAGGTGTGTATATGCATAGGAGATAAAACGCGAGAAACTTACCGAACGACTTCCTCAGGGCCCTCGGATCCTGGTCGCCAGGCAGCTGGCAAGTCTTCATTCCACTTCTGAAGAACCTTCTCCATCTCCTTGACCTGTGCATAACTGATCATGAAGGAAGAAGCTGCCTGGCCGCCCTCAGCAGCATCCTGCTCAAATCCTTTCAGGGGGTAGATTTGTTTGATGATCTTGCTCAGAATGTCCATCAACTGGGCATGTGCGTTGAATGCTTCAAAGAAGGACGTGGTTCCCGCGGGCACAGGTATCAACCCGCCCTTGGTGATGAACTGGTCATCCACGGGCGTTGGTAGCGGCTGATCGATGTCTTCGTCATTGAGCAGCATCGGGAATCCCAACACAGCCGAAACATATATGTCGAGTTGTCGACATACCGAGAAGACACGTCGCCTCGACTCTACGTCGATGACGGTGTCCCGGGCATGAGGGAGGTTGCGGTGCAACCCCATTCGCAATGCCGAGCGTAGCGCAATTCCCACAAACCCATAACACGTGCTCAGGTTCGAAATAGACTGGACGAAGAGGATCATGAATAGAAGAGCCTGAAGCGACGTGAGATCTCGGCAATCTGTAATATCCGGAAGCAGGAACCGCGCTGAGTTGTAATACTTCAGACTACACGATTGTCAGCCTTATCTCATTCTCCGTGAGCGGGACCAGATGGTGCTTACCCCTGATCTGTGGCAATTTCGTACGGTGCCTTCTTCGACTCTTTATCATCAGCAACATTGTACATGCATCCCAGGGCTAGTACCGAATACAGCAGTGCTAAGCCTCTGTCTTCATCCGTGCCATAGGTTCCCAGTTTCCCAGGTGGATTTTCGTAGATGTTGTCCAATATGGTGTAGAACGATGGGACATGTACAATGCGCAAAAGACACGTCGCGTACTTCAGTGAGTAGGAACACAGCCGCCGGGCGATCACCTTGGGAGGCAAGTCGCACACGTCGGACGGCACTCCTCTCCTGCTACTCCCGGGTGAGCTGATGGCCGATAACTGCGGCGAGTCGATGTTCATGATGCTCGAGGGCTTGGGCGGGCGGGGGAGCACTGGCACATGGTAGTCACGGCCCAGCAATGATTTGAAGTGGTTCTTCATGCGGCGGAAAAAGACATTCCCTGAGGAAGGACCATGGAAGTCGTAGTCGCCCTTGTCGTCGAATTCCAGCTGCCCAACGCCCGAGATCATGGACATTAGCCGTTCCTCTGATTTGATGGATGCGGAGCCCGACACGTCTTCCTTCTTGACGGCCTTGTTGCGTGCCTGTTCCCTCAAGCGGAACTCCTGCTGAACTGCCGGGTCGAGGCTGGCGTCGTTGAGATCGACGTCAGGCATGAACTCGCGCAAAAGGGCCTCAGCTCGCTGTAGTCTGTTTTCAAGTGCCTCAATGTACTGGGGCGCCGGGTTCCTACGTCGGTTAGACGGCTTGTCATATGTGCACTCTACAAGCGGGTGTCAGTGACCAGATCCTAACTAGGGGCTCGAGTGCCAGCCGAGAGGCGCCTACCATAGCTGTACACTTGACAGTGGGTGCAGGGCTGTTTGCCATCACACTTGATCTTCTTCCCTAAACGCGGTGGTTAGTTTCTGGTACCCATAGGCGCGAAGGCGATAATGGCAGGAGATGACGTACTCCGACATTCGTCGCACGCTCGAGTGACTCTTCGTCGTTTCTGCAGTGGTAGCGAAGGTGTGTCGTCGGCTTTGCTGCCGTCCTGGGGGGTGCCCTCGTCGTCCGAGTGGACGCTGGATGCCTCAGCATCGGACATTTCGTCGTGGGGCGTCCCCGTTGCCTTCTCCTGGGCCTTGGCGGGTGCCATCTTGGTCGCGATGCCGGGTTTGACGGGCGGTGAGTCGACAGTCAACAATTCAGTACGTAGTCTAGATGGCGGTATGTTGCGCAAGCATGGTGGACGAGACCTGCACAGTTATCTCATCTCCAGGAGCCCCCTCAGGCCAAGGTCCGAAACGAAAGTCGTCGATGGCGTGGGGTAGGGGTCGGAGGGAGCCAACAGCGAACGAGCGTTGTCCCCGTCGGTGACGCGCGCGCGGTCAATCGGCCGAGCGATCAATTGATGAGGATGCCAGTTGTCGCACCCAATACCGGCGAACTGTAGAGAGGGAATGGAGAAAGCGAGAGGGCTGGTCGTGGTCCACGGATTGATCACGGATTGATCACGGTCGGGCCACAAGGTGTCGAACCAGGCAGGAGGTTTGGATGCTGGAGGGTCGGTCGCTGGGGCGGACCTGCGGGCGGGAAGGGGAGGGAGGGAAAATTGGTGCTCCGGCCTTCGAGTCTACGAGTCTAGCCAGTAGGCAGTGGGCGGCCGGGCCACTGGAGGTCAAGGCGGGCTGGCTGCTTGGGGCGGTGGGGACAGTGGGACAGGCGCGCAATAGGCAGTCAGGCAGTCAGTCACTCAGTCAGACAGATCCAGCAGACAAGGCCTTGGGCTCCTTCTCCTTGGTTCCTCGGGCTTGGGCTTGGGCTTGGCCAGGCGCGGCATCACACAGTAGATATGTACCGCCATCCACGGATGCCGTATGCAAGTTGTGTATCCGTACATCCACCCATCAATCATTTACCTGCAGATGTCATTACGTACGTCGCCTTGGGGCCCCGTGTCTGTGTCTTAATTCGCGCCGACTCGAAAGCCAGTTTTCATATCCATCCCTGGTCATCCCGCTACCATGTAGGTACCGTAAGGCTCTGAAGTAGGGAGTACCCTACAATCGTTTCTGCTCTGCACAACGGCATTTGCAAAACTAATGTCGAGCTATGAAAACTAGCCGGTTGTATCGTAGTCTACTGCACGGTGACCGCATGTGCTATAACCCGACAATGCGAGAATGGATGGTAACGGCGCCAACTATTGGCCGATGCTACTCCAAATTAGTGATCAAGGCACGGCGATGCTACCACGGTACCATGGTACCGTACCTAGTCCAGAGCGAATTACCTATTATCGACCTCTACCTGCTGTACATAGGCGCCTAGTTAGGGCTGGGTTTCGGATTTGCCAGCAATTGAGGACCACAAAGACAGTCTAGTATACCAGCATGAAAAGACTGACATGACGATGTTCCTGGCGCCTGGATAGGAAACGGACATGACCATGAAATTCGCGGTCTTTCACTCGTCTACGCCAATCTGAGAGACAGAAAAAGGAAACGGGCTTCAGTACGCAAATGCAGAGGTACCGACTTGCGTGCAACCAAGACTCACCACCTTTGACGCCACCATCCGCAGCCACGAGTGAAAGCATTGATTCATCTCCAGGCAAACGCTCGAGGAAAACGTAACAATCCATCAATCTAGATGTAGATGGTTCTGTGCCAAGACGAATATGCATACATAGTAGTCCCACGCATACTATGGCTATGCAGCGGTGACTCCGATAGTTCCCAAACCGCCAGACTCTAGAGCCAAATTAAGCTCGACAGCCTAGGATATGGCTTCAGAATCAGAGTTCCGACAATCTGACCCTCGGTCCCGGCCGCTGCGAGAGCCGACCCATGTGACGGTCGCTCGGTTCCATCAGTGCTATACCTGGATGAGGTTTCGTGTTTGTGATGTTGAGATGATGCACGTTGGCTGTAAGAAACGGTTAAGAAACATAGAGTATACTCGGTGTTCAACCAGTCATCTATGGTGAGAAGCTTGCCTGCGCAGCGGAACGCAGCAGAAAAGATAGCGCGGTTACAACTGCTGTAACAGGCGGCCACTGGGTGTTGACTGGGCACGGCGCCAGTCACGGCGGAGCTCCCAAGAGCGTTGGCGTGGGTTGGCAACTTGAAGAGTTTCAGCTCCAACATGACTCTTCCACACAGACAATTGGTCGACCTAGACTGCCAAGCAAGATCGAGAGGTCTTGGCCAGGCCTAGTGCAAAAAGTGTGCCGGATAGCCGTCGATCCCTTCTTTGCCCGTTTCATTGGCTCTGCCGTATGGGCAGTTCCATCACGATAGATGATGCCGGAAAGATTGACTCTTTTCCCAGGTCTGCCGTCCGTGTCTATAGCAATCTGCGACCCGAAAATGGACGCGCACAGCGTGAGAGTTTGACCCTATTTGTTGGTTCCTGACAGCAGCAACCAGAAATAGCACAAGCAGATTAAGATTCGGGCTTGCAGGGGTTCTCGAGTCAGCGGTGCCTACCACAGTAGAGATGTGCAGAAAGAGGCGTCGACCAGCGCGATAGTGGCGACCCATGTCAGCAGTAGGCAAGGTAGGTAGGGATGCAGTATAACCAAAGCAGCCCAAGCCCAGTCTTTGCCAGGCGTTCCAGAGCGTGTGTCATAGTATGCGGACGGAATTGCGTCCACGGCCAAATTAGGAAAGCTGCAGGTAAGCCGCAGAAAGGGAGTTCCACAGTCCGGTGAAATCCAACTGAAGTACGCTGGATCCAAAGCTGCTGGAGCGTTGCGAAGCGGGCGGGTTGACCTGCACGGTAACTTCCGATGGTGGCCGTGGTCTGTGATGGACTCTCAGATTTCACAACGGCCCCATCTCTATACAGGAATCTTCTAGTTCGTTTACGGGGACGAAACCAGTCATCATTCTCCACCACAAAAAGCCGGAATAAGAAAATTGAAGGTACAAAGCGGTATCATATCGTCTTTCGCAGCAGGGAGCGAGTTTTCGCACTCTGGAAACAGTCACGGGATACCTACATGCAGGTAGTAGGCTTTCTGATCCACCGCTTCACCCCAGATTCGAGATGCTCGAGGGGGGGCATCGAATCTCGTAGCTACTACCTACATCATAAGCACCTGGCTTGGTTTTTCGAGGTACGGGAGACACCAGGGCACGTTCTGCTCGAGGCATGGCCGGGCCTGATGTAAGTCGCGTCGAGCGGGATCGTGGATGGAACATCCGTCCTGGAGCTTAGGGCTTGGGATGGGGAGCCTTCTTGTTGGATTCTGGTAGCCCCGCGTGAGGCTGAACGAACCGAACGGTCGGCGGGCCTCCAGTGCCTCTCTGCCAGCCCGGCCCACTGGGGCCCAGCCAGCCAACCAGCCTCAAGGGAGGAGTTGAGTGGGCGGGCGCCAGGCCCGGAGCTACCCCGCCATTTGATGACGGGCAAGTCCCAGGCAGGCCAGGCGCCCATTGCCCAGCTCTGCCAGGCTGCTGATCCCAGCGGAGGCTTGCAAGGCTGCCAAACGTTGCTCCCGAGTTGTCTCCATCCACTCTTGACGAGGCTGCCGATACCAACGTGCTGTAGCTTTGAATGTCAACCGCCGAGGCCATCACCTCTCAGCTTCTCCTTCTCATGGTGACAGACGCCTTTTGCAACACTTGTTCCGTCCACCACCGCCGCCGCGCGAGCTACACCGATCAACATGGCAGGCCAGAGCGGCCAGAGCGGCCAGCTCCTCACCTTCTTCACTGCCATGGACAACCAGGGCAACGTGATTGTTAGAGAGGCGCCGAAACTCGACCTAGACCTCTACATCTCAAACTACAGAGGTGCATTCTTCCCGCAGCCGCCGTCGGCTGGTCTACGTGCTGACAATAGTCAGGTCGCACCCGGTTCGAGCGTCTTCTCCTCATAGGCCAGTCGTCAGTCCCTCTGTGTGTCGACGCCCTCAAGGCCGCCGTCGCCGAAGCCAAGCGGGGCAAAGACGTCCAGCGATACCGAGACGCCTGGGAATGTATCCGAATCGCTGCCCCCAACGAGCAGGAGGCGCAGTGGGATCAGCCCTGGGCAGACAAAACCGACAAGGCCAACAAAGTCGAGACCCACCGTCTCGAGCTGGAGCTCAAGGGCTACAAGAACAACCTGGTCAAGGAGAGCATCCGGGTAAGTTACACTGTAACCTCCTTTTGCTACTCAAAAACAAACGGCGCCTGTCGCGTTAGCGTTGCCTTTGATCTTGGCAATTGAGCACGGCGGCCTACGGCGGGCTTACTAACCTCGTATCAGATCGGGCACCGTGATCTAGGCCAGCATCTCGAGAGTATTGGTGAGCTTGTAGCTGCGTCGGATGCCTACGTTAGAATGAGAGGTGATGCGAGCACGCAATCTCACATCCTGGATGTCTCCAAACACCTCATCGGCGTCATGATACAGCGCCGCGACTGGCCTAGTGTGCTGGCCAATGTCAACAAGATTCTAGCTGGCAGTCTCAGCGAGGACGACATCAAGGTTCAGCAGCCGTACCAGAAGATGGTATCGGGCATTGCGCACCTGCACTCGGAGAAGTACTACGATGCCGCAAAGAGTTTCCTCGAGACAGGAGACCTGGCCATCTGTCAGACCTACAACGAGATTGCCAGCCCCAACGACGTGGCCACCTATGGTGGACTGCTGGCATTGGCCTCCATGGATAGATCGGAGCTCCAGGCCCGAGTTCTAGACAACGCTAACTTCAGAAACTACCTGGAACTGGAGCCCCATATTCGCAAGGCCGTCTCCATGTTCGTCAACGGACGCTACGCTGCCTGCCTTGCCATGCTCGAGTCCTACCGACCCGACTACCTCTTGGATGTGCACCTGCAGAAACACATTCCCGCCATTTATGCGCAGATCCGCAGCAAGTGCATTGTTCAGTACTTCATTCCTTTTTCGTGCGTAACGCTCGATAGCATGAACGAGGCTTTTGCCAAACCTGGCGAGTCTCTCGAGGCCGAGCTCATTACTATGATCCGGAGCGGTAGGCTGCAAGCCCGCATTAACACCATCGACCGGCTCCTGGTGGCCGTCTCGTTAGACCGACGGGCCGAGATGCAAACAAAGGGACTAGAGACAGCTAGGGGTTACGAGAAAGAAGCGCTGGAACGAATCCGACGAATGAGTCTCATTGCAGCCAACTTGGAGGTCAAGGGCAACCCTCGGGAGCGGGCGGGCGGCCCCGTCACCGACCAATGGTATGAAGATACTCGGCGGCAGTTGAATGCGGGTGAGGCGCCAGCTTAGAAAGACGGAGCCTCTCATTCACCCGCGCAAGAAGAGGAAGACACATGATGACTTGATATGGCATGGCATATTGGCGTTCAAGGGGAATTCGGCGTTGCGCTGCAGCATTGAAGATCGCTCGCTTCATGGCATAAAGTCTGCATATTTAGTCCAGGAGAGAGAAGAGCTGGCATGGCCACACCATAGACGATGCTATTTGACTCAGGCCTTGGGAACTACCAAAGTCCGCTCTGATGACGTTACAATGAGAACAATCAATGGAAACAAGCTTGACATCATAAGATTTCGTCTTGAGGGTATCTCTCTTGCTGAAAAGCATGGGTGAATTCAGAATGGGCCATCCACCATCTTCATTATAACAGCCTCGCAGTCGTCAGAACGAGCGAAAAACGCCAGAACGCCTGTGCTTCCTCCCTCTGTGTGAACAGTACCTGGCCACTCAGTACCGGCCCCTGCCCCGTCCCCGTCCAAAAGGCGCATCCGGCAGAGCCTCCCCTCTCCTCCACTCGCCGACCGGGATCCCACGGCCCCCTCGTCCGGAGAAGTCTCCACGCCTCCACTCGCCCACGGGCTCGCTGCCGCCGCGGCCGTAGCCGTCGTGTCTTCCGCCTCGGCCACCTCTCCGGCCTCCGCCAAACCCGTCCTCCCGATCCCTCTCTCGTTCCCGGTCCCGTCCGTAGCCCGGCGCCCGGCCCACCACGCTTCCTGCCTCCCCGACACCAGACCCGCGGCCCATACGCGCGGCGCTCGCGGGCGCCACGCTCCCGTCGCCCAGGGGCGGCAGAATGGCAACGCTGATGTAGTCGCCGACGACGAGGCGGGCATCGGCCAGCGTCTTGGCGCCGTCGTCCTCGGGGGACAGCGACTTGGCCGCCGCAGCGTCGGCCGGGTCCAGGCCCGGGCCCCCGTCGCCGATCACGACGGAGCCCAGGTCTTTGACCATGAAGCGGGCCGGCACCGCGGCGGCGCCGCCCTGGCGGTGGTGGTGTTGGCTGTTGGCGGCCCGCGTGTCGGCGAAGATGAGCCGGAAGGACAGGCGCGTGCCGACGGCTGGGTCCGGCAGGATGCTGGTCGGGGCGAAGGCCAGGTGGTGCGACAGCTCGGCCAGCGTACACGAGGGCCAGGTGTGGATGGTGAGGTGCGGCGGCAGGGTGGGCGAGGCGAACTCGTCGGGCCTGGAGGTGAGGCGAAACAGGTTAGTCCAGTCCAGTCCAGTCCAGTTCAGTCCGAAAGGGGCGTGCTCGAACAAGCAGACGTGCATACCTGTGGAATGCGCCGGTGCGATAGAAGAGTCGCAAGGCGAAGGGCGGGCTGGACCGGCCGTCTTGATCCATCTTGGGTCCTGTGTTTTATCTTGTCCCGTCGCTCTGCCTCTCTGAGGGTGCAGTGCCGCTCTGGGGGGAAACAGCAATGTTGCAGCTCAAATCATGTCGGCCCCTGTCCTCTTGTACGAGCCTGCAAGGGAGTGGGCGTCGTCGGCGTGTGATGCTGGGGGTGTACTCTATGACAAGGCTGCGAGGGCTTGGGACGGTAAGTTGGAAGTACGTAAGTGGTAGCAGGTCGTTGAGAGACGCCGCTAAAGCTTAGGCCCAGTGCACCAACTGCCCCTCCAGAGCTCGCGCCACAGGCGGTGCAGGCCGACGTACCCACAGCCGTCCGGTTAGCGACTGGGCCAGGAACCCATTTGTCGATACATCGATCAAGTGCTTTGCGATACCATAATCAACATCTACATTTCGACTCCGGCATTCAGTGGCTAAGGCCCTCGAACAGGTCTCCACTGCGTGAACCAGCTCATCAATTTCTGCGCAAGGGAATAACCAGAGGTGGTGTCTGACACCAGCCCCCATCCATCATGGATTTCGCATCCCTCATGTCCAAGGAGATCGCGAAAGCGAAAAAGCCAGAAGCCGAGGCCGCCGCCTCTGGCAAATACATCAAGCGCTCCGACGCCGAGGCCGCGCGGCAGAAGGCATACCTAGCGGAACAGAAGGAGCTGGAAGAGAAGCGCGCCGCCCGGGCTGCCGAAAAGCGCAAGCGCGAGGAGGACGCCGCTGAGGAGGCCCGCGTGCGCGATGAGAAGCGCCGCCGACTCGAGGAGGACACGCGGAGGCGGCGCGAGGAACAGGAGCGGGAAGAGGAGCGCAAGCGCAGGAAACGTCTGGGCCTGCCGGAGCTCAAGGAGCAAGAAGACGGCGCGGACGCGGATGCGGACGGCCAGGACGGCGGCGAGGACATCCCCGATGACGACCTCGTGGCCAAGTTGCGGGATCTGGGGCACCCCGCGACGCTCTTCGGGGAATCTCACAAGGGTCGGCTGAGACGATACAGGAAGCTGACGACAGTGGTGACCAAGGGCCCCATACCGACGACGCTGCAGCTGGTGGACGAGAAGGACATGAAGGTCGACGGGGCCATGCCCAAGGACAAGGAGGCGCGGAGGTACCTGTTCCGGCAGCTGGCGTCGTACTTCACCATGGTGCTGCGCGAGTGGGAGCGGGCGCTGGCGCAGGAGGAGCGGCGCGACACGTTCGAGAGCAAGGCGGCCGTCAACGCCATGGTGCAGAGCCGCGAGAACATGACGCCGCTGTTCCGGCGGCTCGAGAAGGACGAGCTGGACGACGACATCCTGCAGCCCGTCATCGAGATCGTCAAGGCCGCCCAGGAGCGCCGCTACGTCGACGCCAACGACGGCTACCTGCGCCTGAGCATCGGCAAGGCCGCCTGGCCCATTGGTGTCACCATGGTGGGTATCCACGAGCGGAGTGCCCGCGAGAAGCTGCACAACGGCGAGAGGGGCCACGTCATGGGAGACGAGGTCACGAGGAAATACCTACAGAGCATCAAACGCTGCCTCACGTTTGCGCAGGTGAGGTGGCCGCCGGAGGATGTTAGACAGTTGATGGGCTAGTCCTGGGGATAGCGCTTTGGCACAACCGAATGAATATCTGTCGTGAACCATTCGCGTATTGGCCCCTTCGAGTGTCCCGGAGCGAATCTGCGTGTGTTCGCTGCCTTGCGGTCCATAAACCTGTCACATTACGGGATGAACGGGATATAACTGTAGCCGATGTTCCATTGTATGCGTTTCTCTGCATTTTCCCAACGGGGATTCCCCGACTTTATGTACAATCCCGCTTTCCTCAGCCCGTACAAATGAACCATCCAATGCCTCTAAAATTCGGCGATGAGGTCGCCCTTCCTCTTCGCTCGCAGATCCCACTTGCCCTGTGTCCGAGCGAATTGTATTAGCACCAGGCCGTCGCTGTCCGCACACGCAGCGGCATTGGGGGCCTGTACTCACGTCTGTCTGGTATGCAACGACGCCAAAGATAGCCGGGACGAAGACGGCGTACATGAAGGTGATGCGTGCGGTCCGCGGTGTCCATCGGAAGTACTTGTGTCGGGTCGTGGTCATGTCTGTAGTCCCGTCATGTCAGCCTGAGCTTCTCTGCCAATGCCTCGTCGGGTCTCGGTCCGCTCATCCACAGCTCTGCCTTCTCTCTTGATTGTTTCTTGCAGACCTCAAACCGAACGTCGTGGATCAATTGGGGAGTGGTGGGGGGAGACATACTGCCCAGCTTCTGGATGGCCGGGTCCATCGCCATTTCTGTTCGCTTTCTGTCAGCCTCTCTCTCTCCCTCACACGCCGGTATGCGGCATAGCCGGACGTACTGAAGTGCTTGAGGCCTGCCATCTTGGTCGCGATAGGCAGTACGCCGGGCACTGGGTTCAATTGGGTTGGTTTGGTGGTGGTGCGATTGAAGCGAATCGAGCTGTCGCAGGGGAAGCTTTGGGGATGTCGTCGAAATTGACGCCTCAGGCACGGGCGTCGCCGGTGGGGCCTGCTGCCAGCAGGCTGAGCCACCTGTGGCGTGCACTCATCTACCGGACGATTTAGAGTTTTGGGGCTCTCATGCTGGTCAGCCCCAACGGCCAAAAGAGCAGGCAAGACATTCATATGATTGGGTCAATAGTCCGTATAGGGTATGTCAATGAGCCTGTAGAGGCTTTCAAGTGCGTACACGGGGTGATCTCCATCCTGCCTCGGTGCTGCGCAGTCCCATGTTGGGATCGCGACGTCGAAGAGATGTCGTATACGTCAATGCGGCGTAGCTCAGTGCGGGTTTAGAACTTGCCGAGGCCCCGTCGTAAGATCATGCTGATCACCCGTGATCAACTCTTCTTGCTAGAAAAGCCTTGAAATACCCCCCTCTGTTTATCCAGACATTGGTCTACATTACTGTGCATCTTGAGTATTACCCAGGATTGCAGTACGGGAAGCCTCACGAAACCTCAAAGTTTGAAGAATAGACAACTTGTAAAACGACACAATATGGCTGAGGAACAGAAACCCAAGGTCAAGCTCTATTGGTAAGATCCAACATAGATCCAAGGAGGCTTTTCATGACACGAATCTAACCATACGGCCCAGGCTTGAGCAATCGCGCGCGCAGAGTATCCTGTGGCTGCTCGAGGAGTTCAAGATCGATTATGAGTTGGAGCTCTTCCACCGGAACAAGGAGACCAGACTGGCGCCTCCAGAGTTGACCAAGATTCACCCTCTGGGCAAGTCGCCCGTCATCAGCGTCACACCTGTCGGCTCAGACAAGCCAATCGTGATTGCCGAGACCGGCTTCATCGCCCAGTACCTCAGCGAGCACTTCGGGCAGGGCACCACCCTGCTGCCGAAGCGGTGGAAGGACGGCCAGGAGGGCAAGGTCGGTGGCGAGACCGACGAGTGGATGCGCTGGATGTACTTCCTGCACTACAACGAGGGCAGCCTGATGCCCACCTTCATCCTCGCCATGATTCTCGGCATGATGAAGAGCCCTAAGGTTCCATTCTTCATCCGCCCCATCACCAGCCTCGTCGTCAACAACGTCATGAACTCCTTTGTCATACCTAACGTCAAGAAGCACCTGGGATTCCTCGAGAGCCAGCTCGAGACCTCCCCCGGCGACTATCTGTGCGGCAAGAACCTGACCGCGGCCGACATCACCATCAGCTTCGCCCTGGTTGCCTTCCAGGGCCAGTTCGGCCAGTTCGGCACCCGGGATACGCCCCCCGACAAGCTGTACCCCAAGCTCTGGGCTTGGATCAGCCGCATGGACGCAGAACCGGGATTTAAGAAGTCCGCCGAGGCCATCAAGAAGATTGACGATAGTTACAAGGTCAAGTGGACTTGATTGTCGATTCTGTCTGTATCTATTCGGAGGGAGAGGTCGTGGGAGGGTGCTATAGGCGGAATTCTGTACATATAATATCCGCGCTTTTTGCATACTCCCTTCTTGATACCATCAGTACCGTACTCTCATAAAAATACTCTAGCTTAATGTTGTTTTCTAATGTTATTCTCTCGAGCTCTCGGTCGTTGTCGCCATCCTAGGATTGCCCCGTTGATTGGCAGAAGACTATGCGCATCTGTGTCATCCGTACCATGACGGCCGTTCGAAGCTTCATCCAACATCTACATATACATGGCTTTTCAAAGAGAAGGGTTCACCGTCAACCCTGAAAGGCAGAACTCCGCGAGAGTATGCATATATGGGGCCGGCACCACCTATGCATACTCGGTGCAAGTCGCGTTCCAAGCCATCGATGCATTCAGCTCGGATAACCGAAACGCTGCCTCAGGTGGCCTGAGCAGGAGTGCCGCGATAGGATACGGGATCAGAGTACCCGTAGCTGTCATTCTACTCCTTGCAGGTGCATTCCTGCTCTGAAGAAATGGGTGCAGGATGCAGAGCTAAACCTACAAGCACAACCTCACGGCCATGAGCAGCCCGGCTCCAGGTTGTGGGCACGCACCTTCAGATAGAAGTGCGCAGGATGCGAGCAAATCAGCCAAGATACTGGGTACGCCGCAAGAAGTACCCAATATGGCTGTTGAGGTCCCAAGGCCTTTGGGCAAGATACCGGTTGAGCTGCCTCACGAAAACGAGATCTTGGGCCATAGCCAGATACCAATCCTGGGGGCTTTAGGGGATGCGCTGCCACCCGGGATGACGCATGCGCGGTAGTTCCCTAGCATGTTTAGTACTTGTGTATCTGTTTACTTAAATATGTGACCTGGGATGGAATGTATGGCGTGTCGAATGGCATACCCAGTAGAAAAGTTGTTGTATGGGATGACAAACGTGCTATTGGAGGCGTCAGTTACGCAAAGGGGGTGAAGCGCGGCGGCGTGTCCCTGTGCAGTCCATAGCGTTTTTGAACATCCCGATTCTGTTCGAGGTCTTCCAGCTTGCGAGCCATGATCTGCTTGTAGTGGAGTGTTCGCGTCCGGGCAAACTCTACGGGTAATCCATCATCGTGGCGAATGTCTGCCAGCGAGTGCTGCGGCGGCGCATAGCCAAGCATGCTCTCATCGTACTTCGCTACCGCGGGCTCTGGTTCTGCGCCGATGTCCATAATATCCCATGGAGGGAACGCTGCCCCTGGCTGCTGGTCTGCCACGTCCAAGATGCCCTCCAGTACACGTCGTCTGAGTCTCAGGTCGCCGCCGTTCTCTGTGACTAGAACTGAATCCGGGCTGTAGAGCGGGTTCTGATCGCTTCGTACGAAGATAAGTTTTTTCAGGTGCGAAAAATGTTTCGTGATCGTTCGAAAATAACTTCTCAAGACCGCGCCCGAACCCACTGCTGTGTTCAGTTTGTCCCAGGCCGCAGCATTGATAGCTAGATACCGAGTATGGGCTACATGTTCCATGGAAACTGATTCCACGAAGTCCGAGAAGGTGGTATCGCTCCGGGCTTCAAAGTAGATGATATCAATGCTCGGGTCAAGGAAAATTCCGCCAACATGGCCATGGCCTCCAAATAAAAGCCGGTATGTCCTCAGCGTCTCGGCTCGTGATTCGCGGCACACATGGAGGTTACTGGGAACTTTGGCGGGCGACGAGAACACGCGAGTCAACACGGAATCATTGGCGTCTCTGAAAGCTCTGAAAGAGCATGCATGAGCATGTACCGGTAAGATACGAGGTCCGGGGAGATTGTAGCCCCATATTTTGAGACGAAGCTCTATCGGCAGCTTCGAAAAGTCATCCTGCTTTCCTATTAGATCAGACGGTTTTGAACAATGGTAAGAGCTACGAACGAATACCAGAGGTCCTAGTTCTTCAACCATTGGAAGGCCCTCTCCGAAAACCATTGAAGTTTATGCAGAGAACTGGCGGCAGTATGACAAAGTTGCCTCAAGTCTGCTACTAGCTGTTCGGATTGACTCGGAACCTGGGATACCCTTTGGACAATACGGAAGCATTCCAGTGCGATCCGAGAGCCATTTTATCTTTCTGCTATGCAGCGTTGGTTATCTCCCATGATAGTGTTTCTCTGCAATGTTTGGACGGGCAAGGTAAGTGTAGGAAGATTCCAAGGCCCGAGGACCGAATAGTTTGGATTGGCCCAGTTACCTTCCGACCCAACCCTTGCATAGCTTTATGTACAGATGATTCGAGTGGCTGTTGGTCTCAGATCCTCTGTATCATTACGAAGTTTGACGAGCAAGCTACGCAACTAGGCTAAACTTGTGATTGGCCCAGATATCGGATATGGAATCAGCTGTCTCGGCCATTGTATACTTAATGGTCGACCTCGCCCAATCGCATGGGTTCCGGGGCTATCGCTCAGATCCCAAGCATCTCAAGGCTGAGAATCGCAGCCAACTCATGTTACACAATACAGAAAGGTCTCACAGTGGGAAAATCGGGCACCGGCCCTCTGGAGAGAATCATCCTGACCATTTAATATGTCTCGGGTGGTGGCAGTTATGACCTTGGGTTTTGTAATAACCCCACATCTTTATGAACTACCTGCACCATATGGAAACATGATCACACATGATCATGATTCAAAGAGTTTCAGTACGTCTTCCGACCATCAGCGACGTACCTAGGACTCTTCATGAGCCTCAATTTCCCCAGTCGAGGGAGAACTGGTACACAAGAGGCTTGCAATTTGTAGATGACCGAAGAGGATTTCATGTGGATTTGAATTGATCTGGGCCGCATAGTCATAATCGGAGGTCTCATGCAAAGGTGTCTAAACTTCTTGCGCGACATAATCAATGACCAACGTCATAGACACTGTCAGAAAGGATGTCGACCTGTGACTTCCGTTTAAACAGTTGAACGAGGACATTGCATTTTGCCTCGATGTAGGTGAACGCTTGGTCTGAGGTGTTCCTCCCGGTACCATTTCTGGCATGCTACCTTCTCTAACAAAACAGACTATATTGTCTCATCATGAGCAACACCTGTTCTTGCCTCTACATTTGTCTCTGAGTCAGTGTTATATCAAAGCCGTCCATCAGTCTTTGCTATGAATTTGCATTGAAAATACAAGTTAGCCTTTCGCGAACGCTGCTGTGTGACACCAGCTGAAATACTGCTCGTGTCCCGGCATCTTTGATAAATGACATCCGTTCGGTATTGGTGTACTACCTCAGATAACCTAGGACTTGGTCAGAAGTGCAGTGGGAAGAGCAGGCGCCAAGCAGAGCGATTTTTGGTAAGACCCCTGCGCTGATTGCAGCACACTTGCAACCTCTGTGTCCAAGATTCAGCTCTGTCTAAGCGCGTAGCAACCAGGGCGGTAACGACGGCGCTCTCGATACTATACTAGGACCGAACGGTGTGATATTTCGAGACTTTGACGCAGTTAGCTTCTCTTTGTGTGCCGCAACTTTCTGCGACTTACCCTCTGCTGCGATTTGAGGGAGCAGGAAATGGACGGATTACATGCAGCTGCGATACCACACACAGTTGCAGTGGATTTTACCGCCCTATACTCCATTGGCCCCAAACAAGCCCACCCACCCCGCGCCCTCTAAGCGCCCAGGGGGTGCCAAATTTGGATCTCGTCGCACAGTAGCAGCCAATCCGAGAGCCTCACGGCCGTCACCCTTGTCTTGGACTTTCTAACACCCTGGTCCCATAAGATCTGAATGGCCGCGAGAGGATGCGCCCCGTGCATGAGCGCATCGCTCTGAAGGCCGACACACCTAGTGGACGTTCTATCCTTAGCACTTTGCATGTCGGAATAGCAGCGGGCTTCTGCTAATGGTATTGGAGATTTCGAGCGGCTATCTGTCGTCGCTCATTCATATCTAGATGTTTCGCATCTTCTGAAGACAGGCTAGTTCGTTTCTCTTGACATCACCTCTTGTTTGCTCGTGCTTGAGTATTTCGTTCCTTCGCCTTTTCATATACCCCTACTGTGAGCATTGGGGCGCTACTCTCGTTATACTTTCGGTTCCTTGGTCATCTTGAAACGGATCGTCCTTATCTTCGATCATAATGTCGAGCGAGACGAAGAGTGCAGCTTCTGCCTCCAACTTTGAGGTCGACCCCCATGAACACTCGAGCCAATCTCACCTTCGGGCGACACGTCTAGTTGATGGTGTTAGAGTCAGTCTGACAGCCCTCGGACTGCTCCTAGGCCTCACGGTTCTTGGTACATCCGGCAACACCTTGTCAGTGTACAATACGACATCTGTCCCTACGAACAACCTGCTGCCTTTATGGCCAGACGAGTTCGATCTTCGGCCAACAGTTGCACTGGTTGTCGGTAGTGCTATTGTCGTATTCGCAAGCATTCTCTCTCTGATTACCAGCAAGGTGCCCAAGGTGAGGAGAAGAACGCCAGACAGATTGCATCTCAAAGTATTAACCATGTCATACAGCTCCGAAGCCGAAGCCCGGTGCATACGCCTGTGAGCCTCGGTGCTCCATTCCTCGGATTCGCTGCTGCGATGATTGCAATGATTTTCTTCTACGCAGTCAATTCTTCCACTACTGTCGACACATTGCAGAGCTGGAGCTGTCAATGGGAATCCGTCGGCATGGACATGCAACCGTACTTCGGCACACTCTGCCGCGAAAGCAAGACAGCGCTCTATCTATCTGTAATCCTGGTACCCGTAGAGGCCGTAATTTTGTCCTTCGCTGCGTACCAGACGACCCTAGAGCGTAAAGCAGTGTTCATCGCGCAGCCAAGAAAGCAAGGAAGCCCAGTTCCTTCAGCATAAGGGGTCACAGGCTGATGCCAAGCATCCACGAGAGATCACGTCCATACTGTTATATGTCGACCCGTTTATATTTGGCATTCGGTAGTGCATGTTCATGGTGGATCAAGGCGTTGCTATCGGGTTAGTGGGGTGCTGGGGATCATCAATACATTGATGATATGATGGACGGTGTGATCTCCAAAGCTGGTATAAGGCCAGACTTTCATGTCTTTGGAATTGTATATTATAACGATGCAAGGGGCTATTGGAGGGAGGCAGGGGTCCACTACCATACGGTTTGATGACTAGGTTTCTACGCGAGTCGTAGCTCAGCTCTAGAGTTTTTACGACGCATATCAGTGCTCACTTGAGTGTCTCCTATGGAATATCATTGTAGTAATGAATACATCTTGACAGCGCTTTAGCGTGGCTGTTGAGTGGAGGATAAATAACATGTCGCTGCACGATTCATCTCATCATTGGGTAGCCTGCAGAGAGTTTCTGGACACTGGTGCCAATCTCGACAAAGTTATGCAACGTTTCGCGGATACTTGCAGTTTCGGCCTCCATCGTGTTTCCCCAGGAAGAGTCTCAGCGTCTGACAGCCCAGATACTAACCAGTAGCTGAACTGGGCTGTTGTTGGGAGTCCGGATGGGTAGGCCTTGCAGTTGTCCTTGGAATTTGGAATTTGTAAGTGAACTGGGGCGATCCTGATGTTTGTTCGAAAGCAGTTCAGGGTCTAACTAAGCACGCCCGTAGTTTCACCCAAGCCCCCGCCCGGGTCGTGGGCGGAGTGGGACCCCTCCCCCCGGCCTATCGCGGCAGACTCACCGTAGGGCGGAGCTTCAGCAAATTGTAAGGGATGCTTGCCAATCTGCACAACTGAGACCGGTGCGTGGTTCAGCAGCAGGCCGATGTAGAATGCGACTCTATACCAAGTACGAAGGCTGCCCACTGGTTTCAAGGGCAGTCGCTAGCCGTTCGGCCCTTATAAGCGTTCATTTATTTTTAATCATCCCACCTGAGCTGTCTCTCATCTACTTGTCCAAGGGATTTTCCTTCCGCGACAGACTATGCACGCAACCTGATGACCGCCTTCGTCCTTGCTTCAGTTGGCAAACAGTAGAATGAGCAAAGGATCCGACTGGCACACCAAATGGCACGGCGATGCTCATGGTCGGGCACAGGGCACATGATGGTTTTCTGTCTCGGGCTCTCCAGCGATAGCCCGCTCGTATTGATATCAGCATGCTGCCCTCAGAGAAGTAGGTAAAAAAAGGTCGGTAGCCACGGAGACATGTCTTTCGTCTTTCGCATAGGGGGACAATTACTACACACCCAGATAGTTCGATCACCCTTCATTCGTCTCTTCGTAGAGTGACCACGTCTGTCGCAGCAACGACCGTGCTAGGCCTTCTTCGATTGGCTGATAGGTCAAGACGAGTGTTCGGCTATCTCACTCTGCTATCTTTGAGAGGTCAGGTTGAGCAAACATTCACTGCTGCACGAGACAGTCACTTTTCTTTTCCCTTTAAGACACAACCTGCGTGCAGCAGGACCCCTGACGCGATATCAAAAACCCTCGCGTCGAACTTGACAACCTGAGTTTCCACCGCCGTTGGCATTGCGCTGGAGCTCGCCGGCCACAGCCCATGTCCATCTGGGCAATGAACGAAGCGCGAGAGCTGCTTGCAGGCAGAGAGCATCGTACGGTCTGAGTACCACACTCTCCAACTGGCAACCCCATCTAGAACGCTACCAAAAGTCGACTAACGTTCGGCCTGTTTCTTAATCAGGCGTTTGCACTCCGCCAATTCTCAGGTTGGTCTGAAATACGACGCTCCCCAGATCGCCCAGGCCCACCAGGGCGCCGGTTCAGCAGGGAACTAGCACAAACACCGCTGAGGGATGCGTGAAGCTTGACCCCTTGACGGCGCCAGTCCGTGCTATCGCTCCGCTTGGGAAGATGGAACGGCCAACGACACCCGGTCTGGGCGTCAACCCACCTAAAAATCGAAGGATCCCACCTGCCAAACAGAATGTCGCGCCCTGCACGAATTTATCCTTTGCCGAGCGAAAGGCACAGTTGTCGCGGCGGTCCAAGTCCAACATCGTCGAGGGCAATAGCGTGTTGAGAAGCATAGAACGGCCGCCGCCAGGAGACGTAATGGGTCGTCGCAAGTCGCAACTGGAGCCGGAATTGGCGAAGAGGAGAAGTGCATTCTACGAAAGCGAGTTTGCAGTTGGCCGCGAAATAGATCCAACCAAAGACCGGGTTCGCAATGATGCCATAGTCCTGGCGGAATTGCGGACCAACGTGATTGTACGTTGAACAATGGACCTTGGTCGTTGGCCCGCAGCTTACACAGAAATTGCAGATTCAAGACGAGTTCACCTTCATCACTGACCTGTCCTACCATTTATCCAATCGGTATCAACGGTCGGTATCCTCGATTGTGATCAACCTACAGCATGGCTGTTGTATGATGTTTGGCGGTTCTTTTGATCCAGCCTATACCCTCACCATCTTTGCGCTGCCCAGTCTTGTCCAGCCTATCACGAACAAAAGGAATGCGGCCCTGATCCAAGCCCACATGATGGAGACTCTTGGGGTCGTCCCATCCAGAGGTTACCTGCGTTTTGTATCCACGCCAGAGGAAGACGTCGCCATTTGCGGCAAAACGGTGGCAGGCGAAATGGAAGACTTAGAGAGGGAGACAAGGGATGAGACCGGCAATGAACGAGATGCTGCGAAACTGTCGACGAAGAATAGGAAGTTGAGCGTACGTGTAAGTTTTTGGGTCCGCCTTGATGTTTCAACAAGTTGGAAACGTCGACAAAATCTGCGGCTGACCACCTAGTAGTCTTCTTGGGCGAATTTCAGACCCTCCACAGCCGGAACCCTTGTATCTGAACCACTGCCTACGCCGCCGGCGAGCACAGATGACACGCCAATGATTGCAACGTCCATTCCGGAGCACCCGCCCACCCCAGAAGAGGAAGGTCCGGTCGACGAGAAGGCGGCAAAGACAGCAGCTCGTAGGAAGAGCTTCGTGTCCGCGTTGCTCTTCGGAAACAGAGGATCGACCAAGGACCGACGACCGAAGACCTCAATGGGGTTCTAGCGATGGGTACACTGCATTTCCATGGGAATTTTCCTTTGTCAATGGCATAGTCACAGCTCGGTGTCGGAACGGATTTGATTTGGGGACTCCACTTAGGAGGTATGCAATAATGTTGCCTGATTTGGTTCTTGTGCAATTCAAATAGAATCAAGCTGGCGGTCAAGTTAGCTGAAACAGATACCCATCGCACAAACATATGATCAGTCCCACTAGTCTACCTCGACCTTACCTTTCAGGAACATGTCCGTCATAGAGCTCGGCCAGCAGGGTTGTTAATGCGCATACCGGTCTGCGACAGCTGTCCGCGAATCTGAACGTCATCCCGATATTCATGGCTTACTAAACAAGGGTATGTCGCCAGCAATCAGCGTAGCATGTGTGCACGCATCAAGGTTGGCATAAACGCTTCGAAACTGAACCGGCCACTTGCCGTGCAAACCCTTGAGAGGCATGGAGAGCGAAGGAACTGGGTTGGCCGCATTGCCTCATCGGTTCGGTAAAAATTGGCTGTTTTGAAGACGAGGAGATATAACGACACCTTTATGCCTGGCTCTGAGTATGGAACTCTGAATAAGTCGCCTTGCATTGAACCCCAAAGCTTTTACCACGTTCACAGTATTTAAACACAGTAACGAGAGTACAGATTTAGCGGGGTCTTACAGTTAGTGTGGCTTAATGCACACGGTAGACCTCGATCCAGAACCCCACGCCCTGGTTCGGCATCTAGCCTACATACACGTAGGGATGCAGATTCAGATGTGAGTCCAAAACTGACATCCTGTTCATCGAAGACCTGGTTGCAACATCTGCGCCTCATGAGACGGCCCATGACGTGACGTGGACTCGATCACAACCCCGAGAAGGACCTTTCGGACGACAACATCGACAATTGCCTAACCCAGCCTCAACCTTGGAAGGCTGGGACGTTGGCAACGTGATCGCGACAGAAAGGCAACTCGCTCCGCCGCCCTTCAGAGCCATTGCCCAGGTCGCTCTGCAGTTCTATATAGGACATTGCGTCGAGCTCTCGGGCTCTTCTCGTTCGTTTCGTCGCTCACACCTCTCATCTGTGTCTACCACCTCTTCAAGCGACTCACTACCGAGCTGCCGCCGCCGCCGCCATTTGGACGCTCTCTGCTGTACGACATTAGATCAATCAATCGGCCCGGACCGTTCAAGTGCGCCAGTCGACTAGGCTGGAGAAGTCCTTCTCTGACTCAGATCGCTTATTATAGTGATCTTGGTAAGCCTGGCCGAGAGGCGCAACTTGCGGCACATATTGTCATCGTGCCCACCCCATCAAGCCTGCGGCGTACAGGTTGGAGGAGTGCGGACTGCAACGTTCAGTAAACCCTGGCACCAGCAGCCCTTGGCTGTTGGCTTTAGAGTCGCCAGTATGGAGGTAAGACATCATTTCTTTCTCATCATGTCAGCTGAAGAAGGTCCGTATGTCATGTCTCCCTCCGCAGCCTCGCGGCGGACGAAACCCTCCAACCTCCCGGGCCGAGTGGCACACGAGCTTGCAGGCCTACACACGTCTGTTATCTTTCCGATCATGGAAGGTACGAGAACACAGATGGGAGATCCCACTATTTGACATCATCATACCCTGGATCCCAGAATGACCCGTGAACGCCGCGCAACATCCTGATTGAACGGATCCAACGAGAGGGCTAGGCAGGCGTCGCAGACGGGCCCGAGCTCGACGGCCTGGAGATTGAGTCACTACAAGAGAGAGCTGAGTCCGGGGGCTGTCCATTCGTACAACAGTGAGATGAGCCCAACGAAAAATTTCACTTCTAGGATCCTCAGAGGCTTGGGCAGCCGACATGTCTTGTCACAAATGAGCTTTGTCACCCAGCGCTTCGGTGTATACCTCATTTCCGCTCATGGTATTTGTCTGTGGTTGAGATCGCCTGCCTGCACCCGTGCCGACATCACCGCCCGGTGAGCACGGCCAGTTGCGAATCGTCTCGCCGAGCCCGTGGATTTGGCTGCTCTCACCATACATCGACCCCCTTGCCAATCGAACGTGCAAGTTGGAACAAACTGCAAACGGGAACCGATCATAAGTTTTGTTGGCGGTTTCACAGACGAGAGTCCATAGGCTGCCAGATCAACGATTATGGAGTGAGATTATCTCGCGCCGCCCGCTATCTTGAGCGCAGCCGTCCTCTGGGGTCATATCGACCATCGAATATGGCGGAATAACTTTTCAGACCTCGCTCTCTTGTTTCCAGCCTCACACTTTGGCTATCATTTTGCGCCTGAAGTCTTCCATTATGTCGTCCCGGCTAGGCGGATGGGATATTACTTCCAAGTTGGAAGGCATCCACGAAGGGCCACGGGGAGGACAAAGCAGCTCTCTTAGTCCAGCACAGCTAAATCTTGAACGTGTTTTTGAACAGAGCCGGCAGCGACAGCAACAGCAGAAGAATGGACCAAAGGCTCCAGATCTGCCGAACCCAGGTCCCCCGACCAAGGGAAAGCCAAGACTACTGCTGATGGGCCAGAGAAGGTTTGAAACTAGCCTCGACAACTATTTTCGTCTGCTAATACATCCCAGGAGCGGTAAATCATCGATATCTAGCGTCGTCTTCCACAAACTGCCACCGAGCGAAACTTTGTTTCTGGAGTCCACCGCTCGCATACAGAAAGACTCGATGGCGTAAGATTCTTGTCGTCACATTCATGTTCCGTCTGTATACTAAGAAGAGCCAGATCTTTTATGGATTTCCAGGTCTGGGACTTTCCAGGTCAGATTGATATATTCGAGAATCCCACGTTTGATATAGACGCCATGTTTGGTGAGATTGGGGCGTTGATATGGGTCATCGACGCGCAGGACGACTATCTTGAAGCAGTGGCCCGCCTCAATGTGACGATACTTAACCTGCAGCGGACATATCCCAACATCAAGATAGAGGTTTTCATCCACAAAGTGGACGGCCTCTCTGACGACTATAAACAGGATATTCAGAGGGATATCACGATACGTATCCAAGATGAACTTTCCGATCACGGATTTGAGAATGCGCCTGTCAGGTTCCACCTCACGAGCATCTACAACCACAGCATCTTCGAAGCTTTCAGCAAGGTCATACAGAAGCTGATCCCACGTCTTGGAAGCCTTGAGGCAATGCTTACGAATCTTTGTCGCACGTGTCGCTTCGAGAAGGCCTATCTCTTCGACGTCCTGTCCAAGATCTACATCGCTACCGATAGCGCGCCCGCAGACATGGCCAGCTACGAGATATGTTCAGACTACATTGATGTCATTATCGATATCACCGAGGTGTACGGTAGCTGGCCGCGTTCCAAGGGCTATCGTGAGTCGCTCGAGGGCGAACCGTGGAACCAGAAGCTCGAAGATCAGGTCGCAAGCAATTGGGCCGAGAGCTGCATGGTGCTGAGTGACGGGAACAGGCCGATCATGCTGCGAGAGGTCGACAAATACTTGGCTCTTGTTGCAATCATGAAGGAGGATAGCTATGACAAGATGCCATTGGTCAACATGAATGTGGAGGTCGTCGTAGACGGGCTGAAAGAGTTTTTTGAGATCACGAAGCCTAAATGAGCGGCAAATTGTCTCGGTGGCTGATTAACTCTTTCTGCTCAGGGTGTTTCGTGTGTTCCAAACACTGCGCCGTATTGAGCTCGAAGGGAACGAGGCGATTGGCAGGAAAATATTAAAACTACTCACCTAGTTATGTAGAGACCAGAAAATGCTCAGTTGGCCATGGACATCCTCGAAATATCCTAGATTCTACTTAAGAATGTCCCTCTAACCAAGCTCCTACCCTACGATCTTCTTCCACACATCAACTCATCCGCACATCGATACACAAATACACTGCCGATCTTCTTCACCCATTCCACAATGCCTTCCTTCACCGCCAACGTCGTGCTACTGGGCGCTGCTGCCGTCGGCACCATGGCATCATCGTTTACGACCGTCCCTTCCGGTAGCTGGCCTTCTACTACGCAGACATCCACTACCATGGAATCGTCGTTCACAACTATTGCCTCTGGTAGCTGGCCCCTTATGCCTGCACAGTCATCGTTCGAAACCATCCCTTCGGGTCACTGGTCTCCTTCCCCCACGCAGGAATCGACCACCACGGAACCATCGTTCACAACAGTTGTGTCTGGCAGCGCGCCTGAATCTCCTACGCAGGCATCGACTACTCTTCCCTCTGGTGGCTCACGACAACCCCCCAGCCAGGGACCAACTACCACGGAGTCGTCGTTCACGACTGTTCCCTCTGGTAGCTCGCCTGAACCCACTAGCCAGGCATCGTCTCAACTGTTTCCACCACCTGCCGGGTGTGTCGGCTCACCGAGCAGCACGACGCCAGGTGCTCCGTTCACCACGGTTATAACTTATCAGTCCACCACGACCTTGACCGTCTCGTTGATTACGATATCAGATGCCCCCTCCAGCACGACATCGCAGGGTCTGCCATGAACAGGGGGAGGCGCCAGGTCGATCATCTGAAAGTAGCACGGGCGAGGACGGGGACTGGGAGCAGTACACGTGGCAGCTGCGAATGGACGCCGAGGAAGAGACCGTTACTGGTTCCTGAGCACCGGCGCCGACGTGTTGGAGCTTCAAGTGTTTCCCTACTTATTTTGCTACACTTCTCATCGCTTTCTTATTTTCTCTTACCCATTGCATTCATATGAGCACAATTGTCACATTGGCGTAGTTTTCTCCCCCCTCCACCTATCCTCTCCCCTTTGCCCGGTAATTGTGCGGTTGTTTTTTCTTCTTTTTCTTTTGTGTGGCGTGGAAAGGAAAGTCGCTTAAGGTTCCTGTTACCGAAAACTTGGCTTCCAACTCTGGAGAGAAAGGGGGAAAACCTCAGAAAATGGGACCAAAGCTTGATTTTACATCTGAGCCGAAAATGGTGGGCTATATTGCCAGCTTGCATAAGGACAGAGACGCATTTTGATTCCTTGCCAGTACTATTATATATCTTAAACAGTGTTCTACCCTCCTCCGCTTGATCGCTATGATATCGCAGAACCACTAACTTCTAGAAGATGCCTCTTTATGGAAACATTGTGTCGACCTTTGATAAAACTATAAACACGAAGTTGGATGGGGTCAGTTCTCGACCGGCTTGATTTTAAGTCTCGGATGAGCTTGTGTATTTGGGGTTCGCAGTTGCTGAAACCGCGCTTACAGGGCATTGTTTCTGTTATGTAAATGATCAAAGTTATCCAGCCCATCGGCGCTGATTTTCGGTCAATCCGTATCGAGTCGTTGTATCAGTAACCTTGCGGCATGTTGCTGACGGCAATGAGCCAATCAACGGCCCACGTTGCTTAACTCCAACCTGGTGGTCTCGCCCAACGCGGGACGGGACATTCGTGCTTCAATATCTTTCCAGCGTCGGCACGTCGCCCTCCACCAGGATCATATAGCAGGCCTCCGAGTCTCATAGACTCGTCTTTATCGACATACACATTGCGATGGAGCTCAATTAGAAACAAAAGCTTGATTGCGTCGCGGCCACTGTTCTCCTCATCATTGCCGGCCTTGGCCACGACGGGAAGCCATCAGCGCCGGAGGTATAGTGTTCCGCACAATTATCAAGCGAGGCTCCCCTGAGGATTTCCTGTGATATAGGCCCGGCATGTATCTACTCAGAATCCTCACAGCGCTCATCTGCGCACACCGAGCACTCGCTCTCACCACCGGCAGCCCGTACACCTCATCCCTAGCCCAGCATGCCCTGCAAAAGGTCCTCCACGACGCCTCAGAGATATTCGGCCTCCCGGCTCCGCCCTCCACACGCACCAACGTCTCCCTCTCCACCTGGATGTCCACGTACCCGGACGAGGCCCTTCTGACCTCGCTCACCATCCCAGGCGCCCACGACGCGGCGACGTGGAACTACAGCGGGGCGCGGCAGGCGGCCCTGCGCCCCGTCACGGACCTGCTGAACGCGAGCCTGTCGGATCCCCGCGCGTACCGGTGCCAGCGGCGCAGCGTGGCGGCGGCGCTCGAGGCCGGGGTGCGGTTCTTGGACCTGCGGTACGCGCCGGACGCGACGGGGACGCGGCTCGTGTTCTGGCACCGTGATGCGCTGCTGGGCGAGGCCGCGGGCGTCGAGGAGCTGCTGTTCGCCGTCTTCGCGTGGCTGCGGGCGCACGCCTCCGAGGCCGTCCTTCTCAGCCTGCAGTACGAGGGCGCCACGAGGGCCGGGGCGGCCAACTCGGCCGCCGTACAGCGCATGCTGTTCGACGTGCTGACGTCGCCGGCGGCTCGGTCGCATCTCCTGCAGACGCGCGCCTTGGGCACGTTGGGCGAGGCGCGCGGGAAGGCCGTGCTGGTGAGGCGGTTCGACATGGACCAGCTGCCGGCGGAGTACGAGGAGGCACTGCCAGGCGTGCACCTGTCGCCGGCGCAGTGGGTCGATAACTCGGCCAATATCACGTTGGTTTACAACCAGTCCACGGGTGCCACGGCATACATCGAAGATCTTTACTCGCCGGACTCGGTGCCACTGAGCGCGAATGCGAGTTCCAACATTGCCGCGAAGCTAGAGGCCGTGGCTACTCACTTGCACGAAGCAGCTAATGGATCCGAGGAGGATTTGTTCGTCACGTTCGCGTCTGGTCAACGGTTAGATGCTGAGATACCGGTGTATCCCGAAACCATGGCGTTGGGGAGCGGGACGAAGGCAACACCGGACGGAGGCGTGAACCAGCAGCTCCTGCCAACACTGAAGGAATTGGCAGGGAGGCGGCTGGGTATTGTGGTATTGGATTTTTGGGACGAACCAGGGGCGTTGGTAGAAGCTGTTTTGGGGCTATAGATATATGCTCCTCTGCCGAATTGACAGAAAGACTGGTCAATAACTATCAACCTAAACTCGTATCCTGGGGAAAGCCACAGTAAGCAAACGGCGATGGTGGTGATCGTTGATCAAAAATCCTATGGCAATGGACTGGGCCAACTCGTTGTAGTGTTGCAAGGTGCTAACAGAGCTCGTCTTGTTTATGAAAAAGCACAAATGGAAGTTGCCGCTCTCTAGGACCGCTGGAATCCCGAAATGCATATCCAGTACTCCCAACATCGCAAATGGTAATGTGTCCAAGACGTCCAGGACAGCAGGTTGGAGGTTTATTAGATTAAGCATTGACTGCAGTCGCTTCCAAGCCGGTTACCCTATGATCCCAAGAAAAAAACAAGTCTAATGAGGCAACACGAGAGATTGTCCTGAACGCCCGTCTCGCCCAATGCCAACAACTCCGTCATAATGTCAAAGCAAGAAGGACGGCACCGTCGTTATGCCCGAAGATCATAGGACCGCTACCTCTGGAGCTCCGAATCTGGGATACTCTTCCGCACTGGGTATGTACACACCCACGTCACGCTCCCGAAGCCAAGCGAGTGAAAATGGGCCCTGACGGAACGCTTGCTGCTATTGTTGTGGTGGTGGTGGTGGTGGTGGCAACGGTGGCGGTGGCATCTAGTAACCGGCATCGTAATTTTGACCGGGAACCGAGACCTGCGGTGCATAGCCCCTGGCCTGGGCGTGCATGGCCTGCTGCTGCTGCTGTTGCTGCATCTGCTGTTGGACCACAATGTCACTGAACCACGGGTGCTGGAGTGCGTCGTGGGCGCTGATGCGGTGCTCCGGGCGGAGGACCAGCATCCGCTGGAGCAGGTCGATGCCGAGCTGGTCGATCTGGGGCAGGATATTCCTCAGGTCCTGGGTGGCGTACATGTGGAAGGTGGGCTTGTACTCGGCAAACTGGGTGATGCCGGGCCAGGTGCGCTCGGTGGGGGTGCCCATGATGCGGAAGATGCGGACGATCTGGTCCTCGTTGGTCGTTCCGGGGAACAGAGGCCGGCCGGTGTACATCTCGGCCATGATGCAGCCGGCGGACCAGATGTCGATGCTGGTGTTGTAGGTCCTGCTGCCGAGCAGGACGTCCGGGGCGCGGTACCACAGGGTGACGACCTCGTTGGAGAAGGTATTGACGGGAATGCCAAAGGCTCGAGCCAGGCCAAAGTCACCGAGCTTGAGGGCGCCCTTGGGGCTGATGAGCAGGTTCTGGGGCTTGAGGTCGCGGTGGAGGACGCGGTTCTGGTGGCAGAAGTCGATGCCCTTGAGCAGCTGGTACATGAAGGACTTGATGGTCATGGGCTTGAGGGCGCCCCTGTCGCCGTTGGTGTCCATGTACTTCTTGAGGTCGCCGTCCATGTACTCGAAGACCAGCATAAGTTTGTTCTCGGTGTGGATGACGTCGTGCAGGCCGACAATGTTCTCGTGCTTGAGCTCCTTCATCAGGGAGATCTCGCGGATGGCGGTCGAGGGGGTGCCTTCTTCGGAGTCGAGGTGGATCTCCTTGAGGGCGACCAGCTCGCCGGTCTGGCGGTTGCGGCCCTTGAAGACGGTGGCATAGGTGCCCTCGCCCAGCTTCTCCAGCTGCTGGAAGGAGCTGGGATGTCTCTTTGCGTCCATGATGTCGGATATAGAGCCTCACGCAGGGCGCTGGGCTGGGTTGGGCTTGGGGGAGGCGAGATGAGGTATCGGGCGAGGGGCGGGGGAAGGAAGGCTGCTGGGCGAGCGAACGGCTCAGCGTCGTCAGGGAAGGTCTGGGGTGATGGCACAGCGGCTCGATGGCGTCTCAGCGGTCCTGGTCGTGGGCGAGGACAGTGATGATGGCGGAAGTACTACAGGGAAAGTCCCAGCAACAGAACGGGCGACTTGGACCCTCGGGAGTGACAATACGAGAGGCTCTGCGATAAACGGGAATAGACAATGCTCGGCTCGACTCGACTCGACCGCACAGAGATATGTCGCTGTCTGACGAAGTGTGACTTGGTGGCTCGACGTCGAGTGTAGGGATGGATATCGGATCGAGGAGCAGGGTCGTCGTCTGTCGCGGCGCTTAACTGTATGAACTGTTGGAGCTGAAGTGCCCGGTTGAGGTTGGCCTGGCCAAAGTGAAGAGGAGTTGTTAGTCAAGTTACTGGCTTCCACTTTCTCTCCCCCAATGAGGGGCACAGAGAGACACGGGCAGAGCTTTGAGCGTCAACTTTGGAAAGGGTCGTGGAGCCAAGACCCCGGCCGACGGGGGCAGACCCAGTGGTCCCAGTGGACCCAGTGGCAGGTACTGGACCATAACTCTTGCATGTAACTTCACTACCTAACTTAGGAGCCGCCCCTCCACTCCCCTCCTGCTTGTTGCCTCTTCTGGCATCCATGGACCTAGAGGCGACAGGCGACAGGCGACAGGCGACAGAGAGAGAGAGGGAGAGGGGGAGGCCCTTATTAGCACATGGGCGGCGCATCTGGCCGGCCTGGGTCCGCTGAACGACCCCGCTGGCCCGAATAGCGCAGCACGTCACGGCGTCGTCGCGCCTCATTGGGGGGATTGGGGGGACTCGGGGGACGAGATGCCAGGCCAGCGGGGATCGACGTCCACGGGTGTGTTGGGTTGGCCCGTTGGGCGCGAGGGCAGAACGTGGTATCACACTGCCACCACCACCACCACCCCTCATTCCATCCTGGGACTATGATGGGATCGCCCCGGTGCGGGGTGTCCTCCAGCCGGGCTGGCTGGCTGTCTGTCTCAACTTATCCTTTATCAGGACCAGAGCGATCAACTCTATGTGCTGCCGCATGTGCAGTACACTCACTCCACGCTTGTAGACCACCTGGGTACATTGACTGCCTGCACTTTTGGACTTCCCTATAGGTACCTCTACCTACCGTAGACCGCTCAGCTGACCGACCCCCCTCTATCCGGCCCTATGCTATCCTGTCCTGTAACTACTTACCTTAGGTTGTCTGTCCCTTACATCTATGTCACTGTCATCGGGTTCACACGTCGTCCAAGTTAGCCTCCCAACGGGACTACGCATCGTCTGTCTTCCATCACGCTCCTGGTCTCTTCTTGCTGCTCCATTCCTCGCTTGATGAGACTATAGCATACCGACCCCGCCGATGCTGCCCTTATCGTAGATGTGATCGACTCCAACATGCGACCCCTCCCAGGCGACGATGCGTTCGGGCGTCGACGGCCCGCCGAGTCTCAAGAGTTCCACTCCGTGAACCCGGGCGCGAGCCAGATGTCCTTCTTCCTGGCCGACGAGGCCACCGTAGACTCGCTGCTCGACCAGCCGAGCGTTGGCCCTTCCCGCATCAAGGACCACAGGAAATACGCCGAGTCGCGCCATGCCCTGCCCTCACGTGCCGTCGAGGCCGACGCCTACACCTACGCCGACGCCGACGCCGACACCTCTCGCGCCAGGGATGCATCGCGGCCGCGCGGGAGACAGCGAGACCTATCCTACTCGCCTCTGTCCGTAGCTTCGCTGCCCAGCCCGACGCCCGTCCCCGCTGCATCCTCGGGCCACGCCCCGCTATCCCGCCCGATGACACCGATAACGTTGGGAACCTCGGTCACCGGCTCCGTCATGAGCACTCCGTCGTCCAGGCGGAACTCGTTCTCCGGCTTCGTGTCCGAGAACGCCATCAGCTCGGATGACGAGGGGGAGACGCCGATGCGGCCAACCTCGGACCTCATGATGGACAGCGGCAGTGCCCCGCAGCTCGTCATGCCCAGTATCAAGATGCCCAGTCGCCGGCCCTTCACCGAGACCGGCAAGAGCCTGGGCCGTCTCAAGGTGCTCATCGCCGGCAAGTCCGGCGTGGGGAAGACGTCGCTCGTCAAGGCCATGGTTCAGACTTGTGACCATATAGTCCATGTGGATCCCATTATACCCCACCCAGACTCTCGGAGGTCGTCCAAGGCGACCGTGAGACCCAGTGCTGCCAGGAGACGCAGCTCCGCCGCGACAGAGGGCATATCCGAGATATTCGCCAGCACCAAGTCCTACCCGGAGTGGTGGACCGAGTTGGACGACTCACGCAGTAGCCAGAGAAGGAAGAGTCTCGGCGATCAAGTCTTGGATCGCAACGTTTGTTTCGTAGACACCCCGGGCTATGGCACTGGATCATCTGTAAGTCGGTGCCCTTCCTGCATGCCCCTTTCAGACTAACGCCTCTATAGGCCATGGAAACGATTGTGCCTTGCGTAGACTATGTTGAATCCCATTTGAACAAGCTGGCCTCGGACAGCTTGAGCGACTCGGAGATGCTCAAAGTTCTCGGCGGCGATGGCGGCTTCCAGGTTGATGTCGTCTTATACCTGGTGCAACGTAGTATGTTTAACCCGCCTGCATTGTCCAGCTCACTTGTCTGACCCTAGTTCTAGGTCTCAGCCCTGCCGATTTCGAGTATCTCAAGCGTCTGTCGTCACTGACAAACGTGATTCCACTATTGGCCCAGACGGACCGTTTGAGTGCCGAGGAGCAGGCCGTCTGTAAACAAGAGGTACTCGGGCAGCTTCGTGAAGCAGGCATACGGCCCTTTAGTTTCATCACCTCTCTAGAGCAGATGCCCGAGGTCACTGCCATAGACATACCATATGCCGTCTCGAGCGCAACCGGGTCGGATCACGACGTGATGGATGCGAGCTTGTTGATGAGCCCAGACTATGTCCAGCCATTGGTCTCATCAGAGCTTGGTGCTCTTGTTGACCACCTCTTCAGTCCCAACGGCTCATCATGGTTGAGGCACTCAGCAGCCAAGAAATACATGCAATGGCGCAACAGCCCTAACCCATCTCGACCCAGGCATCTCTATCGGCCTCTTAGTCTTCCCGGGCCGGGAGCGGGTGCTCTCGTAGGACCTACCTCGCTGGCACTTGCGCGCATCAGCGAGCAGCCAAACGACAACGGCCCGGTGCAACTTCACTTGGTCGACTGGGCGGCAGACCTCCAGAGAAGTCTGTCCAGCGAGCGGGCTCGTTACGAGGCCCTGGCGCGTGGCGAACGGGCCCTGTGGCTCACCGAAAGATTAAACGACTGCATCAAGGACGGCACGCTGGTGCCCGTCAAGGACTCGAAGGAGCCGGGCTCGGCGCAGAGGAGACGGCGGCGAGGGCCCCAGGCGCGGAAGACGTCCCGCCACCAGGACCCGCTCGGCCTGTTGCAGGTCGCGGCGGACCTCAAGGCGAAGGGCTGGATCGCGCTCGAGGTCCTGGGGAGCCTGGGCATCCTGGGCGGCATCGCCTTCTGGATGACGAGGCAGCGCTGGCAGGCGGACTCGCCCGTCCAGTTCGCGGACGAGTGGGCGAGGATGTGGGGTCTGGACATTTGAAGGTGAGGGGGATGTCGAAGGCGACATTGTGATTTATATCCGGAGCGGTCTTGATGTTGAGCCCAAGTCAACACCTCCAGGAGACGGACAGGACAGGCGTGACGGCGTGACGGCGTAAAGGCGCCCGGTAACCATAACAAATACCAAATCTCCAGTTCTTGCGAATTCAAAGACAAGACCTCTAATACTCGCACGGGACAGTCACCTCAATATAGCTTCTTCACTCGGCCACAAGTCTCTGTAATTAACTAGCTTAATTGAAACTCTCCCTGGCCCGTTTCCAACTCTGCCTGTCTTGCTATGGCTCAGCTCTCATCTTCGTCCCCCTCGTCGCCGTCAGAGTCAAGGTCCATATTCAGATGCACGCTCTCATCGTCGTCATCATCATCACTCCCATCACCGGCTTCCGCATCCCCGCCCGCGCCAAACCCACCCTGCACCTCGGGGCGCGGCGCGGGGACCGTCGCAAGCGTCGACTCGACCAGCGTCCCCATGGCCCCGAAGCCGGGGTCCAGGCCACCGGCGGACTCGTCGTCGATGCTGATCCGCTTGGGCGAGATGACCATCTCGACGTCGTCGTTGTCGTTCTTGCGCTTGAGCGGGTTCGTGTCGGCCCCGGGCTCGGATATGAACGGACTGGGGGCGGTCTCGGCGGCGATGCCGGGCACCGGGGGCGCGGTCCTGGCGACCACGGGCTCGTCCGCCCCGTCTTGTGCTGCCGGGGCGGCGGTAGGCTGGAACGGGCGGTCGAAGGCGAGCCCGTTCCTGGGCTTGTCGGACGAAGCCGCGTCGCCGGTCTGTATCGTCATCATCTCCTCGTCGTCCAGGTCCATCAAGTCCCCTCTGGCCCCGGTGGATGCGGGCCGGAAGCTGAAACGCAGGATCTCGACGGTCTCGTCATGGGGGAACTGCTGGTGGAGGTAGGGCAGGATGACCTGCGGCGTCCGCCCGTTCTTGTCCTTGGACGGGTGGAGTATGCTGGCAACCTGGGCGTCTTTGATGCTGCACAAGATGGCGGCCCTCAGCATGCGGGATCGAAGCTCGGGGTTGAGGTAATGTTGTGGGAGATGGCTGAACAGGGTAACCAGAAACTTCTCGGCGGCCGCCAGATGCTCCGGGGCAAGAGTAACGGCCACCGATTCCTCTTCTATATTGGAAGAGAGGAAGGCATCGGCGTTCTGTGCGGTGTTTCTGGACTTGGCGCCGTTCTGTCCTGCTGACGAGGCCTGCTGCTGCTTGGGAGCTTTGATATGGCCGGCCGCTCCTAGGAGGTCACGACAACACGTCATTGCAACTAAAGACAAAGCGTCCACGTTGGCCTTTGACATGGTGGGACCGCAGAGCTGGAGCAGCTCGGTCGTCAAGGCGAAGGCGGCCAGACGAACTTCTGGAAAGCGGTAGCCGCCCTCGATGATCCGCATGGTCTGGTCCAACGTATCCTGGGCAAGGGGGGTGTAGTTGCTTCCTAACCTCCGCGCCAGAGCCTGAAGGAGGCGCATGGTGGCGATTTGTATCTCTGGAAAGACGGTCCACAGCTCATCCTTCTCCTCTCTGCCGACGGCGGGGTTGAGCTGGATGGACGCGTCCTTGTCCTGGCCCGGATGAGGCGGTACAATGGACGAGACGCGGGCTGCCAGGTCCGCAAGGGCGCTCACCGGTACCGTGACGGGTACCTTGGTAGCACATTGAAGACAAGAAGCCAGACTCTGCAGCAGACCAACCACCCGCTCACTTCCGGCCTGAAGACCTGTCCACTCGGGGAGCTGCTCTGCGGAGCTGCCGCCTCCGCACGGCTCGGTGTTGTAGTCTACAGGCTGGCGAGAGTACCCAGTGGCCGACTCCCAGGTCTCCTGTACAGCTCGGAACACTTGATCTGCCGTCTCGTGGAAATCCTTGATCAGTGCAGCAGTGTGCTTCGCCCACTCCTCGGAGCCGCCATTCTTGGCGGCCGTCATGTGAAGTCGGATCACCAGGCGCTGAGCGCTGCTCTTCAGGCTCTGGGGTACAATTGCCTCATCTGAGTTGGTCGGTGCAAGATATGGCCTTGTGATGGACCGGATCTGGGAGGCGGAGGGGCGCAAGGTGGTAGGGTAAAGCGGGATGAGGCTAGACAGTGCCTCGAATATCGTTTCCGTAAGGCCCAGGGGAGCCTTTCCAGCCTTGCTGGAGCTCGGGGGCTTCAGGATCTGGAGGCATGCAGAGGCAAAGGTGGGCAGGGTAGGGGTGACGATCTCCCGGATCAATGTCTGGTACCTGTTCAGCAACAAGTAGATCTTGGTAAGAGTAACAATGGCCAGCTCTTTGGTCACTGCGGGATCTTTCTTCTGCTGAGAGGTCAATCGGTGAGCAGGCATGGGCACGGCGCCGAGACTTACCTGGAGTATGGACAAGAGGCCGCGGACCCAGGCCTCGGACGTTCGAAGGCATTCCCACCCGCCGACCTCGGTGTAGGCCTTGACCAGGGCGACGGCGGCAAAACGCCCCTCAACACTTCTCCCGTTGAGGAGGGTGCCGATGTGCGTCCTCAGCTTGTGCACCAGGACACCTGCCTCGGAGGAGTTCGCATTGCTCTTGGACTCCTGCGGCGCTGATAGCGGGCCCTGGCAGCGCTGTAAGTCCTTCAGCAGCGCGGGGAGCAGACCAGGGAGCTGTTCTGGCTTGTATGCCGTGAGCTTCCGGCAGATGCTGCGGAGCTCTGGCGGTAGAGCCACGAACGCCATCTCAAGTGCGATGATGTCCCCGGGGTGTGTCTATGTAGAGATGGGCTGTGTGGGTGATATGGGTACGGCTGCAGAAGTTTCAGTCGTACTATACCACAGGTACTGCTTTGTGGGAGGATACGTGATCTCCCCCACGGCGACGGATGTGTGGTGGCTTCTGGATGGTCTCAGGCCAACACGGGCACCCTGTTGAGACACACGGCTTATCAATTGACGGTGGCTTGTTGCCAAAGTCGCATGTGAATTTCTTCAACATGAAAATGGCCCATCGCCAACTTTGAAGCTTTCAACTTTTTAGTGGACCCCTCCAAGCTAGCCTGCGAATGGACGTGGACGTGGACGTGGACTCCCGCTCATCAACGAGCTACCCGCGAGTTGCTGGTCTGGTACCGTCCAGCTACATTGGACCCCTGCTAGTTTACTTTAGTCAGTCTCTTGGCCCATCATATCATCTGAACCTCGGAACTCTCCAGCGCTCTCTCAAGCAGAGAACAGGCCCGTCAGCTGCCTGCCGCTTGCAGGTGGTGGTGATGTAGTGCAGTGGAGGTTCCGTGGTTGTCCCCTCCCCCCTAAACCAAGGCCCCCCAAGGCCCCCCCCCCCGAAAACTACGGGTGCCGTCCGTAGCCAGACCAGACGACCCCGTCCGCCCCCGTCGCTGGGGGGCTGCAAGTCAACGTCACAGAAAGTCAATGCCGACCCCTGGGGACCTGTCAGACCTGTCAACCCTCCAGCTTTTCGAGCTTCTTGGGCCACGCGCATTCGACGAGCCAAGCTTCGAGGTCCAGCCTCGCAGGTTTCCCGGGACAGTCGCTTTGCTGTTGTTATTCACTCATTGACTCGTCCTGATTGCGACGCCTCCGCCACGGCCTGCCCGTGCTGCCTCGCAACACCTCGGGGCATGCTATACTACGCGTCCTTGATTGCTCTCTAGCTCTTCCGCTGCTCGTCCAGTCCCTCACTCAGCCGCCGCTCCTTTTTTTTTTGTTGGGCCGGTCAGGTCCTCCGTCACGTCACGATGCCGGTATGTTCCTGCGGAGCCCGTCCCGTACTGCCCTCATTGTCTGGCTGTGGTGTGGCTAATTGGGAACCACCTCTGCGATGTAGAAACCGTCCAAGGCCGAGACCTACCTGCAACAGCTGGAGAATACCCGCTGCGAAGACGACTGGGATGCTGTCCCGGAAACTGTGCGCAAGATCCGCAAGCACGCTCCCAACAGATCATGTACGGCCTGCCTCTTTGCGCGCCCTCTCCTTCATGGCCGGGGTTGCTTGCGCCCTCACCGTGTCCTTCCTCCCACCTGCAAACCACAGCTTCTAACCACACCGCCCCATAGGCCTCGCCACGACGGCAGAGACCGAATATGCCATCACCAAGGCCCAGTTGAAGCAGACGGCCAGACCCGCCACCGCCGTCTCTACCAAGGACCTCGAGATCACCAGCCTGCTCCCCAAGCTGCTCGACGCCATCGACAATGAGCATGCCTTCCCCGAGGACAGATACCAGGCCCAGGTCTGCGTCGGCTGGCTGCATTGGGCCGTTGGCGAGTATAGCCTTGCCGTCGCTCGCCTCCCCGACGGCCTCGAACAAGACCACGACGCCTCCGAGTGGACGAGGGTGTGTACCTTGAAGACGGCCTACCTCAAGGCGAATTGCCTCTCGAGGGACAACGAACGCGTCCAGGCTCTCGCCATCTTCGAGTCGGCCCTATCTGCCCTGTCCGATGTCTGGACCGGCCAGAGGGGTCGCAAGCAGCTGCAGTTCTGGGCCGAACTGTTCCTCACCGAGTTCTGCATGCTGCAATCCCAGGCGCTGGAGAGAGGCGAGAAGTCCTTGGACGATCCCAACTCCCTTGCCGCCTATCGCTCCTGGGCGAGGTACTGGGAGACATCAAACACCCAAGGGACCCCTCTCGTGGGAGGTCATGGATTCCGGGGCGCCGTACCGAGGCGCCGCGTTTGGAGCGAGTACTACACAGCATTGTCTGGCGTCTTGGCGAACGACTTGCCTTTCCCAACGGGCCATGTGGCAGCGGTGACAAACGAGGCCTCTGCAAGAAACCAGCTCAGGATGGAGTTGAAGAAGGTCGAGGCAGCCTACGAGTCGCTCTTGCTCAGCGAGACTACATTCCCTCGGGCTGATGAAGAAAGAGAGGAAGTGGAGTCCTTCGTGGGTCTCGTTATGAAGAGTTGGAGTATCCTGAGCGGTCGCGACTGGCTTGAGCATGATCTTGGACCAAATGGAAAGGATGGGCTAAGTCGAGGCGTCCTGGAGGTTCTATACCGAGCCGCCACCAAGACGTTCCACTCGACTGCCATACTGCGCCACCTGTTCACAGTCCATCTGGCTGTGGCCGAGTTTGACTTGGCATTTAAAGCATTCGATTCGTACCTGGAGATCGTCAAGAAAGGAAAGGCGCGCGTCGACAAGACCGGCCACACCGAACCCAGCCTTGACGATGATGCCACCGTTCTGGGGACAATTTCCACAGCAATCACGGCGCTATGCAAGTACGGCTTCCGGGACGAGGCAGAAAAGGCCTACGAGCTTGGCATTGAGCTCGAAGACATGCTTCAGAAATTACCGGCCCCTCTTCCGAATACAGATGAAAACATTTCTTCCCTGCAAGAAGAGAACGCCAATGGCGTTGTCGTTCACCCGAGGATACCTGCAAAGGTGAATGCTCTGGCATGGCAGGCTATCGGGTTATCACAGGCCCAGTGGTCGCGCAAAACCTACAATGCCGCATCTCGTACTGAAATTCAAGGGAAAGCGATTCGCAGCTTCCAGAAGTCTCTGTCTCCTGACACTGGTAACCCTACCGATGTCAGGACCCTCTTCACTCTGGGTCTCCTGCTCGCCGAGCAGAGAGAGTTGTCGGCAGCGATTGACATAGTCAAGGCTGCCCTAATGTCTAATAAGAAGACGGCAGAGCAGAACCCAGCGGCGGGCTCCTATTGGCGTGAACGTTCACTGATCCCTCTGTGGCACCTGCTTGCCTTGCTCTTGAGCGCGAGGCAAGACTATCTTATGGCCGCCCGAGCGTGCGAGGGTGCCTTTGAGCAATTCGACGACCCGACTGTGCTTTTTGGGACCCAGGGACTTCAAGGTCAATATCGAAGCGACCATCTTAATGAGGTGGAGGCTAGCAATGGCACACCCACTGCCATGGGTTTGGTTGACGAGATGGATGACGTTGAGAAAGAAAGCATCATCGAAGTCAAGATGACCCAGCTCGCCCTCATAGAGCTCCTCGAAGGCCCCGAAGTGGCGGTCAACGCGAGTCACGAATTGCTTGTCTTGTACACAAGATTGTTCGGAAGTCTTCGGTCAGAATCTCCCACCACAACGCAAAGGTCGAGTACAGCCGTCCCGAAAAGCTCGGCTGGCACGCTGCGAAGCATCAGGGGTAGCATATTTGGCCATAAAGACAGAGGCACCAGCAACCTCAAACACACAAGCGTTGTAGAGAGTGTGAGAGAAGAGTCCCCCGAGCGGCCCCGAACTGCAGGAACTGCGACAACTACAGGTACTACAGCACCGACTATACAGATTACTAAGGAAAGCAGTGACCTGGGGGATTCGCGTTCTCGAAAATCAGGAAGCATCCGTGGCCGTAGAAGCGAATCAGTGAAAAGAGCCAACAGCCTCAAGAAAAGGGACAGCAGCACTCACCAGCGGCGACGGGCCGCAAGCAGCAGCAGCGTACCCCGCCAGCCTCTCCCACCGCAGCCGACAATCTCAGATGGCGATGCTTACTTCACGCCCATGGGAGACGCTGCTGCCAATGATCGGCCTGACTTCTTTACCTGGAATACTAAAACCAATGCCGGTAGTCAGCAGTCCTTCGCAAAAGGCAGGGGGTTACTGCGCTTCGATTCGAATGTCTCATCAATCAGGGGCTCAACAACCGGGTCAGACACCTTTGTTCTAGATTCACTGTCACCTCCGACCCCATTACCCATTATCCAGTTCGCCACGGATCAAATCAGGCGGCAGAGGCAAATTATCCTCATCAAAGTCTGGCTGATGATCGCGGCATTCTATCGAAGCGCGGATATGTATAGAGATTCACAGGGGGCAATTGACGAGGCCCGAAAGTTAGTGGGGAGCATGGAAGCGGAAATTGCAAGTGATGGTTCGGACTCGGTAACAGCAAGTCATGCCGGGTGGGGCGGCAAGAAGAGCATCGAGGAGTTATGGAGCGATGTTCACGCAGAGGTATGTACTGCCACTTTTCCCCCCTCGACTCATCGACCCTTGACTAACGAAACCTAGATGGGTCATCTTTCTGTTTCTGAAGGTGAACCGTATAAGGCCCGTGCCGAGTTCGAAGAAGCCCTCATGCACTATCCCGACCATCCTTCTGCCATCATTGGTTTGTCCAATATCCTCCTTGATATCTATAGCGAAGTGCTTCTGCCCACATCGCCAATACCGGGCATCACACTGCCTGATGGCGAGCCAGTGGATTTGAGCGGCACTTCTCAATCCCAGGCCTTGGTGCAGCGAGCTGACCACAGCATCCCAATCCTACCAAGTACCCCCTTGGGTTTAGGCGGCCAACACGCAATTTCACCTGTGGCTCAGTCCGCAAACAGGTCTGCGGTACTCCATCATAGGCCTAACAAGTCCTTGACAATCGAAGAGCTCCCTGCGCCCTACAAGGCCAAGTCTCTGCCTCTCGTCGACCGACTTGCTGCAAGGGACCGTGCATACGGACTGTTGTCTGGCTTGACGAAACTGGGCACCGGGTGGAACCACTCCGATGCCTGGTTCGCTCTGGCCCGGGCTCACGAGGAGAGCGGTCAACCTGACAAGGCCAAGGAAGCACTGTGGTGGTGCGTGGAACTTGAGGAGGGCATGGGCGTCCGTGGGTGGAACTGTGTTGGTGCGGGCGGGTATGTTTTGTAAATACGGAATGGTTTAATCTAAAATTAAGACTGGCGGCTGGAGAAGAGAAGGCGTGTCCTGTATTGGTAATCCAAGAAGACTATCGAGTGGGCTGTACATGTCAAGGATTGGTATATGATTATAGCCAGCAAGATACCCGGTGCAGAACGAGAGCGAGCCTGGTGCAGTGGTTAAGAGATTCTGGATTTGAACGAGGGTCGAAGCTCATTCCGGTAATGTTCAGATGTACGCCTAGATTTTGTCGTTTCAGCAACAAGCATGGCATTACCTTGCATGGCTGGAGAAAACCAAGTCTCTTCAATCCCCCATTCATACCAGTCTTGAACACACTCTGATCCAATATGCAACGTAGGTAGCTAGCTTCGTTGGTAGCTCACTTTGGAACTGTCTTCCCCTCCCAAGTTCAACCCCTTCTGCACAACCTTGAACTCCTTGAAATCGGCCTCGCTGAAGACATTGACCCGGGCGCCCTGGATGTCGGGCCGGGCCAGCAGGCCCTCGTAGACGGCGGCAAAGTCGGAGGCGCGCGAGGCGTAGTCGTGCTGCGCGGCGTCCTCGTCGACCTCGACGCGGAACGCCAGGTAGACCTCGTTGAACCGCACGTTGGTGCCCTTGGTCTCGACCGCCGCCGCCGCCGCCATGCTGAACAGGGCGCCCTGCGTCATGGCCGGCATGGCGAAGTTGCCCATGTCGCCCTGCGCCCCCGTGCACAGCGTCCACGTGCTGTTGGGGTTGTTCTGCTCGAGCAGGTAGGGGAGCGTCGCCCGGTAGGCGACTTTTCCTTGCGTGTTAGCGGGCCGTTTGAATCTGAACTCGGCGGCTCTTCTGCTTCCCCCTTTTCTTGCTCCAGCCCCCCCTTTCCCCAATTCACTGACAGCCTGGCCACAACCCTACCACACTTGGCCTTAAACGAGAACTTATCTCTCCAATCGCGGTGATTTACCATCACGGATTTGTGCAAGGCTGGCCCAAGAAAGGAAGAGTAGGCAAAAGGAGAAAAACATGAGACAACTTACAAAAATTCGTCTCGAAACTCCTATTCATTTGCTGGCGTAGATATTCGGTAGAGATCTTGGTCAGAGGCGTGTTGACATAGTCGCCGCCAACTATTATTGTCAGAGAGCAGAATCAGCTTTCATGCCATCGAAACGAAGCATACGCAGTGCGGTGTGTGTCACGCACACACATCCACATATATGTATATATATTCATATACGTGTTTCGAGGGTAGGGAGTAGGGAAAAGAAGGCTAGGCCCATCTTACCACACGAGTACACATGCTGGAAGGCGGGCAGCTTGCCGGCCCTGACCTGGTCGACGACGCCCTGCACGCCCTGGTCCGAGGTGACGTCGGCCTGGACCGTGGTGATGCCGTCGCGGGTGCCGACGTGCTTGAACAGCTTCTCGGCCGAGGCCTCGCTGCGCACGACGGCCAGCACGTTGCGCTTGGTGCGCAGCGCCGCGATGGCCGTCGACACGCCGATGTTGCCCGTCGCCCCGACTATGAGGACGGTCTCCATGACTCGATTAGCAACACCTGTATTTCCCTTTCGTCCTACTGTGATTTCTGAGGTTGGAGGAGCTACGAATTCGCTCTCCACCGAACTGTCTGGTCTTCTGAGTATATCCTAGGTAGCTCAGACGAGGGGAGAGTACGAGTTGTGAGCTATACAGCACGTGTGAGTTTCTGGGCCAGATAATTTCCTTTCAAACACGGCCAACTGGCTTGGTATTTATATATGATATAATTCTGGCATTCATATGTAGCAATTATTGGTCCCCGCAGCCAGCCTAATCCATAGTGTGTTGTCAGTGGAATCTAACAGCAATCCAAGGTGCTAGGGCTGCTGGATGACGAAGATGAATATCTAACAAGGTTTCACGCTGGGCGCCATGATTGGCTGGACGAGACTCTTGGACTGGACAAGTCGCGAAGGGTGCATGGGTCAATCAGGCATAGTTTACTATTGCTTATAAATCCGGACGACGAGCCTCAACAGCGAGGGCCGTCTCGGACAATTCATGATGGGTATTGTGTCCGAATATTGATTCAGCTTTGGGTGAAGATGCTTCGATGGGCGGACGTCGGCGAGGTCTTCACATGTGATATTGTTTGAGAGCTTGCGTCAGCAATACAAGATAAACACGGCGCTGAGCTATAGCTATTCCTTCCAGTAAATTGTGTAGTCTGGAGGATGTTTCGATGATTGTACTTAGAGCAATGTTTCTTGTTCTTTGAAATTTTGTGCTTATAGAAAAGTGTCGTGATTTGGTATGTGCAAGTGATTCTATGGTGATGCAAGTGGTGTGTGTCTGTTACAGTCCTTGATACAACCAGTCCACAGGCAGTTGCTGTCTTCGTGAGCTGTCGCATTATATATCCAGTCCGTTCCCAGGACCCATGATGCATGCAAAATGTCCGTGTAGACGCCGCTACAATGCTTCACCAACCATGGCGCCAATGGCTCCCCCAATCTCGCCGAACAGCACGCCTTTGAAGACCGTCTCTCCCATGTCCTCGACCCAGTGGCCCGTCTTCTTGAGACGCTGCCTCCAGAGGTGCTGTTCTCGAGTTTCTAGCTCATCCCACGGCTTAGCCGGGCCGTGCAACTCTTCATCGTGAACGTGAGCCTTGAGTTGCGGCAGGCCATCGGGTCCAATCTCGCCGGTATCGTCATGCCGAACAATGATCTTCTCATGTTCGGCAGGTGTGACGGTGGTGAGCAGGTCGTCGAAAGTCGTCTGCTTCAACACCGAGCCTTCACGAGGTACCACGCGGAAGGGGACCGTCCAGGACTCGGGGAGGAAGCGGTTGGTGCCCAATACTGGCTGTGAGATACCCTTTGCCTCCATAAAGGTCTGGCCAATCAGAGCCATGAGCAGGCAGATGGCGGCCGTGACTATAATCAGGGACAGGTGAGACTCGCCCTGGGAGGGGATGGCAACGACATAGCGGGCTGGCCTTGGAGGGCCACCTTTCCGGGGGGCTGCCTTCTTGTCGACATACTTCTTGAGGGGTATGCTGTGCACGACGGCGGTCTGGCCCAGCGAGACGCTCGCGAGCTTGAGTTCCAGGTTTGCGGCTGGCTTGGGGCCCTTCGGCGAAGTGGAAAAGGACAGGCCCGTGATGGCCTGGGGATGGACAGAATCGATCTTGGCAAAGGGGGCCAGGTCGACCAGGAGGTCTATGTTCAGGGTTGACTTGTACTCGAGCGTGTACAGCGAGATGGAGTTGTCCTGGCCCGAGACGGCAATAACGTACTGCGAATCGCCCTGCTTGTCTTGGACGGAGGAGGGCGGGGCCAGGTTGCGCACGGCAAGGCCGGTCGAGCGCGAGACGGACTTGGGCAGGGTCTTGACGACGGCCAGCCGGGCACGCTCCTGGTCCTTCTCCGGGAGACGGTAGCCGTGGAGGAGGACGCCCTTGCCGGCGGGGCTGTTGGCGACGGCAAAGACGAAGCCCGGGGACAGGTAGCGGATGGACTTGAAGGAGGGTCTGGCCTTGGGCCCGTCGTTCGAGGTGAGGGTGTAGACACACCGTGGCTCTGAGACGTCGGTGCGGGAGATGTCTACGGTGAATATCTCGTAGTCGTCGCAGTAGGCCAGCTGGTACGTGTCGGGCCCGGTCTGCACGACGTCCAGGTCCATGGCTTCATTGGGAATTTGCAGCCGGCCCCGGGATTTCCACCTTTGGGGACCAGCGGCTGGGGCATCGAAGATGGCAATCTGCGACTGTTGGGCGAAGCCGGTCGAGACGGCACCGAGCTGGGAGGAGGAGGAGGCGGCGGCGGCGGCGGCATTATTCTCGAGCTTCTCGAATGGCTGGGACAGCCTGAGGCGGCGCTGGAAGGTATCCGCATCGGTGGATGCAAAAAGGGTCTCGCGGGCGGTCTCCGAAAAGGTCACACCGCTATTCTTGGCCGACCTTGCAGGCTGGGCCAGGCCAAAAACGCGAAAGTGCCGACTCTTGCCCTTCTTGCATTCGTCGGGCGCTGCATTGATGCCTGCGAAGACGGTCTTGCTGGTGCTGCTGGTGCTGTCCCTCCGCGCGCCGACGGCGATCGTGGCCACGCTGTCTTCCTGCCCGCTCAGCTCCGTCTCGCCCGCATTCTCGATTTCTCGGCTGCCGTCGCTCGACAGCTTCAGCAGCGTCTGCAGGAAAGAAGGACACAGTTAGCGACGCGATGCCTCCTCACGGAGATTGTTTCGAACGGCACCAAGGGCCAAGAGCGAGAGGGGGCAAGCAGGCAGACGTACCATCTTGTTGCCGACGCCGTGTCTCCCCGCGCCGCCGCCGCCGCCGACGACCAGCTGGTTCGCATCATGCGGATCAAAGTCGCAGGCCCACAGCGGATAGGAGAGGGTGATCTTTGCGTTGGGCAGCGTCCGGACCACCATGATGGCAATGTGACGATGATTAATGAATTAGGTAGGGATTTGCTGCTGGTTGCGCACTTTGTTATGCCATCGTGAGCCTGTCTGTCTGTCCGTTGTTGGGGCCGGGCCCAGGCTTCATAGTGCTGAATAAACCTTTTTCCTCCTTTTCCAGGTTCCCCCCATCCCCCCTTTGACCTCCGGGCGCACTGCAAATTGATGACGCTTGGGGGGGGCCTGGGGGTGGCCTGGGTGGCCACGGCCCGGCGAGGCCAGATCTCCCACAGGCCGCCATAGCGCGCTCTCTCCTCTCTCAGGCCACTGGACGTTAGCTGCCCCCGGGCCCCCCCCCTGCCACAATTTCCTCCGGTGCTGGCCAGATCTCTGTTCAGCGGCTGTCTGCCCGCAAACGGACTGCTGGCCCGTGCTGCTTTCTTTCTTTTAGTGGGTCCGGGGTAGAAATGTGCCCCATGGCCCCCAGGCCCAGGTAACATCCCGACTCTGGTTGCTGTGTTCAGCGCCCCGTCTTTGTTGTCCCCGAGTCTGACACTCGACTCGAGACAGGCCGTCAAGGTCGATTATTTCTTGAGCACAAGGATCTCGGCCTTTATTCCGTCTTCCAACTGTGCGAGGTTTGGAGCATCTTGGCACAGTCCGTAGCACAAGAACTGTTGTAGCCTTTTCCGTCAGACATTCCCCGAGATCCACCTTGGCCGTCCATATAATGGGTGTCTTCCCTCGCGACCTGACAGATACAGCGGATCATCATATACGCGCCCCTTGTAACTGTCACCCAGCTATTCGAGGGTCCATATTGAGAGATTTTACTCTTGTCCCCTCCACCTCCCCCTATCCTCTCTCTGTTTGCTCCGTCGAATTTCGTCCCCAGGTGCGTTATCCTCATGTATGTACACACTTCACAACTTGATGAGGTTGGCCTTGGACGACCAGCGTTGCAAATCTGTGTTCCTGGGTATACTGTCGTCATCTCGTAGCCATGTTTTTGATGTATCCATCTCCGTCAGCTTTATAGAGCAGCCGAGGCCAGTGTTGATCGCTATATCTTGCAGCATGTGCCGAGTCTTTGTATTCCACTTCATTTTTATGTGGCCTAGATTTGCAATGCGACGTGAATTGCCCAGTTACCTATATTGACGTCGACTCATGCAACAAGCCGGGGCTTGTGTAACTATGCGAAAACAAGAAAACAATAAATGATAGATGAGTTGCCGTCCTGGAATCAATATCGAGGTCTCGGCAATTTGCGCTCCTAACGAAACAACGCCGGCGTCCTATCCTGCGCTTGCAGAAACACGATAGCAAGGGTAAAGCCAAAATGGAGTATTCCAAAGGCCAGGTTTTCCAGGTATGAGGTCTCCGGCAGCTGCAGAAAATCCCCTCCAATTCTCCAAGGCTGCAATGAGCAGGCTCAAACTGCCATGGGCCAGAGTCTAAGAAAATGTTCCGGCGGGCAAGAAAGGGTCAGGAATCGACCACCCCGGAATAGCAGCCACCGTTCGCCCGCGTCCCATGCTTCGGCACGAGGCCCTAGTGTGTGGACATGCCAAAGACGTGAGGTCCAGATAGAGTTGGGCTCGCACTAAAAGGGGAATGCAGGCTGGGTCAGAGGCCGGCCGGGTCCCAACTCGGCAACGTTGCCGAGTTCAACAAAGAGCGGGCTCGGCTACGCAAGGGATCCCGGGTGATGCATATCTCGCGGGCTTTTTGGCGCGGCCAGGGATCAGACCTACATACCTGCACACACGCGGTAACATGCGTGCGTACATATTTGAGAAGATTTCTGGGTTTGCCCCTTCTCAGGTAGTGTGGTCTTGGCGATTACCCAGGGCTCGGAGACTCAGTGAATGGTACGGGGCCCTACTCAACGTTGTTTGGGACAAAAACGTGCATTCTCCAAATCTTGTCTTTGGGCTAGCATAGTGGCAAGCGGATATATATGTCTTGCAGTGTTGTGAACCAATTTTCTTATAAACCGGCTGTGATCTAATCACGAGGCCCCCTCTGAACCGAGCTACGCCGAAACCCCAGCATGCAGTTTTTTTTCTTTGATCTTGTCCAATCTGAAATATATGTCTTGCAGTGTTGTGAACCAATTTTCTTATAAACCGGCTGTGATCTAATCACGAGGCCCCCTCTGAACCGAGCTACGCCGAAACCCCAGCATGCAGTTTTTTTTCTTTGATCTTGTCCAATCTGAAGAAAGAGAGAGTAAAACAGAATATTACCGCAGACAGATGAAATCAAGAAAACGCCAATGATATCCTTTGATGAGTCTGTGAAGACTTTGCCAACTCCATGTCTTTAATACAACCAAAGCTGGTCCCAGGCGGGATCTGGGTGCTCCGCCAGAATATAGGAACCAATGAAATCTCGTACGCTGAATGCAAATGTCTGTAGTTCCTTAGGTATTCGCAATATCTGGTAACAAACCGCACGCCTGACGCCTGATGATAATGAAAAGCAAAATCAGATTCGACAAACACCTGAACACCTGTAGGCTTAGGGATATGTCCGTTGATGACGCTGCGCGCCCGATTCTGTTGGTCGGTATGGCCAGCAAACTTGCAGGTGCAGGGTAAGGCATACTGAGCTGTGTAAGTTTGTTCGTCTCCTGTCTCAACACCCTCTGCCTTTTCCGTCAGCGCCACCCTCGGTAGAAGAATGACTACAGCGCAGAAATATGTGCCCTCAATTTTAGCGCCGGTCAGCCAATCAGCGCAAATCTCCTGGATAATGAATGCTCAAGATTTCCAAGGCAGGTTCTGTTGCCACCGGCTGCAACTACTTGTGGAAGCAGTGCCTTATTATAACAAGTAAAGTATGAATACGGTATGTGGTACAATCGAAGTAAGTCAAGTTTGCTGACGGGCTGGCTGCTGTTATTGCTGCCTTTGGTCAGGCGGCCCACCGGGCCTGGTTGCCCAGCGTGCTTCGTATGGTTCGCGCTTGAACGGTGAAAAGGATTGACCCTGACCTGTAGGATTCCCCGAGGTGTGCTCCGATGGGGCACTTGGGCCAACGTTCGGTTGATCCAGTCGAAGAGGCGGAAGCCTTTCAGAAGTTGAGGGAGTACCGGGTTGCGATAAAGGTGCGTTGTAGCTTAGCGGAGGTGGCAAGGCTGTCGTGTATGGTGGACTGATGAAATCCAGCTGGGGATCAGTCCTTCGCCGTCTAGAAGGCCTTTCTTCCGACCCAGATTCTGATGTCCCATATGTCATCGGCAGAGGCGGCGGGGGAGGAACGGACCCGTGTGGGCTCCTTTGGGCAAAGGAGCCCACGCTTGTCGAAGGACTGTGTACACCCTGGTAGGCCAGCTCCGAGATTCCGGGTGTTCGCTGAACGACATCTCGGAGACGGTCGCGGTCTGCCGCGTACAGTTCCCTTTCTTGTTCCAACTCGCGAATACGCTTCTCGAGTTCTCTGTTTTGTGCCTCCAGTTTCTCTATAAGACCTTCCCTGTGGTTGTCCTTGTCCTTCTTGCGCTGCCGAAACCTCGCTGATGCTCCTGCATTTCGAAGTCGCTTCTCATCAGCCTGTTTTGAGGCAGTGGTCGTATTAACAATCACGGGAATAGCCTCCACCCCTGGTGCAGCAAACATAACTTCATCTGGGAACCCGCCACCTCTCACACCTTGCTGACCGCCAAGCGATTGTTGCCAATGGGTGTTTCCATGCGCAAAGAAACTTCGCTGAGGAGGAACGCTGGTTGCGTACGGAGGTGGGCTAGGCAAGATCGGCGGTCGATGAAGATGATGCGGGGATCCCTGAATCGAAGACTGCTGCTCTGGATGTGGGCGGATCATAGGTTGCGATAGAGACCGAGGCGGCGCGTTGAGGTTCGGCACACTACCAGGAGACACCCCGGGTAATCCAAGCCCGCTCAACTGTGGTGCAAGCGGATGGGCCGACTGACTTAGGGGAGCCCTTTCAGAGGGTCCTTCGGAGACAAAACCTCGTCCCGGCCCAGCTAGACTTGTCCCAGAAAAGTGAGATTGTTGGCTTTGTGTCCGCGGCGGCGGACCGTGACTGAAGCTGCTGGCTCTGGGCGACCTTGGTGTCGCATACCGCCTTGGTGCCCCGAGAACTGGCCATGGATGAACTGCTGCCGGTGACTCGCGTCCCGTCGATGGAGTCGTCTCGCCACTCGGCCGCACCATAGCTCGATGAGGAGAAGACACGTCTTGCCCACGCGCCATGTACGCTTGTTGTGCAGACGTGTCTAGTCTGTGTTCGCCTTGGCTCGTCATCGCTGCACCTGAAATGCCCCGTCCATGCCGTTGTTGAGTCACGGAAGGGCCGGGGTTTGCGGGAGAAGGCTGGGAATCTGCCGGGTTCAAGATGTTGCGAACGCCTAAACTTCTTTGTGCGAGCTGCGATCGCTCTCCGCTCGTGCTCGAACCGCTACCGGTCTCTTGAGATCCATCCTCCGATGGCGGACCACCGCCTCCCCGCAGACCAGGCTGATGTGTATCCAGAGGCGTAAGTTGAGCTGAAGCTGGTGACCTCGCGGAAGGGGGCGAGACAGGGCGAGACGCAGGCCCCCTCTGCGACATCGAGACCTGTGCCCCTGCTGGGTGGTGGTTCTGCAGACCCGGACATTGACGACCTTCGACGTCTTCTTGCCGAGGTCGCTTCCCAGGCTTTGGAGAGTCCGACCCTCTGCAACCTTCGCCAGTTTCACTCGACGCAGCCCACCGATCCCAGAAGTACTGGTTAGTCGTGGTCTGATCTTCCCTTGCCTGGCGAGGCGAACGACTCAAGAGCTCGGTAGAGTATCTTTGGCCCTCTGAGATCGCCACGGCGTCGGTTTTTTTCCTCCTCCAAAGGGCCTGGTGGGTTCGTTCGAGTGGCAGCTGTAGTTGACCGTGATAAACGTCTTGCCCACTTTGTTCCGATATATATACCTTTGAAGCTAGGATCCGGAGAACGTAACCTTGGGGTTTCCTAGAAGTAATAGAGTGACAAGAGGGTTTCCAAGGTCCTAGCGCATGCGAGAGCCTGTTGAGTATAAATTACAAGGTTGTGTTCCGTGGTACGCGACGGCAAGGCGCTTCCGATGTCGAGTGTATGTTGGACGAGCACCGCCAAAGCCGACTTGGGTGGGTGGTTATTATTTCGAAATAAACGACGGCTCGGATCGAATGGATTGTAGATGCCTTGGGGGATGATATGCCCAACTTCAGATGTCCAGTAAGGGCTAACTCTTCCAAGAAAGTATGGGATGTGACAAGTGGAATGCGATGCAGCAAAGCGGGCCAGTCATAGTTCTTGGGACAAGCCTTGCGTAATGAATGGCCACGGACAGCCTTTAAACGCTTGAAAGACCCTGAAGCTGGTCAAATCGACAGACAGGCGTGTTTAAGAGCAAAGCTCGAAAGCCTAGTCTGCTACAAGCCTCTGTCCCTGGCAGACACCTGCGAATAGAGGTGAGGAACCAGGTGGAGGGCCAAGTTGATGGACCCGCTCAATCAGGAAAATACGTCTTGGTGGCGGCTGAGCCAGTCTTACTGTTTGTTTGGCTTTGTTGTCGTTATCTGGTAAGTCGAGATGATACTTTTTTTTTTTTCCTCTCTCAGAGCGGCCGATAGAGTGCTCGAGTGTAAGTCAGCTCTCCAGAAGGACTGTCATGCCATATTGAGTGCGAGCGAGGCTGCGTTCCGGGGGTGTTTTGCTTATTGGTTTCTCGTTGCAAGGTATGAGCTCTCCTTCATGGGAGCAAAAGTATTTCTTATCGAAATGTTCATTCTTTTTTCCCACCTAACTGATTCTAGTAATGAATCGCACATGGGGGTTACAGTCACAGAGACCTTGGCAAGCTTTGGAAACCAGCCGCCAGCAAAGCTGGACTGGGGATGGGGTGCAGAAACTTTCAGGGGCCCCCATGTCAGTACTGTATGGGTGCTCAGACGTTGACAAGGCTTGGATGTGCGTCGTTGGTACCCGTATCTTGGGGGCCCTACCCAGAGCTACGGGGGCACCCCCATGGCGGTGTTCTTTTTTAAACCTGTTGCTGTGCCGGGATGAGGATTCAAGCGCATCATGGCGCCATGGGTCTGTCTGGAATCCACAGCATGGAAGGCGTTAAATTCTTCTCGACTGACCGCCTTGCTGCACGTCACTTGCAGAATGGAGCAAGCAGAGGCTGGCTGTTCTTAAGGGGCATAGCGGCGGGGACCTCTGGTGATCCGCAGAAGCCTGAGGCTCGGAAACGTTCCGGTTGGGATCCTGCAAACTGAAGGACGAAACATGTGCCCGCGAGCTGCGTCTTCGGCGGCCTGACCTGTGTCGCCCACGAAGCCCCCGAGGCCGGCTGCAGCGCAGGCGGTGCTGTTGTGGCCAATGGCGAGATATCGATGTGACAGTTGTCATGATCCTCTCAATATCGAGCAAGTGCCTAGATCGCCGAGCACGCTGTGCCGATCACTGGGCGTGGATTTGGTCAAAGGGCGGCCAAGCTTAGTTCCATCATACGAAGACCTCATATTCTTCAGGTGAGCACAGGCGAGGCCAATTACCACAGTACAGCGATCATTTGGTCTCGTATGGTGGCTGTGCCTCGTTAAGCTCTGCATGCCTGCTCTCTCGCAATAAACTGGACCATATTACGGAGTAAGTTAGCCCAAAGGGACTCTCCCACCTACCGTATCCTGTGGCGCGTTCCAAGAGAACCGCCCCTCGTCAGTAAGTTAATGATTACCGGCAACAGCAGGATCCGCCAGGGCCGGGGGTGCTTGTACCACGGTGGTGAGGTTCTGCCGCTCAGCATATCCAGTGATCTGGGTCTGCGTCTTTGTATCCACATGGACCAGATCCTCAAGATGGAGCTGGTGCGTCCAGGCCGCGGAAAAGACGCCCAGGCGGGCATAGCAGGATGAAAGACACCTTGACACCGCTGTCAACGACGCATCAGCCCGCAGGGGGGGGCGTAGAGGGTACCGGCGTGGGATAGCATTGTTTTCGGCCAGCTACGATCCCGGGAAAATCCCCTAGTTGGCGTCCTCGACAGCACGTCTTCAGCAAGCCCAGGTCAAGACCGGTGGGTCTAGGATCAGTGGCCACGAGGACCTTTGATGAAAGTGGGACGTATCAGGGACGGGATGGTGTGTGATCATGCCGAGTGCTGACTACTGCATATGGCTACACAAGTTAACTTGCACAGTACCTTGCCTTGCTTTGGCCCTAGGCGCGGCACGTGGCGGGACCTAGAAAACGTCTACGGCGGTTGTCGTCAACGTGCTAACCATCAATAAGTTGTAACTAGCGCCCTTGGGGTAAGCGGTCTTGAACTACGACGGCCGGGGGCCACGGAAGACCTCAATAATCCTGACACACAACCATTTGCACCCAGATTACGAAACACTTGCTCACCGTGTTTGGTGCGGCGGCAGTTCGATGGCCTTACTGGCCAGCAAAAGCGCTGCCAGTCCTACCCCCATGCTGAGCCATACATAACACCTGCTTGATATCGCTTACCGATCAGTAGAAGACCCTGTCTAACAGACAGCCCTTGATCAGGACCCCCCAACCCGAACGCAATCCCTACTAATCCGCAAATCCGGACCACCCCAGGACACCGGTCCTGCAGCGGTTGTTGTGCATATCTCTTGCAGGAGATCAACAAGCCCAGAGGGTTCTCGCTTGTCAACCCAGTGCTAAGAGTCGTCTGAGTACAGAGTACATCCACAACTCCGCGCCCGACTCAATCTGGTTATGGCGGTTGTCTGGCCTGCGAGCTAATTTGCAGACTGCGGCATAGTTTTGGCCGCATCGGCGACCGCAGCCCAGGCCTCGTCCACTCATCCAAATCCTTCGCGGACCTGGTACTTTACTGAGCCTGTCAATGTCGATTCGTGGGGGACAAGATCTAAGTTGACCCCGCTGTTCAGGCCGCCGAGACACCCGGGCTGCATCGTGCATGTATCGTGTACGTGCAACGATGACTGGCCTCCTGCGAACATGCAAGGACCATGAGGTTGCTACTGCTGCGGCGTGATGGACAGGGCTTGATGCGGCCAGTTCTGCGGCCGCCCACCAGCACCACCGGCGTCGCTCGCGCGAAATTACGACCTCAAGCGTTTACCTAGACGCAAGGATTCTTGGACTTAGACCCTGGCGAACCCAGCAGGCTGGGTAGGGAGAGCCACGTTCTATACTCAGTATGGTATAGACCAGACCATCAGGGATGGGCTGTGGCTACGCTACGGGTAGACGAGCAAGTGAATTGAATCCTGTACGCCATTCAAAAGGCCAAGAACGCAAAACGTCTAGTCGAGCAGTCATCTGCGACCGCCGTCAGCAGCCATGACGGGATCCAACAGAAAGCGAGTGATTAAAAAGACAAGTGTCATCTTGCCTGCAGCCGCTGGGCACCATGGACTGGCGGTTCCTGGGCACGGTGGTCACACCGCGAGATCAATTGCTACGCCACGAAACAGGTATCATCGATGTAGGATGACGATTTGCGGATGTCAGTCAAAATTTTATTGTCCGACTGTCACGAGATCTGTGGCCCGGATATAGCGTCGCAACCTCATATCCCGAGTCCTGGTCATTATTTATTAGGTTTAATGATCTTCCCCCCTGGTTGCCTGGTATCGGAAAATATTCGTGGTCGGCGAAGAGCTCAATAATGAGCCTGTTGTCTGAGACACCGATTCGTCACCAAGGAGCCTGTTGGCAATGTCTCTCCATCTACTAAGCCACTCAGCTGCAAAGAATACCAACGTCGCTGCTTATCTGCATCGAATGTCAGAAACTCGTCGGTCGATCCAGAACTCGGCCGTCAAGGCTGACTGGCGAAAATGCAGTGTCGATTGCTCTGCTCCAGGCCCTGAACTGTTCATCCTCCCCTCATTTCATTGGCAAGTTAAGTCACCACATCTGCCGGGGGTCACGCCCGCCGTCACCGAACAAATGATGAGAGGGCGTCTGGCGCATCCCCAATGATCAGACGCGCCACCCCAGCAGGATCGCATCGTTGGGCATCGAGCTAGTCGCGGCATTCATACCCGTAATGAAAGATCATCGAATCCTGGGTTATGGAGCAAGGGCATCGTCAATCAACACTATTGCCTCGTACTCGTGCTAAGTGGGTTATGGCGAGATCAGACAAATTGTCGAGCCAGTTCTAGTCCTAATAAAACAGGAAGGGAAATCGCGGTAGTTGTGCTTGATAACAGTGCACCCTGGCGCTCCACACACAGACGTGACGAAATATCCCCAGCGTCAAATTCTGTTGTATTCTCTTCTGGGATCATCCCTCGCGATGAGCGTATAGGTATGACCTGTCTGCAGCTACCCACCATTCGTCATTTTATTTGCCGACGCTTGTTCAAGTTTGCTGTCAGTAAGTTAACTTATATCATTCTTGTACGTGGCACCAGGGACCTGGTATCCTGGACGGTTGCCGAATGCTCCATAGCGCCGGTCGAGCACTACCATGGTATTCACAGCAGCGTACTTCCAGACACGACACCATTGCATGCAGGTCACATCTGCAGCTAATATCATGCTTCTTTGAATGGCTCTGCTCCCTAGTACTTCCCCGGGCGCTCGCTTCCGCAGACCCCAGCTTGACCCAATTTTCAATGTGACGTGAGCCAGGACTGGGGGAGGATGCAAGCGTGAATTGCCGCATTGGACATAACGTAGGAGGGTGCTGGTTGCTTTTTATTCAGGAACAGCCCTGCCAAACGTCACACAGCCTCCCACCATTCCTGACCGTGGTTGTCATAACAAGCGTGACTATAACCAGTTTTGCGAGACTTCGGAAACTATGCCAAATTTGAGTCCACTGAATGAGTGTCTTGCTCGCTGTCTTTCTCTGGTCTTCTTCTGGAAGCCACCACCAGCAAAGACACGTCCTGCCACCAGTAACCGTCAATCTCTATTGACTCCACAAGACGTTGAAGTAGACACTCAGCGCCCTGCCCTGAGAAGCAAGGTGCAGGCTTGACCTGGAGAACGAAGGCGGAGTTTAGCATCTCGAGCTGTGAACTTTAGTCGCCTGCATCAAGTGTAGATCATGGTGGTGGTTGGGTCTACTAGAGAGCTGCGGGACGGCACGAACACAGTCGGGCTGCTCCATCTTGCTGGGTTGAAAACTTGATGCAGCCAGGTCAAGCCCTGTTCGTTGCAGTGCGTTGCGATAGCTGCAGGCTGCCCCTCCAGGTCTTGGGATCCCAGGCGGGGGTGGGCTCCATCTGAGCCCGACGGGCGGTGACGACACCACACCGACACGCTCTTGTTTGAGGGACAGTCACCGGGAGAAAACCAAGCACATTTGCTGCCAACCCCATAGGAGAAAAGCAAACTGCTGGGCATGATATCCCGAGGCCATCCTCCCTTTCCAGAGTGGGCGTTGTCTCATCCCGATGCATTTTCTCGAGACAAGTTACCAGTCAACTATGTGAGGCGGCGGCGGCGGCGGCGGCGCTGCACCACAGAACCGAACATCCTCGCACTCATTCGATGAAGCGGTCAAGCACCCAAGGGGTCAAAGCCTAAAGGCCCACGATGATGCGCAATTATTGATCTATCGACTGATGCACTGCAGCAGCGCAAAACTATCGTGTCCGACTATGTGGGTGCTTCGGCGCGCACAATGTGAAGTTGCGGTCTGGTCACCCAACACAAGACGGTGGATGGAACGTGGACGTGGTGTGCGTGTGAAGGCATCGCAGCGCGTCTCGGGTGCATGCCATACCCTGGCTGATGGTGCAGTAACTTGTCTACTCCCAACCTCCTCTGAACCGGCAGGTTGATCCCGGATCCGGCCCGGCACGCTTGAGCTCAATCTGTCATAGGAGGGATCGCAGTGTCTCTGAAATTCTCCATGGCGGCATGGCCACCGTTGACTCTCGCCCAGGCTGTGATATCGCAGCGCGGCTTGGGAGAATGCCCTAAGCGACCATGATATATAGCCGTGAGCTTTACTGGTGCATTTGAACCGAAGCGCCGAGATGCAGATAAATGACGGAGAAATATCGCCCTGAACGGAGTAGAGGCCCGTCTTCCGTCGAGGACAGCTCGCCTGCTTTCAGCGACCACTGTTACGTAGAGTCTCCTCTTGTCTGTGTGGTAACAACCCGGGATGAAATGATGTCTATAACTTGAGGTCGAGTACCGATGTGCTCTCCTCAGGCTTAAGTTCGACCGACCCGTTGGAACTCTCTCGGATGCGTCCCGAAGCCCTGAATTAAGCCGATCCGCTCCGAGAACCGCAGACTCCACTGAAACCGACATCCAGCTTCACGCGGGAGACTCGTGAACCCCATGCCCAGTCTTATCTCACGATTCCTCGAGCGATTGGGTATCAAGAAGGAGAACAAGGGAACGAACGCTACGATGTCGGGCAGCACAGCAGCATTGCAGGAGTGGCAGGTCAAGGAGCCGTACATCAAGCTCCACTGTGCGCTGGGTGAGGGGCCGTACTTTGAAAAGGCAACCAACAGCTTGCGCTTCGTGGATATCATCAAGAAGCGCGTACATACGGTGGACCTGACCAAAGGGCCCGATTCTTTATCGACTTTGGAGTTTGACATTCCGATTGGCGTCACCGCCGACATTGAAGGCGTGGATCCGCAGGACAGGATTCTGATAGGGGCCAAGCATGGGATGGCCGTGCTACACCGCAAGACCGGCAAATACGAATACATCACCAAGTTCTTTGCCGAGGAGAACGTGCGGATCCGCGGTAACGACGGCGCGATTGATCCTCATGGCAGATTCTGGCTTGGAAGCATGACGGATTTCGGTCAAGGCCCAGTACTGCCCGAGGGTAAGTCCAATGTTTGCATTATTGCGTGCATAGGTCGCCATTGATCCATCGGCAGCGGATGATCAAGTCTCCAATCTGCGAACTGCAATGTGAAAACCACTGACAATATTGATAGGCGCGTTATGGCTCTTCCATTCCAAGAAGCCCGGTCAGTCAATGAAGGCCCCGGTCTCCATTCCCAACTCTGTCAGCTGGTCTCCTGACAACAAGGTCATGTATTTCACGCACTCCTCGTCCAGGGTAATACACGCCTATGACTACGCCGCAGAGGACGGCAGCATCACCAATGAACGGACATTCTTCACGTATGAGGGGCAAGGAGAGCCTGACGGCCATCGCGTTGATGCTGAAGGCAACATGTGGTGCGCTGTGTATGGGGATGCTGTTGTATTGAAAATCTCACCTCAAGGCAAGCTGGTTGGCAAGATTCATATGCCCACTAAGAACATTACTTGCGTGGAGTTCGTGGGGACTGAGCTATTCATCACGACTGCGGGAATGGAGGAGGGCCAAGGCACGCCAGAGCAGGTAGACTTCAGTGGTGGATTGTACAGAATTGATGTCGGCGTGAAGGGACTGACTCCTTACGCCTTCAAGCTGAGCGAGTAAAATAAATAGCTCAATGAGTATTATGTCTGAATTCGTGCAAAGCTTGCCTATATAGGTTCATATTGATCCCTCAGTTTACCCCTAAACCCAGGGGACACTCGGTGGCCCTGAAGCTGACGCATTACGGAGACCAACCCTATTGTCTAGCACATATCACAGCTTCAATTCATACATTCGCACCAGAAATAGCTGCTTCGGACCCAGTTTGCAACTGTATCAGAACTACTCTTGAGGCGCTTGTAAAATTGTTGGATAACAAAGTGAATCCCCTACCATAGCTGCACATGCTGTATCCCTTGATACAACATCGCCGAACCCATCGCGTGACATTGTGTCCGTTTCATCAAAGCTATAGCATCCGTTAGTCGTTATATTGTACTGCCCCTTTTCCCAGCTCATCCCGAGCGAGCACTTTGGCGCAGCGTTGCAGGCAGTCACTAAACCAGTCAGGCAGTTAACAGACTACAATATGTAAAGAATTTTTGGTTGACTATTTTGAAGCTACGCTGCTGTAGTGCTCATGCGAGCCCCTTATCAACGCATTTCCGTGCCTGCTCGCTCTAAACAGAGGTGAAATCGTGTGCTGGTTTGGTGCTTTTACTAGGCCTTGATACAGAACGTGCAAACTTTGCCCGAGTAGCTGCCATGTTTGCTGCAGTAACCTTCCATTGTGTTTGTGTGAGTTGAAATTTTCGGCGAAAGTGTTTTAGGAGTCAGGTCGTTGGTTGGAATGAAGACTTCGTCGTGTTTGCGTTTTCCTTGTGTTGTGATTTGCTTAATAAGATCTGGGTACAAAATTCCGAAGGACGCAGAGACTAGGTATATTTATAGAGTTTCCCATGCGACGATTCAGAAACAGTGACGATAGTCAACTGGCTGCTGGAGTACAGGTCCTACTTCACGGCGGTTTGACTCGCTTTGGAAGGGTCTCAATGAAACAGTGATCAATGAATCACAGGCGAAGCACTGCATTGGCATAGGGCAGTCTGTAGTCTAGATTGCAGATTACTCGATCAGGCTCTCCTGATAGGCTCGAGTCACTACAAACCACCAATCCGTTGGGCATGGACGCCCCAAAAAAAAACGTCAGCCTCAGAGTCACCCATGGTATTACACTAATGCGACAATGTTCACAGACTAGAGCCGGACAAGGACAAGAGGTAAAAGGGAGGAATACGTACGCCTTGATACGAACCTGTGAAGCCTACGGTGGCGATGGAAAATTACCTCAAGTAACGCCATTGCACGATGGTGCCATCGAGCCAAGTTAACCGATGGTTATAAGACTATGGACCTCAGAAAATAGAAGGATTCGTTTGCATCCAGAGTTGACTTCTGGGCAACCGAAGAAGTCGACCTTCTAGACAAAGGTACTTTCCAATCTCTCAATGCGCGCCTAGCCAGGGGAGTGGTATGATCTGTTAACTACACCCCCATGCCACATTTGATTGCACTCAGCTATGAATGGTTTGCCGCAGCATGGTCACCACCTCGGGTCTCGACCATAGCGGCGTTTGCCATGCAAGCTTCGCACTTCGTCCTCGAACCTTGGGCTGACAGAAAGCGAGGCCCGTTCGAGGGCATACAGCATATTGCGAAATGTAGCGCAGGAATGATTAGCTCACAAGTTCGTGGGTGATCGGAAATCGGCTCTTCTGGATATCAGGGAGTACAGTTCCCGCATGCTTATGCAAGTCTTTGCTTATACATACATCAAGGCACGTTTCGGGTTGACAATATAGTTAACAAGATCGTATATAATATTACAATGTAAAACAGAAGGCTTTGTCGACTGTAGAGATTCTCGTATAGGCGACTAGAGCTCGACAGCGGTACCTTGACAGCGCTTTGATGCTGTGGGGGTGGATCCCATAGTGCAAACCGCATACTCCCGAGGCCGTGATGCCCCAGGTTACTCCGCACATCAACTTGCATATCGGGGAGAAGTGCGGGCAGCCAGTCCGCTTAGTGCGCCATTCCGGTAACCAGCGACGGGAATATGACGGCGAATGCACTATTGAGTACCTGGCGCTGGAGCCATTCACAAGGACGCCGATATGTTCGCCGATGATCTTCTTACCTTACCCCGACTTGGTGGCCTCTTCTCAAAACTGGTGTTTCGGCGACGTTGCTCTTCTGCATCAACTTTATCAATTCCATTTTCTCGGCGGCCTATAACTCTGCATCGTGATGTCACCCGATAATAAATTGCAACCCCCCGGGCCGGAGACGCCTGGGGAACGACCTAGTGAGGTGCCAAGTGTGGGAGCTGATCTGCCAAGTCTGCTTCCGAGCGACCCAGAGCAATACCAAGCCTTGGAGAGAAAGCTTGTCCGCAAAGTGGATTGGAGGCTTATGCCTGTCCTGGTCGTCATGATTGTGTTGAAGTATGGCCCCATTGAGACTGCCGCCGCTTGCCGCCGAATTTCGCTGACGTGCAATTTAGTTATCTCGACCGCCAGGCGCTTCCCAATGCCCGGGTACAAGGAATCGAGAAAGATCTTGGGCTTGAGGGAGATGATTACAATGTCGCTATATCAGTGTTGTTCGCAGGATATATCGCTCTGCAGATTCCGTCGAACATGCTGCTCACCCGGGTACGACCGAGCATCTACTTGCCCATATGCATGGCGTTATGGTAAGTTCACCCTTGGAATAGGGATAAGGCTGTGCAAATCGAAGCAGGTGGAAACTGATATCAGATAGGGGTGTGGTTTCGGCATGTACTGCTGCTGTCAAGGGCTTCCAGAGCCTCGTGGTCTGCCGATTCTTCCTTGGTTTCCTCGAAGCGCCATTCTTCCCAGGGGCGCTTTTCCTCTTGTCAGCTTGGTACACACCCAAGGAACTTGCCACTCGGACAGCCATTCTTTACACGGGCAGCCTGCTTTCGGGAGGCTTCGGGGGTTTGGTTGGTGCAGGCGTGCAGTACGGCCTTGATGGAGTCCACGGACTCTATCCGTGGCAGTGGCTCTTCATTATTGAAGGAGCAGCCACGGTGTTTCTATCTCTAGTCTCCATCTTCATCCTGCCCGACTTCCCCGCTACCACTCGATGGCTTTCCGACCAGGAGAGGGCGATTGCGACTCACCGTCTCCGAAAGCATAGCGGAAGCCAGGATGAAGAGCGTGGACCTCTCCTCCAAGGCGTCAAGCAAGCCGTTGCGGACTACAAGGTATGGCTGCTAGCCGCCATAGTCATCACAAAGACAACTGCCGCCGCAGTGACTTCGTTCATACCAACCCTGGTCGCGACATTTAAGTTCGACTCTGTAAAGTCCTTGCTAATGGTGGCACCACCGTATGTTTTCGCTTCCATCGTCGCCATGGCCGTATCGATCTCTAGTGATAGGCTCTCAGAACGATACTTTCATTTGGTGTTGCCGTTGGCGGTTGGCATGACAGGATACATCATAGCTGCTGCGACGACAACCCTGGCGCCTCGCTATTTTTCGCTCTTCTTAATGTTGGGAGGCGTATACGGCAGCTTCAATGTCACCTATGCCTGGATATCCTCTACTGTAGGGATTGAAACCCCTCCCATCTCTATATACTTGTTACTGATTGCTTCATAGCTTCCTAGGCCCTTGGAGAAGCGCGCCGCAGCCTTTGCATTTACTAACATGGTCGGAAATTTCGCGCAGATCTACTCGCCCTACATGTATGACTCCAAGAGCGGTCCGCGGTACCTGCCAGCTATGACGGCCAACACCATATTTGTCTTTGTCTCGATCATCTGTGCTACGATCCTTCGATTCTGCCTTGTGCGCGAAAACCGTAAGCTAGTTGCTGCAGAGCTGGATACTACGGAAACGCCGGACCCCAAGAACGGCGACGAGATCATCCAGAACGGGCCCGGAGGTGTTCTCGTGCTGAATCCGGGCTTTAGATATGCTCTGTAACGTCACCAGGGCCGGGCTGCAGTCACTGGGTTGGCCTAAGTGTCATTTGCCATCTAGGCTGGCAATTTAGAGCCGCCGTTGATCACTGGCTATAAAGTGGGCGGTAGCTCACACTTTAAGCAGGGAATGCTTGCGTGCGAGTCTTACAAGACAGAAGCATGGGCAACTGGCAATATGAACACGTCACGACGTCGATGATACACCTATCTAGAGAGAAATCTGCAATCAGACAACGAAATCCAGACCACGTATGTATTTGAGCAGTTTTCGGTAATAATGCACTGGAGCGTAGCCGCGTCTTGCATAAATGCACGGATTCTCGATTTTCTTTGGTTACGCGCGGCGGCTATCTTTGATACCCATTATCCACGAGTCTTTGCCGTTTCACCCCCAAAAGCGGCGCCGCTGGCTCCTATTATAATATAGGGACTTTAATTTGGGCCGTGATGAGTATAAGTAAGAACACCCCATAGATAATTGCTCTTCCCTTACAGAATACTGGTACCGTGCCATTCTGTGCCGCAGCCCTGCTTACAATGGTCCACAGGCGAGTCTTGGCATGGCTATCTCCCATCGATCACAGGGATCAGCAGAGCCGCATATATATCCCAGACTAATACGACATAGTGGAGGTAAAAACTTGTTCTGATTGCAATCTTCAACTTTCACTATGAATAGAGTTGCAGTTTTATGAGTCCGGTCTAGCCACTCTACAGTCGTCCCCGGAACGCCCGTTCCCTTTACCTGACCCTTGCTCGACCGCTAATTTTCCGCAGTCTGACAAACAAATTCGAAGCCCCTTATCTAGAGTGCCCATTAAACGCCTTGTCAAATGCCCTTGCCTTGCTCCCCTTTCAAAATTTTACATCATTCGTACAATACATGTCTCCTGGGTCGCCAGCTTCGTCAAACCTCGTCGCGGGACCTGTCAGGCTGAGGATGTCCCCTAGGCTACCAAGGCATCAAACCTGGTGGTAACATCGGGTATTCGACCCCATCAATCGTCTCGGTGCCGTAGCCGAACCCGCTGTCTCCGAGGCTGACAGCGCCAGGGTGTCCCATGACACCGGGATGCTCCCATTCGTCCATGTTTCTCTTCCAATTCGTGTGACACTCGCCAGGTACGAATTGCGCCGCATCCATCTGTAGCGTCATCTTGACCTCGGGGCAGTAGTCCCAGATGTGCTTTCGCATCTGAGGGGTTCCCCAAATGCCACCGTGAAGCATACTGCCGCTGCCACCTGTGTGGTAGCCCATGGGCTCATAGAAGCCTTGTCGCCAGTCGTCCAACTCCTCGACGTACGCGCCGTGTTTGGCAGCTTCCAGAGTCCCGTTGTACTTGGCGGCCTTTTCTTTGTCGAGGGCTGTACCGGAGCCAGAAAACATCTCGCCGCTGAATGTCAGGGACACAGTGCCGTTGGCCATCTTGGACCCGGGCCGGTGTGCCAACCGCTCAGCGAGCCAGACATCCTCGGGCTCCGAGCCGTCGACCCGCAATTGATCGCGCAGTACCTCGATCATGGCACTGACGCGGCGCAGTGACAGGCCACCGTTGCCTCCGTACCGGCCGTTGGGGTTCCATGGCGCGCCGATCCAATCATAATCCAGGTAATCATTAATGTTCTGGCGACTGTTGGCGCAGAGGATGCTGTCGGTCTGGAAAACCAGAAGCCATTCGGCGGGCTGCAAAACCGTCTCGTAGAGCCAAAGGTTCGTCATGTAGCGGCTGATCATCTCCTGACCTGCCGTGCTCATATTCGAAGGAATATAAGTCAGGTCGAGCTTGCCGTTGGCGACCTGCTCACGGATGGCCATGGACTTGTTGATGTGAATGACGGATTCCGTCGAGCCCATGAATCGAAAGCGCCAATCCGGCGGTACGACAGACATGAAATGCAGCATCAGGGGGGCCAATATGGGATTGGGTCGATTCTCAACGAGCAGGGCCACTTTGCTCGCATTGTAGGGAGACGGTGGTGGTGGCTCAGGGTATGCCAGATGCACCTTGGGGATCGGGGGAACCTCCACCGTTCTTATCGAATCGATCGAGATGTAGAATGCGGTGATGCTGTCAGGTCGCTGTAAGTGGTTGCGCCGTGAAGTTGCGTCCGGCACGGCACAGTGGCACCGAAATCACTTACAGGAAGAGGAAGAAACCGGTAGCGAGTCGCACGCGGCGCGACGTTCGCGACCAGGCCAAATGCACGACGGCCTTCAACTTATCCCACAAGTCCTGCATCGTCATCTCGTCCTGTCCGGACGGGGACAGTGAAGGAGAATGAGGAGCCATGGCGCGAGGGCAGAAGCGTCCACCGGCAACAGGATCGTCGAGGGTCGAACGAGTTCGGCCTCGTGGGTTTGTCGGCTTGCTACTGCGCAGGGGGGGAGCTTGCTGTCTAAATGGGCAGGTCCACCTGGGAATACAGGATGGGATCAGGGCAAGGGTGCTGCTGATTGAGAGACAGCCGATGGGCACAATCGGCTGAACCGGATGCAATGCAGTCGACAGGGAAGCGGCTGTCAATCGTGTAACAGGGTGACGCAAGCCCGAGCGATTTCGTCTGCTCTTGGGCCCTCTCGACTTTGACTCCACGCGCGCTTGAGAAGACACAGCCGACAGGAAGAAGAAAGTGGGGGGAGCCCTGGAAGTCGTGAAAGTCTATTGAGATAACCTTGGAAAGGGTCAAGTGTCAAAGTGTCAAGTGTCTAGTACGGGTGGCGCTGAGAGGTTTGAGACAACGCGAGAGGCCCAGATTTCTTGTCTTTCAAACACCATGCGTGATAGACGGGTGGGAGAACCACAGTACGCCCACAAAGAACTGAGAACTGCTGGACCGGCAAAGGCATCAATGGTATAAATTCTTGGCGGCGTTCCTCTCCCAGTCTTGGCGTCCGGTCTCTCGCACCAAGTGGTGGGTACGACGGTAAGTTGACCAACTACTAGTTTAAGTACTTGCATTTCGGGTCTCGTTCATCAGAGCAGGACGGCCGATAGCCTGCCCGACAGGCTGCGTCAATTGCGAACATTACAGCAAACCAGCTCGAACTACAATCACAGGTCGTTGCTTTGTTCGACTTGTTTTTCTGGGTGGCTGCAGTCTGGGTAGCGCACACTGAAGCCACCAGCAGTCGAAATGCAGCTGATAAGAGATCCCCTCCCTCCCTCTGCCTCTGCTGTGAGTCGTAGGGTGGGCATCAGTAAGTCGCTGCAGCATGCTGAGTATGAGAACATGTGTTGCCAAACGCTCTTGCTCCCTGTTACCAGTGACCACGGGTGCTACTGTGCTACCATTTCGTGCGTGCGTACACGCTATCTGCACGCTGAGTCGGACAAGACCGCCCAGCGGAGTATGTTTTAATAGATGTCGCAGAAGAATCTTGGGCGAGCTTGGGGCCCTAGACACCCCTGCATGGTGGCGCTGGCGTCCAGCCCGTCACATCACGGGTGGGCGCCCGTGGCGGCCCAAAAGGGCAAGATTCTGGAGGTACGCGTAAGTACCTTCCGCGGCCCCCATATGTGGGGGAAGAGGGGAGGAGGGGAGGAGGGGAGGTTCTGGAGGCATCAGGAGCAACACCATGAGGGATCCTACAAAGTTAGTGATTTCGTGGTTGTACCTAGGTAGGGTCTCTCTCTGGCAGTTGAGCTCGGGCACCGGTAACCTGAAAATCCGCGCGCCCAGGAGTCGGGAGAAGATAAGGGAGTGGGAAGATGCTAAAGCACATTGCGCTGCACTAGGTATGTCCGCCGCGGACTGAACTGGTACATGACCTAGCATCGCCGCAGGGTATCTAGAGATTCCCTCGAGCGAAATGGCCTCAAGCCAGGCCCTGCCAGGTAAAGGGTCAACCAAGACATCGTCATTCCAGGTGTCTGGGTAGCGATGATGATTTGCTCGCCGGAAATACCTGGGTGGGACCTGTCATCCCTTTCGACCTCGGGAACAGGAGCTGTCTCGCTGTCAGCGTCCAAGTAACTCAGAGAAAAAAGCAACCCAACATGAGAGGCTATTGCTCTGTAACTCGTACTATCTTGCACAGCTTCGAAACGTGCAGAGAAACATGCAGGGAACCCCCCGGTTCTCCTTCCTTGTCGGCGCGGGTACACAGCACTGCGATGGGTGAAAACGGGAGACTGACTTCGCTGACTGTGAGAGGCGCTGACGGGTTCTCGAAGGCACTGGTCTGTCGTCGTAAGAAAGCTCGCAACTTGGATGCTGACGACGTCAAGCCGCCAGAGAGGCCAGTGTCTACTACGTACATTCATGCCAGCAACCCAAGAGTCCACGAGTACCGGCTGGGTGCTTGCCAAGAACCATCCCTGGAGCGGGCCAGGTAGCTGGGAATTCTAGGGCACCCGTCGTCAGCTTCGGCACTAGCCCACCACCCCGAGTGCCCGGGCTGGAGACGATCATCCAACGGGGGGCGCTAGTTACATAGTACCGTAGTACATCCATAGCAGACCACCACCCACTCCCTCCCCCTGCAACCTGTAAGTTAGGTACTGCAGTACTTTCGAGACAACTAAGTTGGCGTCTGATACATGGCACATAATCGAGAACTCGGGAAGCATGTGGGCGCGCCTCGATTCCTGCAGCTTCCCTAATCACCCCGGCTTCTGGGGACCCTCAGCTCTCACGGGCGCGAAAGCAAACTGGACATAACTTACACACAGCCGCATTTCTTGCAGCCCTGTCTACAGGCACAGCTCCGACGGGAACGTGCTAGGTCCAACTCTGATGAACAAAGGGTTCGCGGGCTTATCGCAATGACATGACACCATAATGTCCTTGTGACAATCTGGTCTTTCCGACTTCCAAAACCTCGAATTGCCGTCTCCCGGGCCGTCTCTTTACTCCCTCTCCCTTCTGGCACCCGGTCGTTGCCCTCCAGGCCCGTCTCTTGCTCCTCGACCCATCTTGCGCAGCCGCCGCTCGACACCAGATCAGGATCATGACCGGCTCCAAGGCTTCGCCGGTCTCCGGCATCTTCACCATAACGAGGACGAAAGTCTTCTTGGTTGCCTCGCTGGCGATCACGTACGTGCCATTTCCCATTTTCCTACCGCAGTCCACCTGTGCCGTCTGACCATTCTCCTCTAGCTGGTATATTGCTGGTCTTTTTCCCCACTACAAACCTCAGCTGGAAGCGTCCTTCAAGTCGCGGCTGGACGAAGCCCGGGAGAAGATGCCTTCCATCAAGGTCGATTGGAACCCGAATCTGGATCAAGAGGAAGACCTGGACCCGCGGGACAGGTACAACTCTTCCAAGATAGCTCTTCTGATTGAGCCCCGACCGATCCCCCATCTCGTTCCTCAGATTCTTCACATGATCAACGTGGTCCCACCGGACTGGCGATTCATCTTCATTGGGTCTAACCGATCCGTGATAAGCGTCGGCCGCAGCTATGCCACCAAACATCAGCAGCTCAGTGGCAAGCTGGACTTGATGGTCCTGCCTGAGCCGTGGGACATCGGCAGCAAGGAGCTGGTTCATCGCCTGTTGACTGACATCCGCTTCTATGAAGAGTTTCTCCCTGGTGTTGAGTGGATTCTCAAGTATGAATCCGACAGCATCCTCTGCGCCAACTCCGATGAAAGTCTGAACGACTGGCTCCATTGGGACTGGGCAGGTGCTCCGAGGTTTGGCGTCCTTCAGGCCTGGCTTGGCACCCGATACTAATCGACTGCGCAGATATCCTGGGGACCGATTTTCCGGCAATGGTGGGCTGTCATTGAGGAGGGTTTCAGCCATAAAGCGTGTCCTCAAATTCCAGGAGCGTACCAACGATACACAGCCTGAGGACGAGTGGTATGGAACGAGAGTGTGGGTCCTACCAGGCGCCAGAGTCGCATCTGGTACCGAGGGTCAACTGGCTGTCGAGGATACCTACATCCCGAGCCCCATGGGTGTCCACGTCCGAGACGGAGGCAATCTCCTTCCCGAAGCAGTGTGGCAAGAGCCCGAGCAGAGAAAAGCGCTGTTCAACTATTGCCCAGAACTGAGTCTCATCATGAATATGAAACTCGAAATCGAACGATGCCCCGGCGATGACAGGCGGGGCCATCTTGAAGAACAACAGCGCGACCAGGAAAGCTCTGATCAAGACGAACAGGAAGGTTCTGATCAAGACGACCAAGAGGAAGGGTCGCCGTCGTAGGAGGGCTGGTGATCCTCTACACGACCAGGTGAAGGACGATACATGATGGGGCTGGTGGTTTTGTTGTTTTGATACCCAAGCAGTCACGGCTAAGCAGTGCTGTTTGCCTCCCGCGGCATGTTACTGGCGTTTGATACATACATTTCCGGCATGGAGTTCATTGGTGTAAGATACGGCAACGAAAACGTGATTTCGGTCAGAAGGTCCGGACCCGAGCACGTCAGCTACTGAGTAGAAAGCTCGACCAGGGAGAGAAATGCAACGACACTTGAATGGCAGTCGACGCCTGACATTTGCACCGAGCCCGGACTGGCGATGGTCCCTACGCAAAGTCGCCCAAGAGTAGTGGGTTGCTACCTTTCCATGCAAAGGGGCGATTGCCAATTAAGCATACAGGCTTGGGACGCGCGTTCAAGTCGTATTGCTACGGGCGAAGATGATATAGTGAAGGATAAAATCACAGAGCACGGACGACTTTGTCCACGTGCTTTTAATGAATCGATTTTACTATTACGTCTCACACATCCCATGGTACTTGAATCACCAGCATTGGCCCAACTTTTGGTGCAGAGTCGACCGGAAGAGACGTATCAACAAACTGCGGCCAGCTGCGAGTAGTGACGAGAACGTAACAATCCATCCCAATTAATGTACACCTCATCTACCGAGACGGAAATTTCCTCCAGTAAACAGCTGCAGTGCAACTCCGCGAGCAGCATTGTCCGTCGCAGGGGCTTATGCAAGGTGTGGCACAGGTATTCCGCCTAATCTCCTCGATTTGCAGATCCGGAACTTCGCACCCACCTACCTTTTCAGCCCTTGCAGGCTGAACAACGGGGCGAGTCTTGGCATTCCGAGTGAGCTCATCTGGAAATATTCTGGACCATCTCTCTATTACCGAGTAGTTGATCTTGGGCCCTTGATCTGCAGCTTCACCCGACCGTGATCCCACTAGTGCTTTCACAAGTGTCTATAGGCCATCTACCTGGAAGTAGTAAGGATTGTTGTTTTCAGAGATAGATCTTGAATCTTGCCTGATTGCGGTACTATTATTGACGGTTTGCTGGCAATTTGATGGCTGTAGAGAGGAGCGACTTTGCACCGTCGAACGCAACCAGTCAACAGCAATAGAACAAGCTCCCGACTACGCTGCAAATGCCATCGGCGAAAATTTCGCCGGGCTTATGGATCGTCCACGGTATAGGTCTGGTAGCATCACGCCCACCCGCAGACCTAGGATGTAAAGCGTTTTCCGCTCGCGACCATCCACCAGGGAACATGAACTGGCATGTTTCTTGAGCTACAACAACGCGAAGCATGCTAAATTTGGGTGAGCCGGCTTGTCGGCAAGCATGGGGCTCAGCAGCGAGGCGTACATGTGGGAGTAATATTGAATATGCAATGTAGCCTCTAGACTGGTGCCCATGCTGATGAGGTCGTATCCGGCTATATACCAGCTTGCGCTTCCCCAGACCCCGAAAACCGTCTCCAACCAATTGCAGCCCCCAGAACACTATAAAAGCTTGCTATAATAGCCATAACCAAGCATCTATATAACAGAGATCCGAGCCCCCGATGCCAAGTCTTTGAGCCGTCCTTCCACGCGGTTTGGCCAGTGCTGCATTTGCAATAAGAGTTGAGATTCGCCGGTGGTACAGCCAATTTTGTTTCTTCTTGCTCTTGGCTCTGTGTTGTGATTTCAGGGACATACTGCATCTCCTACCGCCATGCGCTGGTCGTGCGCGTTTACCCTGGCCCTTTTTGCCGGCCTATCAGCGGCACATGCGGATCCAAATGGCCCTGAGCACGCAGTGCCGAAGATTTTCGGTGGGAGAAAGTTCCTATCGGAATTGAGAGGAAGGAAGGCATGGGAGAGCAGGACACAAGCTTTGCGGCAGCGTCAGGTGTTGGAGGACGTAGGCTACGTCGACCAACGAGACAATGCAAGTCCCAACGACGCCAACGATAATAAAAGCGGGCGATGCGGAGGAACCCGTGGTGCCTGCGCAGCCGGATACTGCTGCTCTGCTGAAGGGTAACGAACCTGGATGAGACAGTACCCAATGTTCGTTGAGTTTGCTGACGAAGTTGAAGGTGGTGTGGTTTAGGCACGGATTACTGCGAGGCTCCCGACTGTCAATTGAATTACGGACCCGGATGTGATGGCAACCAAAAGCCGGACGGAGTCGACACCTCATCTATTGTTCGAACGAGATTCGGCAAGGTCCAGTACGGCGGAGTGGGTGTCTACGACTGTGTCAACAAGGGTGATATTGCCATCACCTTTGACGACGGCCCCTACAATTATACCAACGACCTCCTAGACAAGTTCAAGGTGAGAAAGGCAATAAAGACTATTAAATAGCTCTTCTGACTCTGTCCGTGAAAGAAATATGGTGGCAGAGCTACCTTTTTTATCACCGGGAACAATATTGGTAAAGGAATGATCAACGATCCAGACCTGCCCTGGCGGGCTGTTATTCAGGTACGTACATACACCCGCTTATTGGCTACCAAGTATCAAGTACTAACATTGGCGATTCCAGAGAATGGCCGCCGAGGGTCATCAGATAGCTAGCCACACTTGGTCGCACCAGAACTTCAGTCAAATGAGCGCGGTTCAGGCTCAGAACCAGATGTTGTGGAATGAGATAGCGCTGAACGACATTCTAGGCTATATCCCTACGTACATGAGGTCAGTTTCCACTTCACAGAGTTTTCAGAGTATTCAATTCTCATTACCGTATAGACCCCCCTTCTCGATCTGCCCTGCGGCTTGCCAATCAATGTTGGTCACACTAGGATATCACGCAATCTACTTCGATTTGGATACCGAGGGGTATCTTCATGATGACCCTACGCAGATTCAGACCAGTAAAGATATTTGGGACGAAGCCATCGACGGCTCCACTCCTTGCAAAGACAGCTACTTGAACATCGAGCACGACATCCACTATCAATCTGTTTACAATCTGACAGACTACTTCCTGGACTCGCTTTTCAAGCACGGATACAGATCAGTGACCGTAGGGCAATGCCTTGGCGACCCTCCAGAGAACTGGTACCGAGCTGGAAGCTCGCCTGTTCCTAGCTACAGCTTTTCCGTGAAACCCGCGACTGGGACATATAGCTGCCTGAGGACGACGACGGCGAAACCCACGACACCAACGACGCCCACAACCACAACGAGGCGCACCACCTCGACAACCAGAACAACCTCGACGCCAACAGCTACTCTTAGAGTCAGCAACGACGGCCTCTGCGGAACCGGCGTTACGTGCAAGGGGTCAAAATACGGAAACTGTGTGTACCTATTAGTCGCCCTAACAGTCTATATCCTAACCAATATCCCCAGGTTGCTCTGAAAATGGTTATTGCGGCGCGTCGGTCGATTACTGCGGTGATGGCTGTCAGGCCGCCTTCGGTGTCTGCTTTGTAGGTGACAGCACCATCCCACCCCGAGATACCACCACCTCCAGATCTACAGCACGGCCCAGCCCTACAGGCCCCGGCATCCCTGACAGCCCATTGTCGCCCACGACCCGCACCACCACGAGCACGGGACCGACGTCCACCGCGACACTTGGGGTAAGTACCGACGGCAGCTGCGGCAACGGGATCACCTGCTCCGGCTCAGCTTACGGAAACTGCTGCTCCGAGCACGGGTGGTGCGGCGTCGACATCGACTATTGCGGCGACGGCTGTCAGATCGCCTTTGGCTCAGGTTGTCAGGCAAGCGGACCCCCTTCTCCAAGTCCAACTACCAGCACGTCCAGCACGTCCACTGCCACGGTCCCTCCTCCTCCACCATCTACTACCACCACCTCATCGTCCACCACGAGTGCCAACCCCCCAACCACAAGGACAACTTCCACTAAACCGCCGCCCACTACTAGTAGCACTAGCATCCCCGTGACCACGCGGACCTCGACCGTCCTCCCCCCGCCAGCGCCCACGCCGACAACCATCGTGCCAAGCAGAGACGGACGATGCGGACCGGTGGCCCCGGGCTACGCCTATACGTGTCGCGGGAGCGGCTATGGCCTGTGCTGCAACGGCTTAAATAGGTGCGCGTTGCTGTGTCTCCTAGATGGGTGCCAGCCCGAGTACGGAACTTGTAGCATTCTGATCGGTCCCGGCGGCGAGGAAGAGGCAGCTGCAGCATAATTATTTCTGTAAAGCTGGAGTTGCTATTTTAAAAAAAAAGAAAAGTAGGAGAGTGAACCGGACTGCACATGGGGTTCGTGGCATGGAGTCTTTTCATTGTATATAGTTTGCATGGTGCGAGTGTTGCATGTTATCTTGTTATAGCTTGTCAATCAAGCACCAGACCGTAGTCGTGTCTTTGTCAACATTGTTCCAGATGTTGCAGTTATTGTGGTAGTTCATGTAGGCCAATTTTGATATTTCATGTTCATTAGATGACCATATACTTGGCTAAGCAAGTCTGCAAGCAGCCCATTCTATCAACTCGAAACTCCATCTGCTTCCGACGCCCCTTCCACCTGCTGAAGACAAAACTAGCATACCCAGCGCAATAGATCAGTCACCAAGAGCCCCACGCCTATGCAGTGCAAACCCAATCCATACATCGCAAGCGTTTCCATACCCACACGAAACTAGCTCGACATCTTCTCGAACTTTTCAGCCCCCTCAACCCCATGAAACCAGCTGACGCGATCTGCGGTGTACTGCTCGACCTGCGGCCGTAGCTTGGTCTCGTGCAGATTGAAGTCGTCGATCGGGCCCATGCGCAGGAAGCTCAGCCCCGGGAAGCGGTCGCCGACACGGTACATGAGGCCGCCACAGGTCCCGCAGAAGTAGTTGGTCATGGCCTCGCCGGAGCCGATGGTCGTCTCGTTGCGCCACGCCTTCAGTTGGTCCTGGCCCCGCGTATACCGCACGTGCGAGTCCTGTACCGTCACGTTGCTCGCGAACATGGACCCCGTGATCTTCCGGCAGTCGTAACAGTTGCACACGAAGCTGTTGACCAAGCCTGGCGCCTTGAGGGGCTGTTTTGGCATGTCAGACCCCGATAAGGACTAATGGCGAGCATAAGGGGATGCGGGTGGACTTACTAGTACGAGCTGGACGGCGCCGCAGAAGCATGTCGAGGTGGCTTCATCCTCATTTGACCAACCGTCCCGGGCAACGCCGGCTAGAGGGAGGAACGGTTTGGAACTATCCTTGGCGAATGCAGCAGCAGCCATTGTGAGCTGTCTTGCTCTGTTTCTTTCTTCGGGAGTATAGTTCGGCGAAGCGAGAAGATACCCAAGGTCAAGCAACAATTGCAAATCACGTCCTGGCAAGGTTTTGAAGGGTTTGAGTTCTGGAAGATCGTAATGTTTGCGTCACTCTGAGATTGTGGAAGTATAGTTCTCAATGATGAGAGTACGATTCTGAACAGGCCAAAACATGCATGTTATATAGAAGAAACCCATGCAGGCTTGGACAGAAGGTAAGCGCCTGTCAAGCTGTGCCGGTGAAACATTATACCTACCAATGCACTTAGCTTCTACTCCGACACTCCGGCAAGCTTACTCGCGTGGTATGTTAACTGAACTCAGATTGTGGGGTAAACTCTCCGGGTTGCAGGGATCACAACAGTCTCCGCAACTCCGGAATCGTTGGTAATCAAAGAGCTGCACCAATGATCAGTCAGCCCTGCAACCTGGCTGTGTCTTGCACCCTATGGAATGTTGCTAGAATGAGCTACGCCTGTTGTGAGACATAGCACAGGGATGCTGCACAAGTCGTGTTGTTCGCCGTCGTACCTCGCCGCATGACTAAGTAGATTGTCGACCAGGCTCGAGGAGATAGCTCAATGTCCAATGTTAGAGCATGCAGGTGTCTCGCCTATAGATACCTCAGCCTATCGATGAATGCGGGGCAAAGAGGGGTGGTCGTTTTATACTGGCTGTAGCTACGGGCAACGGATCGAGGCTGCCATCAAACAAAAACACGCCAGCGCACAAACATGAACAATAACGGGGAACTCGACTTTTTCATCCAGTGTCTCGGACTCAAAGAACAGCCACGCAATGGATGGCGTAGAAGAGGCATTAGCGATGGAGAGTCCGTCGCAGACCACACGCTGATGATGTTGCTGATGATGCTGTGGAAAACTGAGGGGTTGCCAGCCGAAGACAGGCTCAAGGCCTTGGAGATGGTCATCGCCCACGATCTTCCAGAGGCTATCATGGGCGACTACACTCCGGCAGACAAGGTCCCTATCGATCGTAAGCGGACAGAGGAATCCCTCGCGATGGATTATCTGCAATGTCTGTCGTCAAGCGAGACTATCGGCACCCTCAGGGACAGACTTGCGGAGTATAATGAACATCAGACTCCAATCTCGAGCTTGGTGCACCAAGTCGACAAGCTTGAACCCTGTCTCCAAGCATTGCGTTACCAAAAGACACACCCTGACGCGCAGCGCTTGGAGGATTTCCAGGCTCACACAGAGTACCTCAAAGATCCGGCTTTAGTAGCTCTTGGGAGAACGGCCGTGGAGCAGTGGAATCTCCCTCGCCTGAGACTAGAATATATTTTCCTCATTGGTGGGTCACTCATGGCATAAATCGTGTTCGAGGCTGACAATAGCAGGGGGCCCTGGAGTTGGCAAGGGGACACAGTGCCAGCTCTTATCTCAAGAGAATACTACTGCCTGCTTCTCGCTTGGGGAACTTCTACGCGAAGAGAAAGATGATGCCGAGAGCCAGTTCAAAGATTTCATCGAACGAAGTTTCAAGGAGGGCGTCGCGGTCCCGGGATCGTTAGCCATGCGGATTCTTCGCGGAAGAATTGCTGGTGCAGCTGACAGCGGAAAATCCATTGTCGTCCTAGATGGGTTTCCACGGAGCTTGAAGCAGCTACGAGAGTTCATGGCAGAGGTATGACGATATATCTTTCCGGTATTTCGTGTCGAGCTGACCGGAAAAGATTTCCCCAGAGTTCTGCACGCTCTATTTGCGTTGCGCTCCGGATGTCTTGAGTCAACGTCTCGAGACTAGAGCGCAATCATCCAGCCGCACCGACGATCTAGATGCTAGCGTTCGTTCATCGAGAGCAAAGCGATTTGAGGCAGAGAGTCAAGCTCTTATCACAGAGCTAAAGAAATATCCATTCCGAGAGGTATGTCTAGCAAGCTCGGTCAATAGTAGAAGTCGCTAACAAATCAAAGATCGACGGCAGTCGCGCACAGAATGACGTGGCTAACGACATTCAGAGTTGCTTACAAAGTATGCGCGCTGACACATAACTCGATGAAGGCTCTCAATAAGTGTGCTTTATTGAAAGAAATATACTTCATGAAATCAGAGACGATAGTTCGCTGAGAAACCCCCAAGTAATTTAAGAAATGTCATCTCCTGACTACAAACAACACTCTCATATCGAATTCGTGATGTTCAATAATTCGACCTAGTGAACTCCGATGGACCACGACCGGCCTTACTGTAAGAAGAGGGAAAATGGCAGTACACAATCATCTCCTTACGCATTGAAGCATGTGCAATTAGTCTTATCATATTGATCGTACTGAGCTGCTGAAATGTGCAAACCCGCGGAGTAACATGCCAAGCACAAATGTAAAGTACTGCCCACAGTATATTATGATTGCTCGAGCCGTGTATAGTCTAGAGTATCTATTAACAGACGCGTATACCAATACACCAGCAAGTTCTGCAACGCCTGACTACATATCACGATATTAGGAGGCCCTCGCCAATGTGAAGCTGTGATCCAGCCCGCAAGCAAGCAAGTATATCGTCCTCAACAAAGGCACATTCACTCCCTTTTCCTTGGCCAGTCGCACGACGTTACCTACGATGGCATCCACCTCCAAGTTTCTCTCAGACAGAGTATCGGCGAGCATGGACGGTTGGACGCCGGGCAAGTCGCGCTTGGCTGCCCTGTTGAGTTGATATTCCACCAGTTCCCCGTTGATCTTGGAATACCCGTACGCCTGCGCGACCGAAGCGATTTCCATCATGACGTCCTTGATGAAGGAGAGGACATCATCGTTTGCGTCTAGGAACTGCCTGTCCCGACACCGGGTCAAGGCGCAGATGGGGTTCCACGAGGCGTTGACCAGTAGTTTCCCCCACCGCTCGGCTTGCACATCGTCATGGAGCTTCGCCGTTGCCCCGGCAGCAGTGAGAAGATCCACGAGAGACTTGGCGGCATTCTTGGCCGGCTCCGGCGCCTCTGCAGGATACGTCCCAACGTGTAGAAGCTCTCCTTGTGCTGGACAACGCCGGGGCTGACCTGGGTAGCGGGGAGATACACCACCGCACTCAGAACAGGGTTGTTGGGATAGGCTGTGGCGAACTCGCCCTCTATGCCGATGCCATTCTGGATCAGCACTATGGCAGTGTCTTTCGAAACGGCAGGTTTGATGAGCTCCGCAGTCGATGGTTTCGTGGGCAAGGCCTTTGAGCAGATGAAGACGAAGTCAAATGGCTTCCCCGAGCTGGCCTCTACGGCTTCTGAGACGGTTCTTGCTACTGCTGGCTGCACTTTTAGATCGTTGCCCCAATGTGTGGAATGTATAGTAAAGCCCTTCCTCGATGCTTCTTCATAGTTGGAGCGGCATATCGCCGTGATGTCTGATGCGGGAATAGCTTGAGATAGCACCCATGCGTAGACTGCGCCGATGCTGCCAGTGCCAAAGATAAGGACGCGGGGGGCCATTGCTTTTTTAAGTTTGAGTATAAACACTGATTCTAGGATGCCTGTATAAGGGGTCTTCTCAGTTGCATATAAATTCGGAGAGTGTCCTCCTGGTCGGGCTGTCTCGAGGAGCAGTGACCCCGCTCCCCACTATTCTCTCACTGAGAGAGGCACTATTAGCCGGGTCCTTTGACCATATCACACCCCCTTTGGCCATGTAAGTCGTGCAGCGACATCCAACGAAGACTATACACGGATTGAACTTGGTCTACCCTGGGCCAATGCGCGCCATGTAGTCGGTATGTTCTGACTGGCCTATCTATTGTCGTACCAAATGATCAGCGGGAACACAGCACTTGCCGATGCCACCCAGGCCGTTCATTGGCAGGTGCAAAAGACTGCGATCGCCCTAGTTAGTAGTAGTCTTTGATTCGAGAGATACCTCGAAAGCACGGAGTGAGCATTGTTTGATTTTACGGATTCCTTCAGCCCCCCTAAGGAGGATATATGGTGGATTCAAGAATCAACAGCTTCGTCGACGGTTGACGACCAGAACACAATGCAAGTTCCGAACTGAGCATGTCTGACCCAGAATGGCTGGTATTCCATGGATAGCCGTGTTACAGTTCACGAGCAAAAGTGTGACCATCCCCTTCCTGCCTCAGGAAGGAAGGGCAAAAGCATACCAACGGGTGCTTTCATTCGCAAGAGGCAAAATGACGGATCGGAGTTTCGAACTCCGGACCTTCAGTGTGTGAGACTGACGTGATAACCACTACACCAATCCGCCAATGGTTGATGAGTGGCAACGTCTTATCGACAGCAATACTGTGTACAAAATAGGGATGGCGTGATGTGTGTGTCAGACGACGCGTTAGATGGGTTTGCAAGGTACTACCAGAAAGTTGTGGGAATTTGGAGCGGGGCTGGCATTCGAAAGAAAGCGAAAATTAGCGCTAGCTGTGGCCTGTTTAGAATCGTAACCTGGTTTGCTGGTGAGCAGTACATAGTATAAGTTGAGACGAGACATCTAGACTGGGTTGGTCAGAAGGGCGTAGCTATATCGTTGTAGATGAGAGATTTCAGTTCATGCAACCAGGAGAATATTCCCTTTAAAGACATAGAGTCCATGTTTCAAGTCCCTTGGTAGAGTATACTGTAGATCTGTTGGATGTCGCGACATTAGGTGGGCTGGTTGCCAACGAACTATGCATTTGAGGGCACGAGTCCCTCGCGTCTTCCGGATGCATTCTCCCAAAAAGCGTGATCGGCACACAAGGCTCCAAGGCTTCCAACCAACACACTTTACGTTCCAACAGGTTTGTCGTTTCCAGAATTTCGTCTAGCACTGAGAACCAAAGGGCCTCCCATTGCCCGTGACAGTGGAAAAGTCTCGGGGGTTCCAGCCACGCCACACTGGCCACCAGCCACAAACTCTCTGCCTCAGCCACACCTAGCATGGAGCTTGCATGGATGGGTCTCCACCGGTAGTTGCATATTCATGGACGGGTCTAGCTTGAGCTTGGCTAGCCCCTGATCAACCTTGCTTTGCCGATGCACGGTGCGGCGGTTTGACATCATCGGGCTCTGAGCTGTCGGAGGCCTGGCTTAGGGGGGTGTCAATCATGCGAAAACTTGAAAACCAAGCGCCAAAGAGGACGGACAGCTAGCAGAGCCTATTCGCCATTGGGGACGCCTCGTCATTGAAAGTTGGTACATAACTCACTTGTCAACCACCGAGATAAAGAATACCTCCTCCCCCCCACCGGTTAGTGAGACCGACAGGCGCGCCAGCTCTCTGTGCACCCAACATTGAGACCCGTTGGTGCAATCTCGTCTTGAAACGCGACATCCAACCTTTGTTTTATATCACCACCGCCGGTCCCAGCTGAGCGCCGGTTCTCCTCTTGGCGTTGTAAACTTCCATTGCTACGCGCCTCATACAAGATGACATCCTTCATCGCTAAACAGATCGGAAAGAGGCTCTTTGGGGAGACCTTGGAGAACAAGTTTGGTGCCAAGGTACGCAACACCAATCGAAACGCCCGCGACTCTCTCTCTCTCTCTCTCTCTTCACAAGATTTGCAGCTGACCCGCCATATTGCAGGACCCAGTCTTTGAACAGGTTCCCGCTACGAGACTCGACGGCACGCCCAATGGCAAGTTCAAGAAGGTGCGACGGGCCTTGCCGCCTGGCATCTCCGAGAACGATGCCCAGGTCCTCACCAAGGTCAAGAAGAGGGCGTACAGACTGGACATGAGTCTGTTCAGCTTGTTTGGTGTGCGTTTCGGCTGGGGTAGCGTCATTGGAATCGTGCCCATGTGAGTTCTGCCTTGCTCCCTCCCTGTCCGTGTTCTGTCTTGTCGCAAAGGAAACTAACGGTCGATTCCCCCAGCGCCGGCGACATTATGGATGCGCTCTTGGCCATGATGGTCGTTAACACCGCGAAAAAGATCGACGGCGGTCTACCGGCCGGCCTCCTGATGCAGATGTACTTCTGGGTTCTGATAGACCTGATCGTTGGGTTTGTTCCGTTCCTAGGCGATGTCGGCGACGCTATTCTGAAGGCCAACTCCCGAAACTCGGTCCTCCTGGAGGAACACCTCCGACAGAAGGGCAAGAAAAACCTGCGCAAGAGCGGGCAACCGATCCCAGCCGTCGACCCCAGCGACCCAGACGAGTTCGACCGCTTCCAATCCAGCGCCCAGCCTGAGCACGTCTCAAGCCAGCCAGGTCGGCAAGGCAATACGACTGCCAGCCCCGGCAGCAACGGCCATGGTCCGCAGTCATCTGGTGTCACCGGCGCTGCTTCCACTCCGGTGCGCCCCACCGAGGCCAGAGTCCGAGACGATCGTCGGTCCGGAGGCGGATTCTTCAGCTTTGGCGGCAGCAAGAAGAACCGCCCAGTGGACGAGGAGATGGGTGCCGCGAGTCAACCTCCTGCTCGGAAGCCATCACGTCGAGGCTAGTGGACTTCACTGTTGCCCAAGCAGTAGAGGAGCATCCCGACAAGAATGCTCTGTGGTATGTTGTCGCGGCCGAGCCGCTGAGACGTCTGAGTTGACACGCTCGACAGCCTTTCAGGGCCAACCGATTTTAGAGCTTGCATGGCAGGTGGATTGTGGTTCTGGCAGAGGACGAGAGACAGCCGAGAGCGATGACGAGGTAGTTTGCGCATGTGATTTCTGAGATTTTATGAGATACCACTAGGTTGTCGTGTGCAGCATCACAGATTACGAAGAAACACGATATTTAACAAGGAATATAGACAGCTTAATCAATCCCATATTGACCCATGTGCGAATAACGGAGCGATCAATCATCTATCAGACCCCAGTGAGAGATGTGCATGCCTGTTTATCATATGCTAGCGCTGATTATATCGACACCTACGTATTGTGCAGGGGGGTTGTGCAGGATATCATAAAAGCCAGCGACACGGGCAACATGTACATAGTATCTCGGACCTGGGCCCACCAACTTCGTACTTTTCCAGCTGGTACAGACGTCAAGAGAGCTACTCTTCGGGGCACGGTATGGGGTTTCGCAGTACTCAATTGACTCGAGGTAGCTCGTGAGTCAACGATTGTTAGTTCCAGGGTTGATGTTATGCCGTGCCGTCGCGTCTGTCGCGCCAGAGGCCGGGCCGTCCGTGTATACTACGGTAAGGTCCAGCGCAGCTCGTGTAAAGTGAAACCACTTTAGCTGCGCGAGGGGGCCACACAGTACGCCAAACCCCACAGTCTCATCAACACCATCACCATCAATAATCGATTCATCAGCTTCTGTCATGCCGTGATGCTGCTAGTTGGGTAATAGCCTGGTCCGTAAATCCGAAGGCAGCTCGCCCGGGCTCGCTCGTTCGCGACAGCCGCCGTGGAGCCCGGTGCAGGGAGAGCGGGTCATTGTTTATCTGATCGAAGCTGATGATATTGATAATCTTGATTCCCACCCAAAGACGGGCCACGACCCCTGCGGGCTTTACGTAGCTAGCAGCGCCAAGCAGGTGCGAGAGCCCAAAGACGAGGCATGGCAGGCCCGAGCTGGGTCGCAGGACTGGCAATCCTACGACGCGAAGGGGCAAGCCCGGTGGGGAGTGGACATCTCCGGCGACATTTCTGTGTGGTAAAGCGCACGCTGGCGGCTGAGGAGCTGTCTCCCCTGGTCGACGCGTGAGATGGGGAGACAAGCAGACAAACGGTGGCTGGGCCCCCCCCCCTCAAGGCCCGGGATGCGCGTCGACGGGCCCCACGTGATTTCGCCCTGGCGCGTCTTGCACTTTAGCCCGCCCGCCCGCCGCGCGCTATAAGAAAAGAATTCCTGCCTGCTGCTCTGCACAGCTCCCACCCAGACCTCCCATCTCAACCTTCACACGCGACGATTCCATTCAGCAGTCTTTTTCGAGTTGATCTCTTGCAGCCTGTCTTCCATCCCGCCTCCCCATCCACCCAATTGCCTTCACCACATCCCCGCCGCACGCAATGGCCACCGAGATCACTCCCTCCAAGAAGGTACGTGCATGACGTCGTCGCCCCGGGACGGACGCGCCGCTAGCCACCCTCCCATCAGAGCGACAACGCGTAGCTAACACGAAGTCTTTCTCCCCACAGGCTGCATCCGCCATCGAGTCCTTGAAGATGGAGTCCCCCGTCAAGAAGCTCGACTTCTCCGGCAAGGAGAACGCGCCCTTTGACGCCGACGCCCCCGCCGACGTCGAGTCCCAGAAGCCCACCATGGAGTCCACAAAGGAGGTCGCCAAGGCCGCCGTGGCTCCCACAATCAAGCCCGAGGAGGTCGACGAGCCCCTCTTGCAGGAGAACCCGCAGAGATTCGTCCTCTTCCCCATCAAGTACCATGAGGTTAGTGGAGCCCCCCTCCCCGACGCGTCGCCTACGCGTAAAGTGGTCTCCGGGACGCGACACATGCTGACCTGGGCCACCTGCAACAGATCTGGCAGATGTACAAGAAGGCCGAGGCCTCCTTCTGGACCGCCGAGGAGATCGATCTGTCCAAGGACCTGCACGACTGGAACAACAAGATCAACGAGGATGAGAAGTACTTCATCTCGCACATCCTGGCCTTCTTCGCCGCCTCGGACGGCATCGTCAACGAGAACCTGGTTGAGCGCTTCAGCGGCGAGGTCCAGATCCCCGAGGCTCGCTGCTTCTACGGTTTCCAGATCATGATGGAGAACATCCACTCCGAGACCTACTCTCTCCTCATCGACAGCTACATCAAGGAGCCCGCACAGCGCACCTACCTCTTCAACGCCGTCGACACCAGTAAGTACTCCATTGTCCCGCCCCTTCGCCCTCGCCGGTGCCTAGAAGCAGTCATCTCTAACACTCGTGTGTGCAGTTCCCTGCATCCGTAAGAAGGCCGACTGGGCCCTTCGCTGGATCACCGACAAGAAGTCCACCTTTGCCCAGCGTCTCGTCGCCTTTGCCGCCGTCGAGGGTATCTTCTTCAGCGGTGCTTTCGCCTCCATCTTCTGGCTGAAGAAGCGCGGTCTGATGCCCGGTTTGACCTTCTCCAATGAGCTCATCTCTCGTGACGAGGGTCTGCACACCGACTTTGCTTGCCTGCTGTTCTCCCACCTGAAGAACCGCCCCAGCAAGGAGCTCGTCGAGGAGATCATCGTCGACGCTGTCAAGATCGAGCAGGAGTTCCTGACCGAGGCCCTGCCCTGCGCTCTGCTGGGCATGAACGCCACTCTGATGAAGCAGTACATCGAGTTCGTCGCTGACCGCCTCCTCGTTGCCCTCGGCAACGACAAGGTCTACCGTGTCAGCAACCCCTTCGACTTCATGGAGAACATCTCACTCGGTGGCAAGACCAACTTCTTCGAGAAGCGTGTCGCCGAGTACCAGAAGGCCGGTGTCATGGCCAGCACCACCAAGGTTGCTGACGAGGACGTCAAGGAGAACGAGAACGGCGGCGACTTCAGCTTCGATGATGACTTCTAGATGTCTCATTGACTGATGATTCTTGCTTGTTTTCGCACTCGATACCCTACTCCACCTGATAGACGCGCCCTTGTCTACACATTTTACTGCGTGGCGCTTCACTTTTGTCACCCAAACCCCCACTCTGCATGGCATTAGAGTACGGCGAGCAAATCCGGTGCAAGTTCCTTTTTTCGACTATATTTATTCTGATTTTCCTTTGTCGGTCACACGTGGTCGCGCTTGGTTATAGTCGCCAGCCGCCACGGTTCTCTATATTCTGGTTGGGTCACATCGGCGTTCAGGGGGTTTTCATGAGGCGAGGGTTCCTGGACCGGCTCCATTGGACGGAGCGGACGGTCAACAGTCGACAGGGACTGACGGCACATGGCAGGGGGGGCAAAACGAGATTTACGTTGGGGAATGGAAATGTAGTTTTACATATCAGGAATAATTGAAGAGATGATGAACTGAACTGAACCATGGCCGGCTCATGTGTGATGTGCTTTAGTTTGTGATGTATTATTCGCGACCTCTCACTCGGATGCTATTTGCAGGTATTCACTTTTCCGCGCCACAGCATTCCCACGGTTTAGAGCTTGCACGGGTAGGTACCGTGCGAGCTGTAACCCATTCAATTGACTGCACTACTCACGACGAATGTGAAGTACAACAGCATGTCGTAGAGGTGAGGTTGGCCGGTTGAACAGGTCCGTATTGTGTACCATCATGATATGCTTCTTGTGTCGCGAAGTTGTTGCGAGATGCCTCTCAGCTCCGACCAAAAGCCGCAACGCCTCTCAACCCAGTCTGTGAACGTGATTCGTCCTTCTCCATGTTGACATACCGGCATCGTCGGGGTTTCAAAATAAGATGGTCTTATGCAGCGAGAGCAGAGAGCCATAGTATCCCGCTCCTCGACTTCGGTGTCCTGTTCAAGTCTCCCCCACCCACCTGGGCACACACACAGAGACACACCCACCGCCTCTCATCGCTTCCCCTTCTTCTTCTTGCCTTTGCCACCACCGCCGCCGCCGCCGCCGCCTGCTGCTTGTTGTTGTTGCTGCTGTTGCTGGCCCTGCGCCGGGGCCCCGGCCGTCTTCTCGTCACCACCCACCGCCGCCGCCGCCTTCTCGCCGGCCGGGGTGCCGGTGCCGCTCTCGGGCGCGTCCAGCATGGGCTCGTCGCGGAGCTCGGGCAGGCCGGCCATGGGGCGGCCCAGCTTGCCCAGCCCCTGGACCAGGCGCGAGACCTCGGCCGCCTTGGTGGTCTTGTACTTGAGCGCCGTGCCCGTCTTGGGGTCGAAGGTCTTGAGGACCAGGACGCCGCGCGGCGGTTTCGCGGTGGCGGGGTCTGCCGCTGTCTCCTCCTCGCCTCCTCCTGCTTTCCGGCGCGGCTTCGCCGGCCGGATCGAGTACTTGGTCGTCACCCTCGTCGTGGCCGGGCGCGCCTCCAGCAGCAGCTGCGACTGCCGCAGCCAGTCGTCGGCCGAGGCGTAGTACGGCATGATGTGGAGTTTGGGGGTGTGTGGTCTGACGGTGCGCGCGGCTTGGGCGTGTGTTGGGGTGTTCCTGTTTCCCTGTCGGAGGAGAGCACGGGCACGCAATGCCTGTCTCCCTGTGCTGCTGTCTGCTTGTCTGGGTGGTGATGCGGCTGTCTTGCCGGGTTTAAGTGAACATTGAAGCGTGGATCAATTTTGGGGGGAATTTGGGAGTTGAATCCAGGCTGTTGCTGGCGGTTTGGTGGGGCAGTCTGCTGGCTGCCCGCCCCGTCTTGGAGCTTCCGTCCCCCGAATTCCGCGGGGGATGGGCGGCGTGCATCTACGAACCACGAGGTCAGGGACTAATTCTTTGACTTCTGACGACTGTAGTGTCGCTTTCACACTGCTGATTCCACTTTGGAAATCATCAGGTTACTAGAAACAATATAGATGCCATGGACTCATGACAATCACCTTTTCGTCTCTGTTGTCGGAGGGCTTGTACGCTATGTCAAGTTAGGTGACAAGCGAATCCGTTGCTCACCGCACCCCGAGAGCTCCAGTGTCACCCCACACTGGAATTCATACGTCCAGTACACCCACCATGCATGGATGCGACCAGGCTGATTTGGAGCCTCGCCTTGCAAATGTGCTGCATTCCGCAGACCAGCCACCTCGTCCGCGCCATTGAGTCGGCCATCACGGTCGCGCTCGCACATAGATACCTCAATCGCCCTTCTCACCCCCCGACAACTGCCAGTCTACAACCAGCTCGGCGCAGAAGGCCTCGGCATCCTCATCCTCAGCCACATCCACATCCACTATGGCGTCCACGCCCATGGACCTCGACGCGCCCGAATCCTCCCCAGCCAACGGCATTCCCTCGACCTCGCTCAACGTAACGCGGACACTGGGCGCCAACCTGCCGAGCACCGCCGCTGTCACAGATGTCATAGCCAGCTTCCGCCCTACAAAGGTACCATGCCGCCCTCCACTCGTGCCGCGACGAGAGCCCCTCCTGCAGCTAGGCCTGCGAGACTCTCCAAGGACAACACCGACCAAGATCAAGTCAACAAGTGTGCTGGCTCATGCCCCCCTGAGTAGTTCTCCGCTCAAGCAGGTGGCCGCCTGTTCCCCCTACCCCTCGGATGAGGGCAGTCCCTCCAAGCCCTCGGCTTTTGCGCTTGCTACTCCCCAGCCCTGTGTGGAAGACCCGGCCGATGCAGCTTCTGACAGTGAACAACAGCTCTTCAAGCGCGACAACCACAGGGATGGCCGCCCGCCGCCCTACATTCTCAGCCTGGACTACGATGACCCGGGCGAGCTGCTCATGACCTCTGAGAGCGACGATACCATCCAGATCTACAAGGTCCGCGAGGGCCGTCACGACAAGCAACTTCTGAGCAAGAAGTACGGCGTCAAGCTCGCCAAGTTCACCCACACGAGCTCCAGCGTAGTCTATGCGAGTACAAAAGTGAATGGTATGCATAGGCGTCGGAAAACCCGATATAACCTTCTGCTCACCAGTCCATAGATGCGATCCGGTATCTTACAACCCACGACAACTCCTTCTTACGATACTTCGAAGGCCATGAAGGGGCTGTCACGTCGCTTGCCATGCACCCTGGACACGACGACTTTATATCTTGCAGCAAAGACAACACGGTGCGTTTATGGAACGCCAGCACCAAGAACGCGACGGGAATGCTGCACCTCAACACCCCGTACCTCTCGGCCTTCGACCCCAGCGGCAAGATCTTTGCCATCGGGTCGCCAAACAGCGGCCAGGTGCTGCTCTACGACCACAGGAACTTTGACAAGGCCCCGTTCAGCACATTTGACATTGGCGAGACGTGCGTGTTCGCGGATCCTGCTCACGTCCTGAAGGGCTGGACAAAGCTGGAATTCTCCAACGACGGGAAGCATGTCCTCCTAGGCACAAAGGGCAACGGGCATTTCCTCGTTGACGCCTTTGATGGGACCTTCCGGGCCTATCTCCACAAACCCAACGGCGGCACGAGCAGACTGGCGGCCGGCGAGGACCCGGCGACGAATGGTGCCTCCGCAGGGAACTCGAGTCACATCGAGGGCAGCGGGGACTGCTGTTTCAGCCAGGACGGCCGGTACGTGATCGGCGGCGGCGCAAACAACAAGCTCCTCATCTGGGACACCCTGGGCCAGGTGGACGGCGACAAGACGCTTGAGCCGGTGCATGTCCTCGCCAGCGAGAAGCCGCCGTCGGTGGTGGCCTTCAGCCCCCGCTTCAACTTCTTTGCCACGGCGGACCAGGAGGTTGTCTTCTGGGTGCCGGACCCGCATGCTTAGTGGATATGTTGCACCAGCAACATTTGACCTATGTGGCTCTATCAAAGATGCTGTTTGCGTGACTGTGGCGAGACAGCCCGTTGAGCACACAGAAGACCGCCAGCTGCCCATATTTGGTTTGCAACTGATGACCGAGGTCGTTTGGGCACTTGTGCTAGAGCTCGTGCAACGAGCGGGATATCAAAGGACGATTGCAACGACGACCTGGTATGTGAGGAAACGCAATTTGGCCGAGGCTCTCAAGGCTATATTTCACCTCGATTACGACCTCAAATTTCCCGGGCGACGATCACTTTCATGGGAAGATTCTTTGGTCAACATGGAGCGAAGCAAATTTGTACCAGGCAAAAGCTGTTGGAGGAGCACCGGGACGGCCGATGAGGAGAAAACCCACTACTTTCGGGCTGGCTAAAAGAGGTGGTACATTTCGGCCCTCGTATTGTGCAATCAGCTGGCACCTTGGTGTTGCCCAATTTTGACTCAGGAGAGGCAGACGACAAGAGGCAAACGCGAGAACCGGCGACACGCAGTTTCCCACTTGAAACGTCGCCCTCATTATGGGAAGAGCAACGTTTGACATGATACCCCGATCACTAGGCATTTTCAGGCGTTCAAACCTAAGGATCCAGCGTCCGCCAGATAACTGTAGCATCGGCAGACTTGTTCGGCCAGCAGCACCTCGTTAGTGAAGTCTCAAGGGCTGGCCTCACCTAGTACAGGACTCTATACAATGTGGAATAACAGAACGATGCAATTCTCGATGCCCCGTGCTATGGATTTAACAGGGGTCTTTCATATGATACAGTTTCTATACACCATGTATGCTACAGGTTACAGTGTGCTCCATCCGGCCGAACGAGCGGCCTCGTGTGATCTGCCGATGCTTCCCCAGGCCATCTCTAGCCACTTTTGCCAGGAAAGTGGCGGCTGCTTCATGTTGTTCTTCTCTATTCGCACAAATTCATCTGGAGCCGTATCGTGAGCCCCCTCCCTGTCCCCGTCCTTCGCTATCCTGCGTCCGTCCCCCGCCTCTACCTCTTGTTCTGCCTCTTGCCCGGGCGGCCCGTGCTGCCCGACTGGCCCTTGCCGCCCTTGCTGCTGAAGACGTTGCGGGAGCGGCGCCAGGCGTCGACTAGGTGCTCGACGCTGCCCATGTCGTGCTTGGGCTGGCGCATGTAGGTGAGCTTGGCGCGGCGGGCGCGCTTGGGGCGGCGCCAGACGATCTCGATGCCGAGCACGCCGGGGCTGTAGATCTTGTGCCACATCTCGGTGCCCGTCTTGTACAGCGTGTTGCGCAGCAGCACGGCCGTGTCGACGCCCGCGCGCCGGATCGCCAGGCACACGCCCGCGAACGGCTCCCCGCGCGCCGTCGTCACCTGCAGCACGTCGCCCACCTTGGCCGCGTCCTTGTTGTCCCGCGCGAACAGCGCCGTCCGCGCCCCCGTCCGGTCCAGCCGCCGCACCTGCTGCGCGTGGTACGCCACCAGCGCCGCCGGGTTCGCCGCCCGCGCCGACGGCGGCGGCCCGTACACGGCGAAGGCGGTGCGGACGGGCTTCTGTGGGTTCTTGGAGGGGATGACGTCTGTGATGGCGCGAGCGAGGACCGGGTCAGCACTATTGTATACATATATGTTTCCAGAGGGGGGAGGGGGGAGGGGAGCCATCTAAGCAGAGGGCAAGAACGGGGGGACGGGGGGACCTTGCAAGAAAGACGTACGGAACTTGTGCGGTTTGCGGGCTGCTGCTACGATGGCCGGTGGTACGGCGGCAGTGCTCGTGGTCGGCGTGGTCTCGGTGGCCATTGTGCGGCAGAGGAGGGCCCGGTGCTGTCGGTTCTGGCGCAGCAGGGTCTTGAGGGGCCCGAGGGGCCGTCTGGCTGCCGTCGCGTTCATCCTGGGCTCGTGAGGGCTGCTGTCGCGAGCTTCGATAGCTGGGGTTCTCGGGGTCCTCTGAGAGCTGCCAGTCCGGCATCCAGATTGGAAATTGTTCGAGAGGCCCGGTCGGCTGCGCAGGGGGGGGCTAAAAAGTTGTTCCAGGCCCGCGGTGCACCCTGCAGCACTAAGCTAGAGGCGTGGGTTGAGTGTCTGGGGCGCTAAAATCTTGGGCCACCGCTGGATCGGGTCTAGCGTATCGCCTGTAGGTTCTATACTCGAGCGGCTCTGTTAGTTGCCAGCCAAGAGAACAAAGCCACGAGTGGTTGAATACATAGGTTGGGAGAACAGATTTCTCCTTGGAAGGACAGAATAGCGTGGAATACTTCGCCCACACAACTGCAATGTATGGCATTGTGTAGAACAATTCTTCAATCAAGCTGTCTCCATTTCCCCCAATCGCACGGGTCGTTACCACATGAGCCAAATACACAGGCGCGACATCTATACCATGGTTCAGAAAGAGAACTCCTGATAGAAAGCCACCTCGCCTTCTTCTAGGATTTTGGAAAATGACATTGTAATATCTTAAAAGGTGAAACCTCAGTTGCTGTAATATCACACTATCTGGATACCAATCAGCCAGTCTGTATTCCTGTGCACAATAGTCGTATTGTCCGGAAGTCTGAGAATGCCAACCCTCACATACTCCGCGTGCACGTCCATGAGTTGCCGGCTGCCCGCCGGGTTCATCCCAGTGGCCAGGTTTTTCAGTCTTCCCTCGCGCGGCAGATCGAAAAAGTCCTTCTCCTTCAAGACCAGGTAGGCGCCGAAATCCACGTAGAGTAGGAAGACGCTCGTAAACGGCGGGATCCATCCCCGGCCCTCCATGCTGATGATGTAATCGGGGAAGAACTCGAGGCGGCGCTGGTTTATGTTGATCTCCAAGCTGTAGTTGAAGATGTCATGGTGCCTCACCGCAGACCAGCGGGTGCTTGGGTCCGGCAGATCTACATACCGGAGAAGTGCAGGAGTCACGCGACCACTCACGAGAAGCCTCGCGTACGATATCGGTCCGGTGAGAACACGCTTGTCACGTTGGACTGAAACGGAGGCAACCGTCAGGGCGTCCCTGCTGGCGTTCTTAGGCAAATCTTGCCAGTACTGGACCCGACCTTGCGCCGAGGCCCACGACCATGACGGGCCCGTATACGCGTCCTTGCTGCGTCGAAGAGGGTCCGCCGCGCGCATGCTCAGTAGGTCTTGGATGGTCGTTGTCGAACCGCCCCCGGAGCAAGCTGCCAGGAACGGCACGTCGTACGGTACCGCTGCCTCGCGCGTCCCGTGACGGCAGAGCCGCCGGCGGTCCAGACAAGGCAGCGAGCAAGCTGCCGAGTACGAGTACTGGCACCTCCAGTTCTTGTCCGAGCTGTAGGCACTGTCAAAGCAGTAGCAGATTCGGTCGGGCTCGGCCCCCGATGCCAGCGCAGATGAGTTGACCCTCCAGAGCAGGTCGCGCTTGATCGACTTCATCCACAGTCCGGCCACATAGTCCTTCTCGAGCGAGGCCCCATTGGACTGGGCAAAGAACGAAGCGAACCCGAGGAGGGCGGGGAGCCGGTCTTGGGCTACAGTGAGATCCAGAGCACTGTAGAGCTCGACGGCCGATGTCCACGATGCTTTGTCGCCCCAGTCGCGGATCTTTGGGTTCGATGGCAAGTAGTAGCCACCGCACTGGCAATCACCAAGCTCCATACACTCCCACACAAGCTCATGGTGAGAGAAGTGCAGGACCCGGGGGGCCAGCAGGCGTTCTTGGAACACCCATGCCCTCGACAACAATGGGAACGCAGTGTTGGCGTTCCACGATCTTTCCCAATGCCTCATCGTCTTCCGCACGGTGAAAGAACCCAGACCCGTCTCGAATCGTTTCTCATATGCGTCGTTAGCACTCCAGAAACAGCCAGATTCGTTATCTGTAGAAGCCGTCGCAGCAAGGGTGATCGAAGAGTTCCTGTATATGTTGGCCATCTGGCCGGCCTGCTGGCCCCAGTCGTCGGCATCATCTTGAATTATGCAATACGAGTCAATCCATATATTCTCAATGCCTAACGCGAGCGAGAAGCGTATGATGTCTTGGAAGGTTGGCGGGATGGCGTCCCAGGCGATGCCGTGTAGGAAATCAGGATATGTATCTCGCGTGGTCTTGCCCGAGGCAGAGCCGCCCCATCTGTGGCTGATGCAGGCATATTCGCCAAGACTATTGTCCGTCTCCCGGAGGAGTACGTCGATTTTGCCCTCCACGGTCTTCTTGCACGACAATACTCGGCTTGGCAGTGCCGTCTTGGTGGACTTGGAGCACTTGGTATGACGCGACAAGCAATTTGAGATGTTTGATCGTGCCCATTGAACACTGCTGGCTGCCAGAGGCTCGGTCGGCTGGAACACTTTGGTGGAACGGGCAACCACTCCGAATGATGATGTTGACCCTGAGTTTACGCATAAGAAGTTCGTCCCTTGACAACGAATATCACTGATGCTGGCGAGAACGTACCACTGGACCCTTCGGCGTAGATCTCCAGCTCCAACTTTGGTCGCGAGTCCCTGTAGTATATCTCGACGGACAAAGTGAGCGGAGGCAGCTCGTGTGGCCCCCGGATATAGATCCAGGCGATGACACTCTCAAGAGTCTCGATATCATGGCCACCGAGCTTCAGGACCCCTCCGAGAACGATGGCGCAAAAGGGGCAGGTCAAGGCTGATTGCAGGAGAGACATGGGACTGAAATCGGCAGCATAACGAATTTGGTCCCCGTATCTGAGCTTCCTCAGCTGGAACCCGTGGCACACCGAGCATGGCACCGCAACCCTGGACAATGCCGTGCTGGTTATGGACAAGGCCATCTCCTGCTATTCGATGGTGGGAGCGGGCTGCACGTATTGGAACCAACCTCGGATGAAGAGCCTCGGTCATGTCGAACAGCGAAAGGGCGGAAGAAAAGCACAGAACAACATTTTCTTGGAGCTGAGACGGCTGAGGTCACGGCGGCCACGGGGGCTGAGATTGTGGTGGTTGCCCGGCTGTGGTAGGCCAGACGCATAATTGGCATGGTGGCTGCTCTAGTCGGGCACGGCTGCCTTGTCGCCATGGCTCTGTAATAATTGCCTTGACCGGTTTCTCCAGATCGTCAAAATACACTGCGTCTACTGTGCCATAAGAGCTGAAACCGTGTATATCTGGTTCGTATGCTTACAAGGTCGAGCTTGAATGGGGTACGGTACTGGAAACGGGAACACCACGTTAAATAGCACACCCCCCTCCTAACTGGCTAACTAACTATGCGCACCCCCTCTACCCCTGTTGGCCGGGGCGCCACTGGCAGGCCACTCCAACTGCCACCGCGGCCGGCGACTTGGGCAAAATTTCTGGGGTCTGAGCTCTGGTCGACGACACGACGATCGATCGACCGACGGACTACGACAGCGGTGCCATTTGGTGTGAGCACTCGGGTTCGCAACACACCACCACAACACACAGTCTCGAAATGTCGCGGAGGACGGTATTAAGTGCCGTTGGAGGCAATGGCGCCGTCTTCGAGGCCGCCGCCGCCAGGAGGATACCGCAGTGCATGGCCGCGCCGCAACGGAGCTTCAGCTCGACTGCACAGCGAAATGGTACGGATTGACGCACGAGAGGAAGAGAGCGCCCGCGAGAGAGATAAAGAGATGAGACGACTGACAAATCCCGTGTCACAGCGACCCAGATCACGCACTTCAAGCCCGCCTCGTCCCCCGAGCTCGACGCCCTGCTGTCCACCATCCGCCACCAGATCATCATGCCCGCCTACCTGACCGAGACCCAGCGCAAGCGCCTCTACTCGTCGCGTTGGGAGAAGAGGCTGGCTCAGGACCCCATCGTGATGGAGGTCGACGGCGAGGTCTTCCGCTTCCGCCACCTCGAGCCCTTCAAGGGCGGCATGGTCAACACCCGCAAGTCCATCGGCCAGGCCGTCTCCCAGTTCTCCACCGACGCCGACTGGGAGAACCTGCGGCCCCTGCTCGAGGGCGTCCACAACGCCGGCCGCCGCCTGAGCGACACCTTCCTCGTCAAGCTTGTCCGCATCGTCGGCGAAAAGGGCCACGCCGACGATCTGATCGAGTGCGCCCGCGGCGCGCGCCGCACCGGCTTCCGTCTCGACCGCCCCGAGAAGGTCAACGAGCTGCTGCACTACGTCCAGCTCAAGGCCGTAGACGCCGCCTGGGCCCGCCCCCAGACGGAGCAGGCCCTGCGCCGCGCCGAGCTCGTCATCGAACTTCTGCAGAGCGACGCCCACGCCCCGGCCGAGGATGCCATCGTCGAGGGCTCCCTGCCCCTGCACCGCGACCCGCAGGTGCTCATGGCGCCGCTGCACCTGGCCGCCGCTCTCGTCGTCAAGGGCGGCGTCACGGACGCCAAGGTGGTGGAGAAGGTGGACAAGCTCGCCGACACCGTCGTGCGGCTGTGGCCCGCCGACACGCCCTTGAGGAAGCTGTACCCGATCAAGGAGTTCCTGGATGAGGTGCAGATGGGATACCTCCTGCAGCCGAGCAAGTTCGTCGCCATCACCACGCCCCTGCTCCACGGGCTGGATCTGGCTGCTCAGGCTGTGTCGAGCCCAGAGCTGGCGGCGCAGCTGCGCTCGAGACACCAGGTCTTGGAGTCCGACATCCAGAAGGCGCTGCGGGAGGTCCAGTCCAGCAATAAGGCGAGCCACAGGGGCAAGGCCGTGTATAACAAGTTCTTTGGCGGTGCGTAGAGCCGTGGTAGCATGGGCAGTGAAACCGATTAGGGCTGCGGTTGTAACCATAGAAAAGCCGCTAAATAGTAGCAGCGCTGGAAGGAGATGTGTTGTGATACTACCATCGACCATTGTACATTTATTCTATATACAGCTAACCCATTCGCTGGTTCTGCGCGGGAGCATGTGGGAGGACAGAATGCCGCCCCTTTTGCTTCTATGTGATCCTCATGCCAGAGTAGTCGTGCTTCGCTACAAAAAACTAAAACAAGACCGGTTTGCCATCGATCCGCCGGCCTGCCTGCCCTCTGTCTACGGCAACACGATATACCTCTCGAGGCTCTTGGGTATGGCGCCCAGCAGCTTCTTGCTCTCGAGCCACTTGCGGCTGAACAGGCGGTCGGCGTAGCGGTAGGCGCCGTCGCACAGCACGGTGACGACGGTGTGGCCGGGCCCCAGGTTCTCGGCGACCTCGGCGGCGGCGGCCACGTTGAGCGCCGAGCTGGCGCCCAGGTACAGGCCCTCCTCGTCGAGGCAGCGGTAGACCATCTCGATGCTGCGCTCGTCGCTGACGAACAGGCTGCCGTCCAGCAGCGCCAGGTCCGGCGCCAGGTTGTCCGTCACCCGCCCCTGCCCGATGCCCTCGGTGATGCTGCCGCCCGACCGCTCCGCCAGCTGCCCGCCCGACTGGATGTACGAGTGCAGCACGCTGCCCGGCGGGTCCGCCAGGAAGCTCTTGACCCGGCCCCCGCTCGCGTCCTTCAGGTACCGCGTCACGCCGGCCAGCGTGCCGGCCGTCCCCGTCGCGCACGTGAAGGCGTCGACCTTGCCCTGCGTCTGGGTCCAGATCTCGGGCCCCGTGGTCTCGATGTGCGCGCGGCGGTTGGCCGTGTTGTCGAACTGGTTGGTCCAGACCGAGGCGCCGTCGCCGTGCTCGCGCACCAGTCGCTGGGCGTGCCGCGCCGCCTGGTGGTTGTAGTTGTCCGGGTTGTCGAAGGCGACGGCGGGCACGGGGTAGACCTCGGCGCCCAGCAGGCGCAGCAGGTCGATCTTGCCCTGCGACTGCGTGTTGGGCATGTAGATGACGAGGCGGTAGCCGCGGTCGCGGCACACGTGCGCCAGCCCGATGCCCGTGTTGCCGGCCGTGCCCTCGACCACGGTGCCGCCGGGCCGCAGCAGCCCGCGCTCCTCGGCGTCCAGCACCACGTACAGCGCCGCGCGGTCCTTGATCGAGCCGCCCGGGTTCATGAACTCGGCCTTGCCGAGCACCTCGCACTTGGTCTGCTCCGAGAGCGTGTTGAGCCGGATCAGGGGCGTGTTGCCAATGGCTGTCCCACCCAACAGTCAGCCTATCTCAGTTTCAAGTCTCGGTGGAGAGGCGGGGGAGAGATATGGTCACGTACCGCCGGTGAGCCCCTTGGCGACACCCTGCGCCTTGGACACGGCGAGCGTGGTCGGACTCGGATCGTGGGCGGCGGCCGGGGCAACGGCCCTGCGTGCGGCCGTCGTTGCGAAGCGCCGCACGCTCTGCCTGAGTACCGTGGCCATTTCGTCTTTTTTTTTTTTTTTGTGAACGCTGTTCGATTGGGGAGAGGTTCCGGCCGCCTCTTTTCGTTGCCGGGTTCGAACGCCGTACGTAAGCAATGGCAAGCAAAGAGATTCCAGAGGCTGAGAGAGCAGCCGTCCGAAGCTGGGGAACAATTTCGGCGGGGCGCATGGCCAGGGTCCCGGCAGCACGTCATTCTGGCGCCGGTGCCGGCTGGATGCGGTAAACCCTCGGCAGTCGGAGCTCCTAAACAACGACAGCTTGTAGCATTGCAGGTAGTAATACGATTGCTGATATACGTTTTAGCGCAGTCTTATGACCATTATTATAGATCATATCGTCATTATCCTCGTCAATATATTGGCCAACATTGAACCATGTAAGCACCCTCCCCATGGGCCAATAAAGATCCAGCCCACGCAACGTCTTGCCATGTAAATGCCACCATGCACCTGGCCATGCTGCGCCGCACCGTATACTTGGATCCAAACATTCTCTCACTACTGGGCACGGCCTTCACGACTCAACTACCCTGACATACGGAGCCGGAAATAGCCCCATAGCTCCCATGTACGTCCCGAAGAACCACTCCCCGTTGACATCCTCAATCTCCTTGACCTCGGCCCCTTTAGGGAACATGAGCTCATCGTCGGCGCCCTCCTGAGGGTACCACGACCACGAAGCCGTCCCCTTCATGCCCACGCCGCCGTCTGGCGGAAATAGATCAGTCCACTCTTCGCCCGTGGGAGCATTGGCCGCCACGCTGCGCGCCACCAGCCTCTCGAGCTTTGATCCGCTGGGGCCGTCCCACGACCATTTCTGCAGCCCGGGAGGCCTGTCGACAGAACCCGTCGAGTCGTAGGCCTCCATATGCAAGTGCTGGCCTCCGACGAGATCCTTTACGATTTGCCGCCTTTCCCCACCGCCACTGAACTGGAAGCAGATGATCGCCATCCTGTGTCCGTTGAGGCATCGTCGCCAGCCTGCAGATCCGTTCTCAGCTGTGATGCGGTCATCGGCCTCGAGGCTGGCATAGCAGGCCATGCATACCTCATAGTCGCCTGGATGCAGGTCAGCCACGACGGTGCTAGCGCTCGCGACTGTGCTGGTGCACGAAAAGCAGTGGTGTCGGTCCTGAGTAGGTGCAATGGCCGAACGGCAGACGCTGCACGCGGTGGTAAACGTCAATGGCTTGAAATTGCCCATGTTGATGGCATCTGGACCAGTGTAGAGTCGCGCGGACGCTGGTGGACTCGGCATCCTCGGGCTCGCCGGCGGGCTGGAACCGGACGAGGGTGAGACGTAGGTCAGGGGGAGCAATGGGTGCGTGCAACTCTTTCCTGTGTTGACGCATCGATTACAGAAACCCCAGTCGCCCTCGTTGCATGTTTCGCAGCGCCAGTAGCACTCGTTTGCCCATGCGGAACAGCGGGAGCAGAACATGCCACTCTGCAATCTTCGCATCGGATCGTCGGTCGTCATGGTCCGCCGGCCGTCTGCACCGCCCGGCGTATACTTGGGCGGAATGTATCGGTTCAAGGTCATCAGGTGCGGGCGTTCGAGATGCTCGTTGCCGTTTGCGCGCGCTCTCTCCCACTTCTTGAATGCAGAATACCCGAATCCAAACCAATGCAGACAACCTTTACCCGTGCGGTAACAGTCAAGGCAAATGTTCCAGTCGCCCCCCTTGCACCTCGCGCAATTGTAGTGCAGTTCGTATTCAATGTGATGTTTCCCGCACCTGCAGCACGTAATGGAAGGTTCTTGGTAGAACTGCGACCTCATTCGATGAGCACCTCCTGGCGATGGTGGTACACCGAGACTCGGTAACGGGCTATGAGGAGAAACGATGAGACTCGCGGGCCGCGGCCTCGAGTGCGGGGGACTGGCCGCCTCGGGTGCTGCGTCCACGTTCACGGGGCCGGTATTCTGCGCAACCGATGCTGCCCGCTCGCCGAAGGATAGGCCCAGACCTGTTGCCCCTGACGCCCCCGGCCCGCTGGTTGTTGGCATGCTGGTGCTCCTAGACTCGCCAAACGATGGACGGCGCCGTTGCGGATCAGATGTCCGCTCCCGCAGCGTCAGATCGGTGTGTGATCTTGCCGCTGGCCTGACGTCTGCGGTGCGTGGCCTTATAGGGTCGGTTGCACTCCTGCCGCCACTGGATGTCCTCCTGCGCCGTCTCTCTGGCTCGGTTCGCACTTCAAGATGAGTCGACGCGATTGGTGGACGACTCCTATCGTCCAACTGACCCGTAGAGCCCAAGGTCCTAATGTTCTCCGAGTTTGCCCTTTGGCGACTAGTCTCGCGGGATCTGCCAGAGGTTGAGGGCCTGGAGCTCGTGGGCAAAGCTTCCGAACGGGGGCTGTGGCGTGCCGCATCACTTCTTCTGGATGAATCATGTCTAGATCGCTGGTTCTGTCGCCTCCGATATGCCTCAGTGATTCTCCTACTCAGCTCGTCGTCCCGGCTGAGGTCAATGTTGTCCAAGTCTAGGCCCTCGAGGAGCCCCTCCTCCTGTATTTGGCGGGCGAATTCTTCGACTTCCCTTTCCATATCCAGTGAGCCTACGCTCGAGGAACTGATCAGCGACCGTATGGATGCCTGATGCTCGATAGCCCGCCGCCTTGTCCTGGACTCGTCGCGAGATCTTTGCTGTGATTCACTGCCCCTACGTCTCCTTTCCTCTCTGGGCTGTAGCCTCCCGTCAGACTCCGTCCTGGAACCACGTTCATCGTCCCTAGTCGACCTTCGCGTTCGATGCCGCGCCTCGCGATGCCTTGAGTCTCGACTGCTCTCCCTCTCGGACCGGTCGCTGGTGTCTCCGTGGCGCGAACGGTGCTCCCTCCTGCGTCGGTGGTGGCGGCTGGAACTTGAACTGTCGACCCCGGCGTCCCGTAGGCTCATCTCGCGCGCCTGCTCCAGCATCTGCCTCTCTAGCTGCTCCAACCGCCGCTCCTCGGGCGACTTCTCACGGCTGCGTATGCGCGGCAGCACGTCGTCGCCGGGCTTGTATTTCTGTTGCATTTCCTCCTTGTCCGCCTCGGACCGCGCCTTATCGGGGTTCGCCGAGACGAACATCTCGAGCAGCGTGGCGACGGTGGCATTGTGCCGGGTGTCCCTCACGGTTGCGCGACATGACGGGCAGGTCGCGATGTTGGTGCCAGACGCTGGCGGGTTGGGCGAGTTCTCGGCCGCGGTGGCCTGCCAGCCGAACCAGTCCTTGAGACAGGCGCCGCAGAACGTGTGCAGACAGTCGAGCAACGTCAAGGGCTGGTAGAGGACCTCGGTACATATCTAGATTGTTACCCCACGTTAGCGGGCGGTGACCTGGGCGGTGGGCCGCCGCTTTTAGACGGAACGTCGAGGCGGGAGCAAACTTACCGAGCAGGTCAGCTCCTTTTCCAGATCGACCGCGGGCCTTGGTGAGTCCATGGTATACTGTCTGGGACTCGGAGAGGCAGATTTTCTCGAGGGTGAAACCCTCAGCGCCTCTAGCTGCACGAGGTTGTGTTCGCGATGCCAGGCGAGGCTAAGTAGGTTAGAGGGTCTTGGGACCGGGATAATTCTGTATTGGTGGGGGATCCTTGTACCCGCCGCAGACGAGCAGTAAACTCCAGTCAAAGAAGCAGACGAAGGAGGGAGAAATCAAAATTAACTAGGTCGTTAGACGAAAGAAGCGCATCTAATGTCTCGACGCTCGCGAGCTCAACTCGTATTCTTGTCGCCTGGGCCCACATGCATGGTGGCGCGTTGTGGTGCCCAGCTGAATCCAATAGGGTAATGATTAGAATATATTGAGGCTGACGGGTTGGCACATAGTCGAAGATTCCTGAAGTAAGTAAGGATGGTGGGCGGGCTAGTTATAAGTAAGCCCAAGATCAGGCTTACTTCTTAGTAGACGAGGTCAGCACATGGCCACAAAGCGATGTCGTGAGGCACCTCGGCCGTTCGATTGACTTTGGATCCGGTGGAATGAAATATCAAAAGGACTCACGGCTGGCATTCCATACGACTGCAAGCACGAGTCATTGAGCCGTGTAAAAGGTATAGGTATCCGGTGCACATGTGCAAATGACGCTGCTCAGCCCTACCTCACAGTCGCCTGGGTCTGTCTGATCATGGGCGCCCCGGCCAGAGTTGGCTCAGGCACCGACCGGGCGACCCCGCTTAGGGGTTGCAACCGGATATCCGGCGCTACTCTCTTTGGTGGCAGCACCCGGTATCCGTCTCAGTCACCTGGGAATCTGCATACGAGTGCAGCTGGCTACTTTCAGCTCAAGTGACATATACTATGTGAGTTCTGGTCGTCTTGGACCGGAAATACTAGCTAAATTCCAGATCCCTTGGCCGAAATCCAGCCACTGATATCTATTGATGAGTCCACTCAGCCTTCTTCTTCTCAGCAAAAGCCTTCATGCCAATCTTCTGGTCCTGGCTCCCGAACAAGCTGTGAAACACTCTCCTCTCGTATTCGACACCATCTCTCAACGGTAGGTCTTGGCTCTTGTTGACAACCTCCTTGCAGCCCTGGACAGCGACCCGAGAGTATCCTGCGATGGTCTCGGCCGTCTTCAATGTCTGCTCCATCAGCTCCTCGTAACTTGCAAACGCCTTGGCGGCAAGCCCCCATTTCTCAGCGTCGGTTCCAGAGAAGTTCTTTCCCGTGAGGATGAGCTCCATGGCCTTCGACTTGCCGATAGCCCTAGTAAGCCTCTGGCTGCCACCAGCCCCAGGAAGGGTGCCCAGCTTGATCTCGGGTTGGCCAAAGTTGGCCGTCTCTGTGCAGTACAGTATATCACACATCATGGCAAGCTCACACCCGCCACCCAGTGCGTGACCGGACACTGCAGCAATGATGGGCTTCTTGACCTTTGTTGTGAGCTCAGACCACGACTCGATAAACGAGTTGGTGTAAGCGCCGGCAAAGGTGAGAGGCTGCATCTCCTTGATGTCGGCTCCGGCGGCGAACGCCTTCTGAGAGCCCGTCAGGACGATGACAGAGATACTGTCGGAAGCATTGTACTCGCTCAATGCCTGGTTGAGCTCTGTGATCAGAGGGGTGCACAAGGCGTTGAGCGCCTTGGGCCGGTTCAGGGTCACTACAAAGCTGTGTAAGTCGCGAGAAGCTAGTGGTGGTCAAGTGCAGCGCCCGTGTTACCTTGACCGACGCCCGGCTTGGGCTCTGATGTCTGGATAAACTCATATGACCTCGCAGCTGAGGCTGAAAATGGGCGGGCTACTCTAGGCAATGTGCCCGGCTGGACACGCGAGGCAATGGGCCGCAGACAGCGTAGGGTGTTCATCATTGCAGGCTGGGCGGTTCTCCGGTAGCTCGGCTTGTGGACCAGTGCTGAAGCGAGGCGCTTCGCGTGCTGAAGCAAAAGAAGGAAGGCGATTCCGAATCAAGTGAGAGCCCTGCCGGCAGTAGAGCGTGTGAATATGGACAGAGGGATGTAGGAAGATCAAGTCAAGAACCCAAATCGTGAGGAAGGGCAGGAACTCTGGGGAATTGGACCATGACAATTATGCCGAGGATACCCTAGGGAAAACAGCGACAACCCCGGGCAATGAAGTCAGAGCTCCATGTCTGACGGGCGGACAGCTGGAGGACCGTGGCTGGGCCCCCGGGGGGCTGCTAGGAGGGTGCGGGTAGGCGGTACCGGGGCGTGTGTGCATCATCCGGGGCAGATTCTGGAACGCCGAGCCTCTGCACTCACTAGCGCACTGGAAAAGGGGCTGACGCTTGCGCGGCAGCTGGTGGCTACATCCATGGATGCCTGCCATAGTACTGTGTAGAGTTGCATACCTAGGGGGCTAGGTAGCAGGCCGCCTAATCAGTTGGTGTTATTGGAAGGAAGTGCCTCAAGTGGCCACTAGACCACCCAGCGTGTGGCGCAACCTTTTAACCTTACCCGACTCGTTGCAGCACCGCGCCGCTGGACAGATTTCCCATTTGAAAAGCGCAGATCCCATTGGAAGTCGCAACACCAACAAGCGTACAGAGCCTCACACCCGTCTCTACTCGGACAGACGGACTTTTTTTCTCTTCGCGCCCCATCGCAGATCAGCCCCCCGATCCTTCGCGGCCGTACATACTCGCCCGCAGTCTCTCAGCTCACACCTTGGCTTGAAGTAGTCACCCAGCGCAACTCGTCAAGATGGAGAACGCCGACGCAGACCAGACTCCCTTTGCGGCTGTCACAAGCCAGACCTCCAAGCTCCAAAGGGTTCGTCTTCCCCTGAACTACCTGCGACACTGAAATCGGCTCGCTGACCGTCCACTAGCAATACCAAACCTATCTCGACAAGTCCACGCCCTTCGTCCTCTACCGATGGATCGGCACTGGCGTCTTCCTCGCCGTCTTCTTCCTTCGCGTGTTCCTGGCGCAAGGCTGGTATATCGGTAAGGAGCAGAGATCCCTTGCCTTGTCTGGCATCCGTCCAGCCGAACTAGACTGACATATCCGCAGTGGCCTATGCGCTGGGCATCTACCTGCTCAACTTGTTCCTCGCCTTCCTCCAACCAAAGTTCGACCCCTCGGTCGAGGCCCTCGATAGCTCAATGGACATGGAGGACGGCTCGGCCGGAGGACTGCCGACGAAGCAGGACGAGGAGTTCCGGCCCTTCATCCGCCGGCTGCCCGAGTTCAAGTTCTGGCACGCCGCCACCAGGGCCATCACCATCGCCTTCGTCTGCACTTGGTTCGTCGTCTTCGACGTGCCCGTCTTCTGGCCCGTCCTCGTCATGTACTGGATCATCCTGTTCGTCCTTACCAGTAAGTCGCCCGAAATGAAATCCTGTCTCTGTGCACAAACGGCGGGGCGCTGACCAATTCCGCAGTGAGGAAGCAGATCCAGCACATGATCAAGTACAAGTACGTCCCCTTCTCTTTCGGAAAGGCCAAGTACGGCAAGGCCAGCACCTCGTAAGATGGAAAACACTATGGAGCGGGCGTATCTTGGGGTCTCGGATCAGAACATGGGTGAGCCAGGTGGCGTGGCGCAATCCCGGCATCGGGGAGACGGTATACTCGTTTACATACTAGGGCCTGTGTGCACTTTTTGTTCTTTGTACAAAACCGGCATTGTGATGCATTTGCAACAACAGGAATGTCTGCAGCAAGGCGTCTTGTGCCAGGGGTTCTGGCTTGTGGACAATCAAGTGTTGAGAGGTCCGCATAGAATATGGGCAGGAAACCACTTCATGATTAAGGATAGACAGTTTTAATGAACACGACCGATTTCAACGCGTGGCTGCGCATCCGGCCTTTGCTGTGTGTATGATGGCGGGCGACTGAGATTGGCTACAGAAGGCAGCTTCCTAGGGTGAAGTCTCCATTACCAGCCTTTGTCCCAGGACCATTCATCAGAGGCCTCCTGCGATGCTGGGACTCCAGGCAATCCAGGGTGTCAACCAAGTCGAGCTTTTCACAGCGTGGGATTCGACCCTCACCCACCGGAATCACATATCACCTATACATCGATTGAAATAGAAAGAAAGAGACAGAGAAAGGGAGGGAGGAAGATCTGAGATCCATGCCGCCCGTTCTCTTTGGGTGAGGCTTGCAGCTTGATGAGTCCCTGGTGATACTCCCGTGTCCCGACGGGTTGGGGGCCAGCCTCGCGGCGGTTTCCACGCTAAGCTACGGCGGGCGCTGGGGCGGCTAGGGGCCTACCTTGGGCTTTTGCACTTTGGAGCCTCGCGCCGCCAAAGCCAACCTCCAACCCTAAATGGACAGGGAGCTTTTTCGCGACTCGGCTGCAACAGAGCTTCACTTAACAATTGTCCCCAATTCGAGCACGTCTCGCTCACGCCGTTGAACAGCAACATCGTCGTGGTCGTCCAAGCGCGTGCAGCATTCCCCGCGGAACAATCGGGTCAACATGGCGTCCTCATCACGAAGTGGTGAGAATCGTCCGATTCACCAGGACTTCATCGCGCGCATTCGCTACTCTAATGCGCTGCCTCCGCCTCCCTTCCCGCCGAAGCTGCTCGATATCCCCAACACGGGCCTTGCCAGTGGCCAGTACACAGCGCCTGGCTTCGCCTCGCGCCTTGCCCGCGAGCAGCCGCTCAACATCGAGGCCGATGCCGAGCTCGGCATGCCCTTGGACCTGGTGGGAATGCCAGGCATCTTTGACGGCGACGAGAGCTGTGAGTCCTCTTCCCCAACCCGGACCTGCCTCGAATAATGCCCCAGAGCCTAACCCATCAACAGCTATCCAGGCCCCGGCCCAAGCTCCGCAACCACATCCGCACGATAAGCCACTCCTGCGGTCGCTGCAGCAACTGGGCAAGCCCAAGACGGACAACGCAGCTGTGTCTTTCCTCCGACGTACCGAGTACATCTCTTCCGCCGCCACAAAGCAGCATGGCAGTCCTCTGCGAGCCTTGAACGCGAACCCGGTCCGACGACCACCTAAGCGCAAGTCGTCGCCCGAACCCGACAAGAACTCCCCCGCCTACGTCAAGAGAAAGATCGACCAGAGCTTCGCCGTCACGGAGCAGAACTTGAAGGACCGATCGCGCGTCAGGCACCCTTCGAAACGCAACTTGCGCCTTGTCGATGCCTACCCCTTGCTACCTGACCTCGAGGCCTTTCCTGATTCGGGCGCCTATGTCACGATCAAGTTTCTCACCAATCCCGTGGGCAAGTCGGACAGCTACGATACCCGTCTGTTGAACGGTATCTTCAGGCCGATCGAGCGGACCGAGGCCGAGGAAACTGCCATTCAGGCTGCGCGCGAGGCCTATGAGCGTGACCCCAAGAACCACCCCAAGCCCAACGACAGCATGCACTACGATTTCTACCTCAACGACAACGCCACTAGTGGTCGCAAGTTCCGTCAGAGGTTCGACGTGGACAACCCTGACCGTGATGACGAGGACCTTTACACGCGGCAGCGCGAGTCTGCAGGCCCCTGCTTCCAGTTCAACCGTCTGCGTGCCTACGAGACGGCCCAGGAATCCGAGTTGGACCACCGGAGCAAGTACGACGAGGAGTTGATTATTGCCTTCAACGACGACGATACATCTCTCCACCAGAAGGCCGCCTACTACTACCCTGTCATGCAGCGCTCTCAAATTCGACCCCAGCGAACCAAGAACATTGCTCGCAAGATTGGTCTTGCGGATGAAGACGAACAGATCATCGACCAGTTGGATGTCGAGATCGACGAGCCTACGGATGAAATCAAGGAACAGTCTGAGAAGTTCAAGCGCGATCCCTATTTTTTGGAGGATGAGGAAGAGGAGGCGCTGGCTGCCAATGGCGAGGATGCCCAGCAGAACGGCGATGCGCACAGAGCAGAGGAGAGGAACGGAAGATCCCGGTCGAGGTCTGTGCCGGATCACTCGGATGAGGAGATTGATGCGGATGGTGACGAGGAGGACTAGGTATCCCGTCGTCAGCGATACGCACAGCAAGCTCAAAGGAGCACTGGAGCCGTGCACGGCTGGGGAGCTCGGCCCCTTCCATCCAGCGAGTATCTCAATCCTCGAGGCTACGATGAAGATTAGAGAGCTGGATCACTGCCGGGAGGGCGTCGTACATGATGATCGTCACGTAGCCGTTGATAAGCTCGCGAGTTCTACGACGGTCTGCACCTTCGATGGGTTCAGGATGAGGCAGGCGTGGTTGGTGTCTGGTGTCTTTATAGGACGAGTAATCCGACGCACCCACTGGGGGGGAATAAGAGATTAGCTGAAGCTTTGGGGGAGTTCCGACTCTGTGACTGCATATTTTGGCGCAGAAAAATTTGACAATATATACCTACTGGCATTTGGTGACCCGAGAGTGTCTAGACGTGAACTGCAGGCTTCCTTGTTACACATATCATATGTATCTCGACGTTCATCTTCGGCAGGAGCTTCATTTCATCAGGTGGACTAGGAGGCTGCTCCCTGACATCAACTATGCTTCTCAGGCTGGCAAACTAGAACGGCGGCGGCAAGGGCTCCGCGCTCAATGGATGTTCACCGAATACATGGCATATGATCTTGGGAGCATCATTATCAATGAGACCTTCAGTGTGTACATAGACAACTGATCTATTCTGTACTATGGCTTCAATTCCAGCAACTTTGCTCCTGCAACACATAAAGCTCTATTTACTCTTCATTGACCGATGTATGTTAACTGTAAATCCTGTTAGAAGCATGCCGTACCTGTCTTACTTGACAATTGCACACCTGGTCGTAGTGCTCGGCTTATTCTGAATCTCATATCGAATCTTGAGAGAAATATCTTCGGAATCTATAGTCTCTATACATCTGTCTACGTGAAAAGCGACTCGTCGTGCTTGGTTACCTATAGAGACAACCAGGTAAATCTAACCGGGAGCCGTAGAAAACTACCTCAATCACTCTCCTTTCACTATTGCCGAGTATGGGCAAATCTGTTACGGAAATTAATGGAAGGCAAATCAATCAGACGAGAAAATAAAATGAGAACATATCATGGAGAGTATCATGTGGGAACCGTAAAAGCATAAAACCCAGCGACACTGCGGTAGGTTCATGACTGAACTGTTCCAGCTTGAACACGCCTCCCTAGCAAGTTAGTAAGTACACTTGGTGTAGAGAAGCCCCACTAACCCACTGTCAGACTAGCGTTCCGGGCTGTGTGGCGGAACTCTACCGATTGGCTACCTACCTACTTTAGGTACATGCCTTCGTTACCAGCTCATTACTAAGACGCCGTTGCCTTCAAAGCCTTGGCGACTTCATTCCTCGTCATTCTGCAACCTGATCCTCGACATCCCTCTCCTTCAGACCCGGCTGTCCTCGAAATGCCGCCCAAGAGGAAGGCAGCATCGGCCGTGCAGGGTGCGGTCAAGTCAGGCAGAGCCTCAGCTGCCTCAACGCCAGGACCGGCCACCCCCCGAGACCTCGATAGTGACGATGACGATTTCGGTTCCCCTGGTCAGGTTGATCTCCCGGCCGAAGAGGATATTCAGAGTGCGGTCGACCGTTTCTCTCTAGCACACTACCAAGACCAGACAGTACGGGGGCCGGTAGACGCCGCTAGCAGGCATTTCGGCAATGGCAGGCGTGACTTTTCGTACCTCAACCTCAAGCCGGATCACAAGGACCGTCCCATCTGGATCGACCCGCAACGAGGGCGCATTATCCTCGAGAACTTCAGCGCGCTGGCTGAGACGGCCAAGGACTTCCTGATCACGGTTGCGGAGCCTTTGTCTCGCCCGACCTTCCTGCACGAATACTCCTTGACCACCCACAGTCTGTACGCTGCCATCTCGGTCGGTTTGCAGGCGAGCGACATCATCGCCACCCTCGACCGTTTCTCCAAGACGGAGCTCCCGAGCTCGATCCGCGCCTTCATAGCCAACTCGACGTCCGCATATGGCAAGGTCAAGCTAGTCATCAAGAACACAAAGTACTATGTGGAAAGCAGCGACCCGGAAGTGCTGCAAAAGCTGTTGAAAGATCCCGTCATCGGGCCGTGCCGAGTCCAGGGAACCGATATCACCACGACTACTTCCAACATGCAAAGTGTGGTTATTCCGGGTACCTCGAATGCGGCTGGTGTCCAACAGGTGAAGCCTAGCGACAAGTCTCAAGAAGATGTCCCACCAGAGCAAGCTCAGCCGGAAAACGCCATGCAGGCTCTCAGGGAGGACGACGATGATGACAACTCGGAGGCCGTGCATGCTTTTGAGATCCCCGACAGCGCGGTAGAAACCGTCCAGAAGCGATGTCTAACCATCCAATTCCCGATTCTGGAAGAGTATGATTTCCGCAACGACGACCGGAACGCAAACCTTGAGATCGACCTGAAGCCAAACACGCAGATTCGATCTTACCAAGAGAAGAGTCTCAGCAAAATGTTTGGTAACGGCCGAGCCAAGAGCGGTATTATCGTGCTGCCATGTGGTGCCGGTAAGACGCTGGTAGGAATTACCGCTGCATGCACCATCAAAAAGGGCTGCATCGTCCTGTGCACGAGCACCATGTCTGCCCACCAATGGAGACAGGAGTTCTTGAAGTGGTCCAATATCCACCCCAAGGACATCACTGTCTTCACCGCCGAAAAGAAGGACAAGTTTGAGGGAAACACGGGTATCATTGTGACGACGTACCCCATGGTGACACAATCTGGTAAGCGAGCATACGACTCTCAGAAGATGATGGACTTCCTCACCAGTCGGGAATGGGGTTTGATGCTGCTCGACGAGGTTCACGTGGTGCCGGCCAACATCTTCCGAAAGGTATCATCGCACATCAAGAGTCACTCCAAGCTGGGTCTCACGGCCACTCTACTCAGAGAGGACGACAAGATTGGCGATCTGAACTTCCTCATCGGCCCCAAGCTCTACGAGGCAAACTGGATGGAGCTCTCCGAGCAGGGCCACATTGCCAAAGTGCAGTGTGCTGAGGTGTGGTGCCCAATGACCACCGAGTTCTACGATGAGTATCTCAGGACGAATGATCGGGGTCTGAAGGCAAACCTCTACATTATGAACCCGCGCAAGATCCAGGCCTGCCAGTTCCTAATCAACTACCACGAACAGCGAGGAGACAAGATCATTGTGTTCTCGGACAATGTGTATGCGTTGAAGGAAGTGGCCCTGGCGCTGGGCAAGGCATACATCTGTGGCGCCACCGGTAACAATGAGCGCATACGCATTTTGGAGAATTTCATGTACAACCCCAATATCAAGACGGTATTCTTGTCCAAGATCGGTGATACATCACTTGATCTTCCGGAGGCTACGTGCTTGATCCAGATATCATCACATTACGGCTCCCGACGTCAAGAAGCGCAGCGCCTCGGACGCATTCTTAGAGCTAAGCGTCGAAACGATGAGGGTTTCAATGCGTTCTTCTACTCGCTCGTCTCGAAAGATACGACCGAGATGTACTATTCAACAAAGCGCCAAGCATTCCTGGTCGACCAGGGCTACTCATTCAAGGTCATCACGCAACTAGCTGGTATGGAGCAGATGGAAGGCCTCGTGTTCAACTCGGCACAGTTGCGCCGTGAGCTGCTGCAGAAGGTTATCGTCGACACAGAAGCCAAGCGTGGAATGGACGATGAAGATGCCACCGACGATCTCTTCTACGCCAAGGGCAGAAAGCGAGGCGTGAGGCGGACGGCGGGCACGCTTGGAGAGCTTAGCGGTGGCCAGGACATGGCTTACATTGAGCAGAGGAAGAGCGCCAACAAGTCCCTCAAGAAGAACAACAAGCAGAGCGACTTCTTCAAGAAACATTATAGGGACATTGCGAGGAACAAGGCGAACGCACAGCAATAGATTGGACCGACTGGGTTCAAGTGGTGGTTGTATACTAGAAATTTGGCGCATTGGGTTTTGCAAGGGCGGCATTGCATTGGGTGGAAAGCATTGTAGTATACCCGGCTCGACATGAAATAATGAATAGACACTACAGATTGCCAATTGATCTCACACAAGAAATTTTTTTCTTCTACTTGTTACCCGCGATATGCAGTGGAACACGAGATAACAGCGTAGCTTGATACTTTGACCACGTTGCCGGCTGCTCCCCGACATGCAATGCCACCTTGTTCTGCATGACGCGACCAAGTTAGTAACTTGTACCGGAGGGGAGATGCGCAACCGACGTGGCTGCATCGGGTGCAACATATCAATGCTTATTCATACTCGCCCTCGTGGGAGAACATGGACATGTCATTGGAGATGTCTCTTGCTCATCCGCCTGCGAACAAAGAGCGGCTGGAGCGTGGAGTTGCACAGGCTATGCATGGGCTATGCAAGCTGCCGTGGGCACTGGATAAGCTGAACCCTCGAACTGCGAGCCGCCAATCCTTCCTGCATTACGTTTTGACTTTTGGTCAGATCTCACTTTTTTTTTTTTTTTTTTTTTTTTTTTTTTTTTTTTTTTTAAATTCATCTTTTGTTTCCGTCTCGCCCGGCTGTCCTGGGACCCTCGGCGGAACTCGTGGACCGTAATATGGGAGGAGCTTGGGCCGGGTGTGATTTGCAAATGACATCATCCCTGTCCGGCCACGGTCAATGGCCAACGCGCATTGTGTCTAGACTATTTCTGGCTACCGCGTCACAAAGGGATCGTGGCTGGCTGCGGGAGAGAAAACGGTGCGCAGCTGCGTTTCACGACCCAATCCTCGACTCGGTTTCGGCTTGGAGTCAAGACCCCGGGCTGCTCGCATGGACAATCATCGACGTCGGGATCCGCAGTCGATGCTGCAACAATCCCTGGCGACGGTTGTTTATTCCTGGTTTAGCGTCCGCCCAGCAACCGGCACTCACAGACAATCCCCACCTCGGGATTGGGGGTTGATGACGAGAAAATTGCATGGCTGTTTTCATTTCGATTGGGGTCTTGGAAGCGAGGCTAGAAGGGGTCGCATCAGGCCTGATCGGTTTTCGGGGCCCTCCGCCCAGCTATCGCTGACGAATGATGGCCAGGGCGCCCGCGGCGGCGGGTTCGATGCTTTTTCACAGCCCTTCTTGGCCTGCGCCAAGCTTTCTCCGATTCTGGACCACTCACCAACTCGCGGGCGCTGGGCCTGGCATCTGACTCTCTCATCATCCGCCCCCCTAAGCCGACACCACTTGGCCTCACGGCGTTTCCTTGTCTCTTGGTTTTCTTTCATCCGGCTGCCTTTTCGCTTATTTGTACAATTACAACCCCCCCTTCTGGTCGGGCATCGAGCAGCGCGTCTCTCTTGCAGGTTCCTCAGGTACGCTGGGGCGCATTCGACTCGTGCGCCGTTGTCGAACACAGCGGGAAAAAAACAGCAAATCCCCTAGCGTTTGCCGCTAGTCAGTCGCCTCTACCAGAAACCAAGAACCAAGGTCGCGCGACGTGACATACAGCTGCATCTCAAAGAACCACGCCCCCCAGGAAGAACCACAGGCTGGTGGTGATGCACTCGATATCGCCTGCTCTCGGCGCATAATCTTTTGCCTTGACCGCCGGCTCTCATTGCAGGAGGTAGGTCCGCATTCTGCAGCTTCCCTGCACCTCATGAGCACCTTGGGTATCAGCACAGTTGTTGGTCTTCCACCCCTTCAATATACCCTTCCCCGTAGATGCCCTCCTCGTACCTTTACACCCCCTCGGTATCACGTCTTGGCTGCATCACACAAAAACTTCGATGATTGCGATTCTTGCTTGCTGCTTTGTCTCGAGTCCGATAAGTCCTGCCTTCCCAGCATTGCTATAGACTCATGATAAAAGCGTTCCCTTCTCCTTCGCGCGCGCAGTAGTTCTTTCCCTGCCAATGCCACTTTGGTTCACCTCGTTATCTTGTCCTACCTGAGAATATCCATCCATCCTTCTATTTCTTTTTCTTTTTTCGGTGATATCTTATTGACGATTACTACAGCCGCCGTACCTCGAAAGCTATCATGCTGGGAAATCCAGCTTCATTGTCTCGTCTTGAACCACTTGATCTGTGGCACAGCAGCTCTTGACATCTAGTTTTGGCTGGCTCTTGAACCGGACCATTACACTTACACGCCACACGCGGCTCTTTCATCACATCAACATGTCGCCAGTAGAGGAAATGGGCCGGACGGTCTGGACCTGGATCAAGACTCTCCGGCCATCATTCCTCTCAGAGAACCCCCACTTCAACTTCATCACTGTACATTATTTCATCATCATTGGCATGTCGATACTTGGTTCGATTCTGATATATGCCGGCGGCAAAGGCGACCTTGCCTACATCGACGCTCTTTTCTTCGCCTCTGGCTCTAACACGCAAGCCGGTCTGAACACGGTCGACGTGAACTTGCTGAACACGTATCAGCAAATCGTCATCTTTCTGTGTTGCATGGTTACGAACCCGATCTCCATAAACTCGGGAGTCGTGTTCCTTCGACTCTATTGGTTTGAGAAGCGATTTCAAGGTCTCGTGAAAGAAGCGAGATCGCGACGGGCAACCATAACCAAATCGAGGTCCAAGGCGAAACCTGCAACTGTCGATGTAGAGAAGGGAGTTGCTGGTAGAAACATCAGGGTCATGCATAACACCGCAACCGCTTCCCGAATGACCAACGACGGGATTTTGCTGGATCAGTATGACTTGGGCGCAGCAACCGCTCATCCCGGACTCGAGCAGCTAAACCCCACCCGTCAGGACATGCCAACCTCGCCTCGAGATCCCCAGATCAAATTCGCGGACCAGGTCAAAAGAAGCGATGCGGTTGACGAGAATGCTGATGGCCTGCCGCTTCCGGGGAAGAGGACGGACGCCGAGCACATCGCTATCCTCGAGAGGCAAAGGAAGGAGGACCAGGGCACATTGCGCATTCCCGGACCTAGGGATGTCGAGAGGGGTCTTGTACCCGAGGAACTAGAGGATGATGAGTTTGATGATGATGCTATTGGCCCCAAAGATCGAAGGCACCGGGAATCCCACAACGGCCCCCACCAACGTGGTGTTTCGCCCCCGACCCGGATTTCCTCCAACCCCGACCGGCACCAGACCATCACCATCAGTGAACCTCCCCACCCGAAGAGGGCAGAAGTAGCCGAAGACTTCGAGGCCGTCGGTAAGACCTTGTCTGCTCTCAAGTTCCGCAAACCTCGGGGCAGCGGCGAAAAGTTGCACCAAGCCCCTACTGTCGAGGACACGCATTTCAACCCCCTGCAGCGCATCAGGACCGCACTGTCCCATCACAAGTCCAACGATCCAATGCCCTATCTTAGCTGGCAACCGACTCTTGGCCGTAACTCCGAGTTCCTGGATTTGTCCGAGGAGCAGAGAGAAGAGCTAGGCGGTATAGAATATCGGTCCTTGAAGACCTTGGCTGTTGTCACAACTTTCTATTACTGGGGCTTCTGGATATTCGGCGTCATATCCCTCCTGCCCTGGATCCTAGTCAACAACGACTATTATGGCTCAGTTGTCGACAACGCAAGCCAAAATCGGGTCTGGTGGGCGTTCTTCACCTCGAACTCTGCCTTTATGGATCTCGGCTTTACGTTGACCTCGGACAGCATGAATTCGTTCAACACGGCCATTTGGCCACTTCTCCTCATGTCGTTTCTCATTATCATTGGAAACACAGGGTTCCCCATCATGCTACGTTTCTGCATCTGGTTTACGCAGCTCTTCGTACCTCGTGGCTCGGGACTGTGGGAAGAGTTGCGCTTTCTGCTGGACCATCCTCGACGTTGCTTCACTCTGCTCTTCCCCTCCACAGCCACCTGGTGGCTCTTCCTCATTCTCGTTGTCCTCAATGGAGTCGACTTGATATTCTTCATCATCTTGGACCTTGGCACCGGTGCTGTAGCCGAGCTGCCACTGAACATACGTTTCCTCAACGGATGGTTTCAAGCTGCTTCGACCAGAACTGCTGGTTTCTCCGTTATCAACTTGTCAACGATCCACCCAGCCGTCCAGACGTCCTATCTCATCATGATGTATATTTCCGTCTTCCCAATTGCCATCTCAGTCCGACGAACCAACGTCTACGAGGAGAAGTCGCTCGGCTTATACGGTTCCTCCAACGAGGCTGAAGAGCGCGCCGAAGGCGGATTCTCATATGTCGGAGCCCATTTGCGTCGACAACTATCTTTCGATCTGTGGTATATCTTCATTGGCTATTTCATTTTGACAATCTCCGAGGGACCACGTCTCATGTCGGGCGACATCTCCATGTTCGCTGTCCTGTTCGAGGTCGTTAGTGCTTATGGTACGGTCGGCCTCAGTCTTGGCTACACCGGAGTCAACGCTTCGCTTTGTTCTCAGTTCAGTGTCGTGGGCAAACTGGTGTTGATTGCCATGATGGTCCGTGGTCGCCATCGTGGTCTACCTTATGGTTTGGACCGGGCCATCCTGCTGCCAAGCGAGTCTCTCAACCGTAAGGAGGCTGAGGAGGCTGAGGCTAGACTGCAACGGCGTCAATCTGCCGTCTCACTCGCGCGTCCCGCCAGCTTGTCCAGAGGACGTAGCCGGAGTGTGGAGCGCAAAAACGTACTCGCACAGTTCTTGCATCCTGGGCCTGTGTATCCTGTCAACCCTCTACATTCACAGTCGATCTCAAGAGTGGATACTACCACAAGTGCTCGGCGCGGTTCTTTCCTGAAACCCCACGAGTCATTACGGCGGACAACCTCAGAACCAGGGACGGACGAAAACGACTCCGACCATGTGATACAAAAGCCACGGAGAGCTGAAACCCAGCCAGATTTCCTACATTAGAAGCATTAGAAGCACAGCCACACTAAATATACGGCGGTCTTGGTAGCACGGGCTACATCGGTGCGGGCGCATGGGCGTTTGGTATTACTACCTAGGTGACCAACTGGCTTTTTATGGGATATACACACATGGGCAACCGAGTACATACGGGTTCGTCTGGGGGTTTTGTAGCTTTTTTTGCTTTCCATTGTTCAAATATCCAACGCTACATGACGCGTCTTACTCCGCAGAGTATAGAGCCAGCTCAAAACAATACCGTGTTCAAACATGCCCGCCCAGAAACTCTCGATGCTTATAAACAAGTGCTCTCTCTTGACCACAAAATGTCAAGGGCCCAAGATGTTTCAGCGGTATAAATGATAAGCATCAGAGTTCCTTGAGTGAGCCTAAATGGGCTCTTTAGCAACGGATAATGACACACATAACAGGTGGTGAGTTCTGACTTGGAGAGACCCAAGAAAATTCCTACTACTTCACGTCCGTCATCATATGGAATCACCACACCTGAAGCTTGAGAGATCACACAGCCAACCGGATTCATCATCGGGGTATCTAGCAAGTGACTATCTCTTCTGCAGAGAATACAAGGATGCGTGTGTCCGTCATGTAAAACCATCTGTCATTTATTTTTCTGTTCCGCAGCCTCTTGCTTGCCTTCTCGCCTAATCCGTGCACATGCCGCCTTTCTTTTTCTCCTCCCTTCTTCTTCGGAACACGATGCAGCCCCCCTGCGTGTGACACGCCGAAGGAATAGCTCCTACTGGGAGCCTCAAGATACTGTACACACGCACTAGCGTAGCAAATATGGCAAAGGTTGACTTTCGTCTCTTCGGGTAGGCCAGTCGACCCTATCATATGCCCCACAACGTCGCTACCGACGATAGGTTTCAGATCGTGTTTAGTCCAGGCCGAATCATCTTCATTCGCACAGGAGAGAAACGGAGTGATAGCCTCAGGCAGAGACCTCGCTGTTCTGAGGCACGTAGCCCTGAAGTTCGCGAAGCACCGTCGTGGCATAGGCACTCGGGGGGAGAGAGAACTTCAGGATGACTGCGATCTTCTGTTCTGTGGCCGGGACGGGAGCATCGGTCATCGGCTCATCCGAGGCCTGAATGGGGGCCGCATCTCGACTGGGGTTAGTCTCGGGACCCTGCGTGTTAGTATTCGTGGGAATTGTCTGGGCGGGCTCAGCGGACTGGTGAGCAATGGGGATGGGGGATGCCTTGTGGGTAAGCTTGTTAGCGCCGAAGACTCTCAGTAGTCCTCCGATTGTACAGTCGTAGAGCTTGAAAAGTAGTCTTCTCAAGTAGATCGAGAGGTTCATCTTGGTGGAGGGGGCGGATGTCGTACTAACCTCTGGGGCATCTTTGCCACCAGATTCCGTCTGCTTCGAAGCTCCCGCAGCAATCTCAGAAGAGGTCTCTAGCGCGGCAGTTGTGGGCTGTTCAACCTCCATGGCACCGGCGTCTTGTGCTGCGACGTTCTCGGGATCGGCCTCTGTTGAGTGAGTTCCGACCTTGACTCGCTTCTTACTGCCGTCCACGGATGTCTGTACCCAAGTGTCCTTCATTCTGACCTCTGAAGCATCGTCTCCCAGACTCTCAGCCTTTCTTCTTGCAACATTTTCCCTTGCTTCCTGGCGTTCGTTCTCCTTGACGCTCGTGGAGAATGCTTGCCACTTGGAAGGGGCTCCTCCGTTGGCAGCCGCTGCCTCTGCACGCTCTTTGGCTCTGCGCTCTTGTATTAGGTCAAAATCAGTCGGCACCAGCTGATCATGATCGTGGGCGTAAGCAAGGACAGAACCGACGGGCGCGCTGATGAATGTCCCCATGAACTTGCGGTAATCGCCGGTGAGGCTGAATGGCTGTTGCGAGCGATGCATGTTGTCGGGGTCCAGACCGCCGTTCTCGTCCTTGCTCATAAACTCCTTATAGAACTCGCCAATCTCATTGTCAGGATAGACGACTCTTGTACCGGGGCTTGGCAACACGATGTCGGTGATGGTGTAGTTTCCACCGGCAACATCCTCAGCAGTCAGGGCTCGAACATTTCTCCAGAATCCCTTATCATCCGAGGAGGTATCTTGGAGGTGGATATTCTCCTCGTAGTCCTCGCCGTTGGCACCCTCGGTCTTGGTTGAATCGTCACCTGTGGTATAGACCAAATCACCCTTGACGACAGTGGCGCCAAACAACTCCCAGCGCTTGCTGGCAGCAAAGTTCCAGACGAGGGACTGATAAGCGTGCAGGTACATGGTCCGCATATTTCTCGTGATAGACAGAATTGCACCGTGGAAATCGTTGCGCTGCTTACTCAAGTGTTTCAGAATGGCGAACTCAGTGTTGCATCTGCGCGGGAGACATTTGACTGCTTCTTCGGGATCTCCAGTCTCGTCGTACTTTGCCAATGCTTTGGCTCGGAAGATGTCGTCCGTGCGAACAAACTCGCCGCTGCCTTGCAAACGTGATGGGTCTTTGGCAGCCATGACAGGGTCATAGGCCAGCAGGTCGAGAACGGCCCCCTTAAAGTCACCCTTCAACAGCTTCATACCAAGAATGTGCGTACCAATCTCAAAAGTACCGAAGCGCTGAGTACCAAAGTAGTTGATGAAGCCATTCTTGGAGATGTCGGCAAGGGCTTTGTCCAGAGTTGATTGTGCGATCTCAAGCTTACGCTCAAATGATTCGCCTTCGGTCTCCTGGAACTCGCAGTCCTTCATAACGATTGTGAACTCATTTCCGCTGTGACTACCAAGAAAGAGGCTCTTATCCGAGAACTTGAAGTCTCCAATCTTGATACCGTGGAGCCGGGCGTTGACGGAAAACATTCCCCTGGGATCTCGGCCACGAATGCTCACGCGCTGGACAGTGACGGCCCGACGATCTTTGGTACCTGCAGTGCTGAAGAAGTTGGGCTTCATGTTGAGCACACGTGATAGGTGACTGATGGCTTCCATCGTATCCTTGTTCTCCTTGTAGAGGGAGAAGTGTAGGTACTTGCCGATCTGCGTCTGACCTCCTTGTCCGTGACGCGAGCGATTACCTCGATTGCCCCGGTTCTGCTTGCCGGCATTGTTTGCAGCCTTTGCCTGGATGATGCCATCCGAACCAGCCTCGGTGTCGATTCTCGACGCAAAGATCCGGCGGATTTCCTGTTGAAGGTCAGCTGGCTGATTGTTCGAAGAGTGAAATATGATGACTTGCCGAATGAATCCTGCCTCGCGCCGTTTTGTCCGCGATCTGCGGAAACTTGACAAAGCCATGTGTCTTCGGCCTTGCCTTTGGGTCGGCTCGAATCTTGGTGTCGAGGGTGATGAGCTCATCAGTCGTGGCCTCGTCCAGCAAATCCTTCAAAATTTCTACATCAGACTGAGGAATCTCCTCCGAGGGCGCATCGTCAACCTTGACGTCTTGAGCTTTGTCACTGGAGATAGTCGCGTCGGCACTCTTCTGCTCCTGGGTTCCTTCAACGGCGGTTGCATCTCCGGCAGTCTTCCTAGATTCAGAAGATGCAGCACCGTTGCTCTTGTTTTCCGAGCTTGGTGCAGTCTGACTCTCATTGCTCTTTCCATGCTTGGCAGCCTCCTGCGGCAGGTTAATATTCAGTGGCACAAAAGTGAATTAGGGATCGACGAATTGATAACTCACTCTTCGGTCAAATTCCTTTGCATCGCTATAGTAATCTTTCAGGTGGAGCACCTCGCCATCTTCACTGATCTCGTGGACCTGGAAATCCGTGAATCTGGAGCATTGTGAGCAACTTGGGCTTATATTTTGGCGGCAGTATCACTTCTTTCTGACGCAGGGAGAGCAGACAATACATCTAGGGAGCGTTCCTGAGGAAGAGGTTTATTCTGCGTATAGAGAAAGAAATGAAGTGTACTTGCCTTTTTCGAAGGACGCCGTTCCAGCCGTGCTCCTTAGGTGATACCAAGTGAAGAATGCCCACGTTTCGTTCGAGCGAGCTTCGCACGTTGGGATCGTTGCCCTGGGTCATGGCCGTATGCGTCGCCATCTTGAGACGAGTTACCGACGCGTCGTAAAGAGCCCTAGAAAACTGATATCTCGAAAGGGACTGTGAACAGTTGATTAGATGAAGTTGTTCCTCTGGGGTCGTCTGTGGTTTTGGTGGGGTGGATGGTGCTTTCCAACGGCTTGATCACCTGGGAATTGTTGCGCCAAAATTGTGGGGTTTAGGTAGTCTTGAACAATCTTCACGTTCAATAGAGAAGCCTTTTTCCTCTCCTGAATCAGAATCATGAACTGAATGAATTTTAATCGGGCATGAGGCAGTGTCTCAGCGCGTGTTGGAATCAAAATGGCAGTTGCAGCAATCGCAGCAGGTAGGTAGAGATTGTGGCGGACCGGCAAGGTTTTCAGCGGGCTAGTGCAACTGCCAAAAGAGCAGGCATCTCTCTCTAGTTAGCCTGCCGTTTGTCAACTCAGGTGTACACGCCGGCTTCCCCTTTCCACTGCACCCTTCTTATGGATGGCATGAAAGATAATATGACCAAGATGGTTGTTTGCCCTTTGATGCCTTCAAAATAAGTTCCTCCCGGGCACCCGCGTTTTCAATTGACCAATCAACTTTACATCTCTACTTATGCAAGAGTGTCCAAGCTCCAGCTAGCTACCCATCATCACGATCACAACCTTGAAGGGAATCCAACCGCAGGCTTATAGTCGGTGTAGATAATCTTGGACTCTTTTACAAGTCCCTCTCCAATGCCCTTAATCAGCTCTTGGACCGGTGCACCCGCGAGGTGTTTCTCCATCAACGCTTGGTTTTCGTAGCTGCAACCTATGTCAGGGCTGATGACAACAGTCTGTGAGTTAGGCTCGCACACTCACACTTCGCGGATGACCAAGTCCGTGACTTCGCCTTTCTGATCGACCCGTCCCCTGCTCAGCTCATAGGTCCAAACGAAAGGTTCATTCTCTTTGGAGTATTCCGCGCATTTGTTGAAGAGCTCAATGAACTGTGGGGGGTTGCTTGTTAGCGGGGCATACGATGGGGGGCGCCTGGCATGCTTACCTTCTGTTCAGCCCCGGGATTGAGAGTGATGATGGCTGTCAGGGCAACTGGAGACGACATAGCGGGTTGTAAAATCCTCTGGTTCTTCAATGTTGTTGATATCGACCTGCGGAAAGCACATGATGGGTGTTTATAAAGACCCTAATATTTGTTCCGGAAAACGTTGCCCGTCTCATCTGTTTTCCCTGATAGCTGTTATGGGTCTGCGCTACCCTACCCGCTCTGCCCAACAGTTCCATGGACTGTGTTGACAGCACGACCGCACTTAGCCGTCTATCAAAGAGATATTAATAACAAAGAAGCTTAATGTGCAGCATCTGCCAATGAATTGTTGGGTCGACAGTACTTAAACTTTCTTTTGTAGCTTTTTACCACAGACTATTGTCCTCACTAAGAACTAGTTAGTTACCAACGGGCTACATACACAATATAAATAGGTTGTAGCCCCCGAAAAGATCACTGGTCACCTATCTAGAAGAGAGATACATAGGAGTTGCTTGTAAGTCGGTCTTCCCACACTTTCCGCTTACGTTCCAGGCACTACAGCAACCATGGTGTCAACATTTGACGTACCGAGCGTGTCCTCGTTCGCCGTGGCCGTCCTATCCGTTTGGATATTTATCTTTTGGGTGTGCATCTGTTGCTGTATATGCTTCAAGATCATAAAGCTAGCCATGAAGACAGTATTTGCCGCTATCGTTATAGTATCACTCATCGTGCTCTGGGCCAGTCCTCTTTTCATTGCGTCGGCCGGGTTCCGCTCTTCGAAGGCTTCTTAATGATAAGACGGCATGGTCTTGAGGCTCACAAGCTGTTCCGTCTTTGATCATACATGTAGCAGCGTACATAACCACAAGTGACGACTGATTGGCAACCCCGAAAAGGGATCGTCTCAGCCACACTGTAGAGCTGTGGCTCCAGAACTGACCGTACAAATTTGGACATTCTTTGTCGCACCTTCTTCATGACCTGGATACCCTTTGTTCTTGTGATTCATCTGGAAGCCACGTACCGGATAGTGCCTCTTCCCGTTCTTTGTTACCTTCATGTCATTGATCGACCCACTTCGTCCCGCGGATCGAAGCGTTGTCTTGATGACGATACCTTGCTTTGCAACCCCCCTTCGCCATACAACATCGGTAGTATCACCTAAAACAATTGAAAGAACTTGCATAGGCATTGTCGAATAATTTGTTAGATCATTCGTTTGGCTCCTAGCTTTGACTGGCTGTTGCTTTGATTAGATAGAGTGCATGACTTTCTGATCAAATTTTCGAACTTTGATAGTCATCAAGCAGGAATACACGGGATGAGTGTCCTTGAAAGATTTGCTAGAACCAACCACAGCGTCAGGTCACGAAGGGAAAAGTTCCAACAAAAGGCTCGTCCAGCGCCAATCCAGATCACTGAAGATGGACCTTCCCGATCTTTGTTCGGTAGACCAAGAGATATCATCGTCAATCAGGTAATCCTTGAACCTCTAGTCCCTGTGACGCCTTTCTGGTGGACTGAACAGAAGTGCAGCTCCTGACGCCTACGATTCGTCATTTCAGCTTTGACGGGGGAAACCTACCTTTTTCGCGGAAGTCACCCTCTCCTAGAGGTGAGCGTATGACTCCAAACCCCCTCTGCCATTTACTCACCGGATTTACGTAGCGCAATCCACCGAGTCCCTCCATTCCGATGACTCTGAAGAGCTTGGCTGGGACAAGACGACGCTATTAACCTTGTCAGACTCAGTCCGGGCTTCTCTCCAGCACGACAGAAGTCTAGGGCCTGATTCCGAGAAGCTCAGCAGGTTCCTGGAGACGGTGTTGAAAGACGAAGAGCGGAGACATCCAACGTTGGACTTCGAGACGATCGAGCACGCGCGGCTTGACAAGCTGCTCAACGAGATCCTTCTGTTTGTGGAAACTATGAAGACTACAACTTTCGCGACAGACCTGCCGCTGAGGTTCCGGGTCGACGCTGCGCATTGTAAGAAATTGCAGGTTATCTGGAGGCATCGGTTTCGTGAGCAGTATATCATGATTGACCAACTACGATGCGCTGTTTTGGTGAAAGGCGGTCGGCTGAAGGACGTCTCTTTCAACTGCGCGCTAACCTACGATCTCGGTAAATGGCAGACAAGGGAAACCAATCCAGTATCCGAGGTAGAAGGGAATCAGCAATTCGAAGCTGGCCAGTAAGTGTCTCTGCAGCTCATAGATCTGATATTCGAAACTAACACGTATCCAGTTGGTGGCTGAATATTGTCTGTGCCCAAAGAGATGGTATCGTTGCGTGTCCGTCCGAGCAGCCTACCAGTGGTCAATATGGTATCACAGCACTTCCTCTGCTCACTGGGCAAGAGGAGATTGTCCAGAAAAACGGTATGGACTTGGTGAAGTACATCCGTAAGGGTCGGTCTTCGGATATGCATATTGCATTGATATCTCAGGTTGGCCAGAAGATCCGGATTCTGAGGGGACACAAATTGAAGAGCATCTATGCACCTCGGGCTGGCGTCCGCTATGATGGCTTGTAAGTCCCATTGGAACCACGTTGTGTCGAAACCGGCTGATATTGTTGGATAGATACACAATTCGACAATACGGAACCAAGCTCGATATGGTCACCAACACACATCGCCTTGAGCTGACCCTGGAAAGGGTGAAGGATCAGAAACCAATGGAAGTTCTCAACAGAGTCCCCAAACCCTCACAGCTTGATGACTGGAAACTATATGAGAAGCTTGAAGGGGACAAGATCAAGTTAATGGAAGGAGACGCTAGATATCTGGAGTGGAATCTCCAGAGAGAAGAGGAGAGGATAGACAGGGAGGACTGGAGAAGGGATCGCGAGTTTAGAGCATCTTTCTCCTAGAGGATGAAAGGGCGCTGAGATCGACATACGGTTAATCCACAAAAAAGCACCAACTCAGAACCTAGTAATCCCATCCTAGAGGCACGCGGAATTACAGATTGGCCTGAACTAGATTTGATGACAGCGAGTCTTAATGCTCTGCCGTCGTTTGGGACTCCTAGCATGCTGAGAGCCCACAGTAGTAATATCATTGTTGTCGCAAACCTCAGTTCTTGGAGAAGAACGGCTGCAGTAAACCATGCAACCGGATAGGGGCGAAGAGCGTAAACGGCTCTATATTTCGTCGCTGGAAGCCTCCAAACGAGCAGGCTTTCAGCGAGTTTCGGCACGCTCCGGCTTCATGCATAATTCGCCCAATACCGATAGCGCATGCTGCTAAGAGGAACCAATCCTCCGTGTTCGATGTGAAGTGGGGCACCACGATCCTTTCCGTCTGACTACCACGATCCATCTCATCATCATGGCCGGCGGTAAGAAAGGCAAGACCGAGGCAAAGTCCAAGGGTGGGCCCAAGGAGGCCCCGAAAGGTGGCAAGGGGAATGCGAAGAAGGACAACTCCCAACCGGAGAAGAAAGAGACGAAGGTGAAAGGGGCACAGGCAATCGTGGTTAGACACATCTTGGTAAAGAAACCCTGCATCTGGTTCCAGAGCGTCGGGTCAACAAGGGTGCTGATAACCTACCATACAGTGCGACAAACATTCCAAGAAGGAGGAGGCTCTTGAAAAGATACGCAATGGCACAAGTTTCGCGGAGGTCGCTAGGGAGTATTCGCAAGATAAAGCGAAGTCAGGTGAGCGAACGATGCTATGGTAAATCATTTGTATCGCTAATAAGCTGCACAGGCGGCAGTCTTGGGAAGAAAAAGAAGACAGACTTACTCCCTGAATTCGCTGACGTTGCATTTGCGCTCCCAGCCATTGGTAGTACCCCTGAGAAGGACTACAGCTACGGTGAGGTTAAGACGTCTGAAGGCTACCATATCATTCTTGTGGAAAAGAGGGAATGATCGAGAAAATTTTTACACAAGAAAATTGGCGAGCTATTACCTGAAGTATCATAGGGCACATACGTAACCAAATTAACAATCATATATAATTTTCTTTCGCTACATCTTCTCGACAGAGCATCTTGATCAGGGCACAGTTTAGAGGGAATTGGACGAAATCCACCCGCGGAAGAAGCTTAAGGAACCCCATCCTAATCTGTTATATCTTGGCAGGCATTACAGCTTAACCCAACCTGATTCTTACCCGTGGGCTGCTGTCGAACGGGTTGACACGCTGCTGCATGTCTGCATCCGATATCCCGTAAAACAGATTCAAATATCCGACGCGAGAACACGCTCTGAAGGAATGACCAAAGTGATGATGCTGGTGCCCCTCACTGTGCCACTTGACGACGAGAAGATTCACGTATTTCGGTCCTTTCTCGTCGAGGCTATAGTGGAGCAGGAGACATGCCCAGTCACCGCGCTCGATCAACCTTGCCATGTGTCGTTCTGACTCGGCCTGTGAACCCAGAATTGACCCTGGATATAAAGACCTCGCATGCCATGAAACTCCTAATCCCAAACGTTCATTGGGCGCAACGTTGATCCATTCATGATAGAAGAGGAACTCATAGCGGTCGACCATGAAGCATTCTCCTACCAAGAAACTTGGTAGGTGGCTTGAAATCACTTGAGTTAAGTCTAGCATTCGTCCCTCGCAAGTCTCGACACCGAATACGTTAAAGTATGATGTGATGTCTGAGCTTCGTTCAGAAGAAGACTCATTCAACTCAATCTTCCCTTCCCAGCCTGCCCAACTCCAAGATGGAAACTGTGGTCGTCGTTTTGCAGCAAACACATGCCTCCAACTGAGGGCCTGGGCCAATGCTCGATGATGGAATCTGGTAAAGTCCGTTTGCCTGGCACTCCGCTTATCTCGGACGACCTCTGGGTGTATAAAAAGAGGAATACCTGCAATTGTTTTGAAATGGGGATCATTTGCTTCCAAAACTTTCAAAGCGCCGAGAAAGCCGTTGATGGAGTCCTCCCCATAGGTGAGATTCTTCCCAGTATAGACCTGAAGGAGCTGAAATACAAGGTAGACCTCGGTCCAGAAACGTCCCCGTGGGTCGTCATGGTCGAACTCGCATTTATGTCCTGTCTTTTCTAGCATAGCGTCCCATGATTCTGGCCACGTCAGAGAGGGTTTATCGTCGAATACATCACCAAACATATTGTCGGTAACTGTGTGTGGGTCGGGATATGTTTCAGAGCAGCACAACTGTTCCCCCTGGAACATCATCTGGTGATCTGTAAAGTATAAACGTCGCCGGGAGAGTAGTTCCTCCTGAAAACACCAGCCTCTGCCAAACCAGACTTGCTTGCTAATCATCTGTTGCAGCGGGGGCGGTGTCGTGAACACTGTGATTCCACTGTCCAGATCATCGAGCTTCTCGTCTGGAATCCCAAGATTCAATACAGTCTGTTGAACTCTAGGCGTGCTCCCGACTCCAGGTAGAGCTCCACTCGAGCTTGCTGCAATAATCGTGACTTCGGCCATGGAGTAAATAAGATCCATCTTCGAGATGTGCTCCGCTTTCTGCTCATCAGGTGCAGCCTGGTCAATGCAGAACTGATCGACCCAGAGATAACGATACCCAAGATCGCTCGTCACCTGAATCGCATTATGCACAACCCTGGGCACAACCGTTGGCAGCTTCCGGTTGCTTGAAGAAACTGCAGCGCTGTGTGGCGAAAGGTCGAAGGCCACATTATCCGAGTGACTTGGCTGTGTTCCACTCGACGAGAAATCTGCCAGTTCTTGAGCGTCCAGGGAAACCATATCTTCATGTGCCAGGCTCCACACATAGCTGAGCGTCACATAACGCATAACCGATGTTCGAGAAACGACTTCCAACGTCATGCAGTCAATGACCATCATACCATCTATGTCGGCGTTTCCCTCTGCTTCCTCACATTCGCGGCTGTGAACACCGTTATTGCTACCGTCATCAGTAATATCACCATCATCTGAGCAGTCGCCGGAATCGCCACTGCACAGATCGATCCACCTTCTGGCCAAACTTGGATCATATTTTGCATTAATGAACCTGGTCTGGATCATTAGTCCAACCTCGTACTCATCTTCCGATGCGGATTCATTATCATCTTCTTCGCAGCTCGACAACTCATCATCCTCGTCACTGCGCTCGTCCTCATCCCACTCCTCATCCACCCACTCACTTTCCTCATCTTGGTAATCCTCAATCTGATCATCTTCTGATCCAAGATCGTATTGACCCAGTAGCAAGTCTTTCAAGTCCTTGGTCCGCACAAAAACCAAGAATCCTGTGTCCTCACGTTCCTCCTCATCCATGTGCTTTATATAGTCTCTCACTCCCTCACCGGCGTGCAGAACAGCTATCGGGATCGGTCGAAACATCATTTCCACACTTGAATGCATCAACATGTTGCGAACGCTATAAGATCGTAACTGCCAGCTCGTATGTGAATCCGGCTCTACTGGATGCTCGTAAGTCCCAGGCAGCGCCCACTTGGCCAGGAGTTGGCACAAGGCACATTTGGCGTCGAGGCCCACCCTCTCTGCCAATAGCATCCCGCCTGGACCGCCTTGGTGTTCGCGGGCTACGACATCCAGTGCTGCCTCAAAGTCCATGGTCCGGCATTGGATGCAGAGATAGGGGGCCTGTGACTGAGACAACCTGAGTCTAGCCAGCGACTTCTCAAGAGCCGACGGTCTCATGGGTCCCAGACCCGGTGGTTCATTCTCCATAGCAGACAAGGAGACCGGATCTTTCATTATGACGTTCGGTTATGTCCTGAGTGAGTGGATGAAGTAGGCAGCGAATATGGCCTGGTCACTAGTCCCGGACTCTGTCATCAGAGCGTCGCCGTCATGATGTTTAAATGGAAGAGAGATTCGTTGGCTCAGAGTTCAAGTAGCAACGACAGTGATGATTGCTTCAATATGTCAAATAGGCACAGCAAGTAAGTAATGATCTATCATCCCTCCGATGCGGGCCGATGTGTGACGGCCCGCATGCATGCCGGGTTTCCCATGGGCAAATCATCGTCTGTTCCTAAGCGCCCGCATGAACCTCCACTGCCAACCCTGTGCCGTAGGCATCGCAACAAATTAAGAGGGATCCGATATGTTCTTACATAAGTCTTGAATTGATGAATAAAATAAAGTAAAACAAAAATCAAAAACACAATCTCGTATCTTGTTTGCACGAAAAAAAGACTCCGATCAGGAGAGTATACACAGCAGGAGGGTGATACTGACGTTGTGACCGTCTGCGAAGACCCCTGTCAAAGTCCACATCGGTGCATAAATCATCGCAACATTGAGCAAACCCGGATTTGGGAGCTGGGGGGTTCTTTCTCCTAGAAGAGTAATGAAGATAAGGAGTATATATCAGTGGCAACCGCCACACCATAATTTTGCACATTATAATGCTTGAAGCCCACTTTAGGTCTTTGTGTTTACTAACCTCTTGTTGTCACGTTTGTAATAGCCCATGCTGTTACCTGAGCAGATGGCCAGGAAAAACTTACGGTCTTGAACTTATGCAAATTGTGGAAAACCCAATGGGCCAACAAATCGGAATCTTGCCAAAGATTGGATATATGCCTAATTGGGATTTCCGATGAATGGCACGAGTTGGGGTGGAGAACCGCCAGGACATGGCTTGGTGGGAGTAAAGCGTGGAAATACACGGTAATAACATGAAATCACTGGGGCCGTAAATCGGGAGCGGTTGTGCTTGTTCTCAATGCAATTCTTTTCCTTGATCCGATGCAGTATGGTGCCCCTATCTCTCAGAATAGAGCTGTACATCCCAATGAGCCCATGGGAAAGATGAAGAAAGATCTCAATCCCGACTTTCTATAACCCTCCTGCCATGCAACGCCTGGTAAGACAGCTAGCTTACTGCTCGGTCTGGAAGTAGTTGAGAAGGATGGAGCGCTCGGTGGACTCCTCACCCCAGTCCTTGACAACGACGCAAGAGCAGTTGACAACCTTTCTTGCGTTACCCTCACGGTCCAAGACGCCTGTAGGAAAATATCGTGTTAGCCGCAACGTGCACGCAGAGTCAGGTGCTTTGTTCCTCGTCACTCACAGAGACCAGCCCACTCGCCCAGCTGCTTGCCATCGGGGACCTTGATCAGGGGGATCTTGTGCTCGGAGCACAGGGCGATGACGAGCTTCTTGTAGGCCTCCTCCTCGCAGGACTCGTTCAGGACGCACATGTGTGCCTGGCGTCTGTCGAGGGCCTTGGAAGCCTCACGGAGACCGCGGGCGAGGCCGTCGTGCATGAGGGAGAGCTTCAAGACGCCCTTGAGGGCGTCGAGGACGGACATCTGGCCCTTGGAGGCATCGGCGGAGACCTCGACCTCCTCGGGGGCCTCGGGTGCGTTGTTCTCTTCTACGTCCGACTGCGAGACGGGGAAAAACGTGTTAGTGATATGCGCAACACACACAATTGGGCTTGTTCGGCGGGCGAGGGCGCAATCTGCTTGCCGTCTGGAGGGACGGGACCCCGGATGCGGGCGTTTGGCAGGACACATGGATTCCATGATGGCCAGAGCTACCGCACCCGGAGGCGGACGCGGGGGAGTGCCATCGGCGGCAGAAGCGCGGCGACGGCGACGGCGACGGCGTGGCAACAACGACTTACCATCTTGGCTTGTGTGTGATACCGGTGCGATCCTCGAAGAGTGGCTGTTGGCGGATGGATTGGATCGGAAAGTGTGTGGTGGTGAGTGAGTGTTGGGAGTCGTGTGTGCAGATTGTCACGGACCGGGGCCTTTTTTCGAGACGGGTCGGATTGAGCCTGCCTGCCGTGGCTGCCCTCTGCCCTCTGCCCTCTTTCCTCCACCAGCCGGTGAATGGTGGGTGAATTTCGTGTCTTCTGCCTGACGTGGGGTGCCAGCAGTGCCCCGCAGCCAATCAGCGCCCGCTTAGGGTTCGCAAAAAGTTTGCCCGCGCTTTTTCCGTCCGCAGGGCAGCCAGTCCGCGCTTGACCGCCCCGCCGTACGGGGCGCCCTGCGAGCGAGGGCCTGTGCACCACCGCACCGAAAATTGGGCTAGGCGCAATATTGGCGCTGGCGAAACATCGACCTGGGAAATTTCCGTGTCCCAACCCTCCAACGACCATCGTCAACCCACCAACCTTCGTGCCGCAACAGCAATCATCTTCCTGTCGCCCACGCACCCCAACTGAGGTATGTATTAGTACTGGATCACGATGGAGTGAAGTGACCCCCAAGAGCCCTTCAAGAAGCCAGGGGAGAGCAATCAGGGACGGGCTTGCGGGTAGCTGGTGGCTGGCCAGCTGCCTTGCTGCCGCTGCTCGTCGAGCCCGTCGAGCCCGTCGAGCCCGTCCCTCGATACGCTTCTCCCCTCCAGTATTGGGCGGGCAGAACCCTCTCTCTTGCGAGGGCACTCTCCACGCTCATGGCTTTTGAAGGCTAACCATCGGCTCGCCGGCCACAGATACCTCATTTCCTCGTCTCAACGATCTGAGAATCTCATCTCCCCACCGCCAAAATGGTCAAGACCTCCGTCCTCCACGATGCGCTCAACGCCATCAACAACGCCGAGAAGGCCGGAAAGCGCCAGGTCCTCATCCGACCCAGCTCCAAGGTCATTGTCAAGTTCCTGCAGGTCATGCAGCGCCACGGTACGTCACTGCTCGCTTTGGTGGTTTGCTGTACTGCACAGCACTGCACAGTACAGTGCAGTACAGCTTTGGTTGTGTTGTACACGAACTCGAGATCCGACGTCAAGATTTCTTCGCCCGCCGTGGCCTTCGCCTCCCCCCACAACACACATGTATTCGGCATGATAACTGGATGACGGTCTCAACTACTCCCCCACGACCATAGTCTTTTAAGTTGCCGATAGATCGACGTTTCACGACGGGCGAAGGAATCTTACACGTATCTCTGATTCATCGACATGAAGTTCTTACGTTTAGTCTTTCGCTACACCCCTCTAACTCTTTTGTTCCACAGGCTACATTGGCGAGTTCGAGGAGGTCGATGACCACCGCTCCGGCAAGATCGTCGTTCAGCTGAACGGCCGCCTCAACAAGACTGGTGTCATCTCCCCCCGCTACAACGTCCGCCTGGCCGACCTCGAGAAGTGGGTTGTCAAGTTGCTGCCCGCCCGTCAGTTCGGCTACGTCATCCTGACCACCTCTGCTGGTATCATGGACCACGAGGAGGCCCGTAGAAAGCACGTTGCCGGCAAGATCATTGGTTTCTTCTACTAGACGGAAGAACCGAGAGGTTTTGCAAGGAGTAAAAAAGAAGTCATGATCAAAAATCAGGGGTTCGGATGGATGGGGGAAAAGGATCAGCATTTCCGGGCGTTTAGGGGTACATGATGATGGCCAAGCATGTGCTTGATGTTTCTGCAGCCAAATGAAGCAATACCACGAAAATGCGACCTCTGTTCCGGCCTCACAAACTATTGACCGACGCGTCCCCTGCTTCCCATGTGCTCTCGTGTTCTTGCGTTGTGTTCTCGTTCACTCGTGACGATGTGGTTTTCTGCTCTGAAGAGTTGCCCAGTTGAGAAGCGTAGCGCCATCCCATTGGCAGGATGCGGCGATCAGGGGCTCGAAGAAGCGGTGCTTACGTGCGTCCTGTGCCACATTACGAGGCGCGATGGCATCGTAGGATTGGCAGGATCGAGTTGGACAGCTCTTGGCGCTCGTTGCCATGGCTGCCGACGAGGCGCAAATAAGGCCATACGAGAGAGCCGTGCCGTTTTATAGTTTCAATCAATAGTGCGGTGGTCCTCGAAGTGTTTCTGCATCCAATTCCAACGCCTACATGATATACACCCCAGGAGGCGCATCCCGTGGCACGGTCAATCGAAAATGGAACGTCGGGCCCGATCCCCTTTTAGCAAGTCGCAGAGCTGTGACGGCAGCCGGGTCGCGCAGGCCCTGGTGCCGCTGGGATTTCCTTGGAAGTGGGTGCAGTGGCTTTCCGCTTCCGCTGCCCCTGACGCGGCCTTCTCCATCGCCGACCAGAAGAACTTGGAACTGGACCTGGACCTGGACCTGGACCCAGACCACCCAGTCCCAGACCCAGACCCAGACCCAGAATTGCATCTCCCATACCCACGACCATACCCACCTTGCACTTGTCGCACCCACCACGACGCCGCGACAACGCCTCTGAACGCCCTCCTCACATGGCTGGCCTTGTATCTGGATCATCGGGGGCAATGCGACTATCACACTCGTTTGGGATTTGGCTTCTATAGACGCTCGGGCTCGCCATCGCCATCGCCGTTGACATTGAATAGCGCCAGCGATAAACTTTACAACAGTTGGCCGTCGCCAGACAAAACCGACGTCACACCCACCGCCAGCACAACCCACTTCTGGGCCCAGCGACAGCGACAGCGACCGCGACCGCGACCGACACAGCGACAGCGACACCCCCAGCGCCAACGCCGACGGGCCATGGGCGCAGTGAGAATGCGGCCTCGACAGATCCTCCTGACCGGAGGTCTCATGTTCTTCCTCATCTGTGTCTTCTCCATCCTTCGCCTCTCGCCCTCCAGCACCACGATACCCAGAGCCGGCTCCTTCTCCTCACATGGCCGTGGCAAACATGATTTCTCCTCGTCCACGTGGCCCGCCCCTCCCCCCCAAGGGCCCTTCAATCCCAAGCCGAAGCCTGCACCCGCCGGCTCGCATCCCATGTGGCACCTCATCACGGCCGCCGAGCGCGAGCTGGAAGATACCAAGTCGCGCCAGTCCAAGACGCTCGAGGACGCCGTCGCCGAGTACAGGAGGAGATACAGGATCCCCCCGCCGCCACACTTCGACAAGTGGTTCGCCTTTGCCCGCGCCAAGCGCGTCCAGCTCATTGACGAGTTCGACATGATACACGAGTCGCTGACCCCCTTCTGGGGCCTGAAGCCCGCCACCATCCGCCAGAGAGCCAAGGAGGCCCTCGGCTTCGACAATGCCCTGCTGGGAATCTCCCTTCGCGACGGCAAGGCCACGCACGTGCAGGGCGGCAGCGACTGGCAGCGTGAGGCCACTGTGGCCATGATGGGCAAGTTCATGGAGTGGCTACCCAGCATGGATCTGTGCTTCAACCTCCACGACGAGCCCCGCGTCACCGTTCCCCACGATGACCTGGCCAAGCTGGTCAGGAGGGGCCTGCAGGTCAACATGCCGCGGGCGTATCTGAACGAGAAGCCGAAGAACTCCTTCTCCAAGCCGGCGACTTTCCTGAACGAGGGCCACGGCTTCGAGGAGAGTAAGTTGACGAGATTCAACGTCTTCGCCCACCAGCCGACCTGGACACACTCACGTCTGTCCTGCCCGCCGGACAGCCCTACGAGAGCGATAGAAGAAGACGAGCAGGTGGACGATTTGTCCAAATACGGGCTGAGCGACCTCGGCTTCGTTTACAACACCACGGCCATGTCCGATATCTGCAATTCGCCCTCGCTTGGCTCCTCATTCGGCTTCTTCGATCGGCCGAACGCTTACAACGTCGTGCTCGACCTCTTCCCCATCTTTTCGCAGTCCAAGATCTCCTCATACTCGGACATCCTGTATCCCTCGCCGTGGTACTGGTACGAGAAGGTGAGCTACGACGAGAAGAAGGACATGCCTTGGGCAAAGAAGCAGCCCCAGCTCTACTGGCGTGGGAGCACCACCGGCGGGTTCAGCAGGAATGGCGGCTGGCGCCGCCAGCACCGCCAGCACTTCGTCCAGAAGGTCAACGCCGTTGAGGACGCCAAGATCCTCGTGAACAAGGGCAACGAAGCAGAGCAGCGCTGGGAGCCCAAGGTTGTCAACCGAGCTGACTACAAGGAAATCATGGATGTCTCCTTCAGCCACGTCGGTCAGTGTGACGCAGGCGACTGCAACGCGCAGAAGGAGTTCTTCAACGTCCAGGGGCGCGTCTCGCAAGAAGATGCCTGGCAGTACAAGTATCTGCTTGATATCGACGGAAACGCCTTTAGTGGGCGATTCTACGCCTTCCTGAGAAGTCGCAGCCTGGTCTTCAAGTGGGCCGTCTTCAAGGAGTGGCATCTCGAGTGGCTCAAGCCCTGGGCGCACTACATCCCGCTCAGCTTGCAGGGTGAAGACTGGCTCGAGGCCATCAGATTCTTCAGTGATGGGCCTCTGGGCCGAAAGGAGGCCGAGAGACTGGCAAACCAGCAACGAGACTGGGCCAACAAGGTCCTCCGACATGAAGATATGGAGGTCTGGTTCTTCAGGCTGTTATTAGAGTAGGTTCAACCCATGCGGCCCATTGTGGAGGTCCACCGCTAATGACTTACAGATACGGACGTTTGATAGATGACGATCGAGATGAGATTGGCTTCTCGATAGGTTCCCCAGTTAGGGAAGCGATGCCTGCTGCAGCAGCAGAAAAAGCAGCAGCAGAAGAAGCACAAGCAGCAGAGAAACCGTTATGAGGATGACGATGGGAGGTAATGGAATAATGGGTCATAATAGATCGAATTTCACTGGATAGCAGGCGTTCACGGCAGGGTCTATACAAATACCAGCATGCGGGACGGAGTTGCTCTTGATTGAGGGCGATGAACATACCTGGGAGGTTCCCATCTTTTCTCCGGATACGCGGGCGCGAAAAACATTTGATCAGGGATCAATCTGAGTACACAGGATCAATCAGAAGGGCACACACGATGCTCCTCATAGGTGGCGTTAATGCTGGCTGTATATATGCCTCAGAATATATGACATGAACCATATGGCTCTTGGCCGTTTCATCAACAGTTCTCAAGGGGCTTAGCAAGCAACGAGCTCAAGACCAATCAGCCTTTAGAGTTTGCTGCAATATCAGTCGGCTGCACTATTTGGATGATGGCAGCTTCAATGCTCCTGGCTGTCGAATCGACTGTGAGTGGATGTCCTGTTCTCCGGACGCCAGCGCTTTCTTGCGAAGTCGGTAGCATGACGGCAAGCCATCTCCCCGTCCATCTTTTAGGTGTAACGACTGATATTTCCTAGAAGCCCCTGAATTTATATGTCTAATCCGGTGAGCAAAAAAAAGACGAGAAGAAAAAGTCAGAATGGCCTGCAACAAATGCCAGTGGGTCGTTCCGATTCTCTTCCAAACCTTGTATGCTTCCACGTACCAAAGTATATACATTTTAAATCTTTATCATTATTCTCCGAATGAAAATCTCTGGACATATAACCATGTCTTCCGTCACCGTGAAGGCACCTTTTGTTTACCTTGACTACCAAACAACCAGAAGATCACAACACATACAGGCTCTCTATACTAGACGATCGCGATTTCCTGGAACAAAAGCGCCGCTCTATGCAAGAAACTTCGCACTCAATCTACCTGGCCCACTTACACAGTGGAAGTATACACATAGACAACACCATGTCTACATTGATGGTTCCCAACCCTGGGCCAAGCGCTATTGTGCCCCTGGCAAGCAGGCTGCCTATGACTACCAATTCACTGGCCTCTGGAAGCCACAGCAATGACAACCGTCAGCCTCAAAGCACAAGCAACCCGTACGGCATTTTCCCATCGTGGGCTAAAAAGCTCCCGGTCCCGGCCGTCGTGCTACCGTCGTCTGCGTCTTCGTCGGAGCAGGAGCACAAAGACGACGGAGGTAACGAAAAAACAGATGCTGCAGTAGTTGCAGTAGCACCGCAAGACAAAGAGCGCAAACTCCTCAAGACGGCAGACTGCAAGCAGTACCTCGCCTTCGGCTTTCCCTTCGCCAAGAAGTGGCTGATCCTCTGCATCCTGTTCCTGTGCCAGGTCTCGATGAACCTCAACACCACGCTCTACTCCAACGGCATCGCGGGCATCACCGAGCACTTCGGCCTGGGCTCGACCGACGCCGCCGTCTGGGGCGCCGCCGCCTTCCTTATCACCTACGCCTTCGGCTGCGAGCTGTGGGCCCCCTGGTCCGAGGAGTTCGGCCGCAAGTGGGTGCTGCAGCTGTCGCTGCTGCTCGTCAACGCCATGGCCGTCGGCGTCGCCCTGGCGCCCAGCATCGGCTCCCTGATCGCCTTCCGCGCCCTCGGCGGCCTGTTCACCGCCGGCGGCAGCGTCACCCTGGCCGTCATCACCGACATGTTCGAGCCCCACGACAGCTGGTATCAGTACGCCACGCTCTTCATCGTCTTCTCCTCCGTCGGCGGCAGCATCATCGGCCCCATCGCCGGCGGCTTCCTCGAGGTCTACGCCCCCTGGCAGTGGACCATCTGGACCCAGCTGCTGGTCGGCGTCGCCGTGCAGCTGCTGCACCTCGTCGTCGTCCCCGAGACCCGCGCCACCGTGCTCACGGACCGGTTGGCCCGCCAGTGGCGCGCCGGCGCCGATCCGGAGAAGCCCACCGATGTCTACGGCCCCGGCGAGCTGGCCGAGCGCAGGATCGACTGGCGCGAGACCCTCGACGTCTGGAAACGCCCTTTCGAGTTCCTAGTCACTGAGCCCATCGTGCTCTCGCTGGCGCTGCTGTCGGGCTTCAGCGACGCCCTGATCTTCATGCAGGTCCAGTCGTTCCAGTTCGTCTATGCCCGCTGGGGCTTCGGCCCCATCGAGCTGGGCTACACCTTCATCCCGCTGTTCATCGGCTACATCATCGCCGCCCTGCTCTACATTCCGGTGATCCGACGCGGCATCGCGCAGCGCGCACTGGACCGCAACGACGAGCACGCGCAGTACGAGGGCCGTCTCAAGGTCTTATTGTTCCTGGCCCCGCTGCTGCCCGTCGGCCTGCTCCTTTTTGGCCTCACGGCCACACTGCCCACCGCCTCGGTGCACTGGATCGGCTCCATGGTGGCCAGCTGCATCATCGGCATCGCCAACTTCGCCATTTACGAGAGCACCATTGAATATACCTTGAGAAGTTACGGCGCATACGCAGCGAGCGCGACCGGCGGCAACGGATGGGCGCGCGACTTCTTGGCCGGCGTGCTGACGCCCGCGGCTGTCCCCATGTACACGAACTTTGGCACCAAGGAATCGTCGCCCTTCCACGCCACCATGACCCTATTCGCCATCTCGGTGCTTCTGACGGGCTCCGTCTACTGGGTCTACTTCCGGGGTGCCGACCTGCGCCGCCGCTCGCGCTACGCCCAGCACCTGGCCGTGCTCGAGAGCGAGGAGGGCGGCGAGGTCCCGGCCTTTGCCGGCCCCGACGTCCTGCCCGGCTCCCGCGCCGCCAGCCGCGACGTCACCCCCGCCCAGACTCCGCGTACGACGCCTCGGCAGAGCCGAGACTTCGGTGCTCTGAGGACCGTGCCTGGGATGCCGAGGGCTCGAGGGTCCTCGATCGAGATGACGGATCTTGTTGAGGCGGAGGAGGAGGCATGAATAGTAACAATGATTAATACAGCCAAGCAACCCCAGCAATCATTGACGGAATAAGACAACAGGCCAACTATCTCTTGCGCGTTTTCATATTGTTGCAATAGGCATTCATACCAGTGTAGCAATCATGTAGTATCAATGGAATAAACATTTTATACCAGAGTAGTAATCGTTCTATGTAGTATACGTCTTGGGATATTCGCGGTTATTTGAAGTCTGCCGCGCATAGGGCACCAATTAATTATATTGGAAGCACCCTAGCCTAACATACTGTTAGGATAAGCCTATTTTTTTAGTCTCCTAATTTAGAAACCTTATTCGTCACCTTTAGAAGTAAAATACACTACAACTGTGACTTGTATAAAGTTTTCATGCGTGCATTTCTACAGCGCCACAAATGCTATTAGCGGATTGAAAATAGTGCGGATACAGAGGCGACACAGCAGAAACGATTAGCTGTTTTGCAGAACCGGGCCTTTTGTCTAGCTCACCTCCCGCACATTGACATATAGATGTCTAAAAGAGCTGAGAGGCGAAGACAAATTAAAAAAAGCCGTTCTCTGCCCGTCTCCGCCCTGTTTACAAATGACTGGACTTCATGGTCTAGGTGATCTGAGTGATTGGCTGCTCGAGTATGTCCGGAACAACGCATCGGAACAACCCTTGTCGACAGCCGCAGCTGAGGGCTACGAAGCTCTGGCGTTCAGAGAAACGGACTGGGACCTCCGTCATAAGCATTTATAGACGTGTCGCTTCGCCCGGGTTGACACGTTCATATAGTTAGCTATTGGATCTTTGTCAATTATCGCAAGTGGATGGGCTAATGCGGCCAATGGTACCCTGGAGAGAGAGCTTTAGATACCGTTAAAACCCAGAAGATTCGCCAGTTAGCTCACGGACCAGCTCCCATACATAGAAGCAAAATGCACTGACCAGTACCTATTTATATAGGAAGGCCGGGAATGGCGAGGGGAATAGAGACCATTTTAGGGATAGTGAGAAGGTCTCTCCATTTCATTGGATATTATGTGGTACCTGGTCCGTGAGCTAATGGGCGAATCTTCTGAGTTTCAACGGTTGACTTGTCCCACATGAAGTCTTGTACCTTGGAAATCACAACCGACGCTGAGCTGCTAGATAATGCTCCCACCGGACCTGAGGCATGGTATCCTAGCTGGCTGTCGCATACTGGTTTTATTTAGGTAATAACACGCATGGCTGCTACTCTGTCCACCATTCATTGTGCAGCGGGTGCTTGCAACACATCATACAAGCTCACTACCGTTGCCGAGAAGGGCGTGTGTAAGTGCTTACTAAAATCATCGTATGTTTCCCCGCCATAAATCATGAGATGGTCAGGATAATCGTGGAAAATCTGGATCGCACGGCTATACACCGCTCCCGCAGGTGTAGCATGCTCCTCCCATCTGTCTGTTGCGCCACCATGTCGGTTGGTATAGACCTGTCGTCGATCAGCGTCGGATACGATAATTGTTCCCATAGGACCGCCGGCTGGACTCCAGACCACATATGGACTCGCATTCGGTGCTGTAGTATTGTTGATGACGATTGCTTGGCCCTCATTCTCGCCGAAGCTCAACGGCGAGTCCGCCATCACATAGTATACAGGATAGTTCACGCCATACGACGATGAATTACCAATAGGGCGCTCGTGGACGAGGATCCATTTCTTAACAGGCGGTATATACGCCACAACTGTCATCCCAGGTCTCGCTTCATAGAGAGCGTATGCAACGTCATTAGTGACGGGGCCCCAGCACTTCAGGTCGTGCGATGTCTGGTGGGCCAGTTTCTGGCCATGCTTTGGATCACGCTGGTCGGAGTAGTATGCAATGACCTGGTCTTCATACTGTCTGATATGACTGTCAGCAGGGCTCCATTTGGTGCTCCTCCAAGGATGGAACTTGCAGTAGATATGGTTCCCATATTGGGTTTGCGCCGTTCGTGGTATTGGGTCGTCCGCCTTCAGCGATGTGGCTGACGAACTCCCATGTCCTCGCTCTGTCGCTGCTGGCGTACAAATCGATTTTTGTGCCATTATCGCTCCAACTGTTGCCTGTCCCTAGAATGGTACCTGCTTTGTAATCTCCGATTGGTTTTGTCAACTCTGCGAGTGCCGGCTGCGCGCTCATTCCCCACCCATTGACTTGATCTGTAAGATTTGATATATAGTTCCATGTCGCTCCTCCATTCTTACTCTCGAATATAGGGAAATAACCTGGGGAGTGGCCAGTCAAAGAAGCAGTGGCCAAGATCGTGCCGTCACGAAGCTCAACATATCTTGGGTACGTAATGCTCTCATTCCCCGTCGTTTGGTAGATGGTATTGTTCGTAAAGAAGCCCCATTCCACATGTTGATTTTCATCAAGGTCAGCAGTTGACTTGCCAACCAGCAGTGCAAGTAATAGAGTAATTGCACGCATTGTCGATACTGGCGACTGTTTGAGCCAAGTGATAGCATCGAAACCGTCCTTGTGGTAATTTGGCTCAAGCCAAATAAGATGCGGGGACTTTCAGTCCATCAAGCAAATAGGAGCCGCAGCCATCGGAAGAATTTGGTACAAATGTCCGTTCCACAAACATGACTGATTGGTTGAGTGGTTGCTTGAAGGTTCGAGCCCGCCCGTCTTATAAGGCAACGCCGATACTGCTGCAGGGGAGTATTTTAACCGGCAGTAGTCCGTAAATCCAGCATTCCACCTATGATTATTATTTACCGTTTACAAGCGAGTAATAACCGAGTCATACACTATGACGTAACAGCTAGTACATATTAATTGGGCTTTGGTCAAGGTATCGACGTCGTTAGCTCCTACAGTTAGTTAAACGTTGCAAGTACAGCGCCTCAAGACTATAGCTATGAAAAATAGTTAAATTCTGCGTGAGTTCAATTTACATCGTCTTTTCTTGAATTGAAAGTTGGCGTAAATGTTTTCTTGCATGTGAACTGGAACAAGGTCAGAATCGCGATTTTGTACCGAATGAGTTCACTTTTGGATCTGCAAGTTTTATAGTGTTAAGCTAGGAAAGATGTTATAGTTTCAGGGGCCTTTACAGTATTTGTTGCCCATAGGCACGACCAAACCATATTTATCTGGAATGGCCATACTTCTAATATTATAATAAAACACTAAGACCAGCTTTTATCGAAGAGAAAATTGGTGGCACTGGCCTGAGTTCCACTTTGAGAACGATCTGAAGGCGTCGCGGTCGTACGAGAGAAACAAGAGGTTGAGACGGCCAGTTGCATCTAGAGAGACCACCAACGATATCTCAAGCTGGGATGTCGGGTAGACCGGCTGGAAATGTGGACTTGTCAATTATCAACATTGGCTTGTGGGTGGAATCATCCAAGTCCGGTTGATCTAGATCGGGCAAATAATGCATAAGGCTCCGGGGTCTATTTCGATATATTATGCTACATATAGTACGTGCGGTAGCTTTACCATATCAGGCGTAATGCGCCCGGAACGCCGGAAGCAGAATGCATGCAAATGATACGGCCCCCCTTGTTAGGAGAACCCGGAGATACGGTTTGTCGACTCTTCTTCGATTTAGGCTAATATGAAGTTGTGATGCATAATCAAGATAGAGCAGACGCATTGGAGCAACCCACACGGCTGGAACCGATAACAATGTCATCGTACCAAAAGGTGTTCGTATCCCCGCCGTAAGACTCCCATCCAAAGTACACACCGGTGATCTTGGGTTTGATGGTGCTCCTCTGCCACTGGGCGGCGTTGCTATTAGCTACACCTGGTTTGCTTGTAAGCCCAGCGACAGCGTTACCATTCAACCAGGTCTCAACAGTGCCGTCGGTGCCCAAGTGATACTCAAAGCACTGCCAGCTTCCGGTGGGGAGGGCGGCGGATGCAGCAATGCCTTGAGGTGAGAGATCAGGAAGTGTGGCATCATCGGATTCGCGGTTATACATCAGGATTTTGCTCTGTCCGCCAATGCGAAGGTGCTTCTTGCTACCTTGAGCAGAGTCGGGCATCGTGATGAAGGAAACATGAGAGTCCGTGAGAGCCTTGGAGGCCTTGCTAAGAAGAGATCAATTATTAGCTTTTGTCCTCTCATAATTGTCTGGCAGTCCAACTCCTACAAGAACTCACACAAAAGCCCTGACGTAGACGTCGCCACTGGGAACTTTGGTCGTCCCAAAGAAAATGTGCCCACAGTAGCCACCTGCACCATCGACCCTCATGGAGTTTTTACCGCTATGGGCAGTGGAGCTGTCAAGGCTGACTTTGCCACCCTGATTGCAGTCGGCTGCATATGTAGGCCAGGCTGTCTGGTCCCAACCATTTTCGAAACCGTCAGAGACCTGGGCGAGGGAGAAGGGGAGCAGCGCGAGTGCAACGACGGCAATTTGGCAGAACATCTTGGTGAGCGGATTGCCAAAGGCTTGCTTCGATGTAAGGATGGACAGACAAAAAGCGGAAGCCATGAGACTAGCAACGGTGATATGCTTATATATCTGAGTTTGGAGCGCAACCCATCTCCCTCCGCTGCCCGTACCAGAACGGGTATAGGGCCATGCGGCCACTCCCTGAATGCACCATTTATACCGTATAATCCCGAGTTTCCGCATATAGTTCCCTCGCCAACAATCACGCGTTCTCTGAAAGACTTGGAGAACACTTGGAGAACACGTGGAAGAAGCACTGTAAAACTGGATTGAAACCTACACTTCTCAGGTCGTCATCTATGAAGTACTTAAAACAAATCTATTTGATTGCAGTTTCGAACTGAGAAAGACACCCTGTGATGAACATTTACTTGTAAGATTATTAAATAAGGCAATACCTTTATACCCTTGATGACTAAAGATCTTAACCCACGCGATGTGGTACTTAATACCGTGGTTTTAATCCGTGAAGAAGATACATAATAAGCTAGGAACTAAGCCAAAGGCCCAACTTAAAAATCCAACGATGGCGATAAATAAAAGGGAGTTTAATACAATATATATAATTAAGAATCATTCGTGCATAAAATGTCTCTGATTGCAATTACGAAGCCGCAGAGCCGCTACGCATCGATTTTGATTAACGATTATCTTTGATCACCATGGAGCCGCAGCAAAGCTTGGAAGATCCTAAATCTGGGGAAGTGGAGCTGATCTACAGAGTACCACTCCGGATTCCGCCGCCGACAACCCATGGACAAATTTTTTTCTTAGCAATCTTTTCTGGAACATATAGACGCCAATCACCTGCGGATCTGCAGTGCGCAAAAGACATAGACATATAATATATTTCGCGTCAGTTCCGGCGCTTGCATCTAGTTTTGCGATGAGCCCTCACTGCAATTCCTACTCTGGCAGCATGTTGCAATGCATAGACGTTATAATGACCGAGGTTACGAAAATTAGCAAAAGTATTAAAACATTATGCAAGTATGGTTTGACTCCTGAATAATTTCCGTGACGTGTTAGTCAGTTTGAGGTATCGATGCACGAGAGGAATCAGAAACTGTTTGTGTGTCATCGGCAGTTATCATCTCCGGCGGGTTCATCCGATCACTCGTGCAGGCCACAGCCTGATACAAGACCTTGAGCTGGGCCCTGAAAACCACCTCAATTTCAAACAAACAGCTTCCCGTAGCCACAGGATATGATTTGATGTTACTCTGTACAGAAACTTCCATGATTTCATGTTTATTCACCACCCAAGGAAGAACTAGGGGTGCGCGATGTCAAGAAAGCTCAGCGTGCTTGGCGACACGTGGATTACCACGGTTCGACGCTCAGACGTGATCTTTAGCATCCTTGACGCCTGAGTCCTCGCAACTGGGAGAACGAGGCCGTAGGTGCACATTGAGTGGCACAGAGCTGCCAGAAGATGCACGCGTTTTCCGTGAGGTAGCCGCAAGCAAGGTGGGTACGTACTTAGGTACCATAATAGATGGTGTGAATTGAAACAGCATGATCGGCGCAAAGTCCTGTTCAATATGACAAACACCCAAGCTCTCCGAGAGGCCATTAATATTGTACTCTTCAGACTGGAAGCTACCAGCGACTAGGTAGCACACTCTTTTGACATTCGGTCCCCATACAGAATGGCGATTTGCATGGGAACCTGCCGTTTTCGGCTCAGCGGGCGTTGGAAGCTTCTTCAAATTGCTGATGATCTCGCAAGCACCCGAAGCTTACCTACAAAATAGACATGCCGAAGGATAGTCAGGTAGAGTAATCCACCCCAGAGTAGGATCGATGGCGTCCCAAGCGATGGGCCCGAATTTGACAGCGCTGTTGATCGCTATTGAGTTTCCTCTTTCATCATTCGCATCATTCGCTGGAAAACGCCCAGATTGCTCGGGCCAACGCTTCTTTCTGCCGTCAGGGTCAGTGATCTCTAGGGCAATCATTGCATTGCTTATTGCTCTACATCCAAAGCGGGGTGCGGTAATTGGGCACTTGCTGGTCTGCCTTTATTGGCCTAGCTTCAGGGACAGAGAAAGAGACCGCGCAGGCTCCGCGCTGCAGGAACAGCCGTTTGGAAGCCCGGATGCCACCCAGTCTGACGCAACCTTAAAAAAAAAAAGGGCAGAAAGGATCCTGGCCAAGCACAGTCTCATTAAGCGTAGCCAATCATGTGCGGCGCCAGCATGCAGCCCCAGCTTGGTGCGCAAGCCTGAGATTATGCAATCTCGTCTTGCTCACTGGCCATTTTATGAATGGCCTCGACCGCTCTGCTTGGTGGAGGGCGACGCCGCCGGGGAACGCCAAGAAAGACTTTCACGGAGTTGCAATGGTTCTATGGATAAATACCTCAGCTATTTCAGGTGATGATTACGACAACCGTAGCGGTAACAGTAGTAGCGGAAGGCGACCAGACTGGACGCAAAATGTTGCGAATTGTCAAAGGATCAGTCAGATCCTGCTGCATAGGTGAGGCGCATGCAGGCTGCAGCAACCAGCCTCTGGTGTCATGTACCATGCGACGCATCCGTTGTTGGCTGGAGACGGAGACCGTCAGTACTGTGTAGCCAACAAGACAATGACACAAAACACCAGAGTGTGAGTTGCAGCGCAACGGGAAGGAAAGCGAATAGGTACATACAACCTCGTGGCAGCATTGAGGGGTAGGTGGGTTCGGCCATTGTTAGACGGCCAGCGATGCTTGAAATGGCTAGACTGGCGCCGTGACTATTATGTGTTAGCTTTTCCCTGGATGACTCGTGCCTTGCAATCTCCGGTGCCTGTCGCATGCAGCCCGTAGATAGTACTGTCTACCGTTTAGTTTGCGCAATCCAGGAGGCTTTTCTTGGGGTATTCCTAGTACTCTAGACTTGTACTCCAGACAACAGTGGGGCCCTATCCGACAACAGGGGGATTCTGGGATTTTGCGCTTTGTGAGCGCGTGGTCCCGTAGTCCCAGCCTTTTGCATGGGCTTTGTCTCCCTTTGTTTTGGCGCTCAAGGCAAATCAGTGGGCTAGGTGGCTAGGAGCCCAGAAGTCGACAGGCCAATGCATCCCCGGCCACCATCCCCGGCCTAGCGACGATCAGGTTGGCTTTGACCAATCGCCAGGCGAGCCGTTCACCCATTAATCTCATTATCCCGCCGCCCATTGTCTGGCGCCCACCAGCAACCCCCAGAAGATCGTGGCTTTCCTTCTTCGCTTGCCCGTGCTTTAAACCTCCTCCTCCTCCTCCTCTCACCGCACACTCTTGATTTACCGTACATTCCTTCTCGCAAACCGAACGGACTTCGTTGGCAAAGTCTACCCCGCAGCATTCTGAGAACGCACCCAATATCCATACCAACCTTGAATACCGAGTATTCAAAACGACCCTCATTGACTTACACGCCTCGCGCGCATTGAAGACGCCGTATATCTACCGCCCACCCGTTGAACGTCCACGACTTGTTCCTCCCTTCGGGATACCATCGTGAGGACATAGGAGAATATAGCTATTCTGCTTCCGCCAGCGATCAAACCTTTACGCTCCTACTCCTCGACAAGGACATACCCTCTCAACTATACAACTGTACCCACCGTGGATAGACCAGTGCCCTGCTCTCCTTCGCAATGCAGATCTCTTCGATAGTCACTCTTGCGCTTCTGCCCTTGTTGGCAGTTGCCGAAGGCGAGACCAGTACTGCCACGTCCACGACAACGTTGTACAAGACTGTTACGATCTCCAAGGTCTCCACCAGCACTGCCTTCAACTCTACGTCGAGCTTCTACCAACCCACTGGAACCGGATACTCGTCGTCCGTCGCCGTGTCTACGACGAAGGGCAGTGGGTCATCTTCGACTGCCTCCGCCCCCACGGTCAGCCCGACCATTGACAACAACAGCGCCATGTCTCTGGGAGCTGCCAAGGTAGCCGCCGCTGGCGTGGCCGGTATGGTTCTCGCAGCCATGATGTAAGCGCGCTGGAAGGCGTGGCTTGGGGGCGGGTGTATTGGAATTGCCATTGTGGTGCTTCAAGGTTGTGGCACTAGATACACCTTGATCGATGTTCAACCGAGTTCTTCGATGCGATCATCTCTTTCACTTCTTTCATTTGTCAAACAACAGCATTTTTTTTTAAACCGCATTCAGCGCAACAACGATATCATATGCGACGAGACGAACGACCTGAAGATAATCCAGTTGACGGCGATACCCAAAACGTTCATTTCTCCCTCCTTTTCTCCTCCTCCTATTATACCCCTGACGCAATGTTTGCTGCGCATCTCTATGCCTGCATCTGCTCGGAGAAGGAGAAGGAGGAGACCTTTCTCCGGCTACAACAACAAAAGCTTTTCCTTCTTCATTCGGTGTTGAGAGCGTTTGGTGTATTTCACCCACGGCGGAGCCACGCATAATGTTTCAATGAACCTGGCAGTACCCGAGCGTTTGCATCGCTCGCGGAACACACTCTATGGGCTGGCGTACTTGGGCTGGCACTCTCATCCTGCTACTACTCGACCATGGATGGGCTGGATGCCGGTATTCTATGCGAATTTGCCCAACTCAGTACGAACAATGCTCAGAGCATTGCACGAAGACTATCCCATAAACGCTGGGGCCAAGTTCACCCTAAGCCGCAAACCCAGGGTGTGCAGCACTTTAGTGTGCCGCACATTTGGGATGAGTTGAGCCGTGTATGTGCCGAGTGTGTTGCTGGCTGGCCTTCACTTTCTTTGTTCAAGAGACAACGTATATTTACTTTCTTCCAAGAGTCGCGCGCGGGGGACAGGCGACAAGTTAGGAGATCACGAAGGCACTTTACTGTTTCACCATTCCATTTGATTTCTTCAACGCCTTCGTGTTGTTGAGATACCCCAGCTTTTGTTGTACGTTTGCCAGTGAGGAAGGTTCTGCGACTGCTATCATGGAGGAAGAGGCTGGGCTTGATAGATTCCGGCTATCTTTATCACCATGCGTGACTCAGACGATGTTGGCTTTTGAATATTCATGCATTTATGTTCTTGTCTTTCGAATTGCAGGGGGAATAGGTGAGGCGGATTGGTGGATTTTAAATAAAGCTTGGTGTTGGATAGTTAGCAGAGCATAGCTATGCGGGATAAGAAGATCAACGGGTCTACCCATTTTACCATTCGAGCATGTTACATTTGACAGTGATCGGTTACTACAACCATATACTCTGGACCTTATCGTCTAGAGCAATCGTTATCTTCGACGGCAGGCTATCAGAAGATCTGAAAGAGGCTTAGACTAATAAGAACCCATTGGCTTCGAAAATAATCGTTCGCCTCTAGACTGGGAACACTCACTTGTTTCCTGCTAACAATAAAGAGAGATTGAATGGAAGTACAGTGGGTTGAAATTTAGTGGATGCTATAAATGCAAACAAATTTGTCTATTTAGCCTGATCTTAAAAGCTGAGCACCACCCAAGTCTCAGCGCTCGATCAAGCGTGACTGACCATGAGAGCCCGTAGTTCTTCCTCTCTGATTTCCTTAATGCCCAAAAGCTTGTTGTCATTGGTCTCGAAATGGCTGCCATAGCCTTCGCCCCAAATAGCAGCATTGAGGAAATTCATGAAAGCTTTCCCGTAGTCTGGTGCGGTCTTGCTCAGTTCTGCCCAGGCGTCTTTCACGCAATCCTCTGTAGAGATCTGAGCCGCCTTCCACTCAGTTCCGGTAACCTTCTGGCCTATATCAAGTAGTTGTTTTCCAGTAATGGCTGTTTCCTGCACATATACTGCACGATTCTTCGTTTCATCAAGGTGCTGGAGAACGCCCACAACTGCCTTGCCGACAGCGGGAAGCGTAGTAGCACTGAAGATACGGTCCCCGCCATCGTATAGACTGATGCTCCTATCCTTCACGCTGGCAACAAAGCCGACTGCCAAGCCCCAGTCGAGAAACGGGCCATTGACCACAATTGTGTAAGTCAAGCGGCCCGCATCTGCCTCTTTCTGAAGAGCCTTCTGAACGGCAATCTTATCTCCGAAAACCGGGAGCTGGGAAGTCTTTGGGTGGACAGTGTTGGACCCGAATTCGGATGGAATGAAGCGATTCACGCCAGTTTCGGCAGCAGCTTGGACTAGTAGGAGCTGCTTTGAGAGAGATAGAGATCCAAGTGTAGAGACAACAGCGTCGTGCCCATGCAATGCAGTAGTCAACGACTCCAACGAGTCGTAGTCGACCTCTTTGAGAGTGACAGTTTCTGGTAGCTTGTGCTGACTTCCCGCACGAGTGAGTACAGTGACCTCAAGTCCTGCTTGTAACAACTGATCTAGCACAGCTGGTCCGAGGTTGCCGGTGGCCTGTTCAGATTGTTGAGAATCAGTTATCGCCGCCTACGAGTCAGGCTATGTTATCTCGCACTTACTCCAGCGAGAGCTACTCTCTTGATTTCGCTCATATTGAAATTCTAAATGATAGGGCGTGTTCCAAATGTAACGATCGAAACTAGAGTCTGATCTTTGTTGAGCTGCGATGGAGACTGTCAGGAGATAGAGAAAAACGAGGCTCACACACATACACACATATATATATATATACATATTTGATAACCGAAATAAGTTCCGAAAGCAAGAGGATTTCGTAGGTCGTCATGCTCATGCTCAACATGCCTTCATAACTAAGCAAATAGCGCAATTGCACCTTAAAGTGTTGTCAGCAAAATTGATTGTCTTAATAGGCATCTTTGGCGGTACCAAATTCTGTAGTCCGCTCCACTAATTTAAGTTTCCGAAGATATGTTCCCACATGGCGCGATCTGCTGACATGACTCTATCCCACTTAGTGCATTTGCCATATCCCACTTCATCTGACTTCATCCCACAAAATCCCACCTCATCCCACATCATCCCACATCATCCCACATCCGCCCTCCAAATCTTGTCAATCTCCGTGAGCTCGGTTTCGCTCTCTCTCCAATTGTGACAGCAGTCGACCGCGGGCTTACCTCTCAAAGCTTCGAGGCAGGTTGGACTGCTTTCGGCGTCTCGGCCAGGACAAATCCATGATCTGGCGTATCCGTCGCGACTTGGGTCCGTGAACTCACAGAATTGCGCCATCTATGCCTTACCTCTTACCTTATGCGTAGGTACCTTACCTCATGGAGCCTCGACAATCACAGGCAAACAAGCCACTTGACTCGTCCGAAAGAGCTTCTGCAAAACTGGCAGTTGGACGATTTCAATGTTCTGCTCCGAACTGTACTAGGCGCTTCCGTCGCAAGGAGCATTTGAACCGCCATCTCAAATCGCATGATGATAATTTTCAGTACATGTGTCACCTTTGTGGACGTTCCTATGCGCGCAGGTTCGTAGCCCTTCCAATCGGCACAATACCTCGGTGTTCCTTTCATTGGAGAATGGCGGCAAAGCGTGAATACAGCACTGTAAGCTGACACAATGGTAGCGACGTATTGCGACGGCATGTTCAATTCCATCCGCAATCCGGCAATGCCTCCGGTGCCTCCACCCAACTGAACAAGAGCGGGACGTCGTCCCATACGCAGACGAGTCCGACTGAGACAGCGCCTCCTGAGACTGATAGACGGGAGGATAGAGCCTTCTTACCGACTCATGCCCAAGTGCTTTGTACAACACCAAATCGTACTAGAGATCAGCTGGAGAACCCTACCGGTAAGTGCTTTCAGCGGCATGGTATATCACCTCCACGTCCGCCCACCATGAACCATGATCGCTTTGTCTGATCGTTGCTAAGCGTCGAACGGAGATGATGCCCTGATGGATCCGAATGGCAATATTGTTAGGACATCCCAAATTACTCAAAGACTTGTAGCAATCTATTTTGAAATGGTGAATCCTCGATGGTCCTTGCTAGGCCACATTGACCCTCGGACCATCTCACATATCCTTCTATCATCAATGATCCTGTTACCAAGTTGGTTGGAAGGCCGGAAAGATCATCCAAGACTGGTGTCCAGTGTGGTTGACCAACTTGCGGAAGCACTGCTGGTAATGGTTGTCTTCATCTTAATTCGGGCTACCTGTAATTGATACTTTTCAGGACTCGAAGCCAGACTTGGAAATTTTGCAGGCTGGCTACTTGTTTATTATCTACGCTATCTGTCGTCTAGTAAGTACACGCTTGGGCCTTTCTAAGCTTTGTACTACCTGGTATCTTAACGTTGTCTTAGGATACCCATGATTCAATAGCCACCGCGGCTCGCTTCCATGGTACGCTGATTGATGCTTCTCGTCGCGTCGGAATCTTTACCGGCCGTGCCAGAGGGCTCGACCATGAGGAAAGTACAGACAACGATTTTGATCCTGAGATCCAGAGGTACGTTCACTTATCTCTTCCTCTTGAGATAATTCTGACCAAAATAGGCTCGCTTTCACCATTCTAAGGATAGATGTTTATCTTAGTGTCTTGCTAGGAAACCCACCGTCGGTGCGTTACCAGGAACTTTCATGCCCTTGGATCAAAAGCGGCGAAGTGGCTCCAAGTAAAGTCGACGATCATGGACGAAGCACTACCCAAGACCTGCCCAAGAGTCAAAATGGGGACCGGTTCTGCTTGCTTGTTCGGAAAACACTAAAATCGGAGTTCCAGTATACAGCTAGTCGACAGTTGGATGCACATTGCCACCATCTAGTTCTTTGTTCTCTGCAGTCCAGGATCTGGGAGCTTGCAGAAGAGTCTCCATACTTGATAGACGTTGGCGAGAGTATTAGAGCAGAAGCTGAGCGTTCTAACCAGACCTGGTGCCGCCTATTGCAATGCTGGTGGGATACTATGAACAAGTTATTCAAGGTAAGTGATTCATGGACCCCTTCCCAGCCTACGCATGATGCTATTTGTGCAGAGATCGTGACTGGGCAAAAGCTAATGACTTCTAGTATGTTCGTCAAACTTCCAGTCCTTGCAACACCCCGATCTTCAGCTGTCTAATGGTGCGAATTACTGTTGGGTACTGCCACTAATAGGGACTATTGCCAGGAGGGACGAGCTGCTGCTGTCTGAGACTTCGATACTCTATCATATTACGTCCTTGAAGTTATGGGTTCCGTCATCGTTGCTATCCTTGCCACGTTACTACTTCAATCGTCGAAAAGGAGGGCCTATATCGGCAAGTAGTCCGGACATGGATTTGACTACGTGGATAAACACGCCTTGCTCCAGGCAAGCCGTGTGGCATGCCGGTCAGATCGCACACATTATCACACAGGAGGCTAGCAGGCCACATTGCCTGCTTGATCCGTTAGTAATCCCTGGAATCTTTATGAGCGCAGTAGTCGTTTGCTCTTTCGCATCTCGTATGCGCGTGTGCCCTTTTTGTACGGGAAATCCCGTGCCTGTCGATATTGTTGATCTGTTTGGAGCAGAAACGGATTGCGACCGCCTTACGCTATGGAAAGCTGGAGGACCTGGTTTGGGAGCATGGGGTGGAAATTTATTTGTTCAGATGCCGGTCTGTCGTTGCGGTATCCCAATCCTAACAGCCTGGTTCCGCAGATTGCTTGGCAAGCTTGCGCTGGGGGGCTCGGAGTTCCTTGGACTACTTACAAGCCTCGTGAGCAAGTAATCTCCTACTTAATATTACTTCTCGGTATATATTGCTATATAATAGGTTGGAAGTACATTCTTTTGGTATCGTGTCAATCTTGAAATTTTACAGCCTTGAACTCTCACGACAAGCAATACTAACAGCTACCAACACACCTCAGCACCACGGTCATGCTTTGTAGCTATTTTATGGATTGATAGGTGGCAAGTGAATTCGCTTTGACTTTTCAATCTTCTATTAGGTATGATTTCGAATTCTAATCCCAGCCAACAAAAGATTATTATCTGCGGCGTACTCTCAACCCCCTGACCTCGTCCCGGGCCCACAATGTTGAGGATTCCCCTTCCTTGCACTTTGTACCGCCTGGCATGGCCTGTAGACCAGACCAGCTACCACTGGCGCATTGTTGGTACTGAGAGCCACCGACGCAAAAATATGCCCCTTCATCAGAGCAACGCCCCGATTTTGCGCCGGTCGTTGATCCAGACGATCCAGCTCCCGTCGGCTTTACTGAGACTGCCGGGGGTGACGCGGCAACTGCCGCAGAACTTGCTTTGGAACCGCCTTTAGGGTAACAATTGTCTCCGATTGGTTTTGAAAGCAATGGCGTAGCCCATAGCCTTTGGACATTGGGTCCAGGATCTGGGTACTCCACGTCTGAAGGTGGATTCATATTCGTTTTGCAAGAGTTGATGTCAGCAAGGTTGGCAACGAAGAGGTCAGGAAAGACATCACGGGCAATAAGCTCCATGGAATCATTATCAGATCGCTTTGATGTACCACCAATAACTTCAATCGGACTACAGTTCATGTAGTACTCGGGCTGACCAGCCAACTTGGATTGCCATGTCCACGTGAAGACATATTTTCCAGGAGTAATCCCCTCCGGAATTTTGAAATCGTAGGTATCCGCACCACTCCCGCTCTTACTGGGACAGCCACTTTCGAGTGATAATATAACTTGCCAGTGAGTGTCCGCCTTGGGCTGTGGCTCAGAGGTGATGGCAAGTTGACATGACCCTCCCCCATGGACGGCACTTCCGGTGAACGAGAGTGTCTGTGTCTCTCCAATTTTCATCTTCGTGGCCTCAACACCGTTATAAAAGGATGCAGGATCCGATGTGACTTTGCATGGAAAATTGGCCGAAGTAAGAGGAGAGTTGTCAGGGTTGCCGAAGGGCGGAGGGGTTTTCATGATCATATGACCATTGACGGTGGAACCCAGCAGCGCCAGCACTGCTGAAATTGTAACTTGGGACTCCAACATATTCCGAGATGGGAGTATGGGTGGCTATAGATTATATCAAGTCGAGTTTGGTGATTGGTATGCAGTGATATGTTAACGTTAAGGAAAATATAAGTCAAGGCAGTCGCGAGTCTTGGGGTATTTATTTTTGTTTGATGTATAAGACGAGACAAAGGGTGTCATTATAGTCGCGCAGCACCGTCAATAAGCACGGTGAAGGAAGATTTGACCGTGTGAATGCAGTTGTGTAGATGTATCAGAAAAGGTCTGAAAGACTAAGCTATGCTAATACCAACACCCCAGCTAGACAAAGCAAATGCGTTACTACGACACCAAGAAAGGGAACCTCGCTATAAGGAGGCCAATAGACCAGAGGCACTATGTCCATTGGGGCTATCTATGATCACAAAGCTGGGCGTTCATTCAGAAGTCTCGGGGAAGTTTCCTTTCGACGGGTGGCTCTGCGGCTCGACACCTTTGATGGTATTGAGCGATTCTCACGGTGAAAAAAATGGATGCGACAAAGCAAGGTTGGATAACAAAGATTTAAGAACCCGCGTATGATGCTCGGGTAAAAACCTTCAAGGAAGATTCCTCTCATTGTGCCTGAAGCTGCCAGCCGTCTGTCTGTACACTGTTCTTGACCAAGGCGTATCTGTGGCTAAGCTCTGGAGCCTGCTTGATGTAATCCGGTGACCAAAGAACATTAGCCGTCATTGGGTGGACCTGGCGATCCGGAGCCTATGCAGCTCTTTCACCTCGGCTGCGAGACCTGGCGGCGCTGGGCCGTCGACAAGTAACGAGGGTGCAACTTCATGGATCGCGAGGGGGCGCACAGGCGCTGGCTGAGCCCCAAACTCATCCATCCATTCCCTCAATTGTAGTGACGAGCTCACATAGACTATGCGTCCCAGGCCAACATAGGCGTGTGCTGCTGAACACATTGGGCAGTGTTCACCAGAAGTGTACACAACGGCAGAAGCCCGTTGATCAGGTGACAGATTCTTCCCAGCCCACTGAGCTAATGTGAGCTCGGGATGCAATGTAGCATCGCCTTCCGTGATCTTTCGGTTCCTGTCTTCGCGCATCACCAAATTGGTCTTGCTGTCAACCAGTATTGAACCGAATGGATCATCCCCTGCTTCTAGCGCTTCCCGAGCGAGTTCCACGCAGCGCTGTAAGTGAGCAAGATCTTGCGAGTCAATCATTGTAAAGATGTGAAATGGAATGTGCGCTGTACTCGGAGTGGCAATGGGAGAGGCGAAGCAACAAGGAGTATCTCAAGCAGCACACTCGGCACGATCACCACACTGGCCACAAGTGACCACAAGTGCGGAGTAAGGAGAGCCAGCCGTTGCGGTGGGTGGAGATCGTGGGGTTCCTATCAACGTGTGGCTGAAGCACTAATACGATGAATGGACGGAAATGCAAGTTGGTGGCTCTAATCACCCGCTTTGCGGTGCACAACCAGTGCCATGCGACACTCGTGCATTGCCCATTAAACACTACATCAGGACGCCAGGGCCACATTCGACATCAGACTGGATTATTGCACTTCTTGCTCGAAAAAGCAGTTGGCCACGGAGCATGCAGCTGAAATGATGCGACAGGTGCCTCTGGCACTCTAGCGTTTGTGGCTGAGTCATGACGTACTATGCCACGACTGCGCAACACGGCCAGTCCACGATGTCGGTCTCTTTCCCGAGATATTTAGGCTGGGACCAGCATGCGTTCTGCTCCTTCGTATGCCAATATACACCAACACTTAACGTTGCCAAACTTCCGACAGCCATGCGATTACTGGTTGGGTAGCTTGCTGTAGTCTGGCTCGGCAATGCCTGACCAGCCGTGTAGGGCATGTCAACAGCTGTGAAGCTTGAGTAAAGCAAATTACGTACAGCTGCTGATTCAATCGACTTTTGCAGTGTTATTAGCCGCTGATAAGACAGCCATTTATCAGCTGCTCATTCGCCCCATATTGGTCGGCAACTCAACTGGCCTGTAAACCTTAAAGCTGGAGATGCAAGGGCCGATTGCATTGATTGCTGCACGATAAGGGCGTTGTACTGTACTCGTAGTTGAACCGTCATCGCTTGAAATCGGGCATTGGAAACGTCGATGAAGGTAACCTGCATTGTTAAACAACCCATCGAAACCTGATACCTCTTTTTACCAACTGGTTCCATCATTAGGCACGCTTGAATTATGCAACAAGCGTCAATCAAGAAGCGTCAGCGCGCGTCGCGGGCCTGCGACTTCTGTCACATGAGGGGACTCAGATGTCGCTGGAAGACGCCTGGATCCTCGCAGTCCACCTTGAATGATTCTAGGCAAGCAGGCTCTTCAGGGTGCCTGACGTGTGAGGACTATGGCGCTGAGTGTACCATGAAGAGGCCTGTGCAAAAGCGCGGCAGAAAGTCGACTGCACCAAACCCTCGAACGACTGAGAATGTTCACACTTCAGAAGATTTTGACCTTCAGATGCCGAGCCCCTCGACCTGGTTGTATGGTGCCTTGTCATCGTGGGAAGAAATCAATTTTCGCTCAATTGATATTGTCAAGCGTCTGGTGAGAATATACCATGATACTATGTATCCAAAGTGAGTGCATCTGCTCTGAGAACATCCCAAATACCGTCCGCGGAGCGTCTGACATTGTGAAGCTTTCCGTTCTTACCCGAGAAAGATCTCTTGTCTCGGTGGGATGAGTCTATTCCAGACCCGGATAGCCCGTCTTACATGTTGCTCATGGCACTCTGCGCCGTCAGCTCGCAAACCGCATCATTGAATGCTGTGTTTGATAACTCGCTCCTTCAGGGTGTCGTTATTCCAGATTCCGAGAATTACTTCTACGAAGCGACGTCGAAGATCCCTTTCCGTATCGTGCAATGCACAGACCTGGACTACCTGCGATCATTCGGCTTACTAGCCGTATACTCAATTCAACGTGGGAATCATAGCGACCTGCACCGGTACCTCGCTTTGTACCATGCGCTTGTTGCACAACACGGATTCCACGAGGAAAGCCGATGGCCTGCAGATCTCTCAATATCTGATATCGATGACCGTAGAAGGCTGTTCTGGTGTATGTATAGACTAGAGATACACTCGGCATGCATACTTGGTCATGTTGTGCGGATGCCAGAGTCGCAAGTTACCGTCTTTTATCCGCGGATAACCCCATCAACTGAAGCAGATGCGCAAGCCTGGATCTCAGGCTGGGACTACATCACGGATCTCTTCAGATTACTGGAGTACGCCATTTTCTGCCTGAGAGCTTGCAAGTCACGCAAGGCCGTTTTGGCACCGTTTTGCGACCGACCATCTCCTGCAACCCTACTTGATGCGCTCGCACGTCTGAAAGCCGGAAAGCCCCGCATACTTCTGGGATTGGCGCAAGATCAGAATGACTTTCAGAGCAACAGATGCAGATACCTAGCTGTTCAAATTATGTGTACCGAAACTGTAAGCCAAAATGAACTGGTCAAAGATGTGCTTATGCTCACACCTCGGAAGCTTGTGAACATCATGGCTTTACTGTATTGTCAAGCTCCCGCCGATGAGATGATGAATCTTGTTGAAGAGTTTCTCAAGGAGGTGACGAAAGTATCCCTCATACTCTTCAAGGTTTCAGGCAGTCCCCTGGTACGGAACAAAGATCAACGACTAGAGTGATTGTAGCTGACGGCGTCTCAGGTTCATCAACTTGTGGGGGTCGGACATATGCTCCATAACGCTTCGCAGCAAGACAATGGTCGGTTCCTAGGACAAGCTAAACGATTGATGTAAGTAACGGCATTATGTGACGTAACAAGATATCCTAGATTGCGTGATGGTCCGTTGATGCTAATATACAACAAAATAGCATGAATCTGAGCAATCTTGTCAAGAGCTTGAAAGACCACATACCATCAGCTGCAGATTCTGGCGACAGATTATGGAAGCTGGCCGAAGGTACATCTTAGGACATTATACTGCATATTACGAGGTTTATACACCTATCAAGAAAGAGAGAATTCATACTATGTCGTTGATGAACAGAATAGCGTTTCATGAAAGTCTCGTTGAAGTCACCGAGGAGCGCACAGCGAAGTGGGTAAACCTATCTTCTAGTATCAAACTCGGAGCATGTCCCTGACTTATCCATCAACAAAGAAAGCATAGGAGTGAAGCATAATACTGGATGTGAAAGAATCGCCTACAACGCAACCATCCTACTCCTGGTGAACCACCAAGCTAGCAACATATTTCCGATACGCCGGAATGGACCAGCGCCGTAGACGCTTGCCATAAAAGATGATGGGAATGAATGTAAACGTACACGCAATCGACACCATCCCTGCAGTAATGAAGCAGTTCTGCAATCCCTCTGTTGTATACCAAGGCGTGATTGCATAGCTGAACCCAAACCCAATCGTGTTGCGGATGATCATAACCGAAACAGTCGTCTCTCCGCCTAGTTCCTTGAAGCAGTCCACATTGTATGACACTGCCATTGAGCCACCTGTGACGCAGCCGAAAGTCAACATCCCAAGGCCAAAGACAAGGCCGACCCAGTGCGCATCATGGTAAGCTCCTACTCCCCAGGTGATCAACCCAGCAGCCGATAGTACACCAGAGAAAGCCAATGGCCAAAGACGATGTTCGGGCTCGCGGATGCCCTTGTTTCGGCGGGCCAGGCGAAGTGCGATGTAATCGGCAACGTTACCTGACCACAATGAGGCGAGGGCAGCGCCAATGATAGGTCCTGTGTAAACGCAGCCAATGAGGGCAGCTGACCAGTTGTATGGTGCAGCACTAAGAATAGGACTAGCAGTGCCATTGAGCACATTATACCATGATAGGTTGATGCCGTAGAGGAAGCCTGCCCAGAGGACTGTTGGAAACTTGACAATCATGACCACTGGTCTGTACACCATGCGCATCATGTCGCTATTTGTTGGTCTTCCCGGAAGAGATCTGAACCATCGGTATTTCATCCAGAGTGAAGTCGTGCCGGAGGAAGGGAGGACGGATCTATCAGTAGAGTCTGATGTCGACGGCGCGGATGGGGGAAGTTCAGCCTTCTCGGCATGGGAAGAGGGTCCGGCAGGCTTCATGGTGCTGGTGTTGATAGCTCCCCCATCCTGGCCTTCAATGGTGCTGCCCCGGAAATACATGGTCTCCTCCATAAACATGAGCATGATGAAGAAGCAAACCGCTGGAATGATAGCACCCAAAAGCATGGTCCAACGCCAACCGTATGCATCGTTGAACCAACCAGCAACCAGCGGAGCCAAGAAATTCGAGCCGAACAGAACGAAAACGTAGAGTCCCATGTAGGTACCACGGTTGTGTGCAAAGAACACGTCAAAGACTGTGACCTCAGGCAGAGACTCAATTGGGGAGCAAATAACCCCAATCAAGATGCGGTGTGCGAACCATTCACTGGCGGTAGAAGAATAGGCTGTCCAAACCATCATCGGAACTGTGAGGAGCATGGAAGTAAGGTATACGCCTCGACGACCATACGTCAGCGCTAGAGGTTGCCAAATCAAACATGCCCATCCGAAGAACAGGAACATGAGGCCGGTGCCTTGAACAAGGTTTGCCGTCGAGATGCCAGTATCTCGCGTGATGTCGGATAACACAGAGTACTGGAGGGACGTGGCAATGCCAGTACCAAGGACGTAAATGTAGGACATTGTGACGGCCCGTATCTTGCGACTGTGGCTCCAGTTCAAGGGGTCCTCTGGGTCTGAACTTGGCCGTGGAACAAGTACGACATCTTTGTGGGAAGCATCGTGGCGGAAGGTGGGAGTTTCACCGTCTACATCTACAAGGTAGATTGTGCCTGGCACGTTGTCGTGCTCTAGGTGGTCGGTATTCATCGTAATAAAGACAGGAGACGTTTGTCCTAAATAAGAATGACTCCTCGGAGCTCATGAATAATGTCTGTTTATGGCAGACTGCGCGACGGCTCATATATGTTTTTCCATGAAGTAGCAAAACCCATTTTCGTCCGTTGACAGATATCTTTTAGATACAATCCGCAGGAGTTCCGTTGATAGGTCCACCTGTGAGATAAGTGATTAACCCCAGACTTTCCCCTCTGCTCTTATCGAATGCTAGACCCGCTAGCTAGCGCCTTCGGCGTTGATTGCATGTTCCGAAAGGTTCCATAGGCTGGCCAACGGGGCATTCCCCCAGTTTCAGTTGACGCTAGATCAGACCCTTGGCGATCGGCATCCTTAGCTCCTGCGCAACGTGCCTTGGCCGACCAACAGTGGCGATGCTAATTAACAGCTGTAGATTACGAATTCAACAGTTACTTACCAGTAAGTGCTGTGAGATGATAAGTGCCAATCAACTAGCAGCGGCTGTTTCTTCGGTAATTGCACGTCTCAGTCCAGCAAGCTTGAATGTGCACTTGTACCGTGTCTTTACCACCACACCAAACATAGTAGGATATCCAGAAACGGATAAAGTAGTGGTTTCCAACTTGTAGGATTCTATGTTTAGCAGCTGCTAGATCCTGCTAGATGCGTTGCATCGCATGCAGTGCGGACCAGATACAGCTGTCTAAATTGTTCTCTTACATCACAATACGTCGAAAGTAGAGTCATAGCTTGTAAATCAGCTTGTTAGAGAGGAGCTGTGCTTTTGTCGTAACCTGTCTATATAAGCGAGTCATTCTTGCGTTTCTTCCTGAACGTCAACATGTAACCAAACCTCCCACATACTACAGCGACTAGTTATAGTTTTACCAGAGAGAGTTCAATCACGAGTACTCTTACAATGTCCAACGTATGTTGCTGTGCAGCGGATGTTGCTTGTATTATACTAATTGCTTCTAGACCCTTACGATTGTTGAAGCCACAGTGGCAGAGCTGCAAGATGCCATGTCGGCCGGACGGGTAAACAGCGTTGAGCTGACCGCAAAACATTTGCTTCGAATCGCGAAGTATGACCGACGAAATACTCTATTAAACTCCATACCAATACTCTGCTCTGATGTCTTCGAGCGTGCCCAAGCTTCTGATGACCGTCGGGCTTCCGGAAACCTGCTGGGTCCACTTGACGGTATTCCATGTACAATCAAAGACAGCTACAAGATCCAGGGCTTGACTGTAGCCTCGGGTTCCCCTGCGTTCAAAGATCTCGTGGCTCAAGATGACGCTTTCACCGTCGCCAGAATTAAGCAGGCTGGTGCCGTCATTCTCGGCAAAACCAACATGCCGCCTATGGCAGCCGGCGGCATGCAAAGAGGAATATACGGGAGGGCAGAAAGTCCATACAATGCCAAGTATCTCACTGCGGCATTCGCATCGGGTTCTTCAAATGGTTCCGCCACGGCCACAGCAGCAAGTTTTGGTGTCTTTGGTATGGGTGAGGAGACTATCTCATCGGGTAGGTCCCCAGCTTCGAATAATGGCCTTGTGGCATACACGCCGTCCCGTGGGCTGATATCCATTCGTGGAAACTGGCCACTGTTCCCAACATGCGACACGGTGGTTCCACACACCAGGACAGTCGCCGACATGTTTGCCTTGCTAGATGTTATCGTAGCAGAGGATCAAAAGACGGCATGTGACTTCTGGAGAGGACAGCCTTTTGTATCACTTCCAGGCGTCGAAAAGATTCGACCCGGCTCTTACAGTGACCTGAAAGACCCAAACTCTCTCGCTGGGAAAAGAATTGGTGTGCCCAAGATGTATATCGGCGGCCATGATCCAGAAGCTAGACCAGTCCACACACGTCAAAGTGTGATTGATCTGTGGAAGAATGCCAAGGCCGTACTGGAATCTCTCGGGGCCACTGTCGAGGAAGTCGAATTCCCGGTCGTCACCAACTTTGAAAAAGTTGATGATGGAGCAGTGCCCACTCCTGGTACAGCTGCACCTGCTCACCGCAATCCGATCGATATGTGCCAGCTCATGGCCTATGCATGGGATGACTTTCTTGTTAGCAATGCAGATGTGGCTCACTGCACTACACTTGCCGCTGTCGACTCGACTTCGATATTTCCGCGCCCGCCAGGATCTCTTCCAGATAAGTACGACTCCAACGATCCTCTTGTCCGCCACAAGGACGTCGTGGCACAGATCACCTCGGAGCGTTTGCCGATATACGACATCCCAGGGCTGGGTCCTGCGCTGGTCGGTCTCGAAGCTCAGCGCAAGACTGATTTCGAGGATTGGCTTGATAAGAAGAACCTAGACGTCGTTGTTTGGCCTTGTAATGGAGACGTTGGACTAGCCGATGCAGACGTGTCCAAGGAGTCTGCAGACCACGCATGGCGCAACGGCGTGCTCTACTCCAACGGCAACTGTGCTATCCGCCAGTTGGGCATTCCTACTGTAAACGTCCCTATGGGTGTCATGTCTGATACCAAGATGCCGGTTAATTTGACGTTTGCCACGAAAGCGTACGAGGACAACGCAATTCTCAGTTACGCCTACGCTTTTGAGAGAGCTTCGAGACTTAGACAGCCACCCACCCGCACAGCCCCATTATCCACAGACACGATTTCCCAAGTTGCTGGTAGCATCATCGGCCAGTCACCTCCGGAGCTCGAAGCAGAGACTGAGCTAGTTGAGCACAATGGGATCAAGATATTGCGTATTACTGGTTTGTGTAGCGCAAAAGAAGGGGTACGATCTCTGCAAGTATTCGTGGATGGAGATGAGGTGCAAGGAGTTGAAATGACCAATGGGAAGTTCAACGTTGACATCGTTGTCGATAATCTGACAAGATGGTTTGGAAGGAGTGAAGATGAACCTAAACCCAATCTCACCTTGGCAATGGTTGTGGTGCTCGCAACTTGCCAAGGTGGAAGATCTACAGGCAAGGTAATATATAAATAATGCTTTTAACATTATTAATATACTTTAAAAGCCTTTGTATAAAAATAATTTATATATTTAAATTTATAATTTATTATAATTATAATTTAAATAAACCGGCGGAATCCTGTGCCATGGTGACCGGAGCAAACGACTGGCAGTTATCTCGGTGGGATGTTAGCCATCACTGCCCTCTGCTCAGCAGATGGCGGGGGTCAATGCAAGGTGACATGCAGTGAAGAATTACCCCACTTATCTTTCCCACTCCACCTCAACCTCAGCCAGTTGGAAGTTACTGTGGTAGGAGTAGCGCCCAGGGTGATCGAAATTGTAGTCGTCTTTCCTGTATGCAGTTTACTCACCGCCTGTCACTCCCTCGATTTGCCACGTGTTGGAAATATACCCCAAAAGTTGCCAAACTGTCTCCGCGCGCGAGCCCTCCGGAAAAGGTCAGGTGCATTCCATAGGCATAAAGCTGCCCTTGCACTCATTTTTGATGGGCAGGCTGCTGCACTACCAATTCCAACTCCAATTCATTCCAATTCACACTTGTCTAGAATTGCGCTCTTTAGCACCATAACTTCAACGTCAGGGATTTCGCTGGAATGGATTGACTTCACATGCAACAAATTTCAAGGCAGCTCGTGAGGTCGCTATTCAAGCGTACTTGGAAGTCCTCAACCTCAACCACCCACCACGATTCGCACTACACACCCGAGATCTCATATCAAACCAGTAATACCAGTTTGGAGTCGTGTGGCACTCGGCGCCAGACCAGGATCCCCTCATACGACGACGTTGCAGACACGAAAGGACTGGGCCTTCACTAGCGGTTTCATTGCAATCCTCACATTATACAGTCTGTTCTATTGGCCATGGAGAATCACCCGGCGGTAAATCATCCGCTAGCTCCACCGTCCTCCACGACGGACGACCAAGATATCCTTGATAACATAGACGGCCGCATGCACGGCCCCATGAGCGGATTTATCAAAAAATACTTCGGCAACTTTCAATATGCCCACCAAGGTGCTGTCTTGGAAATTCAGGCAGCCGGAAGAGTTAGAGGCCGCTGTGCCGTTCCATCAGCTGCCCCATCACCCGACAATTTCTGTCAATGGTTTTCCAACTATATATCGCGGGAGATTGACGGCGCTCGAGGCTCGTGGCATATACCTAGCGGCCATGTAGCACCCGAGCACGAGAGTGATGACGACGGTGCACGTCTCTTCTTGACCATGCCCACTTCGCCGGCCTCCAACGTACAGACACGATGGAACCATGTTCAGGTTATTGGCCAATTTTATCACCGTGGTTGCGGTTGTTATCAGGGTGGACTATTGCGTCTCTGCCGGTCTGCACACCAGGTCTTCGCCAGTCAGCCTACGCGACTCTTCTTACATGGCTTCTACATACGCGGTTCACTGATCGAGCTTTGGGTCTTTGATCGATCTGGCTTATATTGTAGCGACCTATTCGATATTCAGAAAGATTTTATCCAATTTCTCTCTATTATTCTCAGCTACCAGCGGATGACGGACAAGGACCTGGGGAAAATCAACATCATTGAGACAGATAAGGGCGGCAGCTACATTATCCTCAATAGTGTGGTGATGCCTTCTTTGGGAAAGCTTTATCTCGAAAGCCAGCCGATTGCGTCTCGTGAAGACCTTGTTGGCACTGGGACAACTTGCTACCGGGCTAGAATGCCCGATTCGAATCGATGGAATTACGTCTTGAAATTCAAATGGCGTTGGGCCAGGGAGCGTCCGGAGAATGAGCTTCTACAACTAGCCAAGAAGAAATGCGTGTGGGGTGCCGTCTCCCTTGATTATCACGAAGAAATTGAAAGTACGGCAAATCTGCGCCGAGGTCTCCGGTGGGGGAGACACAGAAAATTCGCTAGGACGCACTTTCGCAAGACGAATGGAAATATCGAAGGGCAACGACAGGAAGTTACTTGCAATACTGACGGACTTGTCGAATATACAGAAGAAACCGACAACCTCTTTCAAAATCGTATCCTTGCCTGCATAGTTACTTCTCCTGTCGGTAGACCTCTTCACACTTTTCAGTCTCTCTTGGAGTTAGTTCAAGTGTTTCGTGATGCTATCAAGTGCCACCGATCACTCTGGTATGACGCCAAGATTCTTCACCAAGATATATCCCCAGGGAACATGATCATTCTGGATGGCCAAGATGAAGGAAAGCCTCAAGGAATCCTGATAGATCTCGATTCCTCAATAGAGCTGGCCGAAGGAGCAGGAACGGAGTTTGGCATTACCGGCACCAGACCATTCATGGCTATTGGTGTTCTGAAGAGTGAACGTCATACTTATCGTCACGACCTAGAGTCATTCCTTTACGTTTTCCTCTGGACAATCATAACGAACCACACGGAGAATCCCCTAAAGACGAGCAAACTTCGGCAATGGAGTAGTGGCGACTGGGACGAATTGGCAGTACGGAAGTCACTTGACATGGATCAGGATGGCTTTCAGACTATTTTGGAAGAATTTACTCATGAATTCCACTCCCTCAAGCCGCTCGCCGAAAGTCTACGCCAAGTTCTATTTCCCCGACGGGCTGGGGTAATTTGGACCGGGACCGACGGCTCGCCTAAAGCTGTGGACAGGCTTTACGATGGAATGATCTCCGCGTTCGAAGAGGCCATTATGTGACGAATATACTTTCTAAGATAAACCGTAGAGGGATATAGGTACGTGGCTTTATACTAACAGGGAACGTTAGTTTTAAGTGGTTATACGCGATAGTTTATATAATTAAATAAGATATAACGAGGGGGATTTATAAACGAAGTCGCGAGTATAATCGTTAAGGTTTAATAGGCCTCATTTATAAGTAAGATATATATTTAAATTGATTATTAAGGTAATGATTGGTTATATAACTAAGAAATCCCTTTTATTATATATCCATTCATTCCCTTCTTAATGTTGGTTGGATCACTATAGTTATAATGATCCTTTGTCTTGGATCACTTAGATCACTTCGATCCTGGTCTGTCTCGGCCGGTCCTGTGTCGGCGGCGTGCAGCGCCATAGCCATTGCCTGGAGTTCCGTAATGAGGGGTTCCGTTAAAGCGGCGTCGCTATCGTGACCAGGTACGCCGATGGCTCGTTGTCGTCTTGGTCTCTATCGCGTAGCGCAAACCCGATTCCTACCAGGTTGTTATACTAGGACGAGCTTGTGCTGATGACAATGCCATGCTGCCTCTCGGCTGCTTCTCGTGTTTGTTCTCTTGCGACGTCGGTTGTCGTTCGGATCCTGGCTTCCTACGGGGCCAGTACGTGTGGTCGGACGGTTTCCAGCCTGTTTATATATTACGAACATGGCCTCACGAACCCCGACCCCGGAAAGGAAGAACTAAAACCCACCAGGTAGCTAACGCACAGCCGCTAAGATAAAAAGACTACGGGATTAATAAGATAGAAAAGGTTACGTAATATAAATCATGGTTTTAATAAATAAACCAGGATAAAAAATTACGACAAGCCATAAATAAACTTAAGGGAAGGATCACCCTTAAATCAGAATAATCTAAAATAAAGGATCATTATAATTATAATAATTTAATTAATATTAATAAAAGAATAAATAGATATATAATAAAAGGAATTTTTTAATTATATAAATAATTATTATTTTAATAATTAATTTAAATATTTATTTTATTTATAAATAAAGTTTATTAAATTTTAATAATTATATTTATAACTCCGTTTATAAATTTTTATTTTATATTATTTAATATTTAAATTATAAATTATAATTACCCTCGAGGTTAACGTCTTTTATTAATATAAACCTACGTATTTATATCTTTTTACGGTTTATTTTAAAAAGTATATTTATTATATTTTAATTATTTTTATTTAAATACGTTACTTTCGAATTAATTAAGTAATATCTTAATTAATAATAAGAATTACCTTATAAAAGGAAGTAATAAAAATTTAATAAAGAGCGCGTTAAATATAAATAAAAACAAAGAAAAAAAAGTAGTTTATTTTATATTAAAATAAAAAGTAATTAGTTTTTATTATTTAATTATTATTAAAATTAAATAAAATATAATATTAAATTTAATTATTTATTAAATAAAATTTTAAAACTATAAAATTAATAAATAAGTAAATATACGTATATTAAATTTTAAAGGTTAACAATTTTAATAAAGGACCATTTTCGAGTTAAATAAATCCCGTCGCGTTCGGGAATAATTATATATTAAGTTAAAAAGGGTAAAGCGTTAAAGGTAACACGATAAAGAATAGTACGCGATAAACTTATAAATAAGTAAATAATAAAATATATACGACGAAAAATAAACGAAATAAAAAAAATTAAATCGAAAATCGTAATTAAAGAAACGATTTAACCCGAAACACCGGATATAAATAAATAAAAAAATTAATTATTAAATAAATTAATTTTCTATTTTATTTTTATTTATAAAACCCGTATTTATACGTAATTATATCGGATATTCGCCCGTATATTTAAATGGTAACGTACCGAATCGTGATTTACGCGTAATATTAATATATTAACGCGGTTAACGAGGTCGAATCGTATTTACGAAGTGATAATTATATAATAACACTAACCGACGCCCGAAAAATCGCGGAAGCCGTTAATAAATTACTAGGAATTTTTTAAGATTAAACCGAGTTACGTAAGTTCGTATTTTTTAATCCCGAAGCGGCCGAGATTTTTATATTACAATTAACGTAAAACGACGGGGTTATATACGCGGAATATATATTCGTATATCGTAATATTTAACGTATACGTAATTATTATAAAGACGAGTATTAATAAAAAAATTTACGTAAATAAGGAAAGCCGTAAAAATAAGTATAAATACCGTGGCGGGTTAGGGTACGATATTAACAGTTTTTTAAAAACCGGTAAGTTAATAATTAATTCGAGGTCGAACAAGTACGGGAGGTAAAAGCCGACGTATAACCACGTTTATTATAATTTATTATTAAAGACACGGTTAAATAAATTATACGATTAAATCGGTAAAAGTTATAAGAGTTTAAAGTAATATAAAACGATAAAATTAAAGTACCGGATAATAAATTAAAACCGAATTTATAAATGTAATAAACGGGATAAACTAAGTATTTACGGGGATTTAACCGGGTTAAAATGTTAGGGTTAATCGGGTCGATCGAGGATAACGAGTAAGAGTTATAATAAATATAATAGAGTTTTTAACGGGTGGCGCGGTAAAACTAACGGGTGACGATACGCGGGTAGGTTAATAATATCGTATTAATAAAAACCGGCCGGAAAAACGGGGATATAAGAAGTAAAAAGCCGTTTACGGGTACGATAAAAAAGAATACGTAGGATAAATATTACGAGGTAATACGATAAATTATTTATTACGTATAACGAAACCAGGTATTAAATAATAATTAACGACCCGTATACCGGTTAATTATACGGTAAAGGGATTTATAAAACGATTTCGAAAAGGCGGTTTAAACGATAATTAAGATACGACGGCCGTTTTAAAAGTAAAAAATATAATTAAACCGGTTATACGTAAATGTGGTGGTAAAATTAATCGATTACCGGTTAAAAAGTAACGAGTACGAGAACGTAATAATTAACGCGTTAACCGTGATAGGGTTAATACTTTAATACGGGTGGGTGGGTGCGTTAACGTATACGTTTAAATATTCGGTAATAATGAAAATGATACGGATTTTTATAGTTATATAATTTATATACGAAGACGAGGAGGAGGTAACGAAATGGAAGGCGAACGGGTTAAGCGAAAACGAGGTATATAATTAATACGTAGGGTTAAATATACGGGTAAAAGAAAAAGTGTACCGGTTTATAATACGGTTATCGCGGGATATACCGTTTAACCCGTTAGGGTGGATTTATAATAATAAAACGTACGGTATAACGATCCGGAATACGACGGTGGTAAAGGGGTACGTAACGTGGAAGGGGAGTAAGATTACGTATTAAAAGATTTAATTTACGATAAACGAATTAATAAATATAATATACGGGTTAATCGAGGAGGCGCGGGGGACGATAAACGAGTTGTTAATAGTAAATAAGGGTTAATAATACGAGTAGTTCCCGGTAATCGATCAAGTATGTTTAAAGGATGATTAAAGCGAGGAGAGGTATAAATATTCGTTTTTAACGGATATACGTAATTAATAAGTAACGGACGGGGCGATATAATTAATGAATAAAGTTACGAAAGAGTTTAAATAAATAAAAAAATAAGTAAACGATGGTTAAACGCCGTTTCGGGCGCGGTAAATTAGGGTTAGGGTTAGGGTTAGGGTTAGGGTTAGGGTTAGGGTTAGGGTTAGGGTTAGGGTTAGGGTTAGGGTTAGGGTTAGGGTTAGG